CTCTCTTCTTGTGACGACTCTCTCTTCTTGTGACGACTCTCTCTTCTTGTGACGACTCTCTCTTCTTGTGACGACTCTCTCTTCTTGTGTCGACTGCCTTCTTGTATCGACTCTCTTCTTGTGAACGACTCTCTCTCTTGTATCGACTCCCTTCTTGTGAACGACGCTCTCTCTTGTATCGACTCCCTTCTTGTGACGAATCTCCCTTCTTGTGACGACTCTCTTCTTATAACGACTCTCTCTTCATGTGACGACTCTCCCGTCTTGTGACACAATATCAGTACCTCATTCTTTAGTAGAGATGAATTCCTGTCTCTCGAGTGAGAGCTTTCTACAGGAGATCCAGTTCAGGTTTGTCAGTATTGCGCCACTGCAGACAACATCCGGGCCTGTGTCAGCGAGTATCAGGGGCAGCTTGATGGCCAGCCTCGTGTCAGGTCTGTTGACAACTCGTCTTCACCTTTCACTTGAGCTTCTCCGTTCCATTCCATTCCGTCTCTTCAGACTTCTTCACAGCTGATCTAACACACTATCATAGATCTTTGTCAGTAAGACTCAGCCACCGGATGGACAGAAGCACGTATGATCCATTGTGAAGGACGGTCGACACTCAACAGTTGTATGCTGCAGGGGGTTGGTTATACATGCAGTCCACTGTAAATGGCTCAGGGGTACGTGAGCCCACCAAACCAACGAGGTGAGAGAGTCGTCACTAGGGGTGGGCAGTTAGTCACCTACACCTAGAGTGGCATGATATGGAATCAATGCAGGGACAGGTCATTTGCAAGAAGAATGTTGAGCATCACACAATGGCCGTTGGATGGTTTGGTCTACGAAACATTGCAAAGGCTTCATTCAGGGTCGGGACAGCACCAGACGGTGGACGAGCGGCATCTTCTCGGTCAGCCTGGATGGTTGACCTGACAGGTGGTGTGCAGCATGGCCTTTGCCAGGCAAGAAACATGTCATCACTCAGTCGGAACAGGTGACACCGTCGCAGAGAGCAGCGGTGAAACGTTGGAATTACACCTTGCACACGACGTGAAACGTTGGAATTACAGTCCTCGCACACGACAGGGTACGGCAAGGTAAGGCAAGCACGGAACTAGAACTGGAACTGGAACTGACAGCAAGCATGGCACTGTCGACGACACTCGTCCCAACCAGCTCCAGGTCCAGGTCAGTCGGTGCCTGTATCTTGCCATCCTAGGTGCATGGGGCCTATCCATTCAGTGAGACTGGTCCAGATGGCAGAAAAGTCGCCGACTACCTAACGTGATGCGCACAAAATGATGTTGACGTCGGCTCACGAGAACCGGGGGAGAAGGAAGTCGCCCTGACCCATGCCATGGGCACGGCCTGTCGCTCTAGGGGGATCTCGTTCCAGAATTCCTGTCTCTCCTCCTTCAAGACCGGCGTCATCATCACAAGCACTCACTCCCGCGACATCTCGTCTGAAATCATTGATTGGCAAGACACCAGCACGTCTCTAGGACTGGCTAAGCAAAGAATCAACCCAAGCGAGGCTTAAGGGCCTAAGGCCTAGGACTCTTGCAACCCAGTGACCTAAAGCTCGATTCGTCATGGCTCCTCCCGATGGTGATCCCTCTGGGCGTCTCGCAGCAAGTATGTAAGTATCCGTATTTTGTGGGCATGTTGCGTGACTGCTGGTCTGGTACAGGGAGCGTATGGATGTATGTACGGATACTAAGTAGTAGTGCTTAGTACTCATGAGACACGACCATTCGTCAGAGACCAGACAATGCACAGTGCCATGAGCAGTGAGCAATGGTCTGCCCAGTTATCTCCTACCTTCCATCTACTACCTACCCAGTGCCTCCGCCGATCAATCACAAATCACACGCAACACCTAGCTCAATCTAAAGCCAGCTTCTGGGAAATTTGACACGGGACACCGAGCCATTTTCCCCGGCTCTTCACTCGTCACGCGGCGGGAAGTCGCGCGGACTTGCTAGAGATTGATACTGTCTGAAATGTCCAGCCTGGATCATGCATGTACGGAGTACTGTAGGCACGCAACCGGCCAAGCTGGTCACGAGAATGCAGACCTCACTGCTTCCTCATCCTCACCACGGACGGGGCATTGACGATCTTGACGGCAGAAGCTGACATGGACGGATACGCTTACGCTCCAATGCCAGGGTGATGGGTATTTTAAAAAATCTGTGTACAGAGTATACGAAATCCCCGTGGCAGCAGCCATGGGCTTCCATGGGATTGTTCTGGACCAGGCCTGGAGGCCAGCGCACCTATGAGGCACCTAGAAGGTGCCAGGTTTGGTGCGGCTACTGCACGCGAGGCTTAGGAGCCTGTAACAGGGTGTGAAACCTGAGCTATTTTGTAGGTACGTATTTTGTGGGTGCATGTGCCTGGAGCAGGTGGTTGCAGGGGTGCAATGCAGTGTCACGGTGGTGGACTGATCGAGGCCTGCTTGGCGTTGGGAGTGCCCGGCCACCCGCCCCCGGTGGCGTGTTGGGTCTTTTGGCCCTGCGATCCAGTACCCAGTACCCAGTATAGGTATGTATTGTATCGGCCACCGCCGCTGGGAGCGTGAGGCTAGGCTTACCTACTAGGCTTCTTAGGCATGGCCCTAACCCCCATCAGGCCGACAGCCACGCCCGGAGGAGACCAAGGTTTCGCTCCACTGCAGGCTGTAGGTCGTCCCAACCAGTCAGCTGCATCCCGCACCTTTCGAATTCCGCCCAGACTTGGAGATCACGATCACCAGATGCCAATCAATAATGGCTCGAAAACCCTGGCAGGCACCAAGCAGGGACCTTTTGTCGCTCGGGCAGGATAGGAGGACGGGAGGATGGGACAATTCATGCCTCAGAGGTAGCGGAGCGGAAAGCCAATGTCTGCCACCCCTTTCGCCAGGGCTACGCTAAGTCTTTGCGGGACCTTGTCGTTCATGCCTTGCTCCCAACACATATCAGAAATGCATAAATGCTGCCACGAGAAGCCCATCTGGATCGAACTCCCATTCCCCTACTACCAATCCAAAGACACACACTAAGGACTCACACTCACTCTCGCCATCACACTCATACTCACTCATACTCACTCATACTCATACTCATACCCATACCCATACAACCCTCAACCCCATGGTCCAGTACGATCCCTTCGCTACCATCATGAGCGACGGTGCCCTTCCTACTCGACCAAAGGATGCATTTGCAACCGGTACTGATACCCGTGATTACACACCACCGGAAAATCCCAAGACCTATGGTAAGTCGAGCATCATCCCAAGCGGGGAGAGACACAAAAAGACAGGAACTGACCACGATTGATGATTTAGGCGAGCTAGGAAACGTCCATCCCCAGCTCCGAAGACTGTCGTCGGCTAGCCACCACAGCCACGGCCATGCATCGCACTATTGCTCACGATGCCACATGCGGCGACCGTCACAAGAAAACTTGGCCATGACGCGGTCACACAGTCACAGTCCGGACGACGAGTCCTGGGATGGCTTCTGTCCAGACATCCATATGCCAGAGCACGCGCCCGCCCGGCCGCTGCATCACACCCGACGACACTCGGGCTTGTGTCCACAAGACGTGGTGACGGCGCAGGCCCATCAGGATGGCCGTACCTCGCCGCACACACAAATGACAATCAAGGCCCGGTCCTGTCCTCACTCCGCCGCCGGCCATCACCATGCATGCCACTGCGAGAGCGTCACTCCGACGGAAAACCTGACCGAGAGATACGGCCTGGTCGAGGAGCCGGAAGAGATTCGGCGCGAGAGATGATGCCACTGCGACGTGGTGGTATTTTCTCAAGGAGTTGCTGCCGACGTGGTGTCATTATCTCAAGGAATTACTGCCCGACATGGAAGCCCGACGAATGAGAATGTGACGCCAACCAAGCCAAGGCGTTGAACGGTCCCTACCTGACCCTGGCTATGGCTACGAGTAACGACATGACATGGAATGGGATGGGAATGGGAATGGGCCGACAAGGGCCGGCCGGCATTTTCATTGATCACTCTATGCCACCAAGCAATCTTCAGCCAGAATTGGATTGCTCTTGGGATCAAAAACGAAGGGACAGGACAGGACAGGACAGGAAAGGACAGGGCACAGGACACAGAAACACAAAACGGAACATGTCCGGGACAGGGATTGAAATTCGGACACACTTGTCCTCCCCTCCCCCTGTCGGCGGGCGATTGCTCTGCTATGCCCTGCGTACACTGGACAGTGACGCAATGGGCAGAAAGCAGACAAGACAGCATTTTGGTTGTTGGTTGTTGGACTGATAGGGCCCCCGCGACCCATACGGCATAGCAGCTACTTTTTTTTATATGGTATATACCGTCGTGAAGACGACGTCAAAGCCAAAAAAGCACGTATCTATCCCTGGATAGCTTGCTTTCTGCTGTCTACTATTACTATCTGCCTTAAATTACACTCTTTATTTTCACTTATCGAAGGGTGAGGGTCAGGATCTGAGCTGAGCCGAGCTGAGCTGAGCATTCGTAGGCTATATACTAGGTATATATATAGGGCCCGTCCCTGATCCGGTACTATTTATTCTACAAGATGAGAAGCCACCGACCCGTACTCCATATGTGATATACCGATCAGACAGACAGTCCATTATAGATAATCATAGCCCAGATGAAGAGAAAATATGTCCGACAAATCGGCTCTAGACACAATCTACCAGTCTTGTCTGTATGATGAGCGTCTTTTTGGTCTGTCTCTTATGTACTTATTTGGCTGCCTACCGTCTACTTACGCTCTACTTCTACTACTACTAATTAGTACTACACTATAGTCTCCGTGGGTACTCTGACATAGGATTCTACGGTGTGACGTGGCTGATCGCTTCGATCCGATCTCGCTTGGGTGCCGGAGACACACTCCGCTCTAGAACAGTCTCCAGTGGAGGGTGGAGTGTGGAGTGTGGATTCTAGGTGATAGGCGGTAGGGGGTAAAATATACTTGGTGGTTTCGAGAATCTCTCCCCTTGATATCACGCCACCTGGCATCCACCGGCCTCGTCGGTCGCGGTTTCATAGGCTGCAGCGATACCACCACGTCAAAGCATGGTCTGGTCTCAGTCTGGTTGGGATAGGTAGGTGTTGAGGTCAATACAATAGACAGGGATGATACCTTACATACATAGGTAGGAGGTACCTTGCCCCTATCTGGGAACTCAGTACGAAGTACTATAGTATACCCTGGGACTGTTGTCGCCTGTCCAACTTCAAGCCCGGCTGGTGGGAGGGAGGTCAAAATTCCCAGTCAGTCAGCCAGCTAGTCAGTATCATCGCTGATGCCAGGTGACTCGTGAGTACTCGTACAGAGTTGCGCGCAGTAGGTGTCTTGTGTCGTGCCGTGAGCCGCTGTCGCTGTCGCCGCACTCCTCTTCTTGACATTAGGTATGTGTATATTCCTACTGTACCGTACTACCCTAACTTCTAACTTAGGTACGCATAGTAAGTTTACTCGATAACTACCTCAAGGTATAGAATAGTAGGTAAGTACCTAATCCACCAGATCGAATCGGCATCGGTCCGGCAACCCTAACCCTAACCCTAACCCTAACCCTAACCCGCCCCTTCGTCCGGCTTAGGCCTAAGGCCGTAGCACCCCTAAGGTGCCCCTAAGGACCCCCTAGACATCCTGGCCCTCGCCTGTGTGAGCCCTGAGCCGCCGCACCCCGGAATCTGAGCTCCCTGCTTAGCGCCAGGTCCAGCTTCTAACTTCTCAGACGATCATCTCATGATACTCGCAGCAACGAAAGTCGAAGAATCAAAGCGCAGGAAGTACACCCAGTACTCGTAGTACTCTGCCATGTCCTAGTACTGCCGATCGAATTGGCAATCAAGGTCTCGGCCCTCCCGGTCGATTACATAGGTATATACAGATATATAATATCACCACTACCTACCTACCTACCTACCTAATTACCTGGTCTCCAGCTTAGACTCCCTACTACAGTTACTGTACAACCACTGCGAGTACTGTCGACACCACTACCACTACCACTACCACTACCACTACCACTACCACTACCACTACCACTACCACTACCACTACCACTACTGTTACAGAGTACTCTACTCGGCACAGTAATTCATACGGATAGAATCTAATTGACCAAAGACCACGACCCGGAGAATCCCATTGCACGCATCTTTCCGCAACCTCGCTATCGCTATCGCTATAGCTACGCAATCGACTCCCCAATCAACACATATATAGCACATACGTCTATCGACGGCATCACAATCACAATGTCATCCGCTGGCCTCCCCTACGCCATCCCGGCCAACTACGTGATCCAGCTGGTGGAAGAAGGGCCGCTGGGCACAGCACCGGCACTCGCGGCGACGACGGCCGATGCCTCCTCCTCCCTACACAGCCGGGAGCCGTTGCAGCCGCACGCGCAGCCGTCTCACTTCCAGTTCCCGCGGACGTCGCTGCACCAGGCCACGCTGCACTCGCACTTCCGCGGGCCCCACAAGCCAGGCAGCGTGCTGGCGCCCAAGGCTGCCAACGTGTGGGTGCCGGCCACGGATATCCGCGAGACCATGCGCGCCTACCACATCGAGATCGAGACCCCCGGCGTCACGGACAAGAACGACATCCTGGTCCAGTGGCTAAGCCCGCATACTCTGCTGGTGCAGGGCGACATCCGACGCCCCAGGAACATCGGCCTGCTCGACCCCAACTTGGACCCGGCCGACCGGGTGTGGGAGGGCCAAGGGGACGGATGGGCTCAAGAGTCGGGTCATGCACGGGTAAGTCAAGTCGATATCCCAACACACCATCACCATCCCATCCCCATCCCCCGTTCTTTCAACAAACAAGAGAGTCCAGTTTAATGAAAGGTGCCGGGAAGGGGAGAGAGTCCAGTTTATTGAAAGGCGCCGCGATGGGAGGAGGGGTTTCTTTCTCTCAGGAGCGGCAGGCAATCATTCCGTGTACCTAGACACTTAGCTAACGCGGCTTAAACTCTAGCAACAAGACGAAGATGACGGCGGCCCGCTCCAGCGCACCCTGTCGCGCGAAACCATCGAGGCCCAGCTCAGGGCCGACGCCATCCCCACTGTCCTTCTGGCCGAGCGGAAACTCGGCCCGTGGCGCCGCACCTTCACCTTGCCCGAGGACGTCGAGATGAAGGAGCTCAAGGCCCGCCTCGAGGGCGGCCTGTTGCGCATCGACCTGCCTAAACGCAGTGTCGAGGAGTACGACGAGTTGAAGGGCGGCGGCGTCCGGATTGTTATTGAATAGGTTGGTATTCACCGACTTTAGGGTATGAGGTTGAATACCTAGGTTGGTATTTACCTTCTTTAGGGCATGATGTTGAATAGGTTGGTATTCACCGACCTTTAGGGCATGAGACTGAATAGCTGGCTGCCGACCTTCTCCTTCTCACAAATCAGGGTCGGATAGAATGGTATGTTACGGTATGGGAAGGGATGGGAAGGGAAGGACAACATGGATGGAAGAAAATGGATAGAAACGAAAACCAAAACGATTAATTACGACGAAGAACATGGCATGGTCCATCCATAGCTTATATGAAGTGGTATGAGGCGATCCACAAAAATCCTAGATCCTGGGAACAACCATGGCACAAGGCAGTGATGCGGAAGCAGATATGAGGGTGCAGGATCTTTGCTTCAAACGCACAGACACACACACAGAGACAGAGAGAGAGAGAGAGAGAGAGAGAGAGAGAGAGAACATTTCACGGTTTTGAGCGCACCGAATCAGATGGATCTTAGACATTCAAATTGGAAGCAAAAAGGGAGGTACCGATATTGAGCGATAGTAATGGCATGGCGTAAAACTCAGTCAACTTGTGAATTCGACTCGAAGTCCAACCCCCAGTTGTAAGGTCCACTATCATACTCCTTTCCAATTCCATTCCATTCCCGCTTTCAATCCCAATCCCGGTTCCAGCGCCGGTTTATGTGTTGGTCCAAGTGCCAGTCCAAGTGTAACCTCCAGGACATCTTTAAAGTCTGCGTCTTTGCGAGGCAGAAGACCCATATGATCCGCAATAAGAAAAAGGTCAGGGTTAGGGAATATGGGTATCCTATTCGTCAGTTCGCTACTTTTGGTCGTAGATGCCCGTTACGCCGTGAAGTGATTCCCACTGTTCATTCATCAATCATCATGCGTCATTGTGACTGTCCATTGCTCTTGTGGTTCTGGATCTGCCAAGGGGTACGCAGGAAGACTCGACTCGTCACCGTAGCGTAGGGCTTGAGGGCGAGGGCGAGGGAAATGAAAATTGAACGGGACATGGGACATGGGACATGGGTGAATGCGACCAGGGTTCAATATCTCTTGATCTTGTTTTTATTGGACGAACAGCAACCATTTATTAGCGTCGCTTGGTCGTATTCTTGTCTCTGTTCCGGGGGTCTTGAGCAGCATCAAGTGACTTATCTCCATCCACCGTCACTTTGATCAAGAGACAAAACGATATATGTGCGGTAGAGGAGCGAGTGGGAGAGGCAGATTGCGCAGAGATCAAATCAAATCAGATCAGGCCAGGGTCGGTGGTGGTGGTGACAGTCAGGTCGGTCGTTTCTCAGAGACGATGACCGAGTCCGAGTCCACGGCCAGGAGAGGAAGAGTCTGGTGAGACTGTGAGAGGATAGATGACATCGAATCCATCATCAAGCTCCAATCTGTGAAGCCTGGTGATCTGAATTGTGCAACAGTTGGCATTAACGGACGTACCACCTGCAAAGGGAACTTTGAAGGCCTACGCCCAGGAACTTGAAGCGATGTCGCTGACCGCAGGCCGAGACGACGCCAAGAGATATCACGTGATGGAATTTAAACTTGTAGTACTCCGTGGTATCACTTCTATCAAAGACTTACAGAGTAGGTAGTAGTTAAGGTATATTACTCCATACTGGCAAAAAGACATTGAGACTTCCCTCAAGTTCCTTAGGACTCTGCACGAAGGGCAAAAAACACGTCTCACAAGCTCAGTCGTATAGTAAGTGAGTGAGTGAAAACCCGGGGTTTATCCTATTGGGGCTTTTGATCGAACATATTATGGTCGAATTTTATAGTCGTCAAAAACACCTGATTGCTTGGGAACTCATCTTCTCATTCTCAGATCCCTCGTGCTGTCCCGTCCATATTGGAGGGCACTTGAGGATGGATATACTATATAGCATATGTTTGTCATCCATTGTCATCCTTCGGGCCTGGGGCCTTGGGCCTATCAGGCACCAGGCACCTACGAGGCTGCCCCTTCAAAACATCCATACTGAAGAAAGCCCATCGGCAGTATCCCAGCCATTGGGGTTCGCCATTCTCATTCCAACTCCTGCAAATACACCTCAAACATGAGTCCCGTAGGATCGACCAACCCTAGACGCTAAACTCCACATCAAAGATCCTGCTCGGTAGTGCGTCTATACACCAGAAGAATGTACAGAGCTCAGAGGGCCCCGACGACCGCTGTCTTGCAAAGGTCGCGGCTTGGTTTTGGGTTTTGTTTAAATTTGTTTTTATCTTTTTTCTTTTCACCGCCGGGTTTTCATCCGACGGGCTGAACTTGCAGATTCACCATCTGCTTGAGTAAACTGCAGTCCTCACATCGGACCAGCTTCTCCAACACTCGGACTCTTTCGCCCAATCTTTGTAATTCATTCTCCATGTGACGCATCTCCACTTCCGTCTGGTTGACATAGTTCATAGCTTCAGTCAGGACGTCGCTCTTGCGGACCTTACTAGCTGGGATGGGGGCACTTCCGGGCGTATCGCTGTCGCCTTCCTCGCCTGTCTTTGGGCCGTAATGTGACGACTGGAGCGTGGTGTGGAGCTGGGCAATCTTCGCGTTCAAGTTTTCTCGATATTTCTTTTCGACGAGAGAATGGGCTTGCTTCGCCCGTTGCTTGGAGTCAGATTTGGAAGGAGCGGTGCTTTTGGTCGTCACTTGTTCCTCTTCCTCATCATCAGATGCAATCATCATCGTGGCAGAGGCGTTGATGTTGGTGTTAGTGCTGGTGCTGTTCCGGGCTCGGCGACGAGCGGCGGCGGCGGCTCCAGCTGTTGAGCGTCGTGGAGGTAGTGGCACTGACTGGACCTGATGCTCGTTGGATGAGGCGGAGGAGCCGCGGTGGGACTGGGCGGTGGTCACGCTGCTGGTCCTCGAGCTCATACTAGGTCGTTGATGTAGTGAAACTGAGACACTGTCGCTGGTGATCATAGTTTCGTTGGGAGAGGTTTCTTGAGTGATACACGGAACAGACGTGCACTCTTCGATGGGGGGCAACGTGGTGAAGTTCATGCAGGGAGCATCCGGACCACAACGCTGCGGCTGGCAGCTGTCGACTTGTCCCGCTATCAGGGGACAGAGCTTCTCTGTCGGGTCAGACTTGGTTGAAAGCGAGACGGCGATAGGGTTCAAGGAAGAAACAGGCGGAGAGGCGTTGATAGAGTCGGAGCCTGAGAGGGCCACGGTTGTGAGACTGCTATCGTCGTTCATCATGTTGGAATCACAGTCGGTGCGTGAGCTGCTGAGGCTGGACTGGTCCATGGGAGAGAGATCCGAGTCCATGCTGAGCATCTGAGAATAGGAGAAGGGTCCGGTGGTGTAGAGGTCTCCTGAGAGGGTGGTTTGCGCCTCGGGAGATTGCTGCTGAGAGGAGGCATTCGAGTGCTCGCGATGACTCGAAGAGCGTAGGTAGGCCAGTGAGCCCACGTCCGTGTCCATGTTGGCCGAGTACTTTTGCAGAGGAGCTGAGGTTGTGGTTGAGCTGAGGGGCATGGTGGTGAAATCCATCTCATGCCACCCACGGTAATCGACTGAGTCGGGATCAACAATGGTGGCTAGTTGGGGTTGGCCACCGTGGAAACTGTGCTGCTTATGAAAGTCATGAGAGACATCATGCTGCCGGTAGGCGGTACGGAAAGGCATTGTTTCAACGGCTGGGTGTTCCGTCCCAGATCAGGACGCTTAGACTTTGGGTGAGACAGGAATCCAACCTCTGGTCCGCTGACCGCAACCGCTCGATTGGTCTGTCGAAGGCTCTGAGACCACTGTGTGGGCAGGCGTCTAGCAAACTCTGAGCCGTACAGAGAGAGCAGTGAGCTGATCGACGGTAATACTGGGAAGGCTGTGTTCTGGGCTGGTATGCAAGGAGGGAGAGTGTCAGACCACGAGGTCGAAGATCAAAGCTGTGTTGTGGAGTTGAGTCTGTAGTTGTAAGGTGACCGAGGGCGCTCTGGGCGGTTGGGCAGTATGGGAACACGGCACAAAGGTGGACAGGGGACGGAGGTTGGCGTGCAGCCGAAGCGTGGGACGGGAAGACGTGGATTGCTGATTGCTGGATTGGGAGCGCGGGCGAGGACGAAAAGCGCAGGTCACACCACGCAGCGGCCACGATGTATTGCCAAGAGAGCCACCGTATCATACCTGCCAATGAGAGACGCAGGAGCCACGCGCTAAGTCACGTGGGGTAAAATTGTGACAGTACGCGAGGATCCAGAGGCCGGCCTAGCCCCCGGAGAGGCGCTGCACACAGACCCGGGGGCAGGAGACTGTTTTGATGTGACGGTAATGACGATATTGCCGCACCTGGAATGTGTGTACTGATGCCGTAAATGACGTACCATAAAAAAGCCTGGTGGCCTGACCATCTTCCGGCTCTCTCTCTAGCGTCGTCCTGGTCGGTTTCGTCGATCGTCCACCCATCTCTCCCCATTCAAGTTTGGCTCTTCAGCCTTGTCGTCCCTCGATCGATGTGGCGGCAACTGGCCCTTAGGCTGGTGGTCCCCCGGAGCCCGCCGCGCTCAGGCTGTCGATCCGAAAGGTCTAGTCCTTTTGGACTGCTATGATGTGGTGTGGTGTGGTGATCTGCTCATCCAGCACCTGATAGTTTGTGCTGCTATACTGCTGACCTTTGCGCACAGTCTGGTGATGATGCACTGCCATACACCCTCAGGGCTCGAGGGATATTGCGTCTGTGCGGGACATTCTGGACGCCAGACACAGGTAGGATACAGGCATACGATTGTTTAAAAGCTCGTCAAAGTTCGAGGACTTCAGGTAGGCTTTCCAGATCTCCAACCCATTCGGACTTCACCATATCAGACGCGCACAATTCGAAGCAATTGCAATTGCAATCACACTCAATCAACCCAACTAAACACACATCACACTCCGCACTCCAAAACACCATCCCACCCATCACAATGAACGCTGCACGTCAACTCACTTCTCGCCGCTTTGCTTCGGCTATGGGCCCAAGGTTGACCAACCCTGCTCGATTCTCCTCCACCGTCACGGGTCACCAGATGAGTCCCAAGGATCGTCAGTTAATGCATGGTGTCTTTACCGCTGCCACCGTGGCCACTGTCGGAGGTGTCACATATGCCGTAAGTGTCCTCTGCCTTGTGCTGGAGATGCTCCCTATCGACTTGACTGCTTCACGCAAGAGGTCGTAGGTCGACAGCTCCTGACCTGCCCTAAGAGCTACGACTAATCTTCATTCTCTCTAGGCTACAAGATCTGGCTCCAGAGTGAACAACCGCTTCAGCAAGAGGGACTCGAGCCTTGACAGCTCCAAGTGGTTCCTGGAGGGCGCCGACGTCAACAAATGGCTTGCAAACCAAGGCAAAAACTAGACGGTCGGGTTTTCCCCAACAACGACGACGATGACGAACATTTGATGCCATCAGCTTGGGGTCTTTTGTCGTTAAGGGTAACGGGATATATAAGAGTGGATGGTTCCAGGACGTGGAACGCACATCTGCCACAATCCCCGGAGTTTGGTTGACACGGATTGACACATTATTAGCGGGGCTCGAGGCCCATGTTTATCTATACCGGTAACCACACCGGTAACCGCATACCCGAAGACGGAGCGGCAGATTAGAGCACAGAACTGTCAGATAACTTGTCAGTGGCATTGTCGGTCATGTTTGACCTTGACAATTTGCTTTAATATATCAATAGTACATATTCAATCTGGGTATCTTCGGCCATCTATTGAAATGAAAATTCGACAGTACCAGTCCAACCCAACACGGTTGCTTTTTTTTTGGTAGCTCGGCCATCTAGAGGTCAAAAACATCCATTGGGAATTCGTAACCCATCCTCGAGCCCTGACTGTCCACCCAACGCCCCGGCTCAAAAGGAAAACCCACAAAGTCGTATGGTGAAAACAATCCGCCAAGAAGCAGATACGAAGCTGAAATGCAGCCAAGGCCGTCACCGGGTCAGCTTGTCGGGATTTCACCGACCCAACTGCTCCCTCATGAGCGGCGTGAGAGGCCGTAGAGCCCACAAGTCCCCATCTGCTTCCTCGTCCTGTCCTCCTTCCCCGGAATACGATGTCGGACTGCCACATTCGGAGTGTACGCCGTGGCTCTCGTCGTCCGTCGAACTGTCGTCGCTCTCTGCCCCGGCGTCCATGTCGCTCCAATCACCATCATAACTGTCGTCATCACTATCTTCCTCGATTTCTCGACTGTTCCTTTCCATGAGCTTCAGCTGAGCTGTTGCGGCCGTGATGCTCGCCATTGTCGCCAATTGCACTTCGATAGCAGCCTGAAAATCTCGGAAGGAGGGCACCTGCTGTAGATAGGTCGAGAGCTCATTCGTTGGCACTTGCACTTGCACTTGTACTTGCACAGGCGACGGCCTCGCTTGGGGTTTTGTGAAGTCTTGCGTCCGCTCGTGAACTGAGCAGTGGCCTAGCATCCGTCGTAAGTTTGGAGTAGGTCCCGCCGACTCTGAGTCCAGCTTCCAGGCTGAGATGTAGGACAGTCTCGAAGCGGTTTGTTGAGTCATGTCTGCTCTCTCTTGCGGGTTGACAGCGAAGTAGAGAGGGTCGTGTGAGCATAGAGCCTTTGACGCGGTCATTGTAACCGGTGCCGGCATTGGATTTGACATAATAGGCTTGTGGAATGGTGAGGGGGTTTCCAATGGATTGAGTCAGGTGCACAGGAGTGAGGATGTGAGAATTGGAAGGGGGAGAGAGAGGGAAAAGCCAGCCTACTTGAAGTTCTTCTGGTCAAGGCAGCCACAGTCCACCAAATGATCAACCGTGAGTCTGGCCCAGGATACGAGCCTCTAGGCCACGCCGACTTATCATTCCAGTCAGCCACATCCACGTCAAGAGTGGAGCAGCATCAACCAGGGCGAGCAAAGCAAGAAAAAGGGGGGCAGAATGGTGTCTGGCGAAGGATCTGAGATGTGCGGCTGAGCGCATTCTGGGGAAGCGTGTGCTCCAAAGACTGCTGTACCTGGAGGGTGCGCCAAAGTGTATGGGAAGCACGGATCCTGCAGAAGAAGAAACGAGAGCACCAGCCAACAAGCGACACGCCATCGCTTGTGGTTTAGCACCATGCGAGCGGCCCTTTAACCTTGAGCAATCCCGGAGGAGCTGAGAAGCCAGAATGGGTGCCTGATGTTCGAAACTATTGAGCAGGGTCCAGGGTTGCTGCACTCTGGCCGGAAATGTCAAGGGCACATCAGACGGGGCGGCAGGTGATTGGAGGGGAGAGGGAAGGATGCCGGGGTGAGATGGCTAGTTGCCGAAGAAGGACAAAGAGATAGGAGAGAAGATGGGAGGGAGCTTCAAGGTGGTGGTGGTGGTGGTGGTGGTGGTGGTGGACGCCCACCGCGGGTTGGCCACAAAAGAACCGGCCTGGGTCGTGCAGTTAGAGTTCCGCTAGTCCCCATTGGGGCCTCGGCGTTATGACGCTATTCCGATCTGGGCCTAGTATCGGTTCCGCGGCTACGGACTTTGTCAAGGCCTCGAGGGCCAGCATCATTGCCCCTAATTTGAAGTGCTGCTGTTACGGCCTCCTGAGCCCCGGCTACGTCTCGCCAGTCAAGGAGTGCATGCTGTACGGATACTCCGTACACACACACACCATTTCTCTTCGCTCGCAGATTACCGGCAGAACGGACTCGTGGTAGCGGCGGGCTCGCCTGTGAGTGTGATCGATGATCGACTCGCATCGCTGCCGACTATTGCAAGCCACAGAGCCCAGCTATTTCCTTTAGAGGGGCACGGACGTCCCGATCCAGTGCGGACACTCCGGCCACAGATCACCGAAAGTTGTACGTACTACGCACAGACTCCAATTTTCCAACATGCTGGATTATTATTGTTCCCAGGCACATAGTTTTCACAGTGGCATTTTCACTTCTGCATCAGTGTTGGCCCCAATTTGGCGCTAAAGTGAACATCTCCTGCCGCTCCCAAAACTCCACCCGGGTGCATAACTGCGCTGTCTCTGCAGGTGCAAACCTCCTTGCTGCCCTGACGTGTCGCAGGTTGGGAGTGGGAGGTCTACCCTGAGCAACAGCAAAACATTTGGGCCTCTGGACCGGGGATGTGCAAATTGCATTGTGTCTCCTAGGGTCGTTCAATTGTCGTGTCACATGGGTTTTTTGCGAACGGTTCTAGAACTCTAAAGTACGACACTCACCCATGGACGAGGCTTGGGACTATCGGGAACAGCGTCTCTTACCGATCAAGCCGTGATAGCCCAGCCCGAAGACTTCGGCTACCCAGCCTGTGGCTTGATTTGGTGTTCTGGAATCGTTCCATTGTCGCGTGAAAACCAAGCCGGGGTACCTCGCAATTTGCCTGCCGCCCCTTTTAACAGAACAAGATTGTATGCGTAGACCCTCCAGCCAACAACAAAGCCACCATGAACCTTGTTTTGACGCACAATTCACTAAGCTCATCAACTTACTCTTTACTGACATACACAGACAGACGTCTCTTCCCAATATGACAGTGGAGACACAAGCGGGATCTTCAACCCTAAACCCCGGTAGAAGCTGCTGTCAATCAGGCTGTCAAGACCGACTAGCTTGAGCGCGATGACACCGATCAGCCTGCAGCCCAAAGGGGGCCTCACAATGCCAGCGACGGACAGTTAGCACCAGCGACCTTCATCTTCGTCACATGTCAGCATTCCACCCCGAACACCCAACTTGACGGGACGGGAAGTTGACAGCAGGTGGGACTTCACTTGACGGTCGGATAAATCAGCTGGACACTGGCACGATCAATGCACAGGCCAACTTGTCCCGCATACTTACTTGGTGGTGCCTAGCAAACCTTTTGTCTACATTCCCGGCGCTTGTCTCTAGAAGATCGCTCGGATGGTGTTTTATCCGCAGTTGTGTTGAGGCAGCCACGTCAAAATTGTTGCCAACATACAGAGTATGATACCCATGCATCCCTGTCAAAGACTTCGCTTCGATGCTGCGCGCCCCTTGCGGCGGTCTGAACTGGGCATCTCGTGTTGATGCCGTTTCTCTTACAGACCACGATCATCCAGTCGGACTACGAATGACGCTAATGGATACAACTAAGATTCCGATCAATCTAGTAAACACTCAGACCCATTTGCACTCGACGCGTTGGCGCGGAATTAAGTACTAGCAGGTCCATTCGAGAACCGTCGACCCAACTAGAACATCAACCATCAAACCGGTCTATCAACAGATGGTATAGTAGGAAGTAATGACGCTGTTCAGCTTGATGACAACAAGACTACCTTACTTCGATAGATACTAATCGATCGTCTAGGAGGAGATGCGAATGGTGCGCGCCACAAATGCGATCCACAGCCGCAGGACCCGACGACTCTCCCGGTGAGACTGGCCCCATCCTGCTTGGGGACTGGAGAAAGGCTACTTCAGCGAGATTACCGAGGTCGAATGCATCTGGACATTGCTACTAGTGCGTTTGGAAGAAGTAGCGGTCCGTGTATCCCATCTCGCAGAGGCTGGGATTCTCACCCTGACCATTTGGACTTCCTCCCCCGTTCCTGATGCCAGATGGTCCTGAGGTCCCGAGAATATGGCGCTGTCAGATAGGCACGACGCACGAGAAGGCCTTCCCTTGCGTGCTGATGACCAAGTAACTGCCAGACCTGTCGGTTCGAGCTCGCGTCTTCACGCTCTACAGCTTGGCTGGCACACGGTAACCTGACCGCTGTCAGGAAGAGCAACACGTGCTCCGATCCCCTATGTATCTTCTAGAAGTATTTTGGCAGGCGACGAGTAACAGCTTAATGGCCTCTGCGACGACGTCGTCTGTGCAACCTCTGCCGAGATCATGGGGGACAATTCCATGAGCGAGCCCCAATACAATCTTGGGAGATGCGCCCGCAGTGATTCCACACCCCAATGCGAGAGCTTCCTCTCCCCTCGTTCGTCTCCATCGATTGGTCGCCTCCAGTATCTCCGTGCATCCGGTGAGCAACCAGCCCTATTGACACCAGAACACCTGTCACCTCCCAACCTCCAACGTTCTAGGTGGCGAGCATACCACAACATCATGGCGCTCGATCTCGGAGGCTGGTAGCCCCTCGAACAGCCTGCCGATTATGTCGGACCGGAGTTCATCCTCGTCGAAGGTCCCGAGCGTCTTTAGCACATTGTCATGGAGGACTGGATGCGAACTTATATCTACCCAGTCTTCGTGGGGGTTGTGTATTGAAGCTGTGTCGACGTTCCAGTAGGTACTATAGGCGGCCTAAGAAGCCTCTATAAGGAGCTCTCGTATAACGTTTTTACCGTCGTACGATACCGACTACTTAATAAGAAGTCGATTAACTCCGAAATAGGTGCGGTACGAAATGCGTGTCGAAATGGGTGCCCCGAGATATTCCTATGGAGATGAAGGGCAAAGAGCCATCACGTGAAACACGTGATCTTCCGGTCGGGACTTTGTTTGTATGCGGGGGCGGTGACTGGGTGGCAAACCGCCGCGCAGGCCCCAAAGACCTGCCCAACGACCTGACGACCCTTCTGTCCCATCATCTACTCCCCGTTTCACCATCACTCACATCTCTGCCTGCTGAGCGAGGACATCATGGCGGCATCAGGAGGCCATCTCCTGGTTCCAAAGGCCATGAGGCTCATCAGATACGCTGTCGAGAAGACGGGTCGACTCATCCGTGACAAACTGCCACAAGCATCCAAGCCCATAGAAGCTGAAGCCCAACCTGCCTATGCCCGCGTCTCTCAACGTCAACCAGCCAGTCGAGTTGCTGGCATTCGTCAGAGCCAGAGCCGCTGGTACAGCACCAAACATGCCACCAATGCCACCATCAGACACTTCTCCTCTCGGTCCGGAGCCAACGCTTCTCGAGCGTCCTATCCCTCTTCTCGGACGGGCTCTGCAGTTGCACGATCGACCGGTCGTGCACCTTTTGCGTCTACTCTTCGGCCAAATCTCACCGGCGGCACTTTGTGTCGTTCCGCAGGTGGCTATGGTCTCGGTGGTGGTCGTGTAGGGGGAGCAAGATACTTCTCACATTCGCCAGCTGCTCCCGCACAGGTGGTCAACAATGTCTCGCAGGCCGTTCGAGCGTTTTGGCTGTCAGGCCAAAAAGCCCGATTTGATGGTACACACCCTCGCACAGGGGAGAAGCGCTTCCGTGCTATGTCTAGCCTCCAAGATGAAGCAAAGCATATGATGGACTCGTCTCCCGTCAATGCCCCAGGGTCGTTCCTCGACTTCAAGGTTTCCCCCACCATCACCGCTGTCGGGCCCCTGAGCGGCGTTCCTCGCTCTGCCTGCGCCGATTCCTGCGATTATGAGCTGCACCATGATACTCTAAACAATACCACTTTGATGTCCAATCTCTCAGTCGACTTCGCTCGTGCTCTCAAAGACTTGGCCGCCATAATGAACGACCTCAAACACCTAGCAGTTCTGGGGGATCTCCCAATATCCCTGGAAAACAAGTCGACTCTAAGAGTCCGCTTCCCAGGCTGTGATGCAGACACCCTAGAGAATCTGTGTCGTGAACTGAACATCAAGCGTGGAATTGTTGGTCAAGACGAGGATTTCGACGCTCATAACGGGACTGATCTTGCTCTGCTCTTCCCCTTTGCACCAAGCAAGACCGCCAGTGAAGTCTGCATCGATTTCCACTACGACAGCAGGGCCACGAAGCGGATCAAGCGAGACCGCATTGAATGGCACGAAATGCTTTCCCCACCGCCACAGCCGTCAGCAGGCTTTTCGCACGTTTCCGCCACCAGCCAATCAGCCGATGCGTTTGAGATGGTCGGTGAAGCCTTGGGGCAGAATCCTTGGATTTCGTCGCCGTCTGGATATTCCAGTATCCACGAGAGTGAGTCGGCAGGGGATGACGACGCCGCCCTGTATTTTTTCCAGCCACGCAATGTTCCTGTGCGGGCCAGTCAGAAAACCTCTGCTGCTGGGAATGGTTATGAAGGACTCGAGGGCATCTATAGATTCATTGAGGAATGTGACCAGGCACAATCTTAGCAGGGCCGGTGGGAGGTGGAGGTGGCGAGCGTAGCTGTCGCCGGCGAGTGCAGCTTGAGGATTTAACATCCCGCGAGGGTTGGGTTGGGTTGGGTTGGGTTTTCTTGGTGACGATCGGATGACTATCATTACGGCGCGGTACAGGATGTGCCGCCCGACACCTATCTTTCTTTTGACTGTTTTATTGCAGAAAGAGCCACATTAGCGAGCCTCAGATTGACCGAATCCCTTATCATGTCTACTTGACCCATGGTTCACTCGTGTCCTGCTTGATCGTTGAATTTGCATGAACAATGCCCCATAACCATTAACCCCGAACCGCCTTGTCACATCACTGGCGTCTTTGTATACACAGACACATAGTCTGCGGTGTTAACGCCTGCTCGTCCCTCATCTCGCCGAGCCATCACCATTGGGGCCGTCGCTTTGATGCCCGCCATCAGCGTAGCTTGTCCTATACCTCAACTGTTGGTTCTCCTTGATAACCTCGTCTTTCTCGCGTTCCAAAGCCTCGATGCGCTCTTGTAGATCTTCCAGCTCGTCGTTGGCACCAGTGGAGAACTCCTCGATGATCTTGAAGATGCGCCACAGCCGAAAGACCACGACCAGCGAGCCAGCTTCCTCGAGAGGTCCGCGCAGAAGAACGTCGATGATAAAGGCTGCCAGGATGACCAGGGCATCGAACATGTGGAACTTAAAGCGGAAGTATCTAGACACGCGCGCCAGTCAACATCCTGATCTTGAAAGGTAGCAGGCGGGGCGGGACTAGAGAAGAAACCAGACGCGGAGGTTGCTATAGCCTGGACGTTCGCCTCCGCATATAGCAAGATATCAACTACAAGTCCACAACTGCAGGCACAAAGTGCTGGAATTCAGATTTATTGAGCGTTCCCCAAGCGGCTGTGACTGCTGGGACATCGGGCAGGGGAATTGGTACAGTCCTAACATCCATCTGTATGCGGATGGATCTGCCGAATGATGAAGGGACAAAAAAGAAAGCGGAACGACATACTCAAGCCCGAAAGCAAAGACGCTCCCCAGCAATTCGGCCATGAAGAGGCAGGAGAAGGCAAGGCTGATAAATCCCAAGACGTCGTTGGCCTTCTGCCAGGCGCGGAGATCGAAGCCCTTGTCACCCGCATGCTCGCAGATATGCAGGGAGATGAGGAAGTCGGCGAAGATGCAGCTGATATCCGCCGAGACGAGCAGGATGACAAAATAGTGGCCGTATTTGCTACTTAGGAAGCGCTGCAGGTGGCGTCGCAGGCTCCACACCCAGGACTCCTCGCCGTGAATCTTGACAATGTGGCAGGCGATGAAGTCGCGCGACTGCCGCAGCCGGTTCAGGTACAGTCGGTCAGAGGGCAGTAGCGGCGTGGATTCGTTGGATGGCGTCTGGGTCTGCGTCTCGGTATCGACGTCCGCCATTCTGGGCCTGATAGAAGTAGGTAGGAATCCCTAGGGGTAGGAAGAGTAGTAGTATTGGCGACTGCGAGGACTGAGGGAGAAGACGCGACGCCTCAACGGTGACAATACACAGGAAGTCGAGCGAAAGTGAATGGGAGATCTTCAACCTGCCGAGGCCGGCAGACCGCAGACCAGAGAGTAGAAAGTCAATCAAGGTCAAGGCCGGCGCGGATAGAGTACATGCGCCGCAGTGTCTGTCCTCAGAACTGAACTCAATGCTCTGCCCAGGTAGTAGGTAGTGATGACGGCAAGGACGCCTTACTTTTACTCTGTACTCGTACCCTACCTAGGTACGGAGTACGTACTCTGTATGGAGAGATCTACGGAGGATGGCCCGGCCAATGCGGTTCGCGCCTGCCCGTACTGACGTCACCTCGATTATGCTGACACCAAGGACTCTACTCCGTACAGAGTAGGTTTATAGAGTACTAGTACCACTGCCCCAGTCACACAGGTACAGACAGACAGCTATGGAATACGGATACACTACCCCAGAGTCTCTTCAGCCTTGCTCTGTATAATTCAAAAGATGATGCTTGGGAGAAGACTGCTACATAACACGGGCCGGTCAACAGAATTTGGTAACAACTCGAGCGTGGGTACCAGACTATCGGCGGCCCGACGAAGACGAAGAAGAACACATATTGGCAATGGCTGGAACTTTGCGCGTATTTATTTCGGAACCCGGTCTGGGTCTAGTCTACGATTCATCTTCAGCCCTCTCAAGGTCTAACAAGGGCACATTTAACTCGGCCGTTCCCTTTTCGGCTCGTCTTTGGCGGAGCCGCCTCCTCAGGAATAGACAGCCTTTCCTGAATGTGAACGCTGCCAAAAAGATAATCGCCGCCAAGACAACGATGGTGAAGACGACGACTACCCACGGGTTGTGTCCATGGAGGCAGCACCCATACAGAGACAGGTAGAAGCCAACGAGAGCCTTCATCAGATTCCTCTCCGGGGGCTCATCTGGCACCAGTCCTTTCCGGACAAGATGCTTGAACTTCGGTCCTGTAGGCCCGTTATCATACTTCTTCAGCCCAAAGTAAGGGACGGTCTTCTGGCGAGGGTCGGAATCCTTGTATTTCTTGTCGCCCCACGCGCCCTCGAAATGGAACCAGTCGGTCGGATAGGTGCCCGGATCTGCTGGGGTGAGGACGTCTGTTGCAGGATCGTACTTGTAGAAGTAAGCCAATGGAATAGGATCCCAGCGGCGACCTTTGTCCGCAATGTCTACAAGGGCCTCGTCGTGTGTATGGTTCCTGTCCGGTTTAGTTTTCAGGAGGGAAGTCCTTGACGTAGGTGGTGCATGAGTGTGCTTACCCTTCAGTAGGATAGTTTGCATGCGAGCCTCTGGCGCTGAAAACGACCGGCTGCGAGAGATTCAGCATGGGCAAATCGAAACGTAGACAAACATATCGAATCACTTACTCTATCACCGTCTTTAGACACGCAACTTCCGTCATCCCATTTGCAGGCCTGGCCACTGCCGTGTTGACTAAAGTAGATGCCCGTTGGCTTGCCGTTCTTGAATCGGATCATGTTGTGCTCCCTTGACCAGGCCCAGGTTAGTTACGATAGAGGTAGAGGACACAGGATTCCAGGAAGGGTACTCTACCAGTCACCCACGTGGTCTCCGAAATGATCCCCGGGTCTACCATCTGGGAAGATCCTGTTCAAGGGAGGCAGCACTTGGGTGATGTCTGCGCCTTCATTGAAGGAGTAGAAGTAGAAGTAAAACGCATCAACTTCTTGTTCGGCCTTCTCAATCACCACCACGGCACAGGCAGTAGAGTTATGGAGGGCCCCTGCTGCGTCTGGTGTTTCGCCCAGAAACCAGTCTGGGTTGCTGGTGACATTCTCAATGGCGGTCAGGTAGACAGCTTTGCCGTACTGGTTGAGAGATGAAAGGGTGTCTAGATCCAATGCTGGCACGTCGGGGATAGGCTCGAAGTTGCGGAACGGGATGGTGTGCAAGACGTGAGTGAGAATATCACTCGGCATAAAAGGGTCATCTGAATGTAACCAGATGATCGGAGCTGGTGTGGAAGCATGATTGATCAGCCAGGTCCCTAGAAGATGTAACAACGGGGCCTAGGAGGGCCTCAATGCATGCCGCCCTGCTAGACAACGCGATCAGGAATGCCTTCAACTAGCCACCTACCATAGTCTGTCACGTATTCGGGGACGGTATAGCCGATGGCAAATGGTAGAAGCACCGACAGGAGCAGAAAGCTGCTGGCCCAACCTGCGCGTAAGCGTACACTCATCCTGTCACGTCCCAGTGATAGACCCTCCTAAGCACTCCTCGCAGGTCCTGCTAATAGCCCCTTTGCCAGCGCCGGTCTATTCGAGACATGGTTTACGCGTACCTCGCATCTCTCAGCAGCAGATCAGGAACCAGGAACCAGGGACCCCGGAAGATGGCGGGACCGAGGATTTAAATCTACGCAAGTGCACGGTTCGATCGACCGTATGCGCCTGACTCAGTACGGAGTACTCCGTCACGGTAGTACTGTTTAGCTACTGCGGAGTAGTATGGAATATGTGTATATCAACTCCTCCAAGGCTCTGGCCACCTCGGTGATCCCTAACAGACCTTCTTCCTGTCAGTTTGTACCCTGTCTCACTAGAACTACAGGGGTGAAGAGTGCCTTGTTCTCTACCTAGTATCATAGGGGTCTGGGGGACGCCCTGACTACTAGGATATAGAATAAATAGTGGAGACTTGTAGATGAGGCTGGGGAATGCTCCCCAATATTTGACAGTCTCATGGTCTCAGACTCCGCCTCTACAGGTGTCGAGAACGACTCAAGTGAATGTGGGTGCAGGTTGAATGCGCAACATGGCTCGTGTCGCAGTTGCAGGCGCTGCTGTGTATCTCCAACCCCAAGGTGGGTAGGTACCTAGGTAACTTGAATGGAGCAAATAAATATTAAGATTGGTGGTGAGGAGTACTCCAGATAGGGGAGTACTCCTCAGCTATATAGGCCTGACTAGACAAAGGATACAAAGGGCGTACTGCAAACGGGTAAAGTATGTGGTGGTGTCCGCAAACGAACAAGGTACCTAGGCAAGTCCATCGTGACTGCACTCCCGAGCAATGGAAAGCACGAGGTGGTGATTCTGTCCAGCTCAAGTAGAAAGTCACTCCAAAGCCGAGTATGCAAGCCACAGCTTTGGTACATCTCTTCTACTGCATCACATTCTCTTATCGTCCCGGACCGCATCGTTTGATCCATTCGTTCTACAGCACCAAACTCTCTTGTCGTCTCGGAGTGCGTCGTTTGTCATGGATTCTTGGGACACCTGGGACTTTCTGATTCTGGGGTTTGCCATATCTTTGTCGGTCTCGATCATCGTCCTTTACCTCTTTCGAAGCTCGATTCGGGAGCTCAGACACAATTGGCGTCCTCAAACTGCCGAAACTCCTCAAGTTCTTCAAACTCTCCCGAAATAGGCACTAGAACCACCTCCAACGGCATGCGCAAGCCTCTCTGGTTGTCTAGACCTTCTGTCGGCACGCTTTGCCATTCCGCAGGTAAGTATTGATCCGCTTCATATGCAATCTATACATACTGACTAGCAAAGCGGGCATAGAGCCACTCTACTCGTCGTTCAACTATCCTTAAAGCAGGGCCAGTTAGCCGCGCCTCTCGTTTCGCCCGCTAGGGCTTTCATTTGGGGACTGGTATTTCACTCCAAGGCGCGACGTGTTACGCCACATCATTATGGACAGCAATGCAAAGAAATGGATTGAAGAACAGTGTTTAGAGCCGTCTGAGGGCTGCAAAATGCTTACAAACTACACAGAAGAGCAAGACTACTGGCGGAGGCATTCAGGGTCTCCAATCCCTAGGAGACGGCAGAATTCCACCAGTGGCAGAGGAGCAGTGTACGTAGCGGACGCTTGTTACCACAACTAGGTACATTTCATGTTCTGCAGTGCTGCGTTGCTTTTTTTCGATTTGCCTCTTTGACTTCTCGCATGTTATGCAACAGAAGATTTTTCGTGCTGGCTCATGCATGTCAGTGTCTCTAAAGGGGTCCCACTTGGTGCCACAACTGGAACCTGGATAACAGTAGGGAATCGGGATCTGTTACAGAAAGAATATGGCCTTCTCAGACCTAGTATCGGTGCCATTATTTTAGGGAGTGTGCCACCGGACAAGTACTCGGTGGAGAGAGCAATGCCGTGTACGAAGTACAGTATGTCGAGCGTAATGATCCCGGACAAGCAAGAAACAGAGTTTCAATTCGTCTCGCTGGAGAAGCTTGAATGGGGTGTATATCATGTATGCTCTATTACTCTCTTCCTCTTCGTCTCGCTTCGCCCGCAGGCAATGTAATATATAGTCCTCCGTATACCTTATACAGTGGGTGGCTTAGAGCCAAGGCCCCAAGCCACATGCCCGCTCAGGGGCGTGAGAGAATATGAGTACCCTATTATACTCCGGGTCGGTTCAAATCCGACTTTGCCCCCATTACCACAAGTTAGCATTATTGTTGCACATTTGACACTTCTGTCTCGTCTCTTCATAACAGCGTAGGAGCCTCCACCGGGGCAATGTTGATTTGGCCGGCATACAACATGAAACAACGCATACCGATGGTAAGATGGGAAGTTGTATTAACTGTCTCCGGGTATTGAATGTCGCCGTACACCTTCCAGCCTCGTTCCGCCCGTCCGGATCCGTTCATGCGGCGCTGGGTAGGAGCAGGCGATGTTTTCATGCTCACACAGGCCGGGGGCATACAGGCTTTGGCGTCTTACTGTCAGGATGCAGAGAGCCCCCAGTTGCTTTGGTGAGCTCCATATGCCTGAAGACCATGCGGGCGGTCATGAAGTCAAAATAGGTGGGCGGGTACCATCATTCATGCAATAGGGTTTCATGTGTCCCGGAGACTTTTGTCTAGCCTTTGACTTTCTGTTAAACACATCTTGTCAACCACACATCAAGCAAGACTTTCATCCGTGTGCAGGTTTGGAGTGGCCGTTCTTCTCCTTGGCGGTCTTGATATTGGCAAACATCAAGGCGAGCAAGCCAACGCCAATCACCACCACACTCGCAACTGCGACTGCGACAAGCCCCCAATGTAAGATACCCAATCTCTGCTTCCTCATGAAGATCAGGATCACAGCTGCCATGACACATGCCTCGGCGAAGATGACACCCGCGACCACGCCAGCATCAACTTCGACAAATGCCTTTCTACGGCCCGTCGCCAGAAGTATGCCTGACATGACCAGGAGGACATAGGCAATGGCCAGCAACCCGCTGTAGAAAAAGAACAGTGTCCGTTCGAGGGCTCGTTGTCGAGGGCTAAGCAGCTGGTGGGGCCGGTAGACGCCGGAATTCTGTCTTTGGGAACGATCCCTTCGTCGTCGACCTTTGTGAGGCCGTTGCCGCTGCGGCATGATCACAGAGTCAGTATCGGAGCTCGAGGACTCGGGATCACCCTCACTACTTTGCCGGTCAGCGAGAAGTGGTGCACGTTCGCCGTCAGTCCTATATCCCATGCGCGTTGAGACAAGTGGTAGCCAGGAAATCATTTTTCCGGTGCCTCTGCTAAAACTATCGCACACAGCACCAAATGCCTTGGAAACGGTCTCGGCACCGGGAAATACAGGCCCATTTGGATCAATGTAGATGACATACTCATCGCCTGGATTCACATCTGAGTCTCCGTCATCGAATTCGTTCCAGTACTTGGTGGGAGGTTCACGTTCCGGGACTTGGATCCGTGCGTGCTTCTTTCGTCGACCCTTGATCGTTTCAGGCTTTGGCTGTGCGGTAGCGGAAGGTCCACGATTGCGACCACCGTCGTCCGACGTCACAGAAGACGGGCCACCAGCCAAACCTGAGAAGATACTATCCGGAGGGCCATCGCTGGACGACGGACCCGAGGACGAACCAACAACGTCCGATGCACTTAGCCTGGTCCGTGCCAATATTCCCGGTCGCGATATGCGAGGAACGATTGGTACTTTCCTGATGTCTTTTTCGAGAAGAGGACGCCATGACGGTTGGGGAAGTTCTTTTTGGACGGTATAAATCGCCATGTCTTCGAGGGTAAAGTCGAAAACTCGCTCCACCAAATGCGACTCATCGAACGCCCGAACAACGGCTGGTGTCCGCGCGAACTCCCAGCGTATGTGTAGAACGGCATAGGGAAAGGCATAACCAATGTGGGACTGAGGCTGCGGTTCACCCAGTTGGGAAATATCGACAGGAGCAACTGTCACGGCGGTATCTAGCATTGCCCAATTTGCAACCTCGGCCGTGTTGGTCATCCCAACGTAGCGGGAGCGATGCAGGGAGACTTCGGCGAGTGGTTTAATGTCCCTATGCTCAATCAGATAGTTTCGAACAGTGCAGGCCTCGTTTGAAATCCCGGAAGCCGCCGAGTCACGCTGTAGTGCTCTGGCCAGCTCTTTACGACTGAAAATGACAGTTGTCCCATCAGAAGAAGTAGGCGAAAGACCAGCGAGGGTGACGACGGCTTCAGGGTCGCGGCTCCAACTTGCACTCAAGGCGATCCGCGCCGGCTTTGAGTGGCTGGCATCTTTGATGAATCTTTGCGCATTGTCGTATAGGGCCATATGGCTGAGAGCCGAGTTGGCATTAGACAAGGAAGCAACCTTTCTCCGCACGTCCTCAGAAGCGGTGGAAGTTCTTCTTGAATGGGGGCGTGACCCAGCAGGATCGCGCATGTGCCTGAGCAGTAGCATACGGGCTTCGTCCAGATTATCAGGATGGATCCAATAGAACGCGCTGCCAGCGGCCTCACCATAGGGCTCTGTTAGAACGGCTGCATCAAAAGCAAGAGGATCACAGAGAAGAGCACCCTCGATTTGAGCAATGGCCGACTTCTTTGCCCTTGTGGAAGTTTGTTCCTGCTGCAGTCTATTGGGGAGATTTTCTCGAGACCGACCAGTCAGCATGGGGCCGGCAAGCTCCTGGGTTAGGATGGTCTTGACCTCTGACAATTGTCGTAGATAGTCCGAAAAGTCTGTTCGCAGTTTGCCGGAAGAGAAGACCTCAACTTCCAATCGGGTTTGTAGCGAGGTCGAGCCAGTCCATTTGCGATATTTCTTCAAGATCTTCCGGAAAGCGGTTCGCTGGACGGCAGCGAAGCGGGCAAGGTTTTGTATCTCATCGCCGATTTCTTCAATGTCCTTCACGAGCTGCCGATATCTGCGTGCTTGTAGTATAGGTTTGTCCAGTGCATTGCCTTGCACGGCGCGTCGTGCTATGCCAACCTGCTTTTCAACGTGGGCAAGACGTCGCTCGATTTCGCCCTGCTTGCTTCGCAGGAAGAGGGTGACATTGTCGTATTCTGCGGACAGCAGCTTGAACAGTTGATTCTCCAACTCTTCCCACCGCGACTTTCCTTGGGCTGGGATATCGCGGGGAACGGCGACCCCGGCAGAGGTCCTCTCTTTGATGAGATTTTTGATTTCATTATAATTGACGTTGTAGGCAGCCCATTTTGGTACGGACCTCTGGAAGAGGGTCTCGCCAAACTTCATTTGCGGGGTTGCGAGCTATCTCCGGTGCAGTTCTGGACGTCACAGGATATTCCGGCGCGGAGGAAGAGGATATTCTGGGTCGGCGTAGAGGGAGGACTGACCGGAGGAAGCCGGCGGCTGCTTATATTAGTGACCATGCAACAGTGGCGAGGATGAGAAGAGGTAGATAATCAGGTGTTTGGAAGAAGGCGATGATGCACATGGGAAAAGGCCGTTATGATCACGAAAGAAGCTACATACATACCAGAGGCAGCGCCAATGCAGCTGTTGCTCTAGCCTGAGCCTGGGGCGGAGGCAGGGGCGGAGGCACCTATCCGTCCTGTAATCTGCTCATTCGGGTCAAGAAGCAACGCTAGACCAGGGACCATGGAGGGGTGTAGGGGGGGGTTCGCACCTGGATCGCCACAGCCCAGACAACTACCGACAGTTCACTACTCATTACTTGCATATTCGAAGTCTATAGGTGTGTATACGGAGTACAGAGTACAGAGTACAGAGTTCAGTACGGCTATTAGTCTCGTGCTGCAGAAACTCCTGCCTCGACGTGAAATCGGCAAGGATAAGGACCACGATCCCTCGCTTGTACGCAGTATCCGTATTCATTCTTGAAACCTGCCTACTTGGCAGACAGATAGCAGCGTTGCACAGCCCCCATGAAACCTGTATTCTGCCAACAGCGCATCCACTGCACTGGAAACTAGAACAGTTTTTTCCTTGATGGATTCATTTTGCCTGGTTTTTTTTTCTACTCGTGGGTGGATCACCACTGCAAAATGATGGAAACTGCAAGCATCGGCTGAGGGTGCCTCAAGCTTGCACGTGAAAGTTACTGCACTTTTTTTTGTTACTCCACCTGGACAGCGTCGACTGGGATTTCAGCTTGTAGTAGGCACCCCGGAAGCGCCTGGGGCCCTGGGTGGGCTGGCAAGCTACATATGTACGGATACCATTCCCTACCTACCAAGTACCCAGGTGTCTGGTGGGTGTCTGGTTGTCAGCTTGCAGGCTTAAGAGGCCTAAGGCTAGGGGGCTCCTTAGGCTTGAGCTGACCCCGGCCCAAGCCGCCTTTGCTATTATTGGCTGCAGACCAACGACCAACGACCAACGACCAACGTCAGCGAAGGAAAAAAAATATTCTCCGCAGGCCTAGCCTTCCGGGTGCAATTCGACACCATCACCAGATTGCGACGTACCAGAAGAGACTGCCAGTCTCGTGCACCAAGCAGAGAACGTCTCAGCAATCATGGCTGTCGTTGTCAATGCCATCTCTGGTATCGAACCCCTGCTTGCGGAGCTCGCGACGTCTTCGCATATCTTCCTGCAGCCGCCATCCTCCCTCCATCTCGACACGTTAGCCTCTGTCAAGAATATCCTTGATCCCTTGGCCTCAAATGTTGCAGACGCGCAAAGATCAAGGCGGGATGAAAACAGGAAGAAAAGGAAACGGAGTGATGTTGAGCGTGAAGAGGATGTTCTACAACTCCGTCAGGTATACACAAGTGGGCTGGGAGTGAAACAGGTGTGGGAACAGGCGAGAAGAGTCCTCGACGCTGCATGCTCCGAGATCGAGAGGGATCTCGGAGCTCAGCACAGTGGAGCGCAGACAAACGTGGAAGATACAAGTGGCCTGAACGGCCAACTGACGGTGGACAACGAGGATGACTCTCTCGACGACGAACATGACGAAGAGGATCTTTCAGACAACGAGCTCTTTGACGAGGGTGACCTCCAAGGTGAATACGACGGCTTTGAAGATGAGATCGAAGACATTGCAGAGGAAGACATTGGAGGGGAAGATTCCGAGGCCCTGGATTCTGCTTCGGGCTCTGAAACACAGGATCCAGCAACCTACGTTCAAGACCCCAACAATCTGAACGATGGCTTCTTTTCCATTGATGACTTCAACCGACAGACACAATTCCTTGAGCAGTTGGACGCCTTGGGAGAGGATGATAACCCGAGCGATGAAGATGAAATTGATTGGGATGCCGACCCTTCATCGATACCCTATCGCAAATCTAATAATGACCACGACGAGATGTCCGACCCAGATGGTGCGTCTGACGAAGAGGACGGTCCCACATTCGGTAATGCCGATCTGAACGCCGACGACAGTGACGAAGATATGTCTGACGACGAGGCCAACAATGTTGGGAATGCTCTCCCCGGGTTGGAAAACACCAATGAAATTCGATACGCCGACTTTTTCGCACCTCCACCCAAAAAGCTGTCTAAGACCAAACGCATGCGAGCTCTGCCCAAGACACAGCCTCCGCCTCAACGCCGACCGGAGGACGATAAGGACATTGAGGAGGCCATGCAACGAGCAATTTCTGATGCGCGGCGCGACCTGCTTGAATCCGATGAAGAACTTTCCGATCTCGAATCCGGGTCCGATGTAGACGTTACGAGGCCATCAATGAAGAACATGTCGACACATGAAAAACAACGTGCTGCTATTGCAGCTGAAATCCGTCGCCTCGAAGCTGCAAACGTAGCGAAACGTGATTGGACCTTGTCAGGAGAGGCACGAGCCGCGGACCGGCCGCTCAACTCGCTGATTGAAGAAGATCTTGAGTTTGAACGACTTGGCAAGCCTGTGCCGGTGATTACAACCGAGGTTTCCGAAGAAATCGAACAACTTATTAAACGACGCATCCTTGCTAGAGAGTTTGACGAAGTTGTCCGCCGGCGGCCGGATGCCATTGGCACCGCGAACGAAACCCGCCGTGGACGTATTGAAGTGGACGACACGAAGCCACAATCCGGCCTTGCAGAGGTCTATGAACAGGAACATCTGCGCTCCACAGATCCCGGATACGTCGACAAACGATCAGCCGCCACCAAGAAACAACACGAAGAAATCTCGAGGCTCTGGAAAGAGGTCTCGAGTCAACTGGACTTGTTGAGCAATCTGCATTTCAAGCCGAAGCGCGTCGAGGCCGAGATCAAGACTGTCCAAGACAAGCCCACTATCAGCATGGAAGACGCCCGGCCCGTCGGCCTAGGTGCCAATGCCGAGGAGAGCATGCTCGCTCCTCAGGAGGTGTATCGCCCGGGCGAGGAGAGGGCTGACCGTGATCTGGTGGTGCGCAAGAGTGGAGTGAGCGTCAATAAAGACGAGATGACCAGGGAAGAGAAGCTACGGCGCCGGAGGAGGGAGAAGGAGCGGATGAAGAAAGCCCAAGACCAAAGCAAGACTCTGGCCACAGGCTCGACTGCGTCGGGGCCGGGCCCCTCTCGCAAAAAGAAGTCGGACCAGGAGAAAGCTGATATCCTCACCGAGCTGCGCAAGGGCAATGTCAAGGTCATCGACAAGAAAGGAGAGCTACAGGACCTCGGAGGCAAGAAGAGTAAGAGGGCCGATCGTGCCGCTGCCGTGGAATCCAGTGCCGGCGCATTGAAGCTATAGCACAGGCGCCGGTTGAACCTGAAGGAATGACCGCTGTCGTCGCCATAGCCACAGCCATAGCCATAGCCCGAGCCTGAGCCCGAGCCTCACAGCTGACTGGCGAGCCGGCCTGCTCGTACTTTGGGTACTACAGTCAAAGGAGAGCTTGGGTAGAATCCGAGTTTGATTCGAGTCTCAGGTGCTTTCCACACACGTAGTGTAAGTGTACATAAGCACATGTACCCATCGAGCGACGCAACAGCGCGCCAATTAATCCTCAACTTAACACCATGGGAGCTGGAATTAGCTCTTTATCTCGCGAGATATGCACTCAAGTCGGCTCCGCTCCATCCTACGTACGCAGCGAGAGGCGGAGGGCTTGTCGACTTCTTTAACGAAGGAGCTGAGGATTTGTTGTCCAAAAGTAGGCTTCGTGACAGTACAAGAACAGCCAGGGCGGAGGTGTCATCGTGTGTAAGCGCCCAATACAATATCCGTACATGTAATTGGATTGATCGTCAATCTATATATATAGAAATATATATCATACATAGTGTCCCAGTCTGCTGGTGTCCAACAGAACATTCCGGCAATATGACGCAGTTATGTCCTGTAGACCTGATATTAGACCCGTGACCTGACTGTAGCGCTGCTGGTCATAATGGCAGGCTATCGACGTACAGTGCAAATCGGTTTGGATCATGCCCTCCCTGCTCAGATGATGCCGGTATACATGGATGGGCTATCCAGGAATGTAGATGTCGAATACAGAAGAGACCTTCATAGACGTAAATCAAGTAGACTGCGGAGGCGCCTGGACGTTGCCCTCATGTTCAGTGGCAGGATATCCTGTGGAGAGTCCGACCAGTGCGCCCACTTAAGGGCGCAGCGTGTGCAATATGCTGTCGTCGTAGTAGGAATGGTACCAAACGCTGTCGGAACATCCCTTTATATTGGGAGGCCTCCTGCGGCACCCACAATCTTCAGACTAGACTTCCCCTGTCGTGTCTCTTCAATCTGAGTATACGCCAACCAATATCGATTGGGATGCCATTCGACGGCGGGGATGCCGCTTGTTCCCGTCGCAATGGTATGGACAACATCGCCCGTCTCGGCGTGATATATGTCGATCCCGGAACTCAACCCGTCGCCACCGCCTGAGCCCGTTTCCTCACTGGCACCGATCACGTAGCGCCCGTCCCAGGACCAACTAAGCCCTCTGATGGCACCTGAACTGGGGTTTGACATCGTCCGTCGGCACACCCAGTCCCTCGTGTCCCAGAGGGAAATCATGGCATCAGAGCCACCCACGGCAACATACTTTCCGTTCGGACAATAGGCGATGGCGGTGCAAGAGGAGGTGTGGGCGGAAATATTATGCAGAGGCTGAAAAGAGGGGAAATCGAGGATCTTAACGGATCCGTCGCCTTGGGTTATGAGCAGGTCAGTAGGAGGGTATGCGTTGGAGAAAGTGGTCTGGTTCGTCTGGAGCGTCTGCTTGTGTCGCGAAAGGATGACCGGGGAGGAGGGTATGGCAGTCGAGATGGGGATGAGGACGTCGCCCTGGGCCAGCGGTCAGCTGCGGTGCCAAATCCGGATAGGAGGTCCCTCAACCCAACACACCTTTGTCCCTGCGAGTAAAGTGCTCCCATCGGTACTCCAACTCAAGGTAAAGGGTTCACCGCCAACCTCGAGCTTCGTCACACACGTCTTGCTCCGGGTATCCCAGAATCGTACCGTGCCGTCCGAAGAGCAGCTCGCCAATTCGAACTCGCGAGCAGGATTGAATAAGACCTTTTCCACGGCATGTCCGTGCCCTCTCAGCTCTGTCTGGCTCCGCGGGCTGGTCCTTTCAGGATTCCATACACGGACTGTTTTGTCGTTGGCACCGGTTGCGATCAGACCTCCGGACGCGTTCCATGAGATTGTGCGGTGGCTGCGCGCGTCAAATAGGAGATCAGCCCGGAATGTTGGAGGAGTGTGGGTTGAATTCGTTCGACAGAGAGATCGAATGAATTCAAGTAGTGATTACGTACATGGTCGGCGTGACGGTTCGAGTGGAGGGGTCGGTGTACTGCTGAGTCTTGAGGAGACTGAATTGCGCCCCAAACTTGTCGCGGCCGAGATGCTTGCGCTGGCTGATGGGAGCCATCTCGGAGACGATCCCCGACAGCCTTATGTTGCTATACTCGGTGGTGTATCAATTCGGCGTAGGCCATTGTCCACGCCGAGGGTGAAAGTGTGGTGGTTAACTGCCCTCGTCTTTTTGGTCAAGGAAAGTAGAAGACACCACCAAAACCAAAACTGCGTTCGAGCCCTATCTGCTCCCCGCTTTGGTATATCACGTGATCGACTAGTAACGGTGAGGCGTATCAGGCCGCGATACAGAGTACTCTGCTTCCAATTCCAGGAAACTCATTGACACTTCACTTCGCCTTTGGCATTCCTACAAAACTTGCGACAGCGTCGCACATTGCTCGTCTTTGCACATCGTGAGGGCAGTTGGTACATGTGCCTACAATGATGGAAGACTTTCAGTCGGAAACTGACAGTGACTACACGAGTTACTGGCGGGACTGGGTACGTTTGCGCTCCCCGCTGGTTCTAGTTCACTCATAATTCCCCATTTGCGATGTATATGTGTTGGAAGGACAAGGAAATTGCAATTGCGGCTCTAAATGTCCCATGGAAAAGGGCTGGAAGATTCCTCAACCTTCTGTTTCCAAGGCTTCATTCAGGACGGAGAAATATCTCGCCATCCTACAAAATTGGTTTGACATAGCTGTCACGCCCATGTACTAACCAATGTGTTGGATATCAGTTTATTTCCTCGCGCGGTAATGAATACTTCTGTGAGATCGATGAGGAATACATCACGGACCGGTTCAACTTGACAGGACTCAACACCGAGGTGCACTACTACCAACATGCACTGGACCTGATCACAGACGTTTTCGACTTGGACTGCGACGACGACATGCGCGAGACGATCGAGAAATCTGCCCGTCACTTGTACGGCCTGGTGCACGCGCGGTACATTGTGACTACTCGCGGCCTCGCCAAGATGGTGGACAAGTTCAAGAGGTCCGACTTTGGCCGGTGCCCGCGTGTTCTCTGCGACAGCCATCCGCTGCTCCCGTTCGGACCGAGCGACAATCCGGGCCAGAAGAGCGTCAAGCTGTTCTGCGCCAAGTGCGAGGACATTTACAACCCAAAGTCGAGTCGGCATGCAGCCATTGACGGCGCGTACTTTGGCAGCTCGTTCCACAATATCTTGTTCCAGGTATACCCGGCCCTCGTACCGGTCAAGTCGCGGCGCCGCTACGAGCCCAAGGTCTTTGGCTTCAGAGTCCACGCAGCAGCAGCCCTGGCTAGGTGGCAGGACAGCGAGAGACGGGACATGCGCGCGAGGTTGAAGGAGGCCGGCGTTATAAGCGACAGCGCGCAGCTGTTTATCGAGGATGCGGACAGCAGCGATGGCGAAAGGGCCGAAGACGACGAGAACGAGATCGGAGACCACGGTGATCGGCGAATGCAAATATCCGCCGAGCAAGACGGAGGGGTGGAACTGCAGCGGACTGTGGCTCCAACTCAGCCTTTGAAATGACTTGGGCCTGGCGGGACGGGACGGGAAACAGGGATTATGCGACGGACGATTAATGAAGAAACAGAGCCCCAGGTGTGGTCGCGAGGGAGTGCTGGGTCTAGCCTTTGACCAGGATCTAGGCCATGGAGTTGTGGATGCTGGCTTGGAGGAGCTTCAAAGGGCCGTCATCTTTGTATTGCGGCTGTCACAGGCGAGAGCAGAGACGTGCAAAGGACCAGCCAAATGCCGGATGTTTCAATGAAATGAGATTCCTGTACATTATGTCATAAGCCGAAGCCCTTCTGCTTCGCAATCATGAATGCTCCTTTCTTCTGTGCTCTGTTTTTAGACTTCTAATCTCGCCTTCTCCTCTTGCCCTTCCTGCCGGTATCTTCCTGGCCCTCCACGTCTTCTTCGTCTTTACCCTTCTTAAGGTCGTCGGGTGCCAGACCCCATGCTTCGGCGTCGATCCAATCCTCCCCATCCGACAGTTCGCCTACATGGCCTTCCGTCCTGCACCATTCCCAGAGCTTCTCGCGCATCCTCTTAGCTTTGGTCAGTTTGCCCAGAACGGCTTCGTATGCGCGCACACTCTCTTCTTGCTTTTGAATGAACAACATCAACAGTCGGCGAGTCTCCATAAACTCTTCCACGGGCAGTCCAAGGCGCGATAGAATAGGAGGAACCCGCTGATTGGTCGCTAGTGTGGGAGGAAGCAAGAATAAAGGGTCGGCTCGAAGCAGGGAGGAGTCAATGGAAGAGGCAGTCGAGTCGGGTGACGACGGAGGAGTTGCTGCGGTGGATGTATTGTGCTCAGCAGCAAGCGCTCGCGTGATTCTCCGGGTTGGTTGTGTATATCCTTCATCGTCAGCATCGCCTTGTTCGTCTGCGTGGAGGTCCATCGTCTCAGACGTTTCATCTTTGGATCCCTTGGCATGCTCAAGTCGTGGCTCTTCCACAATGTCGCTTTGCGAAGAGGTATGATTTCCAGTGACATGAGCTCCATTTGTGGACGGTGGAGTCTCTGTTGTCGCGTCCGCCTGCTCCTGAGCAGATATTCCCAGCTCTCTGTTGTTTCCACTTGCCTCCTGGGATTGAATTCCTTCCAGCCCTGGCTGATTTGAAATGTGCGCGTCCAGAGTTTTGGTACCACTGGGCTCATCTTCAACAGCATGGCCGTGCCCGTTTATGCCATTTTGGGAGGTTTCGTGTTGGACTCCTCGTTTTCGCTTCTTGTTTGCATGCTGCTCCAGGGGCAACTTCGGTTTGGGTTCAAACATGTCCCAATCTTCGGGTCCCTCTACACTCTCAAGAGGCATCCAGGACTCATCGCCCATGAAACGTCTGTTCAGATTTTTGGCTCGCCAAAGATTGGCTCTCTCCTCTCGGAGTGTTTCTTCAGTCGATTTCACCAGATTGGGGAGGGCGCTGTCAAGAAATGGGAGAGACAAGGTAGGGTGTGTCGCGAGTTCGGCAGGGTGTTTCAGAGGACATAACAACTCTACATAAGTCTAGTCAGCAACCAGTCAACAGGCTGATGAGAAATCACCCTCATACCTTCGATTCGAACGCCGCTGTAAGGGTTCTCGTCCTCGGCATCTGCGTCTGCCTCTGTATCGCTTTCGCTGTCATCCAATTCGTCCCCGTACTCGTTGTACCGCCGTGGATTCCGCTCGAGGATATAGCGGGTATAGCCCGCATGTTCAATCTTCTGTAGATTTTGTGAGCTTCTCGTCCTCACCCCGCTTCGCATCCATGCACCCACCTGCTTATACCCGTCGGGGCCATGTGGGTATGGTAGAGCACCTGCGTGAACGTAGCTTGCGCCGCGTTTCAATTTATTGCCTCTATTGGTCGCGGAGGAAATGGGCTGGTCCGAAGGAGCTGGTGGTGGCCGGCAAGTCAGTCCAAACGTCGTGTAGTGTGGCCGGAAGAGGATGGTGGGCAATACCTTCTTTCTCTCGGCGAAGGGTGCGCTTCAGGGCCGCAATCGTCTCCGCGATTTCTACATGTTGCGGCGGCATAATGGCGCTGGACGGGGTCAAGGAAAGGCTTCGCGGAGTGAAGTGTCGAGAGGTGTGTTCAGCGAGCAGGGAGCAGGTTGCGGTGGGAGGGAAAAACGGGGTTAAAGAACTGCGTTGTGTGCCGATACAAAGATCCAAGTACAGCTGGTGATTCTGCTTGCTTGAGACAGCATAATACAATAGTCTGAAGGTGGAAGCAGTGAGTTGGAACAATATGATCGGTGGTCAAAGTCCTGGGTGGAAGACCTGCAAGGCGCGCAAACGATGGTCGAGTCATGCAACCGGCAAAATGGCGGCTGGAGGCTGGATTGGCCTGACTCGAGCACCACCAACCTACGCAATACCAAGCAATTTCGCTTTTCGGCGAGGCTTCACCTCAGCCTCGTCATAACACTAGGAAAGGCGAGCGCGGCAGTTGACGGATGAGAATGAGACGTATTCAATTTCAATTCATTGCAAGTTACGAGCCTGTGTTGAAACAGCGCTAATGTTTGTCTTTGTGTACACACGCGCTTCCCCCCTGACGCCTCCGCTATGCACGTCGAAATGCTTTCTGCCATCGCCGCAGGTGGTGAATTCCGCTTTTGGACGACCAATGCCCCCCGGTGCCTAGCCACAACAGAAAATCGTGCTCCCTTGAACCAGGCAGACAACCTTGCTATCTTCTGTCGGCTTTTGGCCATTTTACGCCTTCTTGCGATCCTTTGGCCGTGTCATGGAACGAGTAACAGGCCTCGATTCTTTCTTCGCATAAATCTCGGCAGTGAATGGGCTGGAAAACGGTTAGCGAGCCTCTCTACCAATGACACCAGCTCGTTGTGCGAGGCTTACTCTTCAAATCGTAGTGCGATGAGGTACATGACGAAAACCTCCAGAGTGAGCAACACACCAGCGGTTCGACCTGTGTACAAGGCAGTACCCAGGAAGGACAGGGTGCTGCCCCAGTACATAGGCGCTCCGGTGACGTTGAAGGGAAAACCTTCTACCTTGGTGTCCATTAAGATCCCGAAGTAATCGCCGAGATAGGTGCCCGTTACCCCCAACGCCCACATACTTGACAGGACCAGGGTGTTGCCGATAAGGAATAGGATCACGCCGAGTGCTGGCTGGTGCAAGGGCTGGTAGAGCGGCTGGTCGTCAAGCGCGGATTTGTACAGAGAGTCGCGTAGGATACCGAGTGAGAAGATAGTCACTGCCAATGCATAACAACCATAATACGGAGAGCGGAAGATCTTGGTCAAGAAGTGGGTAGAGTACTCTAGTCTTGCGTTAAGCGAGCCCTCATTACAAGTTGAGGGTTTCGTACCTAGCCGAGCCACGATGCTGCCATGGTCAGTGTTGTCAGCCTTCTGCATCCGGGAATCGACTTACTTCCAGAAGATAGGGTTGAAGGCTATGGCTGCTGCTGCGACTGTGTCTGGTCAGATTCCTGCCACAGCACCACGGCGCCACGGGTGTCCAGGAGGCAAAGTACCATAAAGTGATTCCGTCGAGGTATCCAGGAACCCGACTTTCTCCTTTCCAGTCACGCTGGCAATGAGGGTTTGAAGCTTTTCCATGGTCGTGTCAAATTGGTCACGCAAGCTTGCCGTTCAGACTGTCAATGGTTCAATCCTAATTGACGACGCGCCTGTCTGAGCTTTGCAAAACTTCGATTGAAATTCAAGTCGGAGCTTGACCGGCGCGCCGGCACTGGCACTCTTGGCAATGACGTGCATCGAGAAGTCGAGGCGTATCTGACGGAGACTCACTCAACACCACTATACGTAGGTAGTACATGCACTCTTAACACCCGCCATACTGTTGTTGCAGCACATATCTCATGGTGACAGATGTGCTCATTCCCCTGCCACTTGCAGACGACGTCGAGACCCGAGTTTAATGTTCAATATACAACCACAAGACCTAGACCTAGGCCTAGACCTAGACCTAGACCTTGAAGAAAACACTACCCTTCTTATCAACCTTGACCCCATCCCCGCCGGGGAGGACCGTCAACGTCTGTCCAAAATATGCGTCAACCACTTTTAGATGCACTCCAATCCACTGGTCTTTCTTGTTCGGTAGTATCTGGTAGGTCAATGTGTGCCGACTGATAGGGACGAGGCTGAGGGCGCATGCCTTTGGTCCACTGAAAGCAAAGTCTTCACTAGCTTCCATCGCTACGTTGAATGTGAGGAAATGCATGCTCGGATTTTCAATCGTAAAGTCCAGACGTTTGGCCTGAAACTCCAAAGAGCCTAGACCAGTTTCTGCAGTTGTAAGCAGAACGCGAGGCTCAGCCATCGGTGCCACGAGTCTCGGCACTTCAAGCAACGTGGTGTTGACCTTCTCTGAACCCTGCCGACGCCAACCAATTTCGAGCGCGAGATCTATTCCGACTGTGTGCCGATCGCCCAGCGTCAACTTCTGGACGGCTAGGTCAAAGTCAAAGGTTTCGGTCTGATCTGGTAGGATCGCCGAAGAGATGGTGGCTTCTGTTTTGGTAGCTGCTGTTTCCGTCTGCTTTCGTACGATGCCTGTACTTGTTGAACATATTGCCCCTCCTACAATCTTGGTTGCAGTCAGAAGAATCGCTTCGATCACCAGAGGCTCTGCTGCAAAGGAACAGATGCTCGCAGCTACAGAATACTGATACCGCAGTCCCAAAGCACTTGCAGATTCAGTATCTGGCGGAGGTGCCTCGAAGAAACTCGGCCACGCATCCGTATCCAGACGGGGCACAAAATCGTAGTTGGCTTCGAAGGGTCGGACAACGCTGACATCAACGGCCAAGGTCTTTGTCAGAATTGTCTCGGGCTCTGACACGAGACAATACCTTGCGATTATTTCAACTTGGTGATCTACCGCGATGGTGGTATCCGTAACACGTATTGAGACAAGGCTTCTGCCGGAAACTGCGAGCGTCCCTAGGTCCCGAGACGGCAATGTCAAGATGCCGACACCGGAAGCGGCTCCTGGGACCTCATCCGACCCTGGCGCAGCCCACCCAATTTGCGCCGCTCCTTCCACTGGACTGATCATTCGCGCCTCGATAGATACAATGGCATCTTCGTCTTCTCCATTGAGCATGTCAACGTCGATCTGGATGGATTCATTGGTGTAATATGACCGTCGAAGTCCCGGTGTTTCAATTTGTAATCTCGGTAGTTTTGGCTTTACATCGATCTTGTTGAATGCGTTCAGTTCCTGCCCGAGCAGGCGGGGAACTGGAGTGCCACCCTTGGCCTCCCACCAATGTGGTGTCGAGTGTTCAAAATCCGAGGAGGTGACTGCAAGGGTAAACTTCTCGTCGGTGAGGAGCAGCGTGATGGATGCGATTGATATCTCCCCTGCTTCGCGTGGCACAACGCGAAACCGGAAGATTCTGATGCAGTGCGGAGGTATTGCTAAATCAACATCACCAGTCACTGAGGCAATTGTCCCGGCAGAAGATCTTTTGTTCGCCGGCGTAGCAGTGGATGTCGATTCTTCCAGGTTGACATCAACCAAGTGAGCAAGGGACGAGCCATCCTCTGGGGGTGCACCTTTTCGCGCAACCAAGTAGACAGGTTTCAGACTACCTTCAAAGACAACCTTGACTTCGGTGAGTTGGACAGGTGATAATCCCGTCCGCGCTCGGGATTTTAAGGATAGCTGGCACTCCAATGGTTCTCCGACAAACACATTGTGAGTTGCAAATGCGAATGATGGTACGAGTGGTGATAATGCTTCGTCAATATCTATCGCCACCAGCGGGTGAGGATGGTTAGGAGCCAAGGCCTTCAAAGCAAGGCGCAAGTCGTAATTGATGCCCGGTTTCGTCTCGAACACGCTGTTCGAAAGTTCCCAGAGAAGCTGGATCAGAAGAGTGTGGTCTTTGGTATTGACCGCACAGTCCAGGAGAGCCCAGCCGAGATGTTGGAGTAGCTTCCACCACCCGGCACGCCTCCAGTTTTGACCTGTCCACAGAGGCTGCAGTGTCGCAACGGCCTTCGCCCACGATCGTGTACTGATCTGTTCTAGACCCATCTGAAGTTCCAAGATTTCGACCTTACGTAGTTGGCCTCGCCTTGCGAAGTGACCAATGGCGGCACTCAAGGTATTGACGATTTCTTCCACATAATTGTACCCGACACTCCCATCTGTCGGTACTTCCCGATATGGCTCGAGCGCCATGTATGCGTCGTAAAGATGCGACTTGCTTGCAGCCATGGAGGCTGGTAAACGGCCTGGGGATAGCCTGTCCTCGGCGGGGATCTGTACTGCCCACTTCCGACGATCACTTACGCACCTTCTAGAGATATCCAGCCAATATCCTTCATGGTGCATCTGCTCCCATGGAGTGGTCGCCTCTCCGGCCGGAAGAGACTTGTTAGCTGGAGCGAAAATGGGAACCATGCCTGTGGCTTCAGGATTCTTGACGTTCAAAGGGGGGTAGCCTGATTTGGAGAGTAAATCTGCCATGACCTTCGTCCAAGTAGACTGCCACGCTTCCCAGCCATAGTTGTCTGTACCCCTGCCTTTGCGATTCACCAAGTCTTTGACCCTATCCCTGTGACTGATCCAAGACCGCACTGCTGTAGTACCTTGATCTGTCCAGAGAAGACACCTGATAATGCGAAGGGCGATGATGTCAGCAAGTAACCGTGCTTCATTGAACCGAGGGCTCCAAACAGCAATGGCCTCTATCACTTCGGGACCGAACAGGCTTTCATAAGCAGTCTCGTAGCTTCGACAGGCTGCATCCATTTCTTGTCGGAATTCGGCAAATACGCCCAGTTTGAATTCGTATCGGACGTTCCAACCTTGTAATGGTAATATGCTGGAAGTGCCTGGCTGAACCGTAGGCTGAGGAACAACGTTTCTATTACGCTTTCGACGGGCATGCTTCGAAAGGTCGCGATAATGGTCTACACAGAGAAGATGAAGGTATGAGAGAACAGAACCAACAAGCTCTTCCACCTCGGCCAACGAGGCGTCATAAGGGAGGAAGTAAGTGCTTTTTGAGTCAAGTCCCGTAGCACGTCGGATGTTGTTGCAGCGATCTTCGACCTCAGAAGGGTTGGTGTCATCGTCGCCGAGCAGAACAAGGATAAGTTTAGTCCTGTAATTCGTCGACGAGAGCACGGTTCGGACGTTATTGATCTCAGATTTCAGCCTGTTGTCCTCCAGGGAGCTTATCTTGGGGTCGGAGCAGAGAGAGAAGAAGGTCACAAGTGCGCAAGGCAGCCGGGACTGATGTTTGGTGATCCATAGAGGAGAGACGATGCCGTCAGGGTACAACGGCGAGCTGGGCGTCAGGGGCGACAACGGAGAATGGAGAACGAGCGGTAGAGGAGGGCTTCCATTTGCAACAGTGGCCGACAAACGGGGAGAGTACGGCGGAGGTGGTGCCTTGCGGGGAGGAAGAGTGTATACCTTAATCCCAAATCAGCAGCCAACTCCTGAACAGTTGAAAGGACGTATGACTTACCCGGCCAACAGTTGCAATCTGAAAAACCTTCCCATTTCGAGCGGCTAGCGACTGGGAATGCCATGGCGCATCTCTGGCATCCTGTGTGCAGAAGGACTGGAGTAGTTTCTCTGCAAGGGGTCCTTTGACAGCTGGAACGTCCACTTTGATTCTGAAGCCTCCCTCTCGTAGAAAAGCATTTGTTCTTCCTGAAGTATCAGTGTCGGTCTCGCGTCCTCCTGCATCTAACCCTGAGAGAAGGAGTAGGGGCAAGTTATGCAGAACATAGTCCCCCGGGTACCGATCCATGACAGCTAGGCATCTTGTGAGTGGATGACGGCAGAGGCGCGAAATACCCGTCAAGCGGTGTTCGAGAGAACTGATACTCGCATGCGTATACGGAGTACGCAGGAAGACATAGAGCCAGGCAAACAGTAATACTATATCTCACTTAAACCAGCAGCGACTAATTAACTAACCGCGTTATACAACGTCAGGCCGGCGCAGTTGCCTGATTTAGACTTGCTACTCTCAGCTGTTGCTGTTGCACCACTTTTCCCTGAGAACGTGCCCATTGCTTATTCTTCAGTAAGCTGCTATTGTTCCATCTACATTTCTCTCAGGTCGAAGTCTTACCAAAATTCTACCACTACCTAGGTATGTTTCCTGAGCTCATGGAGCGTCGTTTTCGATGGATATTATTTCCTGGTAAAAGGATACACAAGGGTCAAGACATCGCTACTACGGTGATGATACTTTCCCGAGAAGAAAATTGACTGGCAATGCTCTTGAATCAATGCAGCTGCTCTGTATAGCTTGCGGGCGCTTCTATCTAACTTCAGTGAACCTCTCTTTACTGAGTCTGCTTGCGTTTGCAGCCAGCCGAGCACGTTTATACAAAGCACGAAGTGAGTGCTGTCAAGGCTCAGTCATGGGGGCAAGGTAGTCTCAGGCTAATATCATGAAGGATGACAAGGGAAGCTTGGCCTTGATATTAGAGTCTAATCGCTTTTCGACGTGGTGTTTATATTTCATCCCAGTTAACATTTGCGTTGTGTTTGTCCGACATCTATGTTTTTTTTTGACTCTCTAGTTGCCGCTTCCGCTGTTCTTTCTCCCTTTTCTCTCTGTGCTGTATATACGCCTCGGCGGCAATTCCGCCAAACACAAGAGCCACGCCGATCCACTGTCCATGGCTGATGCTTTTTCCGAACCAAACAACGCTGAGAACCATGGTAAGCATCTTGCGCGTCACTGTTACTGTGACGAGAAGCAAGCTCGAGAATCGTTCAAGAGTCGCATAGATAAAGAGCTGCCCAATGGCACCGCACGCCGCAAAACCAAGAACGTCGTGAAACACTGCGGGATGACGGGCGAAAAAGGACAGGGCGTTGGCCAGTTCATGGGTTTCATTTGGCTGCGCGAAGGCAGGAAGCAGCGATTCAGGAAGATATGGTGTCACGACAAGATACACGGTCATGAGCAGCGTCCCAAGTAAATTCAATACAACCATCATCTGAGGCCCGGAAGTCTTCCCGTAGCGGTGTGGAGACTGAAAGATATGATCTTGCACGGTGTTTGTGAGACCATCAAGGAGTAAATTTATTCCTAGCAGTGTCAGGCCGTACGTGCTTGAGGATTGTGTCCTTCGCTCCTTGCCCGGCTTTGGGGGGTGGTAGAGTGTGAACAATGCAACGCCGCTGGTGACAGCAAGCACGACCATATATTTCGAGAGGGGGTAATGCCTCCGGAATAGCGTGACGTGCAAGGCCATGACCGGGAGGAGCTTGCAGGATTTGGCGAGGACGAAGGTGAGGTAGTCGACGTGTGCGAGCGAGGCATAGCCGAAGGGCGAAGCGAGGGTAGTGGTCAGTGTTACCAGGAGCAGCGGTCCGAGGGCGGCGGTTGAGGGCAGGATCCTGAAGGACCTAGTCTTGTAAAGCAGATACAGGCTTCCGCTTGTGAATGCGAAAAGAGCCTGGATCGTGTTAAGCACGATAGGGAAGCGAAAGTATTCTTGTTGCGCCTGCGCAGAGTCGTCGGCAGGGTACGGTGTGGTCGTTATGCGCTCTTGAAGTAGTCCCCAGGTCAGGAAGGAGGCATAGATCCCGGAGACACAAATGATGAGGGCCAGAAGCCCGGGATGTGATTGCTGGGTCTGGGAATGCGCCCTCTTCCTTGAGGCGGCGGTCTTCGCGACATGTCCATTGTGGTAGACTGCGCTTTTCTCGGGTTCGTCTGAGGGGGTACGCATAATCTCGCCAGAATTGATGCGTTGCATGGGAGCGATCTGTTTTCGGCGCGCCATCCTTGCTCACAACGACACAACTAGAGTGGGCGACAATTCCAGTAGCATAGGTCAGTGAGTTGAACGTAATAAATAAGCAAGGAGTATGCGTACATTTTGTTTAGTGAAATCTGGCCTGACAGTACAAAACCACCAACAAATTTACCTAGATGCGGCTAACCCCTATAATCGGCTATTTCAATGCCGGCTCGATTCTTCCCTCCTTTGTGCTCAGCCTTACCACTTTTTAGACTAGCCTCAAGCTTCCCGTCCACGTCCATGTGCGTGAAGTCTCTACAGAACATCATGCGAAGAGGGCATATATTACTACATCCTCCTAATCATCCTCATCATCACTCCCGAATATAGCTTTAAATACAGCTTGCCCAGGTCTTTCCTGCTCCAATGCTTCGTTCCGGTCTGGTTGGATCACAGCAGGTCCCATTGGCACCTCCAGACCCAATTCACCCGTTTCTGTCTTTGAGCTCTGAACATTGCGCTCTGCTCTCTGAACATTGTCAACGTCACTTGGCACGGTTTGGCCGCCCACTGACATGAAGGAGCGGGACTGTTGAGTTGCCCCAGGGGTATGTTCTTTCCCGGAAAATGCCATATCTGTCCTCGCGCTAGGGACTGCAGAAGCGGTGTGGTCCGGTAGAGGAACATTGAATCTCTTGCAAAGAAGCCTGGTGGGAGAGAAACTTGACACCGACCTAGTCATTGGACCAAACATACCCATTTTGGCGGCGGACTCAGCCGGATCCTCGGGTTTGGCATTCGACCGGACAAACAAGGATTCCTTCGTGTCGTTGCTCAAGTCACCATTTTGACCTTCTGGCAGAGACGAAGAAGAGGTGAAGCGGCTGGCCATCAGGCCGCTGATGGGTTTAAAGACCTCGGCGGCTCGGGCAAACTCATGCATTTCTATCACCCAGTCATCTTGCGTCATTCCCTCTGCACGGGCAGGGAGTTCGTCGCGTTCTGCAGTTTTCCTGAGACCAGCTTGGATCTCAAGATAGATACGGTATCTATTCCGCTTCTTCTCATCTTCAGCATACGGCATCCAACCGTTAGTGCCACGATGAAGCGCTTGGAGCGCCACATCTGGAGCAAGATGAGGGACAAGACTCTGTGCGGTTAACGGTGTAGATTTAGGGCTTTCAAATCCCTTGGGACGTGCTTCGCTTCCTGCTGTAGGGAGGTCTTGTCGACCTGACGCAGCGGCAAGCTTGTCGCGGGCAGCAGGCGTCAAGAAATCAAACACGGACTTTCCAGGCAGTTGTGACTCTCCCAAGATGCTAGCCCGAGATTTGGCAGTCAGAGTCGAAGCTCTGGCAGCCTCAGCACTTGAAACAGTAGGCGGCCCAGAGTTGGTGATGGTTTCCTTCAAGACAGACGACTTCCATCCAACGGGGACTTCGGGCGGTCGGTACTTGTCGTCCTGGATAGTCATAATACCCAACTGGTCGGCTAAAACAAATCCTTCTAGGGGTAACCGGCCATCATGGCATCTCCTCAGGGCGCCCTTCAACTCCGCCAGCTTTTTCGAGATAAATGTAGGTTTGGTCTTTAGCAGAGGATTCGGAGAGCTCACAGGGTTCTTTGGTTTAGTCTTCGACTTTTTGTCACCTCCTATGACTCTGTGGTAAGATATTTTGGGCCCCATGGAGTAAGGGTCCTCGTCATCAGATCCATCGTCATTGAGAACACCGACCCCAATACCACTCTTCTTGCTTCGTTGTACGTGTTTCCTTGAACTTCCGAGGCGCGGCCCAAATGCATCCTCATCAGGAGATTCACCACGGGTAGAGCTATCCTCCTGCCCTACGAGGGGTTTAGTCGTTGGCTCTCGGGCATTCGACAGCACCTTCTCATATCCTAAGCCTTTGTAGTCCGTTTTCCTTTCATAGGAGACTACACGAACATCTTCTGGGGCGAAGAGGTGCTTCTCACCAGGCTCGTCTTCGTCATCACCCAAGTTGGCTACTCTCCTCACACGAGGCCCTATTCCTTGGCCCTCTCTCCATCCCATTCTCTTGAGTAACTTTGAGCCAATAGTCTCGTCCAAAGGTCGAAAAAGGCCGATGGTGGCCGTCTTGCGAACGGGATCATGCTCAGTGCCAAAACCCGCGAACTCATTCGAGATGTTCAAGGCCCGCGACTCTTCTGCCTCTCGCAAGTCCTCCTCGTCCATGAAGTCCTCGGGTCTCTGGGTAGGTTTTTGGGCATCTTTCAACCGATTCTGTCTCGAAGAAACAAACGAAGAAGGGGTCCAGCCTTCCTTAGAGCCTACCGTGTTGAAGTACCTATGTCCTCCATATTAGCTATGGTGTTTTCAAGTGTTATATTCTGCAAGCTCACCCAGCGCTGAAGCCTCCAGTGAAGGCGCCATGCAAGCGTTTCCTCCCTTGTTCATCGGTGGCTTCTTGTTTCCAAATTGGCACAAAAGATCCGTCATCTCTTGATTGTTCATCTGTAGGTGGTAAGGGGGTTCCGTACGCGACGAAGGGGGAAGTCTTGTTTTGAAGATCGGCTTCGAAGGCCTGTCGAGAGCGCTTGGACGCCATCCCAAGAACGCATGCGAAGTTGCAAATGCAAAGCACACCGAGGAGCAGGTTGCATTGGTGCGGTGCAAACTTCTGCCATGGAAATGTAGACTGAGAGGCTGGTGTCGGGGTAAACTTTCAATGCTTTTTGCAGAGTGCTTAATACAACGACCATAAAACCTGAAGTTGACTGACAACCAAACTTGAGTCTGTCCAACACCGATGGCTGGCAATAAGGCGAATGATGGGGGCTAGATGCCACCTTGAAGCTTCGAATCGAGCTCGAATTAGCGGATTGGTGCTTAGGTACCTATATACCCGCCTATCAAGGCGACGTACAACGTCGATAGGCCCCGAAGGCGTTGGAGCTAACCCCGTAAATGCCTCGCTATCTGAACCTGCACTTGTCAGCTGTACGGAATGCCTGTGCCTGCGCTTGTCAAACAACAAACAGTTCATTCGTAAGAATGCCCAACATCGGCGCGTGCGAACTAGGCCTTTCATTGATACAACGCATCCGTGTACACAAGGCCATTTGATTGCCCAGGTCTCCAATCTCATTTGTCCCGACACGGTGATTCACTGACCCGCCCTTCGCCCGACTGTCACCTCGCCTCCTTGGTTGTCACCCGCTGACAATGACCGATGCCTCTATCCTCAAGACTACTGTCGGTAGCATCAAATCTGATCACTCATACGGTTCCTGATACCCTTGCCAGACAGCGCGAGAGCCACTTCAGCATTGAGCATCGCGTGAACGCGAAGCCTTGCGGCTGCAAAGCCCACGGCTGAAGAGCTGAACGACTCCCATTGTCCGTGTGTGTTGTAAGACACCACATTCCTGCTGCAAACGTAACACCTGTCTTGCAAACCAACAACGACATTCTGGTACCGCTGGATAAATGGCTACAACCGCTTCGCAACAGTCGCCATCCATGGTGCGGCGTCATTCTTCTAACCGCAACCCTACGCCATCGTATACTCCTGTCTCGCCTGCACTACCATCGAGGGCACACTCAACAAACCAAAGACCTAGCCACAATCGATCAGGATCACGGTCCTACGAAGCCCCTCCTCCAGCGAGCCCTGCAGTGCTTGCGAATGTTGCCCGCCGAGACATGGAACAGAGCAACATGGCACGAACGCCCTCCTCACGCCGAAGTTCTCGCGAAAGGCGAAGGGACTACGAGGGAGAACCAATGTCTCACGGAAGAACATCCTCTCGTCCGGGGTCGCGACGTGCAAGTCAGGAGTTGACTGCGACAACTGCGGCGATAGTAAACGGAACATCGGCTCACCCTCCAACTAGCCCTCCGTCGCAAACTGAGAGACTTCCTTCCCAGGTATACCCCACTGTTGGTCGTAGACGCACATCAATTACTGCGCAAACAGGGACTTGGACGCTAGGAAAGACAATAGGCCAAGGCAGTATGGGAAAGGTCAAGCTTGCGAAGAACATAGAGACGGGAGAGACAGCAGCAATCAAGATTGTTCCGAGGCAAACAGCTGAAGACCACGGAAGTGCAAAAGATGAACGGGCCGATCGATCCAAAGAGATCCGAACAGCAAGAGAGGCTGCCATGGTGTCTTTGCTTTCTCACCCTTATATTTGTGGCATGATCGATGTCCAGAGAACGAATTACCACTGGTATATGCTTTTCGAGTACGTCAACGGCGGCCAAATGCTCGATTACATCATCGCTCATGGAAGGCTCAAAGAAAAGCAAGCAAGGAAGTTTGCTCGTCAAATCGCCAGTGCTTTAGATTACTGCCACCGGAACAGTATTGTGCACCGAGACCTGAAGATCGAAAACATTCTTATCAGCAAAACCGGCGACATCAAAATCATTGATTTTGGCTTGAGCAACCTCTACTCACCACGGTCTCTGCTGAAAACCTTCTGCGGAAGTTTGTATTTTGCTGCCCCGGAGTTACTGCAGGCCCGTCAATATACCGGGCCTGAAGTCGACGTGTGGAGTTTTGGGATAGTCCTTTACGTTCTTGTCTGTGGCAAGGTTCCCTTTGACGACCAGAGCATGCCTCAGTTACACGCCAAGATCAAACGAGGCGTAGTGGACTATCCCCAGTGGCTGACGGCGGGTACGACTTCTATGATTTTCTTCTAGATTACATTGCTAACACTGTCTAGAATGCAAAAGCATCATATCCCGAATGTTAGTGGTCGATCCCCGAGACCGCGCCAGCCTACAAGAAATTATGAACCATCCGTGGATGACAAAAGGGTTCAATGGTCCTCCTGATAATTACCTTCTCCCTAGAGAGCCGCTCCAATTGCCTTTGGATTCTGACGTTATTGATAAAATGCAAGGGTTCGACTTCGGTTCTTCAGCGTACATCACAGAGCAATTGACCCGGATCATTGAGTCAGAGGACTACCAGAATGCTGTCCGCAGATCCACCAAGGAAGAGTTCAGCCACACCTCCACCAACAGTGAGAAAAAACGCGGAGTTTTCGACTTCTACAAACGTCGAAATTCGATGAGCAGGGAAGGCCTATCGACTCCGTCTACCGAGGCGATTCGTAGTTACGACGCCCTCAATGCTTACAGCCCGCTAGTTTCAATCTACTACTTGGCGCGAGAGAAGCGCGACCGAGAACGAAGAGAGCAGAATCCTGGTGCTCTGGCCATGCCTGTCACTCCTGAGGATCCACCGCTCAAACTCCCTGGCCTCCCACCACCGGAGGCAGCGCATACTAACACCTTCGCACCAGAAATGCCCGGTGAAAAAGCTACGGGTGGTAGGGCACGCCCCCGTGCTCGAACGAACGGTGAAGATGAGGTGGTGCATGCTATGAAGAACCTTGACATTCCTGAAAGGAAACCGGGCTCGATTGCAACGTCGCCGACTGCGATTCCACCTCCCGACCAGCCCGCAAAGAGAGATGGCACAGCCATTGGCCTCCTCAGAAGATTCAGCACAAGACGCTATCGCGAACGCGATGTGGAGCGGCCACAACCACCACCGGCTCTCAACATTCAACCACCACAAGATTCAGCAATTGCCCCAAGAAAGTCCTTTTCTGTCCGACGTTCTCGAAGAAGAGACCCGAGTCCGTCAACCCATCATGCAGGAGGAAGCCAACCTCAGCATGACGGCCTTCTCAGTGCCAGCGGTGGATTCTCCAAAGCTGGCAAGCTCCTGGGACGATCGACCAGCGTCAATTCAGCAGACTATCGGCCACGTCGGCTTCTTCATCGTGGCGTCTCAGGAAATGATTCGCCGTCACTTGCGCCTGAGGCACCACACACCAGCGGATCAGATCAATCGAGCGTCAACGCAGGTAAATCCGGGAGGGGCGTTGAGCTTAGCGACAGGCCTGCTTCAAATACCAGCCCGCTCGTGAACATGCGCGCTCCTACCACTAATCGGACGAAGTCCCTTGGACACGCTCGACAAGAGAGCATCCAGGCTCGGCGAAGACGACATGAAGAGCGACGAGATCGACATGCCAATGTTCCTGAAGAGACTGATGCGGACATGCGAGACGGGACAGATACCCTCGATACACCTGCGCTTCCTGACACTCCTAGCACGGAGATTTCGAAGCCAGCTTCGCTCAAAGGACTGTTCTCGACTGCCACAACAAGCAGCAAGCCTCCAGAGTTTATCAGGCACGATATCATACGAGTTTTGAACCAGCTTGGTGTACAGTATACTGTGATCAAAGGCGGGTTTTCCTGTAGACATGCACCAAGCATCAATCTGGAAGGCGTCAAAGAACCCAGTGCTGGCCTGGATGAGGAGAAGAGTGGGCGGGCCATATCAGGGCATCAGAGAAGAATCTCTTTCGGGGCAGCTTTCCGGGGGAAAGAGAGAGAAGACGTGAAGGACGATCGACTCAGCCGACATCATACGAGGAGGAGACAACCCGATCAGAGCTTTGTGTCGAACTCTGAGGGATCAGAGGAATATTTGCAACAAGCCCGCCACACCGGTGACCAGATTCATGATGGCGGAGCTACACGGACGCGGGTCCAGGACGATACTGGTGAGCGACTCGTGCTCAGGTTTGAGATCAGCATTGTGAAGATTCCCCTTCTTTCACTCCACGGCATTCAATTCAAAAAGGTGCAGGGTGGAATGAATCAGTACCGATCTATGACTTCGGCAATTCTCAACTCTTTGAGATTGTGATGTGAACTTGACGGATGGTATGGTATTTTCTACGGGTCTCAGGCTTCGCCCTTTTTTTTCCAGCGGGGATTGCGTCAAGAACGTGAACGAGACCGATTTGCGGTTGGCGTTACGGGGAATACGGGGCCGTCGGGAGAGGCGACTGCCACCGTTAGTTAGGAGCAAGCAATAATGCAAGCCTGGATTGCGAAGTGCGTCTATGATTGTAACTTAGCGAGTCGGAACGACCTGGTAACGCAGTGGGTCGAATTTTGAAGACCAGGGTCCTTTTCTTTTGCCAGGGACGGGCAACGCAGGTAGGGTTTTCAGGTCCTTCAGTGGTGGGAAGACTCGGTGGTTGATGTTCTGACACATCGGGCCGGGGGGAAGGGTGGTTGACTGAGGCATTCGGGAGAAGATCTGAAGTCCATAGATGGCGGGTCTCCTCTCCAGTGTGTATATCGCACGGTTGTTGATCAAGAATTGCAGGAAATCATAAAATGACGCGAAATTGGTCGTTCTAACTTTTCGGACTTATCCAGCAGAGCAACGCGGCTGGATATCCGGATTCGTTATTGGTACTGCAAGTGGTAGGTCCCGGAATAGTCCTATTAAGTTGCCTGCGTTTGCCCGACCAGCCCTGCACCGGCCTTGGCCCCTGTGAAGTGCTGCTGTCAACTTTACGAGAGGCTGCTGGTGCTGCTCATTGTTGTATTTGCATTGCTGTCTAGAGCTTGTAGGCGTAGGCAGAGGAGAGACAGTAACATACACAGTGGTAGTTGTAGTAACAGTAGAAACAGCAGCAGTAACAGCAGCAGTAGAGTAGCAATCTCGGCGAATCGGTCATGCCATCACCAGTCTCCAGCTTTCACCTTCATCCCCAGGGCCACCAACTGCCTGCCTACCTTACCTGCGCCAGACCTAACCGCAATCCAGCGAACCTCCTCCTAATATGTACTCCTCTTCCTCTCTCGTCCATTTTCATCTAACAACCCTCCCACAATTCTTCCTTTTGCAACCTTTTTTACTGCTGCTTTCTCCTCGAATCCTCAAGGTCAGGCTTGCCAGTCCACCTTGCCTGTCACTCCCTTTCTTTTTCCCGTGCTTGTGTTGAGGAATCCCTGTCCCGCAATACCGCTGACTCTTTCCGTCACCTCGCTCGGGCACCTTCGACTGTCGTGTAGAGAGAGGCTCGTGCCCTCCGTCCTCCACACAGACGTCGACGAGTCACCACTGTCCACCCTTCTTGCCCCAGACATTCCGCCGGTCGCATCAGAGCGCAGTCTGACTGGCTGGACCCGTCGATTCAGCTCTCCCGAGCCTCTTGTGTGACCTTGCCAGCAATCAACTGCAGCTAATGGCCTCTGCCGCCAGCGTCACTGCTAACTCTACACACTCCTCCGGCACCCTGCTCAACAACCACGCCCAGCAACACAATAATGGTCTGCCGAGGACGACTATGAGAACTGCCGGTAACGCGAAGACTGTGGATGCAGGGCGCAAGCAAAGCCCTGTTGACAACGTTTCACGGTAAGTCTTATTTCTAATTTCCTCCCACAACCCCTAAATTCTCCCAGCAACAATCAGAACATATTCCCATATCCAGTTTCCATCATATGGGTTCTATACACCGCGTAAAGCTTGGAGAGCTACGTACTGACACCCATCTTAGGCGCCCGAGTACTCAGAAGGCCTGGGGCCCTTCTTCGAATTCAATTTCGCAGCGGGGGCCCATGGCTGTCCAGCAAAATGGCAACTCCTTTCAAGCCAGAAGTTCAAATCATACGAGGTCGGCTATGCCAAAAGAGGCGGGAATAAATGATAAACAAGCACATGAGAGGCTGGTGTATTTATTTGGGGCGGCCATCGTACGGTTCACATGCGCCTTGCAATTTCGGACCACGTTGACTGACACCGGTGGTAGGGTTTAAACATCGTTGTTACCGTGAAATCCGGAGAGAGATTCGAAGGCTTGTTGGCTGGTTCGACTCTAAATCCCGCCAACTCCAAGATTGCATTGAAGATGGTTCGGAAGCTACAACCTGCGGCTGGAGGGCAGGTGAACGGAACTGCGACTCGGGAAGCGGCCTTGGTTGGCTCGAGTCCCGAGCATGCAATGAACTTTGATGTGAAAGACATAGCCGACATGCTCGTTTCTGAATTTTCTCCTCCCGAGAATTCAAAGCCTGTGAATGGTCTGCTGCAATCCCACCACCCTATATTCTTGCCTAACCTTTGCCGTACAGGTATTTCTTCAGGATTCCAGACCGATGCCGACATCTCAGGCAACCAGCTCCGCGGAGAGCGCGCACTCCAAAAATGGGTTCCCGAAGGGCCAGACACAGCCGACCTTTCACTCGAGTCTGGGAACACAGGGAGTTGGGACCAATTTACCGTGAACTCACAACTCTTTGGTGCTAGGAGCACCTATGACGAGAATCTCTATACTACTGTCATCGACCGAAACTCGCCCTCGTACAAACGCCGAGAAGCCGAAGCTGAGAGAATCGCAAGAGAGATTGAAGGCGCAGCCTCTGCAAATCCCCATGTTCGTGAAGAACGTGGTCAGGCGCTGGAGAATGACGGCGATGACGAGGAGGAGAAATACAGTGGTGTTCGTCGAGATGACAGCGCTTTTCCTTCCCTATCAGTTGGGGGGCCGAACAAATACACCCCGCCAGCAAGACGAGCACCGACTGGGCAAGTGACTATTCCCGGTGTCCCTGTCGACCCTGCAATTATTTCCGCACAACTATCCGCACCCGATCCAAAACCTTCTGTCCAGAATGCAAAACATGGAAAAGAAGGAGTACCCGCGACAGGAAAAACACAGTCTATTGCAACTGACAGAACTACTGCAGACCAAGACGGTGCAAACTCGGTGCGACCTACTGGGAATTCCACTGCCACAGCGGATGCTTCAGAGGCAGAATCCAAATCTGCTAACAAGGCTGTCTCTCAGGGCACAACCGAAAACGTGGAGGTAAAAGTCCTCAATCAGTTCCGTCAGTTTGCCGACCTCGAGAAGCAACGAGTTGCAGAAAGAAGGAAAGCTCAGCAAAACCAAGATCGGACAGCCAAATTGAATGAATTACTTCGCTTCTCGAAGACGTTCAAGTTGAAGACACCCATACCAAACGATCTCATTGGAATTCTTGCTAAAGATCCAGCGAAACAAGAGGCCATTGTCGAAAAGGCGCAGAAGGAGCATGCAGATTCAGGTCCGGCAGCTGTCGACGTTTCATCGGCACCAGCGACGAACAATGTTGCTCGCAAACCCGACATTGCACAGCCTCCACCTACCGTCCCCGACAGGCAGGTCTTCAACCGTGGTCGTGGAGCGTTTCCACAAAACGGGCGGTCAGATCGACCCGGGAGCCAACAGCAACCGGCTGCGTTTCCAGCTCGAAATAATAATGCTACATATCCCCCAAGATTTGGCTCTCACCAGCCAGATCGTAAGGGAACTCAACCTCACCACATTCCTGCTCCGATACCCATCATTGAGGGCCGGGTGCCTCCGACTGGACCCATGGCCGACCAAGGCGGATTGACGAGCCCACAACGATCGAACTTACACACCCCAACCTCCGGTATTTCGGGTAAATTTAACCTGAATGTGAAAGCTTCAGAGTTCCGACCTACTGCCGCTAGTTTTAATCCCAGCGTTGGTACTCCTTCTAGCCCTGGCTCGACTCGCCGGGGATCTATCTCGAGAATGGCCAGTCCTTCTCTAGTCTTTGGCAACCGCAAGCCTAAGCCTGCATCTGAACGGCCATCTATTGCCGACTACTTCAACCCAATCAGTCGGATGAAAGAAGAATTTGCGCCAAAGCCCACCCAAGGAACAGCAAAGACCGACGAGATACACAAGGACTACAGTCCCAATGGTGGAATCCCGCATGCGTTCCAGGCAGGACCGAGATGGACAGTCAAGGCAGAGAATGATCAGAAGACGTATGAAGAAGCTTTCGAACAGCATACTATGCCTGTCATCTCGCCTGCACAGAGCCGTTCCGGGTCAAGTCATCACGTTCCATTTCCTGGACAAGGAGTTACGATTCCGAATACCCCTGCGAATCTCTCACATATTGCAGCGCCACAGCACGCCATGCACGCTGGACCGCATCAATATCCTCATCAGTACGACGATGGCAACCACCGAATGCAATTTGGTACTGCGAACCCTAGCGTCTACCCTTCCCCCAGTATACCATCTCGACAAGCATCTGCTTATGCTTCCCCCATGATGCACCCTGCTCAGTTGGCATATCAGCAACAACCGTACTTTGGCACGCCAACTGGACAGATACCGATGCAGGGGCGACCTTTTACAGGCACCCCAGGGATGATGCATGCGCAGGCGGGCCAGGTGGGCCCGCCGATGATGGTTCAACAACCTTCGAATGGACCGTATATGGCTGTTCCTCAACAGTTCGGCCATCAAATGCCGATGTATTCCCCCAATCCTGGTCACGTCTATCCTCAGCAGAATGGAGGCTACTCCAGCCCTGGTCGCGGGGCTCCTATGATGATGCAACAAGGATCGCAACAAGGCCACCCAGCGGCTCCCAACATGATGTACAGCATGTCGAATCAAGGAGGCCCATCGGCTTATCCGCAGCAACAGATGGCTTTACCACGTGATAACTACGGCAACACACATCAATATAGATCGAACCAACATCAAGGTTATGCCTTGCAACACAGGACCATGAGCAGTGGTTATGGACAGATGCCGCAGAAGATGCATGCTCCGATGCAACCGGGTCATGGACCTTCGATGAATGGACCACCGCAAGGGCCAGCATATGGGCAGATCGAAGGAGGCGCTGAAGATGCCAAATGATGAATGGGCGGTGCTTCACCCACGGTCTCACATCGAATTTCCCACGATTCCCCCCGCTGAAAAGATACGCTCTTGATCGCGCCATGAGCAATGACAGCGTGCAGCCTCGCGTTCTTCACGTATGGAGCTCTCAGTTGGACTCGATCGTCACGACGATGGCCAGGTACGTCCTCAGCAAGTATTTCGGTCACGGCTACTGAAAGACAATAAGGGCACCCCTGGCAATCTTGGTATCAATGACGTGGGTCACCTATGCGGGAGCGATGATCCCCATGGGAGCCCACCTTGCCTGCATAAGGGACCCTATCATCTAGACCTGTTCGTTTCGACATGCTGTATTCCCGGCAATTCCTGGCTGAAACCAGATCCAGCCGAGTGAAAACAATATGGAAAGCTGGGGAGAAAGATAGGCCTGGCCCCGAGAAAGGGGCGGGGGCCATGGATGCGTCTTGCGTGCAGTGGGAAGCATTAGTTTGGAGAGAAGTATTCATATGGAGAAGAGGGTATTCGTTTACTGCCGGCTAAAGGTGGAAGAAGAATGAGGCGGTATGCTTTTGTGAGGTGCTCTTCTGCCTCCTCTATAAAAGGCACTTGAAGGAGGGCGAATGCCAGTCCTGCCGTCGAGATAGAGGCGGCATGCGAATCTGCAGAGACACTCCGGTATACATGGCATCGAGGAGGATCTTCCTACCCAGGAGGTATCACTTAGGTAGTCAGTGGTGTACAGTAGCCGCGGCAGTGGTTGGCAGCCAGCCAGAGCTTTCACAGACAATGACAAGACCAGGCGGCAGCTAGATTAGCAAGTTCTTGCTATTGCTTACAGTGTCCCTTGCTATGTATCAAATCCACTGTGAAGGGAGCCTAATATACCTTTCCCTGGGTCCTACACAACATGTGCGAGCTGTACTCGGTACTGTAGGGTACCTAGGTATACGAATGGGAATACATACGTACTGTGTGGATATGTGCCCAAGCGACAAACCACACTACGGATACATGGCACCGCATGGGTACCTAGGTACCTACCCGACCTCACGGATCCAAATTAGGACAGACCAGTACTGTCCTCCGTAGGTATGGATCAGTACATACTACACATACTCCGTAGTGGTACTCCGTAGCAATTACCTACCAGGTATTAATTCACACCCTGGTCCCTAATCCTTGAACCGGCGCTGGTCGACACGCTACCCGGATTGCCAACCAGGGGCACGCGCTTTGATGCGTTGGCACGTTTTGCAGCTTGGTTCTCGCCGATCCATCTTTCTTGCAGCTCTTCCAGCACCCACTTGCTCTCAGCCTCTCGTCTCACCGGCTTTTGCTCACCGTCGTCCATCCTTCTTTTTGCTTTGTGCACCGCTCAGCTGCTTGTCTTGAGGAGCCGGCCCATCAGTCTCTAGCATTGCCGTCATGCATTCTCTTGTCGTCTCTGCCGCGGCCGTCCATCACACTTGACTTGTTTTCGATTTAGGTCAAACCGACACCCACCCTCACACTCACACTCGTGCTTTTCGGTTCCTCTTCCATGCCTTCGCACTGTTCACGAATCGTCCTTCGCCGTTCATTGAGAATCTTAGCCTAGAGCCTAGCGCCTAAGAACCTCCCTCTGCTGTCCAGTCGGGCCCGTGTTCTTTGACAAGATCGGAATCTGACCACCTGGGCAGCCCCGGAGCCATATCTCTGTCCTGCCCGGTCAAGTCACCGAACCTTCCTACTGATATGCGGCGTGGGCAGTGTTGAACAACCATTGGACCCTGTCTCAAGAACACCTGCCCGCCGGTCGTTCACCTGATGATACCACCATGCGTCAGACCAGAACAAGCGGTACCCTACAGCCTCATTTCCAGATCTTCTGCGACCGCAATCCCGGCCGGCTCTACCTGTCCCACGTCCATTGGCCACGATAATACGGTGCTGGTCGAATAGGCGTTTTTGTTCCTGTTCTGGTCTCTACCGCACCAATCCCACGGTACGCTGGTTCCTACCTAAGATTCCCCAGACAACGCACGTCATGCCGAGATGTATCCTCCTCCAGCTGACACTTGGAACAGATACCCAACACCTGAGCACAGCTCCATCGTTCTTCACAGCTGTCCTGCCCAATCCTTTTTCAAATTCGCGGTCTCCTTCTTCCCTTGGTACCTTCTGTAACAACAGCGCATCGAAATACTTAATATTAATCCATTGGCTCCGCCGCACCAAAACTCTGAATCTCTCATTGCAATCTGTACCATCTGTACCAACACGAGATACCCTGCAAGGTTCATTCGCTCAGTCCACCGAGAGAAGGCGGCGTCGTTCACTTGAGCAATAGCTTCGTCGCAGACGATCAGTTTCACCTTCCGCGACCGCAGACTGCGCATAAAACGTCGAACAATCTCTCTTGAAGGGGCTGTCTAAACATACCTCTCCGGCGGCTGTCTATCTTCGATCGGCACAAGCAAAACTCGGCAAAGGGACAAGGGCAGCTACGCATTCGTCCAACTTTACTGCGGAAACTCGGTTCTGGGGCGGAGTGGTTTTGCAGGCGCCAAATTTGAAGTCGGGCGGTTAGAGGTAAATTGCACCGTGCCATTATTGAAGTTCCACAAACCATATTCATTTCACCACTACCCTTGTTCTATGCTTCTCGTTGGCACATTTACCTTTCCACAGCGGACTCAGGCTGGGCTCGAGTCGACGGATTTCAGATGGATACGGCTCAGCCATTTAGTGCTGCAGCATATCAATCATTCAGCTTCAATTATCCAAGGGCCCCGTTGATGCACCAGTGACTCTTGCGGTCGTGTCTTATACCGTGATTCGAACAAGGCTCGATACCCCTGGTGCACAGCATGGATACAGTTTATCCCGGCCCCTCCGAGTCCTCACCTTCTGCGCAAAAACCATGGAAACAAGCTTTCATTGAACTGACGTATCTGTCTCGACAGTGGCAGCCGTCAGACGACCCTCCTTTGCACTCTTTTTGGATGGCCTCCTCGGAAGTGGATCAAAAGTTTCTTGGTTATTTTGCAAAAGTTACTACTAGGGAGAACAATTATCTTTCAAGGTGAGAGAACAGCGGCTTGACACTCAAGACCTCAATCCCAGGCTAACTGCTCACGACTCTGCCAGCTTTCTTTTCCGTGTCCTTGGTCTCTCGGTGATTCTGGCAGAAAAGCTTCTTCGTACACGCAGAGCGAAGCGTCTAGATCCTGTTCGTGACCCGAAAGCGAGACATCTCGTCCATCATATCCTATGGCTGGCCCGTGAAGGGCTCGTTATGGTGGAGCAATATGTACTTCCCATGGTGGGCAATTATGTCGAGCTTCGCGTCTTGTCTTATAAACTCAAGGCCTCTTTCTACCACATTTTCGTTCTCTTTCACAACGATCCGCCTGTCAACGACCGAATCAATCGTTCGAAATCCGGCTCTTACTCTCTCTTCCCTGACCCTTTGTCACCGAGACTCTCTTCCAAGACCTCTCCAACAGAACCAGCCGTTCGTTCTCCCATCAGTGGCCGTCAGCGGTCGCCGGCAATCAGCCTGGGCGGGGCACTGGGCGGCGTGACACGTACGCCTCCCGGTCTTCCCGGCCCGGCTGCACATCCCTACACGAACGGTTCAACCAACGGTGGTGACAACGCCGTCTTCCTCCTGCCCCTACACGATTACCGATCCTACGCAACCGAGGCGTTCCGCGAGGCCAACGAGCTTGCTGAGCGTCTGCTGCCTGGCTCCCATCCGATCCGCCTCTCGGTCAAGGTCGAGTTTGTCGCATACATCTATGATTGTTTGCATGACCCGGAACAGTCCCGTCGCATGGCCAGGACGAGCATCCGCCACGTCTACGAGGCACAGGAAGGCATGGATGACGACTCCTTCGAAGACGCAGCAGAGATGGTGGGCATCCTGGGGAGAATGATGAAGCGAGGTTTAGGCGGCGGTGGGAGTTCGGGAAGTCAGCAGCAGACGCAGGCGAGACAGCGGTCTGGCACTGCAGCCGGGAATGTCGGAGACAGCAGGCAGACTCAGGGTTCACAGCAGCCGACCACGTGGGTGTAGTGTTTGCCGAATGTTTCAGAGGCATCCCAATGTGAATGCTTAGTTCCTGAGCCCTGTAAAATCATGCATGGCATGACCTGGAATTCCATTAAATATTCTCAAGATTGGGTCGCCCTTACACAGTGATATTTCGCGTCTTTCTGACCAAAGAAACATTTGTCTCAAAAGGGAGGCATCTAAGATTGGACTTCCTTTGGCCAGCCGTCGAGGCCTCTTGTTGAAAGACTAGGAGGGCCAGGTGGGAATTTCATCGGCATGATTCAGCCAGCATTAGGGAGACCGTCAGGGTGAAATTGCGTGACGATCAGTCCTGATGAACCGGAGTCCGAGTAAGGGGGGTGAAATATAATGTATAGTATAATTAATGTATGGTCTGCCTGGGAAGCGGCGGAGAACATCAGCCCTGGAGTATCACTTGGGCTTCGCAAAGCATTCATATTCAAGACGAAATTTGTCGTGCTCCTCAGCTGGTAATCTGGCTCTTGCTGTCCAGACGGGTCGGTAGCCAGTCCAGTGTTGCCGTACAGTAATAATTCCTCGGGGGTTTCAATGCCCCTGATCCACAGCCTTGCGTTGACATCTGTCACTTCCGTTTCAGGCTTCAACCTTTTAGGGTGGCTGGTACTCGTGGGATCCGAGCGTCAGTCCAGCCTTCACATAAGAAAGAGACATGTCCAGGTCTCTGTAACTACTCCAAGCAAAGAACACATTTTTATTCCTACGAGTCGTGGTGCGAAACAACTGCAGTCTATCAAGCATCATCTTGTCGAGAGTGCACCAGACAGAAACCCTCCGACGCGACAATGAGACCAACCAGGCCTTTCCCTTCAAACCTCCAGCTCGTCGCCATCTTGTTGCTGATGTGGACATTGTGCGATAAAATGGTGGCTGGGATGCCTCATCTTGCAACACAACAGCTTCGGCAGCGAAGTGAAGATATTGATCAGAGGCTTTCGCACTCTGCCACCACCAAGGCCATCTCCAATGGAAAATCATTTTCTCCACAGCCTCAGTACATTGTACTCACTCCGCCCCTACTCCAGCACGATGTCCAGAAGCACAGCTCCGCCGAGGAGGTGGTCCAGATGTCTGCGAAGACGGCGTACCTGCCTGGTAGGCGGTGCCAGGGGACGCATGCCACTGGTTCGGATTCACCGGACAGGAAGGTGTCTGTGAGAGAAGATCCCAGTCGCGATGACTGGGAGGCATGGAAGCAACAGTTTCAAGCTCAACTAAGAAAGAAACGTTGCCGAACCCCAGGGGCAGATTGCTCGGCCAGAATGAGGAGGTGACCCAGACGTCAAAGGGAATGTGTGCTTTGGGGGGATGAAACATGGCACAAGTCCTCTGAGATAAGCGAAAGGGCTTTCAGCTTCGACTTAAAGGAAGCGGTCTGTGAGCAGTAAATTCAAGGGACCTCGCTGAGACAGGACACTGGGGGGGCTGCATGGGCGCTTTCAAGCCGCGGATGTCATACAGGATATCAAAGGTTCGGAACAACCGACAGACTGGGTTGTGTTGCGTATTGGCAATCAATCTGAACCGCATGTCAAGGCAGAGAAGCGAAGGCAGAAAAGCAAGGTAGAACACAAGAGATGGTGCATTGTACAAAGGAGAGAGATAAGGATGTGCAAGCTTGATGATTGAAAATGATGATGACAACGGCAGCAGCAGCAGTAGCCACCCGCTTTCTTTGAACTGTGTGGCCATTTCTGCCTCTACTCATTCCTTGACATAGAAGCAACGTGGTGAAAAAGAAAAGAACAAAGTGAAGATTGGATGAGATTGCATCAAAGCTAAGCAGTGGTGAGGTATCCGTAGTATCAATATAGTAGAGGAGTAATGACCTGGGTGGCAGACTGAATGTCCCTCCACGATTATTGTACCATTGTTCATAGCACGAGCGCACCACGAGCAACCTGAGGTGAATAGCAGCCCTTTGGCTCCTCTTCCTTTTCCTTTATTTTGTCACATCGACCTCATCTTCACCTCCATCGGCTGCGCTTCTTCTTTTTGCCACCGCTCTCTCCTCTATATCTACCACTCTCCCTCTACATCCACCACTCTCTCCTCTCTCTCTACATCCACATCGCTCCACGCCCGCCATCGATCTATTGTGACGCGCTTCCCACCTCCAACACTCTGGTACGGAATCCCTTCTCCCGACAACTCTTGCGGCGCCATCACTAAACTTCAAGCAGAGGAACACCCTCCATCTTCGCGCAACCACCCACGTTGCACACGCCTCCTCCTCAATTCTATTTTCTCATTGACACCCCACAATGTCCGACGCCGGTCAACCCTCTCCAAACGGTGCAGACAACCCCGCCGCCGCTGGGGGGAATGAGCATTTGAACATAAAAGTGACGGACGGAAATAACGAAGTCTTTTTCAAGATCAAGAGGAGTACAAAGCTCGAAAAACTGATGAAGGCGTTCTGTGAACGTCAGGGAAAAGATCCCCGATCTGCCAGGTTTCTTTTCGAAGGACAGAAAGTGCAAGGTCAGGATACACCGGAGATCGTAAGTCATGCTCCTTGCCTCATATCCCCTCCTCCAAGTATTAGTCATACTAGATCGTCCCATCGCGCAATGGGCTGAAGCGACACTGACCGCTTGTCTACAGTTGGAGATGCAAGATGGCGATTCGATCGAAGTTCACCAGGAGCAGATTGGCGGTGGTGCGTGAGAGCGCGGATAGTGATGGTGATGCGATGGGGCAGTCTGACGCGGCAGGAAGCAACTACGTACCATTGCATGGTAGGACGACACTTGCTACGAATGGGACGAGATTGCATCAGTGCACGATTACGAGAGGAGAAGACTTTTTTGCTTAGTTGCATGGGCTGGAGATGCAGACAGGCGCTCAGGTTTGAGCTGGAGGGTCACTGGACGCTGGGGAATGCAATCAATGATATCCAGAAAACTCTGGCCTGTGTGGCCCTGTTTCCCATTCAGTGCTGTCTTTTGTCCCATGATCGATCCCGATGTTGAGTTTTTCCAGCCTCTAACCTATCTATACTTCCAACGGGCTACCTTTCCCTACGGACACAATGCGCGCCGGTTCAGTTGGGGGCACACTCGGCACTCTTTGTCACAATTTGTCACTCAGGAAGCAGGCATAGCAGGATAGCTACCGTTTTGTATAATTACATCGTCTAGACTGTCATGTATAGATTGCGCCTAGCGAACACCCTTTTCGCCGCTCATCCCCTATGTACTCTCGGCAGTGGTTCTCGAGTCAGTCAGAATGTATGCACAACTGGGGACTCTGGCGAACGCTTCCAGGCGGGGGAGGAGGTGAACATTAGAGGTCACTCATCCCAGACTGCGGCCTTCGCCTTTTCCTCGGCCTCTCTTTCCCGCTCCTTCTCTTCCTTTTCTTTATTTCTCCGTCTGAGTTCCTGCTCTCTGACAGCCCGGTCGTATTGTCTCTGTTCCTCTGTCTTCTTAGGAGGCTTGATACCCAAGCCCGCTGCAATGAGTCGACTTGCTGTTGCCGTGGTGGTCTCTGGCCTCCTTTGCTCGCGGTCGATATCAGTGGGAGTCGAGGGACTGGGTGCGCCGTAAGGCTTCGGACGACCGCCCCCCAGCACTTGGGCAGGAGCCCAGTCAATGTGCTGGTCAGCATTTTCGGGAGAAATGGGTGTTGGCGGAGGTGGCTTCAGTGCTGGGTCTTGGGACATGGCGGGTTTCAGCTCGGAGCCTGCTCCTTCTGTGGGTGTCGGAGTGTCATCAAGCGAAGAGAGGTCGTCATCTTCCCAGGACTCAACTACCTCATCCTTCTTCGGCAGACCCTTGCGTTTTGGCTTGGGCTTGGGCACAGTAGGCAGGTCTATGTGCAGGCTGGCCAGCTTGGACTCCATCTATGGGAGCTTGGGAGCTTGGGTGATTTGTCGGAATGGATGTGGGCAGGTCGACAAGCAGCTTTCACTAGGGTTAACGACGACTGCCTGGTGCAAAGAATATGACGGGGACGAGCTTGCAGCCAACATCAGGTGATACCTTACGGGTAAGGTAGCAGCTGCATTTGGCCGGACCTCAACCTGCTCATTATCTGACGAAGCACAAGAGCATGGGGAGCAGCTAGCCACTGCACTGCATGGTTACGAAAACGTCACTTATACGCGACAGAACATGACGAATTATCGCAGGGAGGGGGGCACCACCAGGGGAGAAACCTCAAGCGGGACCCGGGGCAATGACATACTAAGGTACCTTAGGTACGTAGTACGAGTACAGTACCTACCTACCTCCGAAGTGCAATAGTACCTAGGTCTAGGTATCTACCTCAGGTACTTTAGTGCCCCAACTTTCTCTTGTACTATAACAATATCGGTGCCGAAGTGCCTACCAGGTACCTACCTAGTACCTAGGTTTGGCCCCTTGAGTCCCTGACTACGTATTGACTCTGGAGTACGGATCTGTACGGAGTAACATACCTCGGAGATCTTGCCTGTACCTGACCTTGGGCCGCGGTCGACACTGACCCCCGCTTTAGCCATGAATATCGTCGAAGACCTGGTTGAACAGTGTGTTGTCGAAGACTCGATGGCAAGCTGTTTGCCGGCGGATGTCGACCTCCACACAACAACACCAGACGGTGAGATTTTACCTTATGAAGGTATCTACTACGAGTACCTAGGTACCTACGTTGCCCTGACCCTCTCCAACAATCTCCAAAATCTCCAATGCCCATCTCCGGTCTCGCGAGATCACTGGTGGCCCTAAGCCTCTCGGAACGACCTTAGCGTCTCGGACAAGTCGACCGTCTGCGGTGTCGTGCATCTCGATGATGGCCGATCATCCTCCACCTCCATTCTTCTCTTCTGCCGAGATCGGGTTTGTTGGAACAACTTAGTTGGGCTTGTCTCCAGCTACAAGAGACGGTGCCGGACGTCTCGTACCCGTCTCCGCATTGCTATTGCGTATGTATATGTGCGGTTCCCCTCATTTGGTTGTCGAAATCTACGATAGTGCTATCGTTTTCACGAATCAACAAATACCCATTAGTCTACCCTCTACCGCGATTTCTTGTTTCTCCCGGGTCGTGAGCACGGGGTGGCTGACCTCACTCCTCCGCGGTTCTCCGAGTGATGTCGAGGGTTATATCGACGAGAGGATTCCGATCCCAGATAGCTTCACAACGAGCTCTGCACAAACATAGCACCTACGGCAATGCGTTTCCGTTCACAACTTCTGCCAACCGGCAATCCTACGCCGACACCATCCACAATCTCAAGATAGGCAAGCACACTCGCGTGCTATACCAAGGATTCACCGGGCGTCAAGCCACCATGAATGCCAAAGAATCTCTGGACTGGGGTACCAACATTGTCGGGGGAGTCAAGCCCGGATTCGAGGGTGAACATCTGGGTTTGCCAGTCTTGCCTTCTGTGAGAGTGGCAGTGGAGAAGCTCAAGCCGGACGCCAGCGCTATCTACGTGCCAGGAGACGGGACCGTTGCGGCACTGGAAGAGGCTATCGAGAATGAGATCCCTCTCATCGTGGCTGTTGCAGAGCATATTCCACTACATGATACATTAAGGATCCACGAGATGCTCCGCACCCAATCAAAAACACGGTTAGTTGGGGCTAACTGCCCAGGCATCATCAACGTTCAAGGCCGCTGTCGGCTGGGGTTCCAGCCTCTTCCCTTTTTCACCGAAGGTAGAGTCGGGATTGTGGCCAAATCAGGTACTTTGAGTTACGAAGCCGTAGCTTCGACCACACGCGCTGGCCTTGGCCAGACTTACTGCATTAGTATGGGCGGCGATGTTCTCGCCGGCACGAATTTCGTCGAAGCATTTCAGGTCCTGGTGGAAGATGAATACACTGAAGGCATCATCATGATAGGCGAACTCGGAGGCAGTGCTGAGTTGAGAGCAGCAGAGTGGATTAACAACTACAATCGCCGAATAGCCAACCCCAAACCCTTTATGGCTCTGATTGGGGGAATTCAGGCGCCCCCTGGCCGGATCATGGGTCACGCCGGGGCATGGGCAGCTCCTGGAGAAGCCAGCGCTGCACAGAAGATCAAGATTTTAGAAGACGTTGGAGTGACTGTGGTCGACCATCCTGAAAAACTCGGCGCCGGAATGAAGACGCTACTGGCTGAACGAACGTGGGCTGGAACTCAAGATAGAACGGCTGCTGGTGCGGGTCAACGGAGAGGATACCACACGGCACCGCGCAGACCTAAGGCGTTTGACCCAGGCAAATCGGTGGTAGAACAGCGCCGGAGACTGTACATCAAGCAGTCACAGGCATTCGATATGTTGAACGCAAGGGGAGTTCCCACGGTGGTCTCTCCCACAATTCATGAGGAGAAATTCATCGCAATTTCTATCGATCGAGAGATGCGGCAGCCTTGTATAATCGCATCACCGACCACAGATCCTTCACAAGCTTTCCAGCTATCTCGGAAGTTCCCTTTTGCATACGGAACAGATGCCCCGACCTCTCCGGACATGCTTGAAAAGGTATCTTCACACCTGGGCGTTTCTGGGAAGTGTCAACCAGCTCTTGGGAAGCTCATTGCTGGACTTGTCGACCTCTTCATGTCTAAAGAGGCATTCGTGCTTCAAACCAAGGTTGTCATGGGTGAAGAAGGGACCCTGCAGGTTCAAGGCGCGAAATTTGGGTTCGACGATGCCGCTTTCCGCAGTTCGAAGCGGCAGGCTGATATTCATGCTTTGAGAGACTTCCAGAGTGAGGTTCCTGAGGAGGTCGAAGCTGAAAATGAAGGCATGATCTATGTGAAGCTGGCGGGCGAGGGCAGTATCGGGACCATTGTCAACGGAGCCGGGCTGGCAATGAACACGGTCGATGCCCTCGTTGCCCGAGGTGGCCATCCTGCGAACTTCATGGACACGGGGGGCAAGGCAACGTCCGAGACGATCAAAGCTGGTTTTAGGATCGTCACGTCGGACCCGCGGGTTAAGTGCATCTTTGTTAATATCTTCGGTGGACTTACCCTGGGTGACATGATTGCCAACGGCATCCTGATGGCCTTTAGAGATCTCGACTTGAAGGTTCCCGTTGTGGTTCGAATACGCGGAACGCGTGAGGCGGAAGGACAGAAGCTCATCCGGGACAGCGGCCTCAAGCTTGACGCTTTCGGTAGGTCATCAAGAATTGCCAACTCACTTCAAAGCCTGTCGCTGTGGCTAACCGATGTGCTCGAAACCAGACTCCTTTGAAGAAGCGGCAGCCCGGGCGATCGCGATTGCAGCAGGTACAGAAAAGATGGAGTAAAGCATCTGGATTTCAAGATTTCTCTGCGATATGTTGGTTGGTATGCGTAATGCTTAGCATCTTGCATTTTGCAGGCACATAGGAGGACTCACAGGTAAGGAGTTTGGACGCATTCGGCTTTGCCGGCTCTTGAATCTACTTGCATGCTGGGAGTAGATGGGTGTCCCTGTTATTGCGCAGCAAAAGACGGTCGAGCCACAGACCAGGAGCCATTCGCTCTCTGACATGAAGCTACCGAATGTGCAAGTCGAAGCAATTGGAATAGACAGGCTCGTACGGAGCACATTGGGTATAGATCCCTCTCACTGGAGGCAGCCTGCGCCCGAGCGTGCCTGATACTGCTGACTCGGCACTAAAGGATTCGACTTGGGGCACAAGGGGGATTTATGGGGGAGCGACACACCAAGACGACGAATACCCCAATCAGGCCGACAACATATTGGACGATGCTCAGATACTCCCTCGGCACTCCGTAGTGTGTAGTAGGGCTAAGGCTAACGGACAAGGACCAGGATCTGACCTGGCTGGTCTCCTCGCCGTGCTGACTCTGGTACCACGGCACGTAACCTTATATATACAATCGTCCGCCAGCCCCGAAACAGAGAATGGCCAGTATTAGGTAGGGAGAGAGAGGACTCGAGAGTTGATTTCGCCTCCATCTACCGTATTGTGTGATCAATAAAACTGCGTCTCAGTCTCGACCAGGAACAAATAACGTGTTCTGCCACCATGGACACTACATCGGCTTACCCCCTCCCCCTCTTCTCGAACCTGACCGCATCGTCGTCGCAGCAGATCTCTGGTCTGTCGAGGTTCTGGTCGTACTACCTGTTACCTGTCCTTGTTGCCTATCCGCTCCTCTGCCGGGCCTTACGATTCCGACGCATCAGGGCGTTGCAAGCCAAGTACAAATATGGCAGTCCGGCACATCCATCCTTTGAAGGCATGACGGCCGACGAGGCGCATGATATTGTCCAGGTCGTGCATGATTTCGAATTCCCCGCCTTGTTCGACAAAGGCTTGCAGTTTGCCCTTTTTCGCACCTACGGCATTCCGACCATCAGCGATCTACTCGTCAAGACAGGCCAACTGTCCATGTCCAAGAACGTGCCGCGGCGGTATGCCGACACCACCGTCTTACTCTCTGACATATACGGCGGTGATCCCACAAGCGACCGATGCATTGCCGCATATGCTCGATTGAACTATTTGCATGGCCACTATATCAAACAAGGCAAAATTTCCAACGACGACATGTTATACACGCTGTCGTTGTTTCTCAACCAGCCGGTGGAATGGATCAACCGTTATGAGTGGAGACAACTCACCGATCTCGAGGTGTGTGCCATGGGGGTCTTCCATAAAGCTATGGGCGATGGCATGGGTATCTCCTTCAAAGTGCTGCCGTCGTACTCCACCGGCTGGAAGGACGGCCTCCATTTCTACCGCGAGCTCGACGCCTGGGCCAAGCAGTATGAAAGAGGCCATATGGTTCCCAGCCAGAGCAATTACGACACCGCCGTCGAGACGCGGAAACTCATCCTGAGTACACAGCCCACCTTCATCAGAGGTGTCCTTACGAAGATGGTCAGCGCTCCCTTGGACGATCGACTGAGGGAGGCTATCATGTTCGAAGAGGCCCCGTCCTTATACATCTCACTTTTCAATGGCTTCATGGCGTTGCGAAGATTCTACTTGAGACACTTGTCGCTTCCGAGACCATGGTTCAGCACGACCCAGTTATTGACCCAAGAACCCGACAAGAGTGGGCGAAGGTATATTCTCTGGTGGGACACGATGCCAGTGTATGTCAGACCAACCCTATGGAATCGGTGGGGCCCTGGGGCACTTGTCAGCATGTTGCTTGGTGTGCCTCGTCCTGGCGACGAAGGCATGCACCCTGAAGGATTCGAAGTCAAGGATGTAGGCCCAACAGTGTTCGTCGGGAAAGGGGCAAAGGAGATGGAGGCGACCAAGGAGAAGCTGAGAGAAACCAGCACGGGTGGCTGTCCCTTCAACGTCCGACGAGAGACGTAGCCCTTGAGCTCTGTGCCGATGCTAGAAAAAAGCACAGAATGTAGTATTGAGATCGTGCGCCCTGTGACTCGGCGGATACGAAGGAGAAGAAAGGTTTGCAATGGATGTTATCTGATCAATATGGACCTTCGGGCGGGCATCTCCAGGCTTAGGATGGGGTTGACCGAGCCCGACGCGAACCGCGCCTAGCCAGACATCCTGATCACAGGCTTCAAAGTACAAAAGTCTGGCTGTAGGGTGTCTCCAATTCCCCTCTGCCTCTGCATCCAGTCAGGTGGCATTCCAATTGTATACGAGCACTCGGAGTGTCTGGTACATTACCACATAATCACCAAAAATGGCGGGCTCCTGTAGTAGAACCCTGCTCTCTCTTCCTCGTCACTCCCTACCCGGATCTGCTCCTACCTCGTCGTCTTCTTCGGCCTCTCAGTCTATCCGCAGATTCCATTCATCGCCCGCCGCAATGTCGACTCTTGCTGCGTTCAAGATCCCCAACATCGCCAATGAGCCCAACAGACACTATGCCAAAGGCTCTCCAGACCGGGAAGGCCTTGTGGCTGCAGTAGCTGCGTTTCAAGCCAGGGCGCCTATCGACGTTCCTCTGGTGGTCTCCGGCAAATCCATCAAGACTTCTACCATTCTCACCCAGAACAACCCCTCCTCCCACTCCACCACCATCGCCAAATACTCCAATGCCTCCAGTGACGACGTCAACAACGCCATCGAGGGAGCCCTTGCCGCGAAGCCCGCATGGGAATCTCTCCCATTCGCCGATCGGACGGCCATCTTCCTCAAGGCGGCCGACCTCATCAGCACAAAATACAGATATGAGATCATGGCCGCGACAATATTGGGACAGGGCAAGAACGCATGGCAGGCCGAGATCGATGCGGCTGCTGAGTTGGCTGATTTCTTGAGATTCAATGTCAGATACGCAGAAGAGCTATACGCTCAGCAGCCACCTTACAATTCTCCGGGCATATGGAACAGAGTCGAGTACAGACCCCTGGAAGGATTTGTCTACGCCATCTCTCCGTTCAATTTCACCGCCATCGGCGGAAACCTGCCAGGCGCCCCGGCGCTGATGGGTAATGTGGTGGTCTGGAAGCCGAGTCCCTCGGCCATCGCCTCAAATTACTTGGTCCATCAGATTCTGCTAGAAGCTGGTCTTCCTGCAGGCGTGATCCAGTTTGTCCCAGGCGATGCTGAAGAGGTGACTAAGGTTGTCCTTTCACACAAGCAATTCGCTGCCCTGCACTACACCGGCTCGACGGCTGTCTTCCGCAAACTGTACAGTCAAATTGGCCAGGGTATCGGCGAGGGCAGATACAAAGGATACCCTAGGATCGTGGGAGAGACTGGTGGCAAAAACTTCCATTTGGTCCACAACAGTGCAGACATTGACAACGCAGTGGTGCAGACTGTCCGCGCAGCTTTTGAGTACCAAGGTCAGAAGTGTAGTGCTTGCTCCCGGTTGTATGTGCCGTCGTCGATCTGGCCAGAGTTCAAGTCCAAGCTGATTTCAACGACGCAAAAATTGAAGATCGGACCGCCAGAGGACTTTGGCAATTTCATCGGCCCGGTCATACACGAGGCCAGCTTCAAGAAACTATCCGGAGTCATCGATGCCGCAAAGAACGATAAGGATCTCGAGCTACTCACCGGTGGCAAGTACGACAGTTCCAAGGGATATTTTGTGCACCCCACCATCTACGAAACCAAGGATCCGGAACACAAGAATCTGAAGACCGAGTTCTTTGGCCCCATCTTAACAACCTACGTGTATGATGACTCGAAGCTGGATGCCTTTGAGCAAGCCTGCAAACTGGTAGACAGCACTTCCGACTATGGTTTGACTGGGGCCATCTTTGCGCAAGATCGTGCTGCCGTTAGATATGCCGAGGAGGCATTGAGAAACGCCGCTGGCAACTACTACATCAACTGCAAGTGCACAGGTGAGACGACATCCATTCCTGACCGGTAAGTGAAATAATGGCTGATCAGTTCACAGGTGCCGTTGTTGGCCAACAACCTTTTGGCGGGGCGAGAGCATCGGGGACGAACGACAAGGCCGGCTCGGCTGCTATTCTGTCGCGCTTTGTGAGTATGAGGGCACTGAAGGAAGAGACTCTCCCGACGACAGAGGTGGAATATCCTTCCAATGAGGTGTAAGATGCACCAGACGATGTTATGTATACCTCACGCTGTGCCAGACAGACTCCATGGACAATGAAAATGGCTTGAATGGGTGGAGCGATATCCACTGGCAGAGAGTAAGATATTCTATTGTACAGTAGTCTCCTCAACAGGAGTAAATATGTTAATAACCTCTAACGCAGGTGCGCGAGGAGAGGCTGATATCACGTGTTTCGCTGTTGGCGTGCCAGACACTGCTGGAGACTGTGATTTCAGGGGCATCATGGCAGCCTGCTGCCAGTGGGCCTTGACTCCCCACGGCCTAGCGCCTTCTTCACCGCCTTTGGTTTGTACTAGTACTAATATCACTAGTACCTAGTACTAGTACGGATACCTATCGCGCTGCGCAGCCAAAACAAAAGCCTTGGCGAAACCGCCTCCCCCTTCAAGTTTGTTGATTGAGCGAGGCCATTTCTCTCTGCTGCCCACAACCAACTGCACCAACTACCACTACCACTACTACAACCTCACAACCTTCTGACATCCTCCTCAGTGTAGCTCCTTGTTTGTCATCTTCATCTCTCCAGTCTTCGATATCCCTTCCAGCTACTCTTTGAATCCGTCAACATGCGTGAGATCGTAAGTTATCTTGCTACCCGCAGCCTGCGCTACGCGTCTTTGGACCTGTTTACCCCTTTGCTTTGTCGTGACCCCGCCATCGTTGAACCTTTGTGACCAACAACTGACTCGACCTCTCAAAACAGGTTCACTTGCAGACGGGCCAATGTGTATGTCACTACAATATCTCTTCTCACCTCGATACAGACTGACAAACCTAGGGTAACCAAATCGGTGCTGCCTTCTGGTACGCAGTCCTGAGACGCGACGATGGCGACCACAATCCATCTAACAAGAGCACAGGCAAATCATCTCCGGAGAACATGGCCTTGACGGCTCTGGAATGTATGTGCAGCACCATTGGCAAGCTTAAGAGCGGAACTGACAAATTTAGCTATCATGGCACCTCTGATCTCCAACTCGAGCGTATGAACGTCTACTTCAATGAAGTACGTACACCGACCCTATCCCTTGAAATCCACCCACTTATTCTCTTCTAGGCTTCTGGAAACAAGTATGTGCCTCGTGCAGTTCTCGTCGATCTCGAACCCGGCACCATGGACGCCGTTCGAGCTGGTCCATTTGGTCAACTCTTCCGACCTGACAACTTCGTCTTCGGCCAGAGTGGTGCTGGTACGAACTCCTGTTATCCAAAAATCAAGCGCAGAGAAGTAACAGGCATATAGGAAACAACTGGGCCAAAGGTCATTATACAGAGGGTGCGGAACTGGTGGACCAAGTCCTCGACGTGGTTCGACGTGAGGCGGAGAGCTGCGATTGTCTCCAAGGTTTCCAGATCACTCACTCCCTGGGTGGTGGTACCGGTGCTGGTATGGGTACGCTATTGATCTCCAAGATCCGCGAAGAGTTCCCCGATCGAATGATGGCCACCTTCTCGGTCGTGCCATCTCCCAAGGTCTCCGACACCGTCGTTGAACCATACAATGCGACCCTCTCGGTTCACCAACTGGTTGAGAACTCCGACGAGACATTTTGCATTGACAACGAGGTACGATCACACAGACTCCAGGTTGATTCTTTGCACTGACACTGTGTTTAGGCGCTCTACGATATCTGCATGCGTACTTTGAAGCTGGCGAATCCTTCGTATGGCGACCTGAATCACCTTGTCTCAGCAGTCATGTCCGGCGTTACCACTTGCCTGCGTTTCCCTGGACAATTGAACTCTGACCTCCGTAAACTTGCCGTGAACATGGTTCCATTCCCACGTCTTCACTTCTTCATGGTCGGGTTCGCCCCTCTCACCAGCCGTGGGGCAAATTCTTTCCGTGCTGTCACAGTTCCAGAACTTACACAACAAATGTTCGACCCGAAGAACATGATGGCCGCTTCGGACTTCCGCAATGGTCGCTACTTGACCTGCTCGGCCATTTTCCGTGGCAAGGTTAGCATGAAGGAAGTCGAAGATCAGATGCGCAATGTCCAGAACAAGAACAGCAGCTACTTCGTTGAATGGATCCCGAACAACGTGCAGACCGCGCTCTGCTCCATTCCGCCACGCGGTTTGAAGATGTCTTCGACTTTCGTTGGCAACTCCACTTCTATCCAGGAGCTGTTCAAGCGTGTCGGGGATCAATTCACTGCCATGTTCCGTCGCAAGGCTTTCTTGCATTGGTACACTGGTGAGGGTATGGATGAAATGGAATTCACAGAGGCCGAGTCCAACATGAACGACCTGGTCTCGGAGTACCAACAATACCAGGAAGCCAGCATCTCGGAGGGCGAGGAGGACTATGGCGAGGAGGAGGCGCCCTTGGAGGAGGAAGTGTAAATTGCTTTCATCAAAGGGGCACATATGTGTCTCGTGCACACTGACGAAATGATTGTGTCGTGTTGTCAACTCAGGCCTTGACCATTGATTGGTTTTGTTTGGCCATCAACCAACCCTTTTACTTTGTCCAGAGCGTAGCAGGGAGTTATGATGGATTAAAGACGGACACGGGACAGGGTCAAGATCGATCCAGGCAGCCTAGTAAGCATGCTGGCGGAATCCCGAATTCAGGTCGCAGCAGCGAAGATTTTAATCCAATGAATAAAACCATGGCAGGGCATAAAGCCGAAATCGAGCCTTCCTTGATGTTTCATCAGGTGGATGCGCGGTGGATGTGTTTTCGTAGGTTTCGAGTCTTCGACGTAGAGATGATGAACAATAAGAAAACGTCACAGCTCTCGGGAATATATAATATATATATAAGGTAGGCACCAAGTAGTAACACAACATTTAGACTCGACATCCATCTATATTCAACCGCATTTCCCTCTCGAATTGCTTCAACTTCGAGTTTTGGGATAAGGCCATTTACAATTATCATGGTACGCCAATTTGACATCTTCAATGGCTAGACTTTGCCTTGTGTATGGAGCATCGACCGCTAATTCATCTGTCAGGGTCGTTTACAAGATGATCTGAACACCAAACCTCCTTGCCACGCTAGAGCGGTAACACACACACTCTCCCGGACCTCATCCTGTGCTCGCTTTGCTGACCTTGAATATTCCCGCAGTGTGCTATTCAAGGTATGTTGAGCATTGCGGCAGATACTCATGTCTTGACCGACGCCCTCCGTACCAGGATTATCGACTTCGTGTCCGGACGCTGATCAGACTCTCTTGCTTCGGAAAAGACTGCCTGCAGAAGAACAACTACAAAGAGGAAAAGTGCCAATCAGCAGTAGATGCTCTGTATGACTGCTGCAATGAATTCTACAATCAACAGGGCGACGAGGCCACTACACCTTCCTGTCCGAAACCCAAGTTGCTACGGCTGAAGATCCAGCAACGTGGACAGAAGTGATCACTTTGAGGAAAAGAACATACGCACTCCAAACGGTTCGGCCGTTAGATCTGGATCACCAGGCAGAGGTTAGACTGCGCGGATTCCCGGCGTTGCATATCCAAGGAACATTCTATCAGGCTAAGACGGGCTGTATGTAGCATATCGACTTTTTTCTGTCTGAACCATCATCCCTTCTTTCGGAGGTCTGGCCAGCTGAATAGCGAATGCAGGCTATTTTCTTAGGCAGTCGTGAGCACGCAAAGAGACCCCGTAGGATCTGAACAAACATTGAAGGAAATAAAAGGTCTGTTCCGAGACTCTAATGACCACCTTGAGACATTGTTGGAGAAGAAAAAGAAGAAGAAACCGAGCAGAATCGTGGGAGCGGCAGTTTTATGAAGAATTGTTCGCCCAACGACCGTTTTGGGCCTAGCGCCTCAAGCCTGCGCGTCGTTCTGTCGCGTTGTTAAGTCGAATGTGAAGAGACTCGGCCGTTCTCGAGAACTCGACTTGGCCATTGACAGGCATCTCTGCTTCCAAACGTCCCTGACCCAATAGGCCTTCTTGATTGTAATTGCTGGCCATGGCTCCCATCACTAGGTCATCTGTCCATGGAAGACCTACAGACCGGTCGCAGGTGAGCTCCTACCGCACTTCAAAACACTGTCGTAGCGAATGTGCTGACTCCCGACAGGACCGATTCGAGGAGCCCCTCTTGCCCAGTGACGAGGAAATGGCCGACAACTATGAAGCCGAGTCTTCACAGGAAGGTGCGATACTTTCTTCCCGGTGCCGGTTCTATAGCCGTCGACAAGCCTTTTCAGTCGAGGGCGACGGATCTGGAGCTGAAATGCTGATCAATACAACAGATCCTCAGTCCCCCTACCAATCTACTGCACAAGAGATTCTTCGACCTCTGCAAGACACCGCCGATCGAGTAAGCAAGCAAGTCGAGGAGTTTGCCAAAGCACTGGACAAATTTGTGGCCAATCGAGAGCCCACTGATGGCTCACTCTGGGAAGATGCTTTGGTACTGTTGGACCGCTACAGCAAGATTGCTCAAATCAGGAAAACAATCACAGCGGCCGATGACTCGGATTCCCAGACGCAGACGCAGACACAGAAGGTCCTACTGGAATCCGATCTATGGGGGCTAATTCGAAACTTGCTGTATTGCAACTCTCCTGACACGCTCAACAGCGCCCAGATTGCTCAAGAATCAAGGCTAGGGGGTCTTCACCGCTATTCAGGCAACATCGAACTGTGGACAGCCTTTCTGGACTCTGACGTGGTCGCCCAGCAATATGAATGCATATTGGCATGGTTGCAAGACAGAGCAGCTGATACTTCGCCGCCTATTCAAACCCAACTTAAGACCCTGCTGGAGAAATCGGAGCGAGGGGAGGGCGTCTGGAGTGCTGGACCCGTCTACACACAGACTGCGATTAAGCAACAGAAACGAACCCGAGCCTTGTCAGGGCCGCTGGACCCTTCAATCCAAAATCTTAACCGCTCTCATGCGCGGAAAGGCGATCGCAAATCCCTCGTTGCACAACTGGATCCTGATTCTCGAACCCGCGAGTCGGCTGTGCTACAGGAAGAGGACGAGTATTACGAGCAGGCGGCTTGGCGAACTTGTTGGGAAATGCTGCGGCGGGGTCAAACAGGCGCAGAGATTCAGTCATGGTGGGCGGAACGGAGAGAGGTATGGCGGTATGCCGTCGTGCGAGGCTGCAGCCCGAATATGGGTGAGATGGCAAATTCACCGTGGCTTCGTATACTCAACCTCGCATCGAACGCAGAGTGGTCGGAACGTTGTTACAGTCTTACTCGAAACCCAGCTATTCTTGATGTCTACCAAAAAGCCGTCTACGGTGTCCTTTGTGGTGAGATGGAAGTCTCCAAGTCGGCGGCAAAAACGATCGATGACCACCTCTTTGTCATCTTCAATGCCCTTCTGATCCAGCGATATCAACACTACATCCAAGCTTATCGACACAAACTGGGCAACCCCGAGGCCATTGTATACCATCCGCAACCTTCGGCAATCACTCAGATTCGACAGTATGCCGGCAAGGCTCCCTCAGAGCCGACGACCAAGGACGAGACTCATCTCCCGCACAAGCTGTTGGAATTGACTATTGTGTCAAAAGACTTCGACACGTTTTTTGTTGGCATGGGAAAGGCTGCTGCTCAGGTGGCCCATGCCACCGGTCTAGGATCACACCTCATGAAAGACAACGATGATGATGTCAGTGATGTTGCTCGGATAAACGCTCAAGATCAAGACTCCGTCCGCATGGTTGTTCACCTGCAACTGTTACTCCGGGCGCTGGGCTTCCTGGAATCGTCCTACACGAGCCATGAGTATGAGATGGAGAACAATATCGCCAGTTATATTGGCTGGTTAGAACGCGAAGGCAAGTTCTCCTTGCTTCCTCTGTACGGCTCCAAATTGTCCGAACAGAGAAGACCGCGCGTTCTAGGAGCAATTCTGATCAACGTGACGGATCGTCGAGAGCGTGATTTGCAAGTCAAGCTCATGAAACAGTACCACATCGATATTTCAGAGGTTGCATATGGTATTTTCTGGCTTGCCAATATGGATACAATCAAAAGACTTCGCAACATGACGGAAATCCCGACCCCGCCCCGGATTACAGTCCCAGGGGCCACGACCAGCACAGCCCAGCTCAGAGTCCGCCCAGGCTTAATGGCCGGGGAGGTTTCGGATGCGGATGACAAGATTATTCGAAGTGTGGAATGGTATCGATATGTGGATGCGGAAAACTGGGGAAGTGTCGCCTGGTCTGTGACCGTTCTGTACAAAATGTTCCTGGTGGAGGGAAACTTTGTGGCTTTGCGCCAGCTACTGGACCGCGCCAGCTTGTCGGAGATTTCTCTCGCTGCTGTTGGGATGAATCTCAACTTTGCGGACGACGAGCCCCCCGCAGACGACGAGAAAGGTGAAGACGAGGAAACGGATGACGATCACATTCAACCCATCAGCCCGAGCCGCAAGCGAAAGGATCCGATGCCCGAACATCCCTTGGTAAAAGCAGGCACCGATCGCGGAACGTTAGCATACAAATCTCTGGTCTGGCGGCAACTGGAGCAGCTTGTCGCTGCTATCGACAGCCTAGATGTCTTCCAAGAGATCGCCGACAATCTTGAAGCGTGAGTGCCATCTGAGAATGTCTTGGAAAAGTACTAACGTTGAGCAGGAATCGAATGAACCCGGCAGCAGTACGATCGTGCAAGCGTGACATGAAGAAGGCGCTTGAGGACGTGCGGCAAGTCATGCAGCCTCTGTTTGACCCAGAGTTCTTGTGCCGGTCTCAGGATGATATGGAAGGGGTTTTACTGACAGCCCTCCGCAACCATTACATTCCCGAATGTATCCTAGCTTACAACAGTGTCTTGTACTGTGCAGGACACTATGTTTCTCGGGTGTGGTTGGTCGAGTGTTTGGAACTCTCCCAGCTAGTTGCGCAAAACCCCACGTTGACGGACGCTTTCGTCGAGGGTGGCCGGATGAAGGAACTTGTCAGGGCGTTTGCACTTGACAGCCGGGCGCTGCTGGAAGCAACGGAGCAGAGCGGATCGAAGACTAAAAAGATCAAGGCGGAAAAGGGAAACAGTGACATCTGGAAAGTCAGCTGGAAGCAACAAGGCCCCGTTGATCTGGAGGCCCTGGATTGAGGAAGGGAAGCTACGCTGGCTGATGACACTGGCACAGTACGTACTGCTCTCGGTTAAGCTGGGTTGGTGAATCACAACCGCGACTGTTACAGCCTTGAATGGGACTCGCATGGCGGGAATGGAGCGCTGTGTTGCATTCCATTCTGACTTGTCGTTGCTCGTGATTAGATCGGGACGTTGCGCACGTACCGAGACCGTGTGTGCATGCAAGCTAAGATGCCATCTACAAGGCGTGGTAAAAGACGATGGCGTGGTACATACCTATGTACGTATTAGGTCGTACCAACCAATTTCCATGTATTGCTTAGAGACATTGCTTACAGACTACTACCACTTATCCCCTAGGCCATTTGTAAGGAATCTTCTACAGGCCGCTGGGGTGATCAAAGGCAGGGCGGGCGGAGAGTTACAAACTGCACGGAGGATGGAGTAGGTAGTGTGTTAGTCATGCTGATGGGGCCATTGGCGTTCAGCCTTGAGATTGACATGCGCTACTAGTGCGCGATGCTGCGCCGCACCGCGATACGTTGCGATCATAAGGTAATACAAATGATTACCTACCTAATGCATATGTGTTGTCGAGTGAGTTTATCGGGATGATGATGACGACGCCGAGCGAGTGTCTTTATTACTCCGCGGAGGCATACGCTATACTATACCATAGGTACTGTAAGGTACATAAATGAATGGCTGTCCGTACATATATGTATGTGTATGGAGTACGGATACAGACTCTTAACATATATGGTACGGTAGGATCGCCGTCTGGCCTTAGGTCTGTTCCTCCTTTTCTTTTCAGACACTGCAGCATCCATCAAACCCGCCACTGCGACGACACATCCATCATACTCGCCACTCTGACGACACAGCCTTCCCGAGTGCACTGTAACACGCAACACAGAACACGAAACACGGCCGACACAGCCCTCGAGGCCTAAAGTTTGGAGTACGCGTCAACGCACCTCGGAGTGCCTTACTGTAAGCTGGATCGGTGCCTTAGGCTAGCCTAGGTACCATTTCTCAGCTCAGGATGACCGACACCACCATCCTCTACGGGCTCACAGCGCTGCCGGCCGACCAAGCGCTACAGAGGCCGAGAACGGGTAGTCCCTGTGCGATGGAGATGTCGTCGCTGCAGCCACCGCGGACGGCACTGGCAACGCGCGTGGCGGCGTATGCAAAGTCGAAACTCGACCCGGACACCTACCGGCACAGCCAGCGCGTGTACAGCTACGGCTGCGCCATTGCGCGGCAGTGTTTTCCCGAGTTTGGGCTGGCGCCGGACTCCGCGCTGGAGGAGACGTGGTTCCTGACGGCGATGCTGCACGACATCGGCACGAGCGCCGAGTTCTTGACCAACACGCGCCTCAGTTTCGAGTTCTGGGGCGCGTTCCATGCCTTGCAGATCTTGCAGAGGCCGGATCTCACGGCCGTCCCGGGTGCCGCGCAGCAAGAGAGCGTGGCGCCGCAGGAGCAGGCAGAGAGTGTGGCCGAGGCCATCATCCGGCATCAAGACATCCAGGACAAAGGGAGCATCACTTTGATCACGCGCCTCATTCACCTCGGCACCCTGCTCGACAATATTGGCGCCGGCGCCGAGTTGGTCCATCCCCAGACCATCGACAATGTCGTGCGCCAGTACCCCCGGCCAGGCTGGAGCGGTTGTTTCAAGCACACCGTGCACAGAGAGAAGGACTTCAAGCCCTACGCCATGGTCAGTCGCATCGAAGGATTCGAAGAACTCATCGAGAAGAACGGCGCTGCCGGTGGACTAATGGCCAAGTATGACTGACTGACTGACTGAATGCCCACCTGCGTGACGGTCCGCCAAAATTGGAAGAGTCATTGTTCTTGGTGTGATTGAGAGTGTTGGTCGAGATGAAGTAGTCTGATGCACAACACAGGTTGTGGCCATAGGGAGACAAATCATCGTTGCATACGTTTTGCATCATGTCTTTTTGCTGTTTTGCAACATGTTTTGTTCTCATTTGCATATTCGACCGGACTTTTGAGTCGGATTCAGTTCAAAGTATCCGTACCAGTGTCCAAGGAGGACAATAACTCCTCTGTACCTACAGGTAACTTTGTGCTTGACGGTTAACATGCTATGATGTCGGCTCCACGGTTGATGTCTGCTCCTTGCTTTTTGCTCGAAAACGTTGACAGGGGTCAGGGGCCGGGCTGGCGACCTCACTTTAAGCAAACCTCGTCCTTCGAATGAACCAAATTAAGGCTTCGGATCAAAACCTATGATAACGCGTCGGTAATCAAAGCCTACTACGAAGACAACTTCTCCACCTTCAAGATATTCAGGTTAAGGCGCTGCCCAGCTTCATGGCGTCTCCCTGGTGCAACGCCAAAGCCGTTGTTTGATCAAAGTCTTGTCGTGGGCGCCCATGTTTGTGTCTCCTAGAGATCCGAGCAGTGACTGGCGCTGGGATCTCCGCTGTATTATGAGGTGCCGATCTTGGCTCCCTACCCTTATCACAGCCGATGAGATTGTAGCAGATGTGATGTACGAGTACTGCTTAGTCGGTCCGAAAAGACGTCGGTCTCGCTTCAGACGAGGGACGGGGACCTGCGGCAAAAGGAGGATGGAGTCAACTGTGGAGGCAAATTGTGATACAACTCGATAGACCGGAGACGGTAGGTAAGAAAATAGAGCGGTATTCCTTCGTCAGCTGGGGCCTAGTCTCGTCAAGAGGCGATCCTAATTGACATACACTGGATTCCCCGAAAATGAGCAGTGGTGAGAGATGGATCGCTGACAGGGAGGGAGCCTGGTTGGCAAGGTCTTAGCACGGTGGCAGTGCAAAACGCCCTGGCCAGCATTTCATCTTTCAATTGGCTGAGAGCAGCGTCCAGCTGCAACGCCGAGATACAGTGGGAGTCGGGGAGGCGCTGTGAACCAAGCGGCGGGGCACGGGTAGAGTTGAGTTGTTTTTTCTCCTTTCTCTCCCGTCAGATGGAGGGTAGCCGCTGAGCAAGAAAAAGAAGGGTGTTGAGAATGGTGTACTCCGTATAACGGTGTTTGAAAGGGTCCAGCAACCCGTGCCACTGATCTGAGGGCGCAGGCAAGGCCTTAGGCATGGATCACTGACCAGCCTGGCGGCGGGAGGAATCTCCGATGGATTACCTTATTATTGTGGTCCTGTAGTACGGAGTACCTACTAGGTGCCTACGGAGTAGACAGTTATAGTACAGAGTGCGGATACAGTGTATTGAGAAAGCGCCTCTGGAACTGCAGTAGGAGCACCAGCTCCCTGATGTGGCCTAGAAGACACACAACTAAATAACGCTATGGACTACTAGGTACTAACGGCCTCGTGCTTGCTGGGGGCTTGGATGGGTTTCGAGTCGCATAAACTTGACTTGGCTACTTTAAGCATGGGCTGTTGACAGCACTAGTAAATACTCCGTACTGCGGCCTGCATTCCATGCTTCGCCTCTAGACCATCTGCACCGTCAGTCAACTCATCGCCTTGTACGGAGTACCTGTAGTCTTTTCCCTCATCCAAACCATAATGGCATGGCGGTCTGCCTGGTTCCATTTGTACATTCTTTTTCCTTTCACTATTCACTTTGTCGGTTGAAGTTTGGGCTCTTTCTGTCCTCCCCCCTACACGAGCATTCATCCTCCCAGTAACATCTGTTGCTTGTCCTCCTTCCACGCGGGTACATGGCACCACCACAACACCCTCCTATCCCGAGACCCTGGTCTGGTCGAGAGACTGCAGTGCTCTCTCCTCACCTGACAGTCGGCGTGACTGTGACTGTCGAGCGCAGTCTACTATCCTGAAAGTACGTCGAGCACTGGGATTGTGTTGGTCGATTTGCTATTTGGGTCCTGCGCTTGCTCTGGCCATTCTTCTTGGGTACGCGGCTGCCTCCCATTCGTTCGCTGGTAAAGCAATGTGTCTCACAGTCTATCATAATAGAACCTCCTCAGCTTATGCCATCCGTCTGCACAATATAAGCATCTACTTCTCCTGCAAGCCGGACGTGTCTGCCTCTTTCGCCTTGCCGCTCCTTGGACTTTCTCGCAATACATTATTGGTTCAGACCGGTTTGCAGGGACTAAGAAAGAGTGGTTGAAAAGGCTTGGGAATCGGTTCTGGGTTCTGTCACACATATATTTCGGCGTTCGCATTCGATTTCCACAATGTCTCCAACACCTCCCGAAGGGCAAGACTCAGACCCGCCCAAACCACCACCAACCCGGCCACGAGCCCCAACGATTAGCATCGACGATTCCGCCGTCTATCAACCTTTTGGGCAACCTTTCAGCGAAGCCTCTGATAGACCTGGACTGTTGCCACGCATACAAACCGCAGGCCTCAACCAGGGCTCCAGCCCGTCGTCTCCCCCCTCAGTTTCTCCTACCGATGTTCGCGCATCATTTGACACTCGCGAATCGCGCCCGACCTCTCCACACAATGTTTCGTCTCCCAGAGCCCAGTTCCTGGATGGGCCATCCCCTCAAACCTTCCTTTCCGTTCCTGGATCCAGGGCAAGGGCACCGTCTCTGGAGTCGGAACTGTCTCCTACGTCTGAGTTTGGCGGAGATACACAGATAGCATCGAGTACATCGGGGTTGGACGAACAAATGAGCAAGGGCTCGTTCAGTAACAACGACGAGGTCATGAACGATGCGGAGGCGCTGAGACCGGATCCTGGAACCGAGGCCGATTTTCAAGTTGAAAACAACAAGTTCGCTTTCACCCCTGGCCAGTTGAACAAAATGATCAACCCCAAGAATCTGGCGGCTTTCCATGCTCTGGGTGGTCTGGCTGGGTTGGAAAAGGGATTGCGGTCGAATCGTCATAGCGGTTTGAGCGTGGACGAAGCTGGCCTAGAGGGGGCAGTCACCTTCGAAGCGGCTGTGCAAGCGGGTGTGGAATCCGAGGAGAAGTACGGGACCGTTAACAGAAGCAACACCGCCGGCTCGATGACCGCTCCCGCCAAAATATCCGAGACTTCGTTTGCCGACCGCAAGCGCATCTTTAAGGACAATCGACTTCCGGAGAAAAAGGTCAAAACCTTTTGGCAACTGGCTTGGATCGCCTACAATGACAAGGTCCTTATTCTCCTCTCTGTGGCGGCTGTCATATCTCTCGCCTTGGGGATTTATCAAACCGTCCGGCCTGCTCCATCCGAGGCGCATGAGGCTCATGTCGAATGGGTAGAAGGTGTGGCAATCATGGTCGCCATCTTTGTCGTCACCTTTGTCGGGGCCCTAAACGATTACCAGAAAGAACGCCAATTCGTGAAGCTGAATCGTAAGAAGGAAGAGCGCTCGATCAAGGTCATTCGTTCCGGTAAATCACAGGAGATCTCCGTTTACGACGTGCTGGTCGGAGATGTAGTGTACCTCGAGCCAGGTGATCTCATTCCAGTGGATGGTGTCTTCATTCAAGGTCACAACCTGAAATGCGACGAATCTTCTGCGACTGGTGAGTCTGATATCATTCGGAAAACCGCAGCTGATGACGTCTACCACGCCATTGAAAACCATCAAAATTTGAAGAAAATGGATCCCTTCATTCTTTCGGGCGGGAAGGTCACTGAGGGTATTGGTACCTTTCTCGTGACATCTGTGGGAGTCAACTCCAGTTATGGCAAGACGTTGATGTCTCTACAAGACGAAGGGCAAACGACACCTCTACAGTCGAAATTGAACGTGTTGGCCGAATACATTGCCAAATTGGGGTTGGCCGCAGGACTATTACTTTTTGTGGTGCTCTTCATCAAGTTCCTGGTTGAACTCAAGAATATGGATGGTGGTGCCCAGTCGAAAGGTCAACGCTTTCTTCAGATCTTTATTGTTGCTGTTACCATTATCGTGGTTGCAGTGCCTGAAGGTCTACCATTGGCTGTTACTCTTGCTCTTGCCTTCGCTACCACCAGGATGCTCAAAGACAACAACCTGGTGCGACTTCTCAGGGCGTGTGAGACCATGGGCAATGCAACCACCATTTGCTCGGACAAGACCGGGACATTGACACAAAACAAGATGTCTGTGGTTGCCGGCACGCTTTCGACTGCCTCCAGATTCGGCGACAAGCAGGTCCCAATGGATTCTACTGGTACCCCCAACAAGAAACCGGAAGGCCGAAGCAACGCATCTAATGATGTTTCCCCGGCTGAGTTCATGGCTACACTCTCGTCGGACACCAAACAACTGCTCCGAGATTCGATCATACTTGACTCCACGGCTTTCGAAAGCGAGGAGAACGGCAAACGGGTTTTCATCGGGTCAAAGACTGAGACTGCTCTCCTTTCCTTCATTGTGGATTATCTCGCCATCGGACCCATTAGTGAAGAACGAGCTAATTCAGAGGTTGTTCAAATGGTGCCTTTTGATTCGGGTCGCAAATGTATGGCTGTGGTCATCAAGTTAGCTGACGGCAAATACCGCATGCTAGTCAAGGGCGCCTCCGAAATTCTCATTGCGAAATGCACCAGGATTATCACTGATCCGACCAAAGGGACTGTCGACTCACCTATGACTGCTGACCAGATGGAGGCGTTGAACGACATTGTCAGCAATTATGCTTCTCGATCCCTGCGTACCATCGCACTGTTATACCGCGATTTCAATGAATGGCCCCCACGAGGTGCTGCTTCACCAGAGGACAGGAAACAGGCGGACTTTGACAAGGTCTTTAAGGACATGGTCTTCCTTGGCGTGGTAGGCATCCAAGATCCACTGCGTCCTGGAGTCACGGATGCTGTTCGTGACTGTCAAATGGCAGGCGTGTTTGTTCGCATGGTCACAGGCGATAACATCATGACGGCTAAGGCTATTGCAACCGAATGTGGCATATATACGCCGGGGGGAATAGCTATGGAAGGGCCGGTCTTCAGGAAGCTCAGCTCCAAGCAGTTGAGTCAGGTCATTCCCCGCCTGCAGGTACTCGCCAGATCCAGTCCAGAAGATAAGAAGCTACTCGTTGGTGTTCTGAAAAGACTTGGAGAGACTGTGGCGGTCACTGGCGATGGTACCAACGATGCACCTGCCCTGAAGACGGCCGACGTGGGCTTCTCCATGGGCATTGCAGGAACAGAGGTCGCAAAAGAAGCATCCGCCATCATCCTCATGGATGATAACTTTGCATCAATTGTGAAGGCTATATCATGGGGGAGGGCTGTCAACGACGCTGTGAAGAAGTTCCTTCAGGTATGTCTTTGATTTTGGACCACAGTGAACGTACTGATCAGGTTACAGTTCCAAGTTACCGTCAACATTACGGCTGTCATTTTGACATTTGTCTCCGCCGTTGCAAATGATGATGAAAACTCGGTACTGACCGCCGTGCAACTGTTGTGGGTCAATTTGATCATGGATACCTTTGCAGCACTTGCATTGGCCACTGACGCTCCCACGCCCTCGATATTGAGACGACGACCAGAGCCTAAGTCGGCACCCTTGATCACCGTCACGATGTGGAAAATGATCATCGGACAGACCATCTATCAGCTTGTAGTGACGCTGATTCTGTACTTCGCTGGAGCAAGCATCCTCTCTTACGGCACCCAAGGCGAAAGGGATCGCCTGCAGAGTACCATCTTCAACACGTTTGTCTGGATGCAAATCTTCAACCAATACAAGTAAGAATAGCTGTACCACCGTCCATTCCCGAGCTTACTGACTATTTCTTAGCTCGCGACGACTGGACAACCATTTCAACATCTTCGAAGGAGTGCTACGAAACTACTGGTTTCTTGGTATCCAGCTCGTCATCATTGGAGGTCAATGTTTGATCATGTTTGTGGGTGGTCAAGCATTTTCAATCCACAAAATCAATGGTGCTCAATGGGGTTACTCGATAGTGCTCGGCGCCCTTTCCATACCTGTGGCGGTGATCATCAGATTGATCCCGGATGAACTCTTCGCCAAACTCATACCAAGCATTCCCCACCGCAAAAAGCGTGGGCCCGAGTTTGTTGTTGAAGATGACGAGGACAGGGTCCGGCATTGGAATCCGGCCCTGGAGGAGATTCGAGAAGAGTTGACATTCCTGAAGAAGATCAGAGGCGGTCGCATGTCAGAGTTGGCATACAAGCTGCAACATCCACGAGATACTTTCATGCCACGCTCACGAAGTCCGTCCCGTTCTCGTTCGAACAGCGAGTTACCCCAGACCCCGGACGCGGAACCGGCTGTGGCTGACACCTCATCGGGCTCACCTTCCACTCCTGAGAGACTTCGACGACGGGCAAGGTCCACCTCCTCAGTTTTCGGACCTGCAGCGGCGATGGCCGGAATTATCGCTGGTAGTGTTGCTGGGGGCTGGTCACCGGTCGAGAGGCGTCCTGAAGAACAGGAGACTGTCCGGTTCATGCGGGCTCGATCCCATTCTGGGGTAGAGGGCACGTCTGGGATGGAAATCCACCCAGCCACACCGGCCGAAGATCCCGTCTTTGCACAAATGTCGCCTAGGAGTGGTGTCCCTCCGAGCCAGGATCCTGAGTTGGCACCTCATTTTGAGCACGGCCCTCCGCATAGTCCCAGTACTGGTCGACCAAGAGGTTCTCACTCCCGGCAGTCGTCGTCCGCCGCCTGATGGCAATATTATTCCAATTTACCACGCAAAGCAGGTGCTGTGCATTGGCACTAAGACTAACAGTTACGCACCCCATCAAGCCCTTTTGGTGTCGCGGCGACGTCGCGACGACGTCGAGGCTCTCTGAAGACCAGTCGCTCATAACTATCACGCGATGGCGCCCGTGTTAGGCAAACTGTCGGGGACTCGATCTGGCACATCCAACAATCAAAGCTGTGTCATGAAAGGATGTTGAGATGTGGTGTGGTGTCCACTATGGCTTTCTTTGAGCGGCCGGCAGCTATAAAGTTGGGCTGTAGCCTGACAGGCAGAGCAGATGCACGGTCCGACCAGATGACTCGCTGAAAATAACGGTGGCAGAGCGCAGGTTATCAAATTGTAGGATACACAGCAGAGGAAAAAGCCCGTAACACATACATAAGTCTACCATGCTGTACAAACAGCACTTTGCACTGCATGGCGCTATGCTCTGGGGGGGTGACGTGCAACCATCTACTCCGTACTACCTAATACCCTCGATATAGGTACCTAGGTAGGTATCCGTGATGCGGCGCCGTGCGCTCGTATTACTGATCAATGCTACCGACCACCTCGTAATTATAGGTACCTACAGAATGTGCTTCTGCCACTACTACTGCAGTGGTGGATGCCTACTGCATAGTAGTAGTATCTACGTACTATCTATTACGTCGGGGCCGCCGGAGGACTGTCCATATCGGTCTGTGTTTGGATCCCTGGGTTCTTAGGCCGAGAGGGGCCGTGAGGCTGAGCCGAGGCAAAAGGGGGATTGGGACGGGCGGCATCCCAGAGGATTAGAAGGACTCCATACTGTAGACCTTTAGGAGCGGGATTTGCCTATACGGAATACGCGTTGCGTACGTAGTGTATCGTCGTATCATCTCTGGCGGGCCAAAAAGGCAGCGAAAATCCAAGCGTTTGACCTGCGCTGTGGCTCCCAACGAAAAGTTATACGGACTAGGCACGGATACTCCGTACACTGTACAGCATCTTCCATGCGAAGCCCAATGCCCAATAATTACCCTCTGTTCCTCGGACCCTTCAGAAGCCCCTAAGCCCCATAATTTCTGGCCTTCCGTCTTTACCATCTTCTGCAACCTCCATCGTTGACATCGGGCGGCGGCCCCGGGTGGCCAGTCGTTTTCCTATCTGCAGAACATGGCTCCAGGCCAGTCGAGGATAAATACTATCCTTTCCTTCTCTCTATTTCCACGATCACCCAGTCTACTCAGCCGGAGATCATTCTACGTTGCATCTTCCACACCGTCAGCGCTCCCCTTCACTTCCCTCCGACACACCTTCCTGCGCCCGCAACACCACCGCGGTCTCTCTGGCTTCCTGACCTCAACAGCACGCTCAGGTGCCCTGCAAAGCCCAGTCCGGCGCTCAAGATCGAGAACAAGTAGTGTCCCGAGTTTCTATTCTACAGGTGCGTCCAAGTTCATTGTCCACGGCGGCAGGCACAACAGTAGACTAAATCCAGTGTAGTTGTCGTTCACAGCAAAGGGAAAGCGCGATTCCGGAGAACAGTCAGCTTCCTGATCATCAGCACCTGCTCCTTCCTTGTCGGAGGCTACTACGCGCTCACCTACGCTCCTCCCATTCTTACGCCGGCTATCATGGGCTCCCTCCCCTCCGACGTCGAGACACTCACACTCTTTGAGCCTCGCGATGCCTTTTCCCGCGACGTGGACGACCATATTAAAAATTGTGCCTTAGCACAGTCCTTACGAGCGAATCCGGACTTCAAAGAGTCGAGGCCACACCTCAAGATTCCGCCTGAAGTCCGGCAACACAATTTGACTGCGGGGACTTTGTCCGGGCCGAATATGCTCGTGGTGCCACCCTACCACTTTAACGAGAAGGATGGCAAATCCATGGTACAGATATTCTATGTGGGTACAGATATTAGTGGCCATCCAGGCGTCGTTCACGGCGGGTTCCTGGCCACAATGCTCGACGAAGGGCTTGCACGGTGTGCATTCCCCGCCATGCCCAACAAGGTCGGCGTAACAGCGAGTTTGGAGATCAACTATCTCAAGCCGACAATGGCGGGCCAATTCCTTGTTCTCAAGGCGAAGACGACCAAAGTAGATGGGAGAAAGGCCTGGGCGGAAGGATGGATCGAAAGCCTCGAAGTTGCTGAAGGAGAAGAACCAAGCAAACTAGTCGAAGCCAAGGCACTTTTTATTGAACCTAAGCATGCAAAGGTCAGTCTGCTTCTTGTCCACCTTCTTCATAGTGAGTTACTGACGCGTGATCCTTCAGTTGTTACAATCACTTTACAAGGCAACGGATTGAAGCCTGGCCCCGGCTTTCAGGCACAATCCTGCATTTTACTCGCTCCATTGCGTGCAAGATTGCAGCTAGATGGGACCGGACCACAACTGCATCTTGGAGTACATATTGGATTTGATAGAGTTTTGGTGGAATTGGACAAGACTTTTTACAGGGCGAGATTAGACGGCATTTTCAGCACTGTTTGTCACCTGCAGACTATCGGGGTTGGGACGGTGTCGCAAACCAATTATGGGCAAGAAGATCTTGTTTAGTGAGGCGACATTGAGGAGAATGGCCCAGACGAGTGCTGGCCCGACATGGACAGAGAACAGTATATGTCTGGCGTCACCCCTGCCCAAAAGTGACTGACATACAGCCTGGTGACCAAGACGGATTCAAGCATTTTGGATTCGGCATCGTTGTCCTTTGTTTGTTCAGTGTGGGGAGGACAAGGCAGAATCAAAATCCATGGGTTGACTGGAACCCAGTTGACAACCTCTTCAAATCTTTCCGTCCAGTCGCCTTTCTCCCTAGAAGCCTAGAGTAAGAGACTTTACCCTTCATTCTTGCTTCGCTTTTCCGAGATATGTGTCCGACACCGCTCATGGCTGAGCGCTAAAGCCACCAAGTCTGCAGAGGAGTAGGTACGTACCTGTGGTGAGCACGGATGAAGCAGCATCAAATACACCCGGAAGAGGTTAAACGCGGAACGGTCTTGGCATACGCAGCTTCCACTCCGGGCTGGCCTGCGCAGTGCAGCTCCAACACTAGTATCGCTCCGGGGTTCGAGGTGATAGCAGGAGGCTCTAGGAGCTGTTGCAAGTAATCCCAAGAAACAACCCAGGATCCGCTACCGAGCTCGGCCTGCGACAGATCAGGCTGATTATGTCTTGAACCTCCTAGCTGAATCCCCCGGCCACTGGATACCTTCCGCCCGGTGACTGCCCGCCCTTGACCCTCAAACATGACGACCAAATACCTCGCCGTGTCTGTTCCTTCTTCAATCACTCCCTCCGGCCACAAGGATGATGCGTTTTCTTCTATACAGAAAACCGTGAACCCTTCCAATGGCGAAGTTTTGCCTTTCCCCGTACCGGAGTTCAAGATTGGAACGCTCGATGCATTACTACAGCAATCGGAAGAGCTGGCCAAACTTGAGGGCACCTGCAACTCCGTGGTGAGCAAGGTTGGGGATACACTGAGGAACATTCTTGATGGGGATGAAGAAAAGATTGCCATGCATAAGAATGTGAATGACAGTATGTCTGCAAATGCAGTAAACATGCTAATCTCGCTTTTGATATGAACTGACCCGATTACTTCACTCTAGAACCTCTCGAACAGTATCTACGAAGTTTCTCATGGAACAAAGTCAAATACCGCGCCGATAAGCCGTTGTCGGAGTTGATTGACCTTTTAACAAAAGTACGGACTCAGTCAGGCCCGGGATTTTGCCGACGTCGCTAACAGCAGGACTTCAGGAAGTCAACTCGATCGACAACGACGTCCGATCCAAATACAACCAATACAACTCGATCCGCACAAATCTCCAGACGCTTGTGCGGAAACAGACAGGGAACCTTTCCACCAAGTCGCTCTTGAGCATCGTCCCTCCAGATGTCCTGGTCAAGGGTTCAGAGCATCTGGACACGCACCTCGTGGCAGTTCCCCTTTCCAGTGTAAAAGACTTTTTGCGCTCTTACGAAACACTCGCACCCATGGTCGTGCCTCGCTCGGCCCACTTCGTGGCCTCCGACGCCGAATATAGCTTATACGCAGTGACACTGTTCAGCAAACATGCACAGGAATTTGTGCATAAGGCGCGGGAGAAGAAGTGGGTACCGCGGGACTATAAGTACAAAGAAGGTGGAAAGGAAGACGAAGTAAAAGAGCTGAAGCGGGTCGAGGCTGAGGAGAAGAGGGTTTGGGGTGAGACATTACGGCTGGGCCGGACAGGCTGGAGTGAGGGTGTTATGTGTCTGGTGCATGTTATCGTTCTCAGAGTCTTTGTCGAGACGGTCCTGAGGTATGGCTTGCCCTTGGATTTTGTATCAGTCTTGATCAAGGTATGTCCCCAGAAGCCCCGACGGTTGGCATTTAGCGAGCCTCGTCTGTCCTTGCCGCTAACGTGTGGGCACAGACCGATTCAAAGCGCGAAAAGAAAGTCCAGCAAGCCCTCGATGCAGAGTATGCCTACCTAGCAGGCAACGCGTTTGGACGGGATAGCAAAGGACGCCTGAAAAAGGACGAAGGCATGGGTTCCGCTGATCTGGTGACTGGCGGCGACCAGGGCGAATACTCGGCTTATGTCTCTTATCAGATCGCCGTGGATTGAGCTGGGCGCAATCGAGAAATCCGCAGGCCTTGAACTGTGGACAAGGTTAAGCGAGCTTGGAGGTCTACTGAACGCACCACCCTTTTCTTTTTGGAGCGAAGCACAGCGACTCGAGGCAAGGATATACCTAGAACAGACAGGGCGCCCGGTGTGGCACATACGAAGAGCTTTGATGAGCCAAGTTAGGAGTTTCCAACGATTTCGAGAGAACGAAACGAGCAAGTAGCCCAAGTCATGACTTGTCAAGATTATTCTATGATTCAGTTCGACCTAGGCTGTTCTGACTACCTAGGCGCGACACGATCACTGTTCAAATGCGCTGCCTGGGGGTTGCTGCTCGTCAACGCATCTCTGGCACCCCGGTAATGAGTGCTTGTTGCTTGTGAATATGATATGCCCTGCTGGATCGAGGCGCTCCTGGCCCCCACCACCCCCGAGGGGACAATGAAATGCAGCACGGATGTCAGACTGGTTGTAGCTTGGCGACACTGGCATCGGATGCCTATGCAGCAGAAGTCTCGGGACACGCTCTCGGATCCGATGTATTCAGATGTGCGAGAAAGACACTGTTGGGCCCGATATGCCGATCAGAGAGAGAGGCTCTCCAAGCACAGTCAAGTCATCAGGCTCAACGCCTCGCCCATAAGCATACGAAGCCCGCCTGTGCTGTAGGTTGAATGGAGTAGTGCTATTGTAAGCTCGCTAGCAGTTGCCAGGTCCATGCTCGTGCGTGTGGGATTTGGGTTCCTCTAGGAAATGTCGAAGTAAATCTGACCGGCGAATTCACGTTGGGACAGACGTTTGTCTCGACTTCGTCGTGTCACATGCTCCACACCGCACCACACTGTTGTTGTCTTGAAAGAACATGAGATAAGCCAGGTCCGTTCGTCGCAGCCTCGCCTTGTGGTGCCATATAGTGGCTTGCCCATCCGTCAGGCCATGTTAGACGGTGGATAGCAAAAGGATCCACAGGTGGTGTTCGGTTCAACCTGTAGCGAGAGGCTATTCGATACGCTGAGAAGGTCTTGCATTCAAGGAGGTCAATGTTGACACCCGGTTCGAGGCAGGTAGGCTTGTGGTCTCCCGTGTGAGCCATATGAGCCATGTGAGCCGATTTCCATCATTGACCGCGGCCTGGAGCTTAGAGTTGTGCTTGACTTTGTCGTTGTCCATCATACAAACCGGAGTAATAGCCCGCCCAGTAATAGGCCATTTTGATGTTCTCGAGTGTCTGGTCCGACGAAGGAACTGGAGACGGAGGAGTGAGAAATCAGCATTGGAAACAGGTTGGGAGGAAGGGAAGGGGATGCGGTCCAAACCAAACGCACCATCAGCAGCGGTAGGTGGCAAGCTAGGCCCTATTGCAGGCTTGTTCATCGGAGGTGGTGCTTGAGAAGATGAGTCTAGAGGGGGAGGCGCTTGGATTGTGCCGGCAAGGGAAACTGAAGGCACATCCAGTCCAGCTTGCACTGTCCAGGGAGACTGAGGTTAGCCTTGTCTTGTCACCCGAAGAAGGGTGGTTTTAGTCTGCGGGAAGTGAAGGTGCCGGGGAGAATCAGAGGTAGACGTGCCTTGTCGAGCCAGCGAATCCTTGGCTGCTTGGAGATCGGCAACGACCTCGTCGTCGTCGATTTCTCCATCTTCACTATGCGCAGCTCCAAGGCTGGCTCGGTGTCCGGCCGTAGTGTCAACGTCGACGTCGTGCCGTTCGTTCTTGGGCGCAGCCTCGACGGGGTCAAGGTCGTCCATCTCAGCCTTGCGCAGGATCTCCTCGACGTCTTCGCCGCGCGCGTGAATGCTGTGGTAATACTGTCCAGATCAGATTGAATCGTGTCAATGGAGAAGAGAATAGCAAGCAGAAGCCAATGCCCCAGGAGCAAGAGCAAGCTTGACGTACCTCGTACTCGGCGACGGCGTCGTTCCAGGATCTAATCAGAGCCGAATCATCCCAAATCTCGGCCTGGCTGAGCTCGCCGGGCGGCTTCGAGGAGTAGTGTTTCGTTTTGGCCTTTTTGTTCTTCGGCATGTCGGCAATCTTACTCTCACTCTCACTCTCACTGCCGATGTGGGCAATTGCTGAAACAGCGAACTTGAAGCGAACAGATGAAAGTCCTTCACGGCAAAGCAGCGACAGTTTTGCGGCCCAACTTCCTGATTTAGATATCTTACAGGCTAAGCCCATAAGGGACTAACTAATTTACCATATTTACTGTCTCATTCCGAGATCGATCATGTGAATTAGCCGACCTTCAAACTACAAAGTTGCCATTCACTGCTAGTTCAAAGAAGCTGTTGACATGAGCTTTCCTGGGTATGGGAGCTTCTATTTGATCGATTGCCCGGTTGGATCCACGTCCTAGTTGCCTCTGAACCAGACCGTTTGCACCGGACCACATTGCGGAGCTAGATACTGGGACTGTGACATCGGCGAGTCAAGGTACTATCTCTATGTAAACCCAAATCGTAGGCCTTGTGAGTGTCGCCATGGGTTCCGCACAAAACAAGTACGTATACTCTTGAACGTCACCAGGTTGATATGTTGTACCTGTCTAAGGAAGCAGCAATCTTGACTATTGTGACGGCAAAACTCGAGACCAGGTCGGTGACCATCAGCCAAACCTGATGCAGCCTTTTTCTTTACGCAACCCGGCTTGAGGGTCTGCGCCATTGGCAGAATGTCGAAGTGCTGTTCTTGTTGCTGCTCCTTTCCGCCTCTCGGGCGCTGGTTCAACCACCTCGACAAGCTCCGCCTCCGCCTGCATCTCTTTGACTGCATCCTGGCCGAGGGCGGCACTTTCCTGCTCAAAGACGCCCGCAATCTCTTCCAGCGTTCTTCCCTTGGTTTCGGGGAAGAAGAAGTAGATGAGGGCCAAGAAGATCAAGAGGAGAACGCAGAAGACAATGTAGTATTTCCATCCGATGGCATCGAGAGCGATCGGGTTGACGAATTGTGCCATGATCAAAGCAACCTGGTTGGTCGCCATGGATGCACTCAGCCCTCGACTGCGAAGCGTATAAGGAAAGATTTCGATGGGATATGCGAGGAGCATGGGGGAATAGCAGCCGTCGTAGAAGACCTTGTACAGAAAGATGAAGACCAGGACTGCGTTGCCATACGCCGAGCGATGCGTTTCCTGGAATTTGGCCGAGAGCACTGTCCAGACCAGATAGGACACGAACATGCCGATGACGCCCCAGATCCAGAGAGGACGACGGCCTATCCTGTCGACCAACGCGGCGGAAAGCACAGCTACCACGAAATTGACCACGTTCAAGATGGCGTTGATGAGGGTTTGCATGCTGGCCGACGTGATTCCAATGGTGTCCAGCACCAGGGTCAGATAATACGCAATGACGGCGACACCAGCCCAGGTCCCGTAGAAACCCACGATGACGGCAATCAAGGTGCGCTTGCGATTTGCTTTGGTTCGGACGAGGTCGAGATACGAGGTTTCCGAGTGAATGGTCTTTTCGTGGCTGATGGCCTTTTGAATCTCGCTGATCTCAAAGGCAACCATTGGGGAGGACTCGTCTCCGCCTGCGTGATGCTTGACAAACAGTCGCCGCGCCTCTTCTGTCCGGCCCTTGGATATCAGAAACCTGCAAGAAGAGGGTTAGGGTTGAACCTTGGTCCCGCGGGAGTGATGAGAACATAGGATGATGATACCTGGGTGATTCCGGAACAAAGTACAGCAAGCACAGCTGAAACAAGGGCACTGCTCCCTGCAGAAGTGAGGGAATCCTCCATGACCAGGTGTTTTGCATACGGAAAGTACCGTAAGTACTCCAGGCCGCGATGATTCCTCCGACATACTGGAAATCGGTCAGCTATAGCCAGGGCCACTGGTCTTCTGCCGATTGCGAGGCACGGCTGAAACTGAAACGAGCAAGTGTCGGCGACGGTAGGGACTCACGTATGTGCTATAGTACATGGCGGTGAGACGGCCACGATGAGTTGGGTATGCAAGCTCAGAGATCAAAATGGGCGCAGGCTGCGAGACGCCGGCGGTGCCGATGCCCAGCAAGAGGCGTGCAACGATAAACATCGCCACGTCCTGCGCCGCTCCTTGCAGTGCAGCACCAACCACTAGCAAGGCAAAGCCAAAGTACATGGGCAGCTTTCTTCCATATCGGTCCCCAAGCCAGGCGGTGGCGAAGAGGCCAAAGAATTTGCCAATCGGGTAGACGGCATTCATGGTCCCGAGGATTGAGGAACTGGGCTTGTCGAAATAGTTCCGCCACTGTGGCAGCGACTGGAGACCGTTCATCATCGAGCCTGTATTTACACTTGAGCGATCGCGGCTGGGCGAGCCTCCGGGTTGCAAACATACCATCGAACCCGTAGGCTGTAGCAGACAGCCATGGTATCAAGAGGATACAGTTGAGGAGCAAGAGGTGCCGTGTTCGGTACCACGGCTTGGGATTTTGTGGCAGTAACTTGAGAATACTTGGTTACACCATCCATCATCCACTGGGAGAAAAGAGCAAATAAACTCACTGCTGCCAATGCAGGACCGACGGCAAGATCAACGTCCTTTGTCTGAGACCGCTTCATGATGGCCATGACGGCGCAGGCCAGAGGGGCCAGAGGGACCAGACAGTGCGTAAACCTGCAAACTTGTCAAGTCTGCCGACACAAAGTCCATGGAACAGTCGCCTCGAGAGGTTGTCAACGACCGACAACCGACGACCGTGGGTGTCGGCCAGGATGTGATTTGGCGACATATGTACTCTGTACTCGGTACATATTCGCTTGCAGGGAACGACCCCGGACTCTCGGCATTTTCACGGAACATGCAGTGGCACCGCCCGGAATTTCAGACGGGCACTGGGGCTTCTGGGGCCCAGCTTTCCCGGAATACAAAAGAACGTGAGAACATGACCAGTAGCGGGAGGAGCTCTGGAATTGCAGTGCCCATGAGTGGCCGAGGGTCAGGCGAGCCCCGGAATACACTGCCTGATGCAGACAATTTCCCTCTGGCAATCCAAGATATAGATGGTTGGGCATTCTCCAATCGGCAAGAAGACTTTCGAGAGAATCGTGAACCTGGCCCCTCGGGGGAGAGCGGATGGGGAAGGAATGAGAAGACAGAGACTGAAACAAGTTGATAGTAACTGTAGGCAGCCTCGGATGTTGAGAATTGGAAACTGAGGCGGCAAACAGGTGTCATTTCAGATGGGTTGGAGGGGGAGGGGAATGGTGGTATATTCTTTGAATCATGAATGTGGAAGAATGTGGTGTTAGAAAGATCGTATGTGCTGATTCACCGTGGGCGCCCCTGGACCATGCTTCAAACCCTGCGCTCTGTCATGTTCCCACCAACAACCGGAGCCGGTTGATTGTATTGATACATATTCTAATCTAAGCGTAACCCCTTCTTCGTCTGCCCTGGTTTCTCGGTCGTTCTGTGACAACGAGAGGGTTGAACTTATTCTTCGGTCTGGTCTTGTAGCCTGATTTGGCCTGGAGATAGTTAGCAAACACGCACAAGCGAGGTGCGAGAATCACGACTTACCGGGATGCCCCAAGGACTCATGGGAATACGGTTGCCCTTAGATTTTCCTCGACCACCACCGTGGGGATGATCTGATGCGTTCATGGCAAGACCACGAACGGTTGGTCTGATGCCGAGCCACCGTGCGCGTCCAGCCTTGCCGAGAGAGGTGTATTTGAAGTTGATGTTGCTTGCGACCCCGATCGTTGCCACAGCCTCTTTGTCAATCAGCCGAACTTCACCACTTGAGAGCCGGACCGTGACATAGTTGGCTGCCTTTTCGAATTTCCTCAGCTGATCCTTGGTCAACGAAGACATGTCCATATTCCCACTGTCTCCAATAAGCTTGATCATCTCCTTCTGAACCGTGTCTTCGCCCTTTCCAATGATTATTCCGTGCGTGCCAGCACTACGACAGATCTTGCCAATCGATTCACGTGTGGGGGCGATGTTGAAAATTGGCGTTCCGATAGGAATCATGCCCAGTTTCAAACAATTGCCCTTGTGAGCAGTTTTTGATGCGACAACACCCTGGTCCATCTGGCCACCCATTTCCTGGATCAAAGACTTGGGAAGACCAGATCGGTAGCTTTCAACGACGTCGCCAGCCCGCAAGCCTTCTGCGGCCAAGATATATGTTCTTGTCCCGTCGTTGATGTTCTTCACCAGCGCAACGTGAGCAGTCCGACCAGGGTCATGCTCAATGCGCTCTACAACATGCTTGCCACCTTTCCGTCGTGCAAAGTCGACGATACGTATCCTTCTCTTATGTCCTCCACCTCGGTGTCGGACGACAACATGCCCGGTATCGTTTCGGCCTCCTTTCGCATGGCCCTTTTTTGGAAACGTCAAGTCGAAATATGGTCGGCCTTTCCAGAGATGGTCGTTCACCGGTCTGATCAAGTGACGCAGACCAGGGGTTCGCGGAGTGTATCGTCGAAGTCGCACTTCTCCCCTGACTGGGCCGACCTTGTCTTGTGATTCAGCTAATAGGGGATCTGCTTGAGCTGTATCCAGAACTGAGGTACTAGGGTGCACTGGGTCAATGACTTGTGCATAGGAGCGTCGAAGGGCGGGCCAGGAGGATGAGGATTGACATCCCCGGCACAGACTGCGGAGTGGTATCCGTGGTTGCAGCATCTTTGCGGACAATGACTTTCACATTCGATCCATCCAATCTATGCGACCGATGCTAGGAAAGTGAAAGGAGAGACATTGCAGTAAGGTGGTATGGCTCTGTCGGTGACTGAATGCAATCAAGATCAAGTGGTTTGGTTCTTTGATGTTGCCGGAGCTGATTGTCAAGCTCCGTCCAATTTTGACTCGGCAAACCTTCCTCACTCCAGATTGCATTGTTTAACAGCCTCGTCGCGTACTATTTAGTATGCGGGGAAGACGGAAGGCACAACCTCAGCCTTCTGGTCTCTTTTCATCTTACACTGACAGACCGATCGTGAAAAGCTGTCCAGCATTTCGGCTATCCCCTATTGCTTGATGCTTCTTTGACTACTACAAATATACTCTAGGGTCATATCATCATGTCCCACAGCGGCTTGGTCGCCGACTTCAAGCAGCTCCACGGCATGTTCTTGCATCCCCAATTTCATAAGACAGGGCTGGCTAACCAACATCCAGAACGACTTGAGGCTCTTGAGAACGTAGTCCAGAAGCAAACCCACGGGCCGCAACCTCCCAAAAAACCCTCTACTAAGCGGAAGTCAAACTCAAGCTCAGCACGACGACGACGAAAACGACGCACACAGCCACCAATCTCGCAACGACCCGCTTACCCTTATCCGAAGTCATCTCAACTGGCAGCACTCAGACAGTCCACGTCAGCCTCATATCAACAAGCCGCTATCTTTTCCCAAGGAGGTCATCGAGATGGGGTGAATTCTAAAGAAGATGTCAACACTAATCTCTCTAGCTCAACAAACGTCCGGCTCAATGCTATTTTTGGATTGCCAACTGCTCTTCCTCAAGCACTCAGCACATCTGCTATGTCTACCTCTGGCTCCAAGTCCATATTCATTCATGAAAACACCCCTATGGTGAGCCTTGGTAGTAAGTTCATTCACTCGAGTCACTGAGCACTCTCAAGTGGTTACAGGTCCGGTGATTAGCTCAGCTAAAGTCAACAACTCCCAGCATGCCGCACTTCATGATGAACCTTCACACCAACAAACTTGGCAACCAAGACAAGCAAATTATCCTGGGTCCGTCACTTCATCAATGAAGCGCCCCTCCGCTCTGATTGCTCAATACTGATGACACTGGCAGGGTTCTAACTTCGACAAAGCTTTGCTCGCGATACAGCTCCACCGGTATTGCCTCTGATCAGGGAAAGATCTCCCTTTCCGCCATACTGATGAAAATGCGTTAGGATCGTGCCCCTTTGGAATGAAGTGCCTTGGTGCTCATGACGACAACAAGCTTGCTCTTTGTCCTTCCGTTTCGCGCGGTGTCAATTGCTTTGCAGGCCCCCAGTGCAATCTGAGCCACGTTCCTTCTCCAGAAAGATCCCCAATCTGCGTGTTTTTCCAATCTGGAAGATGCAATCGGTTCAATTGCGTCTACGCCCATACCCTTGTGGACCCCAATGCTCCCTTATGTTCGGATTTTGCGTACGCCGGCTATTGTGATCGAGGAGCACACTGTGAGTATCGCCACCTTCGGCAATGTCCTGAATATGCGAGGACAGGAGATTGCCAAGAAATTCGATGCCGGCTTCCTCATGTTGATCGAGCACGTCAGGCGAAGCAGCGAGACTTGTCTGAGTCTGGCACTTCGGCTGAATCGATGACTGTTGTTGGCTCACCTACTCAAGACGAATCGAATTATGAATTGGATCCCGTTCTTCCCGTGATTGGTGCCAATGGCCCGGTTGAGGAAACCATCATGATGAGTAGCCCAGGAGTATTCACTCGGCAGCAAGATTTCATCGGGTTGCAGGTGGTTTATCGTCCCAATGCGTGCTGAAGATTATCCCCGGAACCCGCAGATCATTGCTGCCAAAATGAAAGAGATCGGCACATAAAGTGAGCAGGAGGGATGTGGGCACCTAGGGGGGATCAACAATAGAGGAACAGGAAAGGTTTCTGGACTGGTGTCAGGATATGCTGTGATGGAGTACCCAGTCAGAGGCACATCCTCGCCTCTTTTGACAAGCACCTGCCATGCCAGCATTAGGTGTTTCTAAATGTGTATGAATTCATGAAGCCATGAGCCTCGGCTAGGACCATTCTTTGCTTATTGGACTTGTAAATGATAAACCAGACATAGCCGGTAACGGGAAAATTGTGCGGCGTATTCTGCAGCTTAGGTTGAGTTCGGGAGCAGCCTCACCTTGGGCAGCCATGAGATGCCGACGTTTCAGACCGCTAAGGGGTGATCCTCATGATTGGGCAAGAGGACTCTCTGACAATACTCCGTACAAGCCACCGGCAAGCCACATCAAACGGTTCGACGGAGAGTGTAATCTGCGCTAGGGGTCAAGGTACGGTGAGCAAGCAGAACGCCCTTCAGCCTGAGTGTTTCCTGCGAGCGTTGGATGCCATCTGTAACATTACAGTGATGCGACCCTTCAAGAAAAACACTAGTGACAAGGTGACTACTCGGACAAGCAAAGGAACGAACGGGACGGAAAAGCCAGCCAGCCACTGGCAGCGGATCAGTCGATCACATCACCGGGGCCGCAGACGACTATACTTGTAGCAATGCGGAAGATTAGCATTGGTCGATGGCAGCGGCAGTGATGACTGTGGCGACAGAGACAGAGGACTTGAGGTGGAGGGAAGCTTTCTCTAGACGTATTTGTTTCCCGAGACTCGTTAAAAGGACGATGTAAAGCAAATGTTGACTTTAATTGTTGCCGGATAAATCGATAGGCAGAGTTATGCCTGTAGAGGTGAAGAGAAGTACTCCATAGAGGCGAACAGGGGAGCTAGGTTAGAGGCCCGAGCCGTTCAGCGGACGCAAAATCCCCATCCTGGTGGATGATGGTCTAAGCATCGCTTCGTTTGTAGGCGTGGTAGCTAAACCAGACCGAGCCGTGCCCCTGATCGTGGATCTGTTTTCACGCCACAAACATCTGCTGAACATTGAGCGCGACACTGACCTTCAACGGGTTGCGGCGATTGTCCACGGAGTACCGGAGCACCACATCGATGGTCCCCAGGGTTCTCAGTTTCTGGCCTGAATAAAGCCTCATGTTTGGGTTTGTCCTGAGTCACCGGACCCCTGGGCTGGGGGTCCTCTGACCTCTGGCCTCTGACCTCTGACCTCGTCCTGTCTCTTGTGTCTTGTCGCCCGACGTCGCTCGAGCTGGTCTTTTGTCGGCCATGGAGAAACAGGTGACCGCTTATTCGGGGGCGGACAAGAGGGGAGGAGAGATCGAACCGTCCCTGGAGACGGGGAGACTGGGAGACGGTGGTGACTGCGGATGGAATGGAGGTTGATGCAACTAAAAGGCGGTCGCATAAAGGTGACCGGTGGGAGCAAAGGAGCGCAGCCAGTCTGGATGCGTTGAGCAAGCAAACTTTCATGCAGGCTGCCTGCACCCACCCAACTGACCCGACCTGCGCTGCCTGCTACAGGCCGCCCGTGCACCGGCCACAAGAATGCCTGCACAGTGCATAGCCACTGCTGCTGCCCAAAAAGAAATACGAATGAGAATGTGACGCCGCCAGCGCCATCGAAGCAGAGGCCTTCGAGGCAGAGGGTCGGCCGGCCTGTCTGTCTGTGTCTGAGAAGCAAAGCATCCAATCCCACCCTGGCTGCCGTCTGCCCGCCAACCGTCATCGCATCCGAAGAAACCTGAATGCGTCTTTGAGTCTTGAATCGTCGCTCCCCGACTCCTCCTGCTCCTGTTGCTGCTTTTTCCTCCTCCCCTCAGCCTCTGCTTCTCCCTCTGGCTCTGGCGCTGGTCTCGGACGCTTGAGTCTTGAGTGCTGAGCATCGAGTCTTGGGCAATCAATCACCACTGTTGTTCAATCCGCCGCCTCCTGCCTCCTCTTCCCGTCTCTCCACCTCCTCGGCCGCAGACTCCCTCTCTGGCCATCCTCCTGCTCCTCCCGCCGAGTCCCTTCACCACTCGTCCGCCGACCTGGAAACGGGGCCTTGGGTCGTCCCTCAGGCTCCGTGTCTCTGATCTCTGGTTCTCAGCCTCCACTCTGGCCCCGTACGGTATTGTATCGAGCCCAGATCCTGGTCTTCGTGCAATACCTACTAAACCAGCTTCATCCCCCTCCCTTTCTCCTCCAGGAGCCAGAACTCAACTACATCCATCTTTGAACCTTTACCTTTCTTGTCCTTGTTTCTCACTTCAATCCCGCCATGCTCCTTCAGCTTGCAGTCACTGTCACACGCACCTAGCGGCTTTGCCATTTCTCGGGAAAAAACTCGACCACCGCCGTTCTTCCCCACCTTCTCTCACCGCCACTTATCCATTTTCCCACCGGCACACAACAAACAAGTGCCGTTTCGATATTTCTTGCAGACATGGCGATGCATTACTCGCAGCAGCCCTACTATCTCTACGGCGAACCTCAATGGTCTAACGACGTCAAACCCGCCCTCACTGAAGACGACTCTTCGGTCCTTGACGACAGAGTACTCGATTCTTCCACCCCCGCCGACCTGGCAGGCGCTGGTCCCTCTGACGGTCAACAGCCTTCAATGCCCAAGATGGAGGAAGACTATGTCTCTCCGCATGCGTGGCAGGAGCGGCCCCTCAGTGTCATGCCTCCCATCCGTCATTATTCTCAGTCTTCTATTCCCATGACCAGCTCCAATGACCAATACTTCGGCCAGGCCAGCTCTGCAAGCTGCGGCCCGCAATATGTCCAAACCCAACCTTGGGCCATCTCTACACGTTCTGAGAACAACACTCCCACGCCCCTGTTCGGCGCTGTACCAGAATCTTTTGGGCAGCAAGCACAATACAGCGGGGGCTCGGTCAACTTCTCCGGCTTTCATCATCAGGACCCTACCTCGGCGATATCCATGTCACCACAATCCAGTCAAGGCGGGTGGGCATCCACCACCTCGTCCGAAGCTACCGAAACACGACGTGTGTTGAGACGCTCTAGATTCCGGGCAACATCACCTATGTTGGTGTTGAGATCTGATGGCATCAGAAAAAAGAATGCAAAGTTCGAGATCCCCAAGGAAAGGAATTTGGCCAACATCGATTCCCTCATTATGCAGTGTTCGAATGATGAGGAGAAGAAGGAGCTCAAACAGCAGAAACGTCTTTTGCGAAACCGTCAAGCCGCGTGCGTATGCCCCATCCTCCCCTCCGTATGCTGAGGCTAATGACCCGTACTGGAATAGACTCGACTCCCGTCAACGCAAGAAAACTCACACCGAGAGACTGGAGCAAGAAAAGAAGCTCTTTGCTAGCCAGAAGGCTGAGTTGGAAGAAACAGCTGCCCGTCTTGAAAACACCCTCCACCGTGAAAGGGAGCAGTGGATGCAACAACGCCAGCGATGCGAGCAAATTATCCATCAGCTACAGTACGATCGGGACGAGGCCATTCGCATCAAGACTCTTGAGACCGGCGAACTACGTCGCATGAACAACATCCTGAAAGAGTCGGTCAGAGATCTAGAGCGACAGAGCACTCGTGCCTACTCGGCCAGCGTTCCAGACAATTTCTCCAGCGACTTCGCTGGTTTCAGAACCCTTGACCTCGATGACAACTGGGAAGATGAATTCAGTCTCATTAATAGCGAGGACTTGAAGATGGAAGAGCCCGACAACTTACAGCGGCAAGCAACGCCGAGACCTGCTACATCTTCGACCCGGGTGCCTACTCCTCCAAATGCTGTCAAATCACTCGACGTCCAGGTCGACACTGGCTTCAGCTGGAATACTTTTTACATGTGCTTGTTAGCAGGTGCCTTCATCGTCTCCCAAGCTGGCTCAAAAGCGGCGACGGCGCCGCCATCCGCCGCCGTTGTCACATCCAATATGCCAGCGTTATCCGATGACTATCGTTCCGAGGCTGGGAATGTCCTCAACGCCGTGCTTGCGTCTCAACCAGAGTTGGCACATGATGTCCTACCTTCTCGGCCTGCACCGTCTTCAGATCACAACCACTATCCTTCCAGTCTCGCTGGACCTGATTTGTCTCGAATGACCCCACAAGGCCCGGGTAATCCTCTCGCCAACCTCCATGCCGATCTCACAAAACCATCACGACAGCAGCAAGTTGCCGCTGCCTTCTCCCTTTCAGCAGCTTCCTACAACCACATTGCGAACGCCGATGGTGCCTTTGACAGTGACGATGATATTGTCGAAGTGAAGCCTACTCGTCTGCAGCAACTGTATGCTCAGATGCAAGCTGAAAGGGACGGCATCGAGAAATTGAGTGGAATGGGGAGCAAAGCCCGAGAAAGGAGTGTCTTGCTTGATCGAGTACCCGAGAAGGTACTTCGGGACTTCCGAGAAATGATTGCTCGAGTGGAGTAAGCGCTCCACGATTGCTTCGGACCCAGACATTTCTCGGCCTCTCACCAACCCATGCTGTGTTGGATCCAGAGCCATTGTCTCAAACACCCTTCGCCACCAAGGGCAATCTGGTTGGACATCCCCTTACAACTATTGATCCACATGGAATCATCGTCTTTGTTCATTCTCTGTGTGGCATATTTTGAACAGATTCATCTTTCAACAAACGATTAGCGAGAGATGATAAGCTTCAGGGCACACTTTCCTTTTTTTGTTTTCGGCCTTTCGTTTTGGACGAATGATATGATGACAATTTACTTACGACCTTTTCACGAGCATTTTTTTGTATGGGACGATGGGAGGATGTGGAGAGACGTATGGACGAGGCTTAAGAACTGAACACCAGATCAGGATATTCCTGGATAGCAGTGTCAAGGTCTAGGAATGAATAGTGGTGCGGTGCTGGTGGTAGTGGTGGTGCTGGCGGCGGTGATTACGATGATGACAATGATGATTATGCATGATGTCGACGACCACAGCAGATATCGATGGCAATTAGAGACTGTCAACAAGAGCATGCCGAAAAGTGTGCATGGGCTTGGGCAAACAATGGCAGGTTACCTAGCTAACGACAACGACCTTTACGAACTTTGGGAAGAGCGGGTGCGTGAGTTGGTACATAGTAGTGATTGAGATAACTATGATACTACTGCTTGGAGCCGATGTCGAAGCATACTTTGCGTGTTCTGATATAGTATACACCCCCAAACCAATCTGAGTCTTGTACACCCGACCACGTGCTGTCAGTGAGGTAGTCAAGATAAAGACCGACCGATATGTACTATTGTCAGTAAAGCCCGGACGGGACGGGTAGATGGGGACGACGGGACGGGGCGCCAGTCCAGTGGCACAAGGCAAGACAAAGCAAAGCAGCGCACAGACGACAGACTGGACGCCAATCTCAATATGTGTACTGAATATCTACATTCGATAATTAATCAATAGCAGCCGCAACCACGACACGGACATACCTACGTTATTGCAGAGTACAGCCTTGCCCTCAGACGGGGTTGGTGTTGGTGTGGCGCCGAGCCAGGAGCCATTGACGGGCCGGGCAACATTGAACGCTTAGAGGACGACCATGCTGCGTGGAGAGGAAGAGACAAAGGACAGAGGCACAATCACAGTTACAATCACAGCGGACACGAGGTGTGGCCGGAGTGAGGGTGACAGATGATGGGGACGAGAGCAGGGGAAAACAACACATCGGGGGGGTCGACAGAAGACACAAACTTGGATGTTGGTATTGATGTTCAAGGCCACATAGCAGACCACCGGGTCTTCGGTTGAATCACACGGCCCCAAGTAAACCTAACCATGAGCCCATCAATATGGAAGAGCACACCCTTCTGCGCCCGGGCAAAGCAAGCGAGAAACAGTCTTCGAGATATCCAAGCATGGCCTCTCGAGACCCACACCAAAAACCCGGCGCGACCTGTCCGTGACCTCGTCGCGTAGCCCTAGGCCTACCTTTAGGCGTCGCCATATCTATCCAAGTCTTTAGGCCTGGCCAAGGTTGAAGCAATTGCACGCAGTCTCTGAGTCAACGCCGCGATTTGAAATAGCGGAGACACAATGCCGGCCAAAACTTCCTCACCGCCTGTTGTTGCTTTGGCGTCCAAAACAGTGTGGCCGCGGTGAACACACACGGCCGGGATGCAAAAATAGGCAGGGATGAAAAAATCGTGTACGTAAACATGAACCGGTTGGATCTCTTCGACTATGTCATTTAGGTTGCTTCGCGTCGCTCGCGAGCCTGGATGATGTCTCAGGTCTCAATCGGCCGGCTGCAAATGGGCGGCTTGCGAAAGGCTTCATCCGCCAGCGGCAGGTTTCATTTGGGCGCATCATATTTCTCCTTCCAAATCCTGTTCATCACACCAAGGACAAGCGTTAGTAACAAGATCTCCAAGTCATTACTCGGAGCCCGCGTAGGTCCTGAAACGTCGGCCTTGACTAACTCATCCCCTTGCGCGACCCCGACAACCACAGCCCAGCCACCGGATTTTGTGCGGTTGGTGCAACAGGCCTCAAATTCCGAGGGTGTGCGTATGGATATGACAATCGGTGTAGTGCTGGTGGGCCAGGTCGGAGAAGCGGTCGCGGAAGACAGTGTCGTAGCCTGACCGCCAATCAGGCCTTCCTTGGCAACGAGATCCAGGGCATCGCCAGGGCATCGCAGGGGGTTCAACCCGACTGAGACCAGAGGGCAGGACTTGGTCAATTTCTCAAGTGGTGTGGCATCGGCAAGTGATAGAACATCGCCAGGCGACGAAAGAGAAGCAAGAAACAAGATACCATGCACTCACCAACTGTTTCCCAGCGTCTTCGCACCGTTCTTTTCCGCCAATCTGAGAAGTTGTGCCGCTTTAAACTAGATCCCACATGGGTGGTCAGTGATACTATTTTCTCTCCGAGATAGACAACAAACTTGATTCGTGGAACGGCCAAAGTCGGAACTAATGCAAGGGACAGGGTCAAGAGGTCAGAAACCCGATCGCTGACTGGGGGAGTGCTTCCTGCATTGCTGCCCAAAGTGATGCAGCGATTGAGAACGTGCTGTATTTGGGTATTTCGTGTATTTGGGGGCCATCTAGGGCCCAGATGGTGTCAGACCCGCCGCGATGGCGTCTCTGGGGTCGCTCTTTGGACGACGGGACTGTGTCTGTGCTACACCCGGATCGCGACCACAGACATCGTGCATCGATGCGGCTCAGCTGGCCCGCTGTTGCTGTCCATCACGTGTCGCGGTTCAAGCATTGGGCCAGATCGGCGATGCGATGTGAATATCCCAGGCACGAGTTGCAGCCCCCAGCACGGGATCATGATGGTAGTGGTAGTGGTAGCTTACCTTGTCCTTTTTGCCCCCAAACCCTTCAAGATAACACCAGGCAGCTTCATTCATGGCATCTGTGTCACCGAGATTGGCTGCGGTCTCATAGTATTGTCGTGCCGCGGGTTTATCAACAGGCACCCCCCAGCCGTGTCTAAAGCAGTTGGCCAATTCGAAGATCGCAAGCACAAGTTCACCCTTGGCCGCTCCTCCTTTCTTCATACCCGCCTTCAAGGCATCTGATTCGATGGTAGCGGAATTGGATGCCGCGGCAGAGAGATAAGTGACTGCTCGGGCAGGATCAGGCTGACATCCCCACCCATGTCGCAGAGACAGGCCATATAGGACTTGAGATAAGACGTTGCCAGCATCCGCAAGTCTGTGGAACATTTCTGTGGCTTCTTCGAGATCGCCCGACTCGTGAAGCTGGATGGCTTTCTGAATGTCGAGGTCACTGTACGGATCATTGATGCTGCGTGGACGGGATGGGGTTGACCCTGGTGGTCCCAGATTGGTGGTCTGTAAGTCTTCTCCTGTCGGCGGATGGAGGGGTATCAAGGGTTTTATGCTAGCTAACAGAGTAGCACGTTCCTCCCATTTCGCCTCTTTCTCCTGGCGATCTCCCGACTCTGTATATGTGTCCCCAAGCTCGGGAAGGTCGGATGGTAGGTTGACCGAACTCGTACTGGCCGAACGATCTCTGCTCAGGTGCAGACGCTGAGAGAGCCTCCTGTGTTCTTTCCTTTCCTTCTCAGGGGATGGTGTGTCCGAGGTGGTAGGACTTGGGCTCTTGCGGAAACGTCCAAACGATCGCCTTGTCGCAGAAGGACTCCTCGGCTCGACTGGGGGAACTTCTGACTCGTTGCCAAATGCAGGAGGTTCAATGTATTCTTCGGTGTGGGTGTCTGTACGAACAAAGGTGAACTCGTTGGCCTGTGGCAGCGGGTGTGAGAGCGACGCGCCACCATCAAGCTTGTCTTTCTTTTTGAGCAGGTCTCTTAAGGGCATTGTTGCAGTCTATCCTTCCAAGGTGTCTGCCTGAATGTCGGAGGGCAACCGGACTCGGTGCGGATGGGGGAGCACAAGGAGATACGGCGAGGATTAGGAAATGCTTCGGTACTGGCAATATCTCTTTACGTGCATGCAATGATGAGGCATGACACGCAGGATGGGAGGCAATGCGAGATGCGAGATGCGAGATGCGAGATGCGAGATGCGCGAGGCTGTGCTGGCGGCTATGGCATGGTCGTGGCACCCCAGGATTCAATCAAGCATGCCTGGGGCGGTAGAATGGACAAATGGTTGTGGAAGGATCAGTGATCAGTGCTGGCCGAATGAATTCAATTGTCTGCCAGAGGTGAGTGTGAGGGCTTAGGGGCTTGGGGCTAAGGGTTAGGCCAAGTCTGTCCTAATATTATAGGGCTTGGGGGTCAGACTGCGCCTCCTTAGCCCCTAAGCCCCCTTCTAACCTCTGACTTGCACAGTCTGCATTCTGTTAATGACTAGAACTGGTGATACTACTACTACTGGCTACCAATGAACTCGTCTGCGAAGCTTCTCAGGAATGATCAAAGTTTCCCAGGCCTTTCGAACATTTCTACACGCCCGTGGTTGTAGATGGTTAGCTAAGACCAACTATTAATTCCCCTTCAAGCTCCAGGCTCCAGGCTCCAAGCTTCAGGGCCGGCTAGGCGCAGGCGAGAGAGGGGGACCTAAGGCGGGGCAGACCGATAACGAGTCGAGGTGAAGCAACAGACAATTAACTGTTATCCGTACAGTCCTTAGCAGATCGTGACGTTGTCAGCCCGCCGTCGCTTCAATCCACGCTTCATGTTCGACGACGACCTAAACTCCCTTTCTGTTTAGTCCCTCTTCGTTTCCGGCTCATATCCTCTCTTCCGTCGTCAGGGAGCTCTCGACGAAACTGCGGCCGTCCTCTGAAAGTGACAAGCAGAAGCGGTTCACGGCTTAGGACGGCCAGCTCTCACCAGCAATGGACATGCTCAGTCTCCCGCAAGAAATCCTCGGTAACATTCTATCCTTTCTCTCGCCCGACTCCATCATCCGCTTCGGTCGGACTTGCAAACACGCCCACGAGTTCATCAGTGCGCACAACCAACTCCTGTGGAAATCGGCCTTCTTGCACATCTTCGACGACCCCAATGATGCTTGGTCCTTGATGCCGCCACCTGCCCGTCCGCAGAAGGGGTCAGGGTGGGATTGGCATGGGGAACTGCGGAAGAAGCTGCGGGCGTTACGGGCCATCCGATCGAAATGGCGTGTCGCCGACACGCACGACGACGGCGAGGAGCACCTGGGCGCCGTCCTCAGCATCCTCGACACGGCCAAGTTCGCCCCGACCGCTCGCGAGATTGCCAACGGCAAGGTCCCGCTGGAGGACGACCGATATCTGTCGCTCAACCTCCAGGTCTTTGCAGACCTCGATCGACATCGAGATGGGCTGGAGAACCTCATCCACGACTCGGGATTGCCTGGGCGGATGATGTATTCGGGCGCGGACGGGAACCCGTGGAACTCTCCGACACGACCAGTCACACGGTCGATGAGTTACGACGACCAGCAGAAAAGCCGGCCGGAGTCGGCGTCGCGACTGCACGTCCTGTACGGGCTCACGGTCCGCGAGCGCATCACTCACAAGGCGCGTGGTGCCGCTCGTCGCATGGCGTACGACTGGAGTCGTGTCGGGCCGGACAACGAATATGGCCCGTGGAAACGCGACGGCACCGGGCAGGTCGACTGGCCACTGCTGGAGGGCGTGTGCAGTGTGATCGCGCGCAACTTTGAAATGTGCGTCGAGGGCCACATCACCATGCCTCAAGGCTTAAGCTTCTCCATCCCCCACCGCTCCTTGGTCGACCCGACCAAGCCAACAGACTGGGCCCGAGTCACGGGGACCTGGCTGGGCACATATTCCTTCCTCGACTACGCCGACCTCTTCGCCTTCAACACGTGGGCCGGCCAGCTCGGAGCTCGGCCCACGCTGGACGACACGCCTGAGGCTTGCGGAGAGTTGATGAAGCTGGACCTCCAGCTCAACGACGATATTTCCACAGACCCGCGCCTGCAGACCTCCCTCCCTACCTGTCCAGACCTGCCCAAGCTGTTCTTCTCCGGCATATCGCGATCACACGTCGGCATCCAACGGCCTGCCATCGCCGTCCGCGGCTTCGCATGCCTTGCACCTAGCGGGAGAGAGGTACGATGGCGGTTTATCATCGCCTATGGAGGTCAAGACCAGTGGCAGCTCGAAGGGATCCAGCCCGGCGGCATCAGATCAGGAGGGGTGTATGGCCTCTGGTCGCAGTGTGACCATGAAGTCAACGGCCCCGTTGGCCCGTTTTGCTATTTTCCTGCCGAACTGTGCAAGTCCACCAGCGTGATATTGCTGGCTTGATGGCTCGGGACCGGGGACCGGGCAATCGATTCCTCGTGCCCTGGTGTGACGAGGCGGCCGTCGCAGTTCTATACTAAGGTTGGCCCAGCCATTGTTGTTGTTGTCGCTCCTACGCCGAACCGAAATGGTCTTGAGCGTCTACGCTCTACCCCAGAACGGAGGATTCAAAGTATCCAGTAAGCCTTGTATGTCACCGCCATGACGCATTTGGTTGGATGCAAAATGAAGACCTCTAGCACTGGAGTCACCTGGCGCCCACAAGAAGCGGTGTTGGGTAAGACAGCTGCAGCCCGCTGGTGGTACACCTCTATGCTCTCGTGCCGGTATGAGCTATGGGAAGCGTAGTCTTTAAACAGCGAATGTTTTTCTAAGCCTTTTGCCCAACTACGTCGCTTGATTTAGGCACATAACAGTGCTATCGACTGGGTCGATTAACGAACAGCTGTGGCATATAAATCTCGTACTCGTATTATTGTATGCCGTATGTGCACAGTACCTAGGCATCTATACAATCGTCCTCATATACGTAGCTAGGTACCTTAGCTATAGAGAAAGGCCGAGCTTCTATGTAGTGACCGCCCGAGCCCGCCTCTGACACAATGAACCTCGCTTGAAAGGCTGCCCTGTGAGCATGCCTCATAGCACGATAGGCGGGATCAAAAGACCCGATCTTCGTACCTAGATCGTTGCTCGTCCCTTCAGCGCAAATGCCGTGTAAGGCCTATACCAAAGTGAAGCTCTGGAGAAGAGGGGGCCATGTCATGACCTATAGTAAGTTTTTGCGTACCGATCGATGGCTCTGGCCACCCAACCGTCCTGTGCGAGATGCGAGACCAGCAAAGCAGGTAGACAAGTTCTTCTTCGAGTTCGAAAGCGACGGGGTTTCGGGTTTCGGGTTTCGGTTTCCTGCTGGCCCCTAGAGACAGTTTGTGACCAGGCGGCTAAGGCTTCCTGCCAACGGAGGGTTGGTCGGTACCGCCAGAATTGTCTCTGATCCTTGGGCCTCGTGTCGGTGCTAGTGCTTGTAGCCGTAGCTGTGTGTGTGTCCAAGTCGGGAGCGAGAGGTTGGGTCCCAGCCAGCTAAGCTCATCGGATGCCTTTCACGGATTCCACTTCCGTCATTTGCCCTTCCTTGGGGTGTAGATCCGCTCGAGATGACCGGAACATGCAATTGATACAGCCGTAAAAAAAGGAAACCCCCCGGAAAAACGATGACGTTGACAGCCTATTCAGAACGTGGAAAGCGGTAGTTCATTTGTCTCGCAGTTCAGGCGCTGGGGGCTGCATAAGTGGAATGGATTCCGGGGTTCGGGCCCGCAAGGCCGCTGGAAACGACGCGGTAGAAAGAAGAGGAAGAGGGGGATGAGGAGGAGGAATCTGACACAAGATGATGGTCGACTGAACTGTCTTTGGTGAAGGCGGCGGCGGCGGTCAACTGAGGTCGCATGACGGAGGGTTCGTTGAAGAAATCCTTATCCCTGGGCGTCTCGCTGCCGGAGAACCCAGTGCTGAAGATCAGGTGTATCAACTGGTTAATCATTGTTTGTGAGGCGAGAGCGTCGGTCCGAGCAAGGAACATAACAGAGACGACGAGGAGGAGGAGGAGGAGGAGGAGGAGGAAGACAAGGACGAGGACGAGGACGAGGACGAGGACGAGGAGCAAGGAGCGAGCAGATATAGAATGCGGCCAGGCCACGTAGTTGTCAACATGTCGGATACAGGATCATGATGTAGATAAAGATGGTATCCGTGCCCGGGTCTGTCTGGGCCTCGACTCTGTTGACAGCGCCCAGTGCAGTAGTGTACCCGTCCTCCTAATCCCCTTATCCCTACCTCGGTACCTATCCGTCCTCCGTACTACCTAAGTAGGTAGCGAGTCCCAATAATGGGGGAAGTACAGTATCCGTGGGTGCCAGGAGAGACGTATGAGACCTCTCTTCGCACATCTACATCTCCTCGCTTCCTCGAGGACTGCCTGATCTCACGTTCTTCCAGCGTAGCAGAGGGAAAATGCTCCGGCTCTCTTCTCGCTCTAAGCACGCAGACGTCCAGTATTTGTGCCTCGACGCAGGTATCCATGCAGGTGCTCGGCCCAGTCCCTTCTACAACAGGACAAGTGATGGACCAACGACGGACGATAAAGTAGATGGCCTGCCTCGGCCTTGTCAACCTCTTCCTCTTCCTTGTCCCCGTCCTCGTCCTCGTCCTCGATTTCGCCCTCCTTTCCCAAACGGCGGGGCCTTGTTCCTCAAATGCTCGGGCAGTTCACGCATGGTCCCCTCCCCTTGCTTCCAGAGCAGGCCGAGTCCTTCTTTTACTTCGACGGCTGCGAGCCAGTATTCCATCGGCACCAGTTTTTCTTCCTCCGACGCCTTGCGCGTCTCTATTGCCTCTGTCCCTTTGCCGGGTTGACGAGCTTCCTCCTCCTTCGGTCCATCTCCGTCCCCGGATCCCAACAACGTTGACGTTGACGCTGACGTCGACGAAGACGACGGAGAGACGCCTTCTGTGAGAATCACTCCATTCTCGCTCCTCCACCACTTCATGTCAGGCCTGTCGGCCAACGCTTTGCGGATATCGATGTAGATCAAGATCTGGGCGTCACTGCGCATGCCGCTGATGACTTTGTTCTTGCCGAGGATGGAACCCACATTGGCTCTGTCCTCGTCTCCAGTGGCCGAGGGGAGCACTTCGTCCAGAGCCGGGCCTGTAGCGAAGTGGACGTGGTTCCGTGCCATACGCTTCAGCCCACCGCTCTGCAGGATCCGCTCCCAGGAGCCGTAGAATGTGCCGTGCACCACCGTGTCCAGGACATTCGCCGAGTCGTTGAGGCTGATGGGCGTCAGCAGGCTCTCCGCCTCGACTGTCTTCATGCTATGGCCCTGGGCGGCGCGGATAAAGAACCGCCTCACATCGCCGGTCCCGTGGGTGGCTTGAAATATGGAGATTGCACGCTGCGTCTCTGTTTCTGCCTGTGACTCTGTTGCGGGTTCTGTTAAAGCTGGTGCTAGGCCAGCTGCTTCTACCTGTAGTGTTTGTGTCGGCGCCGGCGCCGGCGCCGGCATGGCCTCGTTCTCGCCCTCAGTCTCGCTCTCTCTTCCCCCGACGTATTTCAAGGCAAACCGTTTCTTCTCGTTCTCTTGAACGACCTCGATAACCTCGTCGAACGTCACTGGGGGCTGCAAGCTCCGGAGCCTCTGCCATCCGAGCAAATGGTCCATCCGGACGTAGCCGTGGTTGTCGATTGGGATGCGCTCTTCCACAGCGGCATGGCGAAGAAGCCGCGAGAGTGCTTTGGAAACAAGAACAGAACGCGGCTGAGAGTCGTGTTTCGAGCCAGAGCCACGACCACGGCCTCTGCCTCGTCGCTCTGAAGACATTGCAAAGTGGCGCTATCTGAACAGTCCAAGTTCGCCTTTCCAGCCTATTCAGGCTAAACAGTCCTGTGTAGCTGGAAATACTCAGGTGTGGAGCGCTCTGCTCTGTAGGGCTTGGGTATCGCGGGTGCGGGTGCTGGTGATGGAGTGCGATGCAGATTTTGTGCGGACGGATGAGCTACCCTCTCACATTCCCTCACGCGATCCTCATCCGTAGGAAGTGGAAGTGAAGATTGCTACTCGTCCTGTAGGTTAGGTATGTTTGCCTTAGGTACTCATGCATGTGACCGACAGTCGAAGATTAAATGTACGTGAGCACCCTGAGGTCTTATATTTTATATGACGTACGAAGTATATAGTCTGACGAGCCCCTACGAGTAGGCCCCGTCAATAAACAATAAGTCCTCCTCTATACAATCATAGTTTTCTACATAAAATTATATAATGTGTCTCCAACACGAGACTGATCAACCCAGCCACGGAACTCAATATATCAAAGCCTCTCTTCATTCATTGGATAGTCTCCTACCTGATCTGACAAGACCCATCGGATTCTCGACTTCGAGATCCAGTATCATCCTGCAGAACTATCTAATGGAGGCCATTTGACCTGTCCAGCCAACAGTCCTGCTCTTCCTGACCTGCTTCTTGTGCCTGATTCTCGCCATCGGCCCACTGTCCTCGATTACGTCTTCGTATAGACCAATACAAGATATTTAGACCCCGAAAGCTTTGTATAAATGTGCCATCCCGGTATTTCGCAACTGTGACGACGACCTGGGTGTCTCCATGACCAGGAGATTCGTAAATAACAGTCAGTCTGAGCAACCCCATAGGGTATAGAATGCGACCAACAAAGGAAACAAAACAGGGCCTAGGAGATAAGACTGATTCTCCGGCCCATGCCAAACTCCAAAATGCGCTTGATAAGATGCAATCAAATGCAACTCAATGCGCAGCAAACATATACACCTCCAAATGCCGCAAAAAAACAAAAACAAAAACAACAAAATCCTCAACACTTAAAAGTTCTGCGCAATACCTCCTTGCGTCTGGGGAAAGGTTGGGGCTCGTTCAATGCGCGTGTTCCTTCTTGCCTGGACGTCCCGTATGACTGGCTGACCTCCGGAGCCGCCGTATGCGCCGTCGACATAAGGACCACTGCTGGGTGCAGCGTCATTGTAGATGTTGTAGGGAACCTCTTCCTGGTAGTATGGGCCAGGCATATTGTGAGTGTCCGAAGATGCCTCGGACTGGTGGCCAGTCGAATAGGCGGAAGATGCGTTTGAAGGACCGCGATGGATGTCCGCAGCGCCACTGCGATTACGATGAAGCCCACCGGCCACACCTGCAGCACCCAAGGCTGCAACTCCATCTCCGCTTTCGGGGTGGCCGTTCACCAAAGGATCCGCTGAATACTTGTCAGAGCCTCCATTGGGAGAAGTCTGGTATGCATATCCTCCAGGTTGGCTGCTGCTTTCCGAAAGAGCAAGCCCGCCAGCAGCTAGACCATTTGAACCCAGAGTTGTTGACGCCTTGCGGTTTGACGGTGTAGCTCCCCACCCCCGATAGCCGCTATTGTCATCTTGAGCTTCGGATTGATTGTCAGTATATGCTCCAACAGCGGGGACCAGGGTAGGGTCGCTGTTCGGGTTGAATCCGTATTCAGCCATCTCGTTCTTGCGGAGCTCTTCTGCATCCTTTCTAGCCTTTCGTTTCCGCCAAAAGAAGAATCCGATCAAAAACGCGGCAGCGATGACTACAATTGGGATGATCACTGCGATTGCGATCTTGGCTGCCGAACTGAGGCCGCTGGAAGAAGAGCTCGAGGTAGAGCCGGAGGCACTCAAGGCTGACGGAGTACTGGACGATGAAGAAGTTTGGGTTACCGAAGAAATGGTCGAGGTTTGTGAGGGCGACGCTTCTGGCGAATATGTCGACGTTACAATGACAACGGAAGGCGTCGCGGACCCTCCAGTCGAGGTGGGAGTCTCGGTTATAGTGGATGTGACAGCAATGACACTTGGAGTTGTGGGCGTGGGTGTGGTCTCGACGACGGTCGTTGAGGGAGGTAACGAGACAGAAGATACGCTCGTTGTTATGGGCGTCGAACTCGTGTCTGTAGGGGTGGTTTCAGGCGTCGAGGCGGAGGAATCTGTGATGGTAACTGTCGTCGTAGGGGAGGTGGTTAAACTGATCGAGGCTGTAGGGGAGATGGACGTGTTGCCCGAGCTATCTGACGCGGTAGTGATGGCGGTATCTAGCTTCGAGGTCAGTTGCAGAGACAATGCAGGGTGGGTTAACACTACCTGAAGTCGTGTTTGAAGTCGTACCTGAAGCCGTAACAGAAGCTGTATCTGAAGCCGTATCTGAAGCCGTATCTGAAAATGTAGCTGAGTCGGACATTTTCGCGGTGTCCTACGACAAACCGAGTCGTCGCAGGAGGAAAGGCAGGCTTGCTCGCCGCAGCAGACGGGGCGATAAAGACGTGCAGTCGGGTAGACGAGGTCGAGAAGTCTATCTGAAGCCCTGAAGACGGGAAGATCTTGACAACGCGGGCCAGAGGACAGGGAAAGCTAGTGTTATGGCGGTAAGATTGGCCTCTGCTGAGCACCCATCGAGGAGGTGCAAGGGAAAGTGGATGGAGGTGTCAGAACGCGGTAACTCGACGTTTAGACCGGCGATCCCTGGATGCGCACTCTGACCAGGGGACCTCGGAAACCGGAGTACGGAGCGGCAAAGTTCAAGATGCAAAGTCTGATATGGTGTCAACCCGGCGATGGTTGATCAAATGTCGTTACTCTGTACAGTGTATAAGGCAAAGGAGGAGATGGAGGGAATTTGTTGAGGCTGAAGAAAGACATGTTTGGCAAAATTGGGGCGGAGGCAGTATTAGTAAGTCCTAACACAGGCTCACAGGGCTCACAGGGCTCCTTAGGTCACCGATGTGCAGCAGCTACTGTAACAAATGCCAGTGGTTGTTTTAACTAATAGAGAGGCTTGGGGAGCTTAGATTCCTGCTAGTAGTATAACTACCAGGGAGCTACCTAGGTACCCAAGTCAGGTAGGTTTTCAGCTCTTACCTTAGGTAGGGTAACAGCAGCCTTAGGGCCTACTAAGCATGCTCGGTTGCGCCAAGCCCACAGCGGCAGCCGCAGCCTGGGCACGCACCTCAGGCTTTTTGCTTTGTTCCACGGTCCTACTCCACGGCGCCGAAGCTTTAAAGCTCACTCGCTAAACTCAATTGAAGCCTATCTGAGGCATTCAAGTGGGCGATACGGAGCACCCAGGTGACTAGTGTCTCAAATCCTCTTGCGCGAGTTATGGACTATGAACATCGGTTGCGTGATTCATGTCACCAGAGTGATATGCGTTGCAGCTCTGTCTGTCCTATTTCCTGGAGCTGCACACTGTTCTTGTCTACTGGGAAGACCACAAATCTTAGGAAAAGAGGCTGCTGCTGGCCACGCTTTAGTTTAGGTACCGCAAGATGGTCATGTCATTTCTGTCACTTTCTGACGCTGAGCAATAGGTCTCACACGCTACTTCATACTGTCTCAGTAGTAGTCCGGAAAAGTGACCCCGCGGGAGCCAGGGCTCGCCGCTAAGACATCACAGCTCTTGACTGCTCCCAATTGTCCAGGCCAGTCAGCACAAGGGCGCTCTGTACAGGAAGCAACAGTCTGCAGAGCAGAGCCGAGGTTGCAGCGTGTTGATCCAGTGAAAGCACCCCGGATGCCACGGCCGACCCTACAGATTCTCGTGTAAATATCTGAGGGTAGAACACATTCCGAGATCCAATCAGCTGACGGTCCCATTCGAGTGGTGGAAGAACTGTCTCGTAGATTTTGAGTCACCTGATGAACTGCCTCATACTGTCCCCCTGAATATACATTCATTCCAGGAGACCTCAGGGAAACATGTTAAATGCTGCAGGAAATTCCCCTTCCTGGAGGTCCACAGTCCCCGTCCAGAACTCCTGCCGCTACTCGAGTGCTGGAAACCTTGTTGCAGCCTATAGCAAGGCACTCAATGACCAGAATGTCCTTGTAGATGCATCACCGATTCAGATTCCACTGCGGCTTCAGCGCTGTGGCCAGCTCGTCCTTGGTCCCTGCAACCTCCTTAGGAATCCGGCTGACTCGGTAGGCTCCCTTGCGAATGTTATGCAGATGCATTGCTGATACTCCGGATCGATTGCTCCGGATGCTGCCTGTTTCACTCATTGTATCTACCCCCATTGGACCTCGTGGTGGTGCAAAATCGAGGGCTGTAAAGGTCGATGACTTTCTCAGAGCATGACTGTTCAAATCGTTAGCTAAAAAAAACATTTTGGCATATCGAGAAAGACATACGGGCTGGGTAGCACCGCCAGATCATCAAAAGACGATACTAGCGGTACATGAGGTCTCGCGGCAGGAGAAAACGGTCTGAGCCCTCCTCGAAGACTGTCAGGCGTACCGGCCCTCTGCGCTTGAAATCTCTGGGGCGGGGCAAAATCGATCGGTAGAACCGTGTCCTCTTTCAGTAAATGAGGAGTGGGCAGAAGATTCAGCGGCGTGGGCGGTGGTAACTTTCTCTTAGGTGTCAGGTGAGGAGGACGTCCTCCATACCTGCCTGAAGCAGATGAAAATGCTCTAGGTCCCGATATATAACTTCCGTTTGACACCGTCGCACGATGTCTTCCATGAACGCCGTTCTGTGGCTGCCTGTGAGGTGGGTAAACACCGCTTTGATCGTAGTGGCCTCCTGAGCCGTATGTGTCGTAGTAATCTTCAGCGCCATCATAGTACTGTCCGTTCTGGAAAGAACTCTGTGGCTTTGTATCATCAAAATACTCCTTGTAGAATGATCTGATGCGGTTGGCTCGTTGTTCCGGGTTCTCACTCGGGTCATCCGGAGGCAAAGGTCTCACACCCATCGTCAGTCGACGGGGATCATAGTCAACATAATCTTGGTAGTGCTGATACTCTTCAAGACCGTCGTGTTGGTGATCTTGAGATCCATAGTCTTCGTATTCATCGTAGTAGTCAACTTCGTCCACCGAGGTTTGCTCGTCCGGATGATTTGACCGACTTTGGGTAGCCTGTGTCAAGGGGCTGAGATCCGTCGAAGGGGCTTCGAAATGTTGAGGCGCGCCTTTAGGGCTGTCGGGAACTATTTCGAGAGGCTTCTCAAGCTCGACCGAACTTTGCTTGTTGCCTTGAGAATCAATGAAGCTGAGTTGGGGTAGTCTCGGCTGTCGAGAATCTGGGCCATCCAAACTGATAGTGGGTGCCGAGTTATTCTGGGGTAATAGGATGGTAGGAGGTGCAACGGGAGCATCCTTGACAATCGCAGGCGGAGGGGCCCGTATGTCTTCGGATGGTGGTTCAACTGTGATTTCTGTCACTGTGGTAGTGGGTTCTTTTTTGGGAGACTCGGCCTTGTTCCCTCCGCTGATAAACCGACCCAGATAGTTGTTGCTAGCCCTTAAAGCATTCACAGCTCCATTGCTGCTAGCAGTACTCACGTATGAGTCACGGATGGGCTCTGCCGTCGCAGGGGTAAGCAAATTGTTGTTGTTCGCCTGCGCTATGGTTCTAGTGCCGGCGGGTAAAGAAATGGCTGAAGCACTTTGGACGGAGTTCGTTGACATGCGACTCAAAGGGGCTCCCACCGGGTTGTCCTGTGCATTGCGCAGCAGGTTTTGTTTCGAGTCGGGTTGAAATCTGCGGCTAGACGATCCTGTGTAGCTGGACGAATCATCGATGGGACTCCTTAAACTCGAAGGCGGCCGTATAGACCCATCGTCTGGAATGAATGTGGTAGCCCGGTACTTGTCGTCGCCGGTGTTCATGGAGCGGGAGAGTGAATGCAGTGACTCCCGAGACTGCTGGAGTTCGGGTGGCAGAAGATATGGGTTGTGCATGCCCAAATCCAATGACAATCCTTGTCCGCGGCGACTGACCCCCTTCGTCTCACTCATGGTCATTTCTGGCCCCTTCCGACGATTCTTCTTGCCCGCCCCTTGATGTGTATCGCCAAGCCCAAAATCGAGAGACTTGTGTTTGTCGTCTGCATCCTCTCTTCTCAACTTCCTCACATGTCGGCGGTGCAGAAATATTAGGACCAGAAGGGCGATGCCCAAAGGGATGATCACTCCTAGGACAATCGGCAAAGTGTTGTTCGAACCACCAGAATCAGAAGACTTTTTACAGGCCCCGGAGCTATCATGAGGGCCACAGGACGCACTGCTCGTTGCACTGTCCGAAGTTGACGACGAATCCTCCCTTACCACCAAATATGGTGCTCGCTCGGTGTATAAGGCCTCTAGTCTGATGTTTGGTATAGGGCCTGGTCGAGCCAGGGGATTTCGTGGCTGGATCTGTGGTGCATCCTTGGGACGGACGAGTGAGGACATTGTATTAGGCGGATATCGAGAGGCCCTTGTCGGTAGGCGAGAACGAATAGATTAATATCGTCAATAGGTGGCCGTACAAGACATGGTGAATCAAAGTGTATATTCTCCTGTATATTGTTTTAGATTACTGTAGAGGTTCGTCGGTGGTCAATGGGATCCGAGGTCTCGGTCCAGACTGCGTAAAGGAATGGAGCGCGTGGAACCCGTCCACAGCTGAAGGTCACGGCAGGGTAAAGGAACGACTGGAGTGAGGATCCAAAAGAGTGTCAGGTCGGGCAAAACGAGGGACAAAGAAAAGAAAGAAATGGTAAAATGGGATGAGTGTGCGCGATCAATGCGGAAGATCTGGACTGGTAGAGATGAGACCGAAAGCAAAGCAGTCAACAATTAGGTCTCCGTACAAAGGAGAGACACCGCGAAGACGGCGTGGAGAACGGAGGCACGGAGCTCGAGAGTGACCAGGGCCTGGCAAGGGCTTAGGAGGCTTAGGAGGCGGTCCAGCGGGCCTAACGCAGCTAAGCGAGCCACAATCTAAGCCTGCACAGGCCGCCGCTGATCCTACTGGTCGGAGTCGCTTCTAGGCCCCGCTCGAATCTTGAACATGGAGGAGCGCAGGATGAAGATACCCACAAAGCCAGGTTAACACGCCTAGGGTTGTGTTGTACTAAGTTCAAGTTGGGCGCCTGCTACGTAGTAGTAGAGGTTCATGTCAGGTGCCCTGCACGTGTTTTGTAGATGCTGTACTCTGTTACTCCATGAGCTACTGTGTTGGTAGGTAGGTACCTGCATCTACCTGCGGTTATACAGTACAACGCTATCATATTCCCAGGGCGCAGTTGGTCCAACCTCGACTTTCAGAAGTTGCCCCTTATTCATCCTGTCAGTCTTGTGACGACTTGCTAAACTCCCATCGTTCAAAGTGCTGCAGCATTGTACCGCCGCGCCTGGCTGCTGTCAATCTGCTGTCAATTTCCGAACTCCAGTCGTTAGCCTCGACGCCGCTCCCCCACTAAGCATCAGTCCTTGCTACCGTCTCATTCCCATCCACGAGGGTGCCTTCCAAGTCCAACTTTCACTTCACACCTATGTATCCACCGTGCTCCGTCCAGGCCGGCTGTATCGATCAAATATCGGCTCCCTTTCCACTTCATCAAGTTCCATCGTATTGGTGTCGATCCAACTCTTCAAATCCCCCGTCTCCCGACATCCAGTGTTTGGAAGCTGATTTCAAAGGATCACCGAAGGTCTTGGCCACGCAACGATATATCTGAACGCTGACGACAAGTGAATCGGATGTCTCCATTATCAAAATGGGTCAATAATAACGGTTTAATAGAGAGCATCTGTAAATGGAGTGCTCTGTAAACGGAGTGCTCTGTAAACAAGCCTAGAACAACATCTGGTCTCAACATCGAATCTGTATACTCCGTAATCCGGATGTCGCTGCGCTGCTGTCAACTGCTCCAGCAAGTCGAGTTCGATGCACCAGTTGTGGAAGGCCACAAGGACGATGTCAACGATATTTTAAGAACATGTACGTGTGTCGTCGCCCCTAAAGCTATTCGTTCAACCACGTGACTGTCGCCATTTTGGCATTTCAGGATCACCACGCACAAGTTTGCATCGCGGCCGCCACACTTGCACCGATCTCTCGAGAGATGCAAGATTGCGAATTGTGTATCTACCACTAGTTTCAAACCCTCGTTTAGTCTCCTTGAAGCATCTCCGGGCCACATCCCTATTGACGAACCGGCGCTTGACTTCTAAGGAATAACACCATCCCGTGGTCCTTGTGTAAGCCTGCAGACTCGTATGGAGCAGCAGATATGAGAAGAGCTTGTTTCCCCGGCGTCAAGGAGCGGTTTGCGTGGTTCGACTCGAGCATTTGAACATCAACCCTCACTTTACCATAGCAGCCTCGCTTGCGTAAAGACTCCCAACCACTGTAAGAGCAAGAATTGGGGAAACGGCGTAGGACAACTAGTCAGATCAGTTCAAGCAAAGAGATATGTCGTTCGAAGTTGCACTCACCGTCAGGAGCTTTGACAAGATCATTTCATCGTCGGCACCGATGTCGTTCACCTTCCCCATGGCCACCAACTTCATGGCCGGTGGTCCCGTCGGCATCAACATCATGGCAAAACAGAGCATAGGATCTTGAGGCAGCACCTTTGTCCTTGTACTAAGACCCCAAATAATGGCGATGGAAAGAACCGGCCACATCACAAATCTCACCAGCAAGATGAAGGCAGCAGGTACCCATGCTAAGCCTTTGTCATCGCCCCGTCTCATCTTTCGCAGCGCAGAGGATAAAGAGACTCCGACTACAACTACCTGCAAGGTGACGAACAGCTGTCCAGTATTTCTCAGGGATATTGTGAGCCAGGCGTTGAAAAATCCACCATGTCTACTGTCGTTGAAAAATGCTCTGTGCAAAGGTGGAGTGAGGCCAATGGCTGCCCCCAGGATTGCGCCGATAAGAGGCGGGTTGACGAAGTCGGATACGAAGACGACGACATCTCGAGTGCGAGGAGACAACTGCGCCCAGTGGTTCCTCCCAATATTGAAGACATTTTCCGTGATTTCATCTCCAAATGTGCGAACTCGACCCGGTAGGAGGGAGGTCAGGTCGTCGGGGTCATGGGGGCTCCGTACATGATCATCCCGTCTTCCATCGCGATGCTCCTCCAAGTCATCCTCGTCCTCAAATCCGTTCTCTTCGTCCACTCCCTGCTGCACTTCCCGTTCCTCTGAAGAGTATTCGTTTTTGATAAGGCGGGGACCAACGGCAAAGGTCAAACAGTTTCCTACTACAGCACACACTAAGAAGTACGCTTGAGCGCGGTTAACGGCGTCCTTTACGCTGTCGTCATGGAGCAGAAGACGGTCCAGTATGCCGGTCGACCCCAGAGACTCGATAAGAAGAAGCGGGAGGCTGGTTGTATTGTTGAATGCGATAGCCGGGGTGACATAAGAAGGAAGTTTGAGGATCTTGACGGCTAACAAGCCGATGGCGATCGAAACAAGAGTATAGAAGACGGCCCAGACTTGGTGAAATGAGCCATGGCGCAGATCTCAAAAAGGACTGGTGGTATTGAAGACATACTAAGAACAGGCACATATCGGGCCGCAGTGCCCGCGTGTAGCTGGCTGCCGACTTTCGTGATCAAAAGGGCCGGCAAGAAGAATTTGATACAGACGGTAGATATCTTCTTGGAGGCAGGTCCATCTAGAAGCTTAAACTGAGTGGCTAGAACACCGTAAAAGATAACCAGGACTATCGAGACGGTTGCTTGAAGTGCGCCCAAGAAGGAATTCAATAAGTCGCCCTGCATCTTCAGTCGAGTCAAATGAGTCAAGCTCCGTCTTAGCATTATCTGGCAACTGTGGCAATAACAGAGACGATGTCGCCCTCAACTCCAGAGAAAGCCTGTTTGATGACGAAGAGGCCTGAGCCCGTTCGATGTGCCTCATCTCAGCCACAAACGTCAGCAAGGCAGTGGTTGCATGGGGGCACATGCATGTTGTCGTGTCGATCCTTCAACGATAGGCGCGGAGTTCTTCCAACACATCTCACCTTCTGTTGGGTTAGGAGGGTCAGCTAAGGGTGGTTGATACCTACCTACCTAATGTTGTACATATAATAGTACATACAGAGAATGCGGAGAGAGCGGAGACTGCAAGGTATCTAGACTCTCGGTTTGGGGTACCTAAAGCATCCGTACACTAGATCAAATTGTGGTTGGCATCAAGCTGAATGTTCGTTGAATTCGAAGCGTGTGCACCGTGCACCACACCAAGATGCAACTGCGATACAGTCCAGAGTCCAGAGTACACCCTATCACTGACTTTCAAGTTTCGCTCTGCTATTCAAGTTTTACGTGCTTGGCGAGGAGTCAGTGTTCGACGGCGCCCCGCCGATAGCACCTGAGCAACCCAGGCAGGTGCCAGGCACACAATCCTCTTCTCCTCTTCCTGCGGCTGCGGCCATTGATGTCTGATGTCACTATCCTGCTAGCTTCGTCTCGTCAACTCTAGTTCCAGTTTCCATCACATACCTATTAGTATAGGTAGCCTTGCTGCAGAAGCAACGATAAGCCTCGACATGGATCCTCCAGCAATGGATCCAGAAGTCTCAACCTCCAAGACTCGAATTGCTGTTCTCGGAGCTGGCTCTGTTGGTTCTGCCGTTGCCCTTTGTCTTATCCTCAACCCAGTGTCAAGCGAGGTCGTGCTGGTTGATCCCAACACTGCGATACGTGACGCCCAAGTCAAAGACCTTGGGGACGCCACTACGTACCATGGCGCTGTTGGGTCTGTATGCCTACCGTCTATCTCCTCTCTTATTAACTGGCCTACAGAGGGGGCGGCGTAAGGATCCGAGGTGGAACGCACAAAGAAGCCGGGCAGTGTGACATCGTCGTAATCAGTGCCGGTGCCAAACAGAGACATGGTTAGTCCTCATGCTCTTCTTTGAATCATCCATTCTGATCCGAAGGATTCCTTCCTCAGGCGAGTCACGGACCGACCTCCTCGGCCGAAACCTTGCAATCTTGAAGTCTGCGACGAATGATATGAAGCCATTCCGAGAGGACACCGTTATTCTCATTGTTGCAAACCCTTGTGATGTCTTGACATACTTTGCCCAGAAATACTCCGGCCTCCCAAAGGGCCAGGTGATTGGGAGCGGGACTTTCCTGGACAGCGCGAGGCTGAGAGGTATCTTGTCGGAGAAGATAGCCGTGGATGCTAGCAGCATTGACGCCTACGTACTAGGCGAGCACGGCGAAAGTCAAATGGTAGGCGAACAAATCTGTTCATGGTACCGAACTATTGTCCTGACGAGCAAACTCAGGTTGCCTGGTCTTGCGTCACTATAGGCGCCGTCCCGCTAGATCAGTGTTTACCTCCCAATGTCACCCTCGACCGCAAGGCGATCGCCAGAGAGACCAAAGACAAGGCCGCCAAGATCATCGAAGCCAAAGGCGCCACTGCATATGGCATTGCTGCTCTCAGCGCGAGCATCTGCAAGTCTATCTTGTTTGACCAACGAAATGTTCGACCAATCTCTCATTGGGTCGACGAGTTGGGCTGCTGCTTGAGCTTGCCAGTGGTGCTAGGACGTAGGGGAATTGTGAGATCTCTGAATATGCCATTGCACCAGGAGGAGAAGGAACTTCTGCTCAAAAGTGCCAGCACTTTGAAAGATTTCATCGCGCAGGCAAAAGAAGTTTGACCGATGTCAGGGGTATGCTCGGCGTTGAGGAGCTGGCTGCTATGATAGCCATATGAAGAAATGTTAGTAGACAACTACCATGCTTTCTCATGGCCTGAGCTCGTTGCTCTTGCGACATGTTGTCTGGGGATAACAAGTAATGTACATGGGTGCCTATTTTATCATAGTACTTCTACTGTAGCATGAGGCTGACGTGCGCGGCGGAATGATGCTGCCAAGCCCAACGAGGCTGCCCGTTGGCCAAATGGCCGACTCTTTGAGTCCATCTTGAATTCTTCACTATTACCCAACTCTTTGCTGTATTGCGGAGGGTCAGTCTCGCCGCTTGTTATCGTTTTGTTCTCCAATTCACTTCTTTTTGAACATGTTCTAGTCCTGCACTCATTTGGCCTTCATCGCTTCAGCCATCCTGCGCGACCGCATTAACCCACCACCGAACCATCCTATCATCGAGGGAACGTTCTTGTCAATATGGCTCAAGCGCAACAGCAGCTGAGCCACAAAGATGGTGCTTTATTCCGGCAGGTCGTCCGCCACTTTGAAAATAAGCAGTACAAAAAGGGTAGGAGGCCTCCATTTGTGTCGTGAGCAGGATTGACATGTCTTCTCTAGGTCTGAAAGCGGCAGAACAAATCCTCCGAAAGAACCCAAACCATGCAGACACCCAAGCTATGAAAGCCCTGATAATCGGGTCTCAAGGCCAGACAGAGGAAGCTTTTGCTTTGGCCAAAATCGCCCTGAATAATAACATGAAATCTCACGTCTGCTGGCATGTCTATGGGCTCCTTTATCGCAGTGAGAAGAACTATGAGGAAGCCATCAAAGCCTACAAGTTTGCCTTGAGGCTAGAACCCGATTCGGCCCCCATACAGCGAGATCTGGCGCATCTTCAAATACAAATGCGAGACTACGAAGGATACATCCAAAGTCGGAGAAATATGCTACAACAGCGATCAAGCATCAGGCAGAATTGGACTGCTCTTGCTATCGCCCACCATCTCGCTGGAAATTACGAGGATGCGGAAAATGTGCTCACCACTTATGAGGAGACAATGAAGACGAAACCTAGCAGGTCGGATATCGAGCATTGGGAAGCCGTTCTGTACAAGAACTATATCATTGCCGAATCAGGCGACATCCAGAAGGCACTAGATCACCTCGAGGCAGTGGGCAAGAAAAGCCCGGATGTACAAGCGGTCATGGAAATGAGAGCCGACTATCTGGCTCGACTTGGTCGAAACTCAGAGGCCGAGGCAGCCTACGCCGCTCTTTTGGAGCGCAATCCTGATGACTCGGCTTATTACGATGGCTTTATTGAGTCGAAAGGACTGAAGGACGGCCCCTTGTCAGAGATCCAGAAGGCATATCAGGAACTGGCAGACAGATTCCCCAAAGCAGATATGCCGAGGCGGAGACCGCTAGATGTGCTCTCAGGGGATGATTTCCAGCAAGCTGCAGATGCCTATTTACAGAGAATGCTACGGAAAGGTATCCCTTCTACATTTGCCAACATCAAGCACTTGTATACAGACGAATCAAAGCGCGACATTGTCCAAGAACTGGCCGAGGGCTACGCTGCGGGAAACTTGGGTTCGCAGACCAATGGAGCCGCTGAAAACGGTGAAAGCAAGGAGGAATCACGCTTCAAATCCTCGGTCTTCTATTTCCTCGCGCAGCACTACAACTACAAGCTGAGTCGCAACCTCGAGAAGGCCTTGGACTATGCCGACAAGTGTATCGAACTTGAACCCAAGTCGGTCGACTTCCATGCGGTCAAGGCACGGGCCTACAAACATAAGGGTGACTCGGTCAAAGCAGCCGAGCTTATGGATCAAGCTCGATCCTTGGATGAGAAGGATCGGGCCATCAACACCAAGTGCACGAAATATCAGTTGCGAGCGGATCTGAACGATAAGGCGCTTGAGACCGCCAGCAAATTCACCCAAAATAAGACCGGTGGCCCCTTGAGCGATCTGGTCGACATGCAAAGCGTCTGGTATCTGACAGAAGACGGGCAGTCATACCTTCGTCAGAGGAAACTTGGTCTTGCCCTCAAACGCTTTCATCAGATCCTCGCCATATTCGACACCTGGCAGGAGGATCAGTTCGACTTTCACAACTTCTCACTGCGCAAAGGTATGATCCGAGCATACGTCGACATGCTACGATGGGAGGACCGACTTCGCGAACACCCCTTTTTCTCAAACATGGCTGTCTCCGCGGTTAAAGCGTACATTCTTCTCTTCGACAACCCGGATCTGGTTCACGGCCCTATTCCGGACAGCATCAATGGCGTAAGCAAATCCGGCGAAACGAGCGCTGCGGATCGGAAGAAGGCGTTGAAGAAGGCCAAGCGGGAGCAAGAGAAGATGGAAAAGATCGAGGCAGAGAAGAAAGCAGCCTTGAAGGCCGCCAAATCTGCGCCGAAAAGCGAAGATGTTGACAATAAGAAGGAAGATCCCGATCCGTTTGGCAAGACTCTCGTGGAGACGAAAGACCCGCTCAAGGAGGCCATGAAGTTCCTCGGCCCCTTGCTGGAGCTTTCTCCCCAACTTGTCGAAGCCCAGTGTGTGGGCTTTGAATTATATGTACGGCGCAAGAAATACTTGCTCGCTACGAAATGTCTCCTTGCCATCAACGCCCTGGACTCCAAGCACGAGCGGTTACCCCAGTACCGGCAGCAGCTGAAACAAGTACTCGCAGACAAGCCGGCCGACCTGTCTGACCAGGTCGCAGACATCATCAAGAACGAGGCAGGCGACTTGGTTCTGTAGTGCCTTGCTTGCAAGGCCCCTGACAACCAGTGGTGTGTGGCCGGGATTACTAGGCAGTTGTGGAAGATCCGCTTTCCGGAGACCATCTGTCGCACGCCTCTGGCTACGTGCAAGGATGAAAAAGGGGTGAGATTCTGCCCTCGAAGAGAGGAGGAAGATGGGTGCATGTATTTTCCTGAACCAAAAAGAAAATGGTAGAGGCAGTGTCTGCCTAGGTCCAAGTCTGTGCTTGGGTGTATTTTCGTGTGCAAGTATGGACTGAGATGGCGTAGCAGTGGTCAAGTATTTGACTGCATGCCTAGGCGCGATCATGTAGAGAGGACAGATACAAAAAGTCGAGAGAACCGCGATTGTCCCTTGCGGCATGCGGCATTCGGCATCCAGGCCTTGCTTGGCTTTCAATTATCTATTTCTGTTTTCTTGCTTCTTCGCGATGTTGATGCATCTACACTCGTTTGGCAGTGTCGTCTTTGGTGCCCTCCCTGCCACTGACGGCCCCCCTTCGCGCTTATCATTCCGAAGGAAAGCATGTTCGACCAGGGCACTGGTGAATGGTTCGTACCTCATCAGAATGACAGATCCAGGAGCATATGGCCTGCGCCGGGAAGATAATTACGGCATGGGCGAGGGACTGTACAGAGCTTCCAGCTAAATAAAGAGTACAGTCTTGAGAAGAGCTGCCGCTGCCTCTGCTCGGGGTTTAAAAAGCTAAAGCTCCCCAAAGAAGACTTGCCAAAAATGACACCAACCGTAGTGTCCAAGAGTCCCGTGAGAAACCCCTCGTCGCCAGATTGGGCGCCATCTTGCCGACGCCTGAGCCACCACTGACACTGGCCGTGCAACTGGTGGCTCCGCACCCGTACCCGGAAGGACAGCAACCGCCACCGACAACCGGTGCGCATGTGGTCCAGCCGTTGGCGCAGGCGCCGGTCAAGAGAGATCCGGGGGCAGTAATGCCGCTGCCTGTGGGCGCCACAATGGTGAGACTGCCCGTGTCAACAAGCGTCGTGCTTGCACTTGCGGGGCATGATGTCTTGTCACAATTGCGCCCAATCTGGCAGCAGCCACCTTGGTAGTAGGCGCTGCAGGCGTAAAACCCGGTGGGACAGCCGCTGACTGGCGTGGTCGAAGTGGGCGTTGAGGTAGGTGTCGAGGTAGATCTAGTGTTTGGAGGAGGGACTGTGGTGGTCTCTTCGGTAGTAGTTAGACTCGTTGGACGGACTGGGGGCGCCGCAGTTGCGGAGCTGGTGGTGGTGGTGGGCGGACAGTTTGCAGAGCCGCATTCACGATCGGTCGGGCAACAACCACCACCTACAGAGGCTGGGCACGACCGATACCCCGTCGAGCATGCTAGGCTGTTGCTGGCCGAGGACGTGACTGTGATTGTCCGGGTGACTGTAGAGATCTGTGGGGGAAGAGTTGATGCGCTAGCGGTCGAGGTTGGGGTCGAGGTCGATATTCGAGTTGGTGTTGTTGAGGCGCTCGGAGAAGACGAGACGGATGGCGTTACAGTCGTGTAAGAGGTGACGGTCGTCGTCGAAGGGGTCAGGAGGGTGGCCGTCGAAGTTTGCACACAGCCAACTTCATAGCATGCGTAGCCAGGAATACAGCACCCGCCGCCTGGGTCATTGGGACACGAGGTGTAACCCGCCTCACACGTGGAAAGCGAGTCTGCACAGACCTGCCCGTGTGGACAGCATCCGACATCGCCCAGGCCGGTGTCTTCCACCAACTGGCAAGTCGAGCCTGTTGCACAACAGCTGTTGGGCCGGTCGACAGAGGTACAGGGGGAAGTGCCTGACGGACACTGGAAATCTCTCTTTTCGAAGAGATGCCAGCCAGGTAGCCGCAGATATGGTTCGACTGCCCGCGGACTCCTCTTTCGAGAGTGCACGCGCACGGGCGCTTCAAACGAGGTGAACAGCGTGGCGTTCGTGGGGCTCGAATAGTTATTCGACTCCTCCTCTTGCTCAAACCCCCAGTAGTCCATATAGAACTTCTCCCCTGGGTCGCCACTCATCTTCCTCACCCCGGTAGCTGTCTTCCTCTGTAACTTCTGTTGAATGTCGATATCTCGCTTGATGAGTACTTCATCTTCGGGGTAGTATTTTGCATCGGGAGGCAGGCTATACGGCCAGTCGTAACCCTGCGACAACACCGGCGAGGCTGCCCTGGCTATCAAGATGAGAAGGGATGTTGGGAGTGCTGCGAATCGCAGCCAAGGCGCCATGGGCGTGCGGCTGGTTATTGACTGCGAAGGTGCTGCCGGTGGAATCGACGAGAAGTCGAGGATCAGGCGGGAAGATGGGCAAAGCAGAATAGCTGCGACACGGGCGACGAGGACAGCATCACTACAGAGTAATTAGCATAACCGAGTCTTACAGAGACGGTAGATGGTGGGTTTCAGCAGCAACATGACGCTGGAAACTTGGTTACTTGGGCCGGAGTGGGTTGGCAGAATGCGATGGCTGGGAGTGCAAAGGTCAGGTCAGGTTGTCTCCGAGACATCACCAGTGGCGGACTCGAGCCATCGATCGAACTGCGGAGGTGGCGGCCCCTACGTACGAATAAATACCTGGTATACGGATCCTGTATGTACGCGTACTCTGGCTCGGGCTGCACGGGATGCTGCAACACACATCCGGATATCCCAACAATGGCCGATGATCGAGGTGCACCATTCATTGTTGGGCCAGCCTTGCACGTGACTGGCATACATCGCTTTTGATTGTCTCGTGTTTCATCGCCATCTGTCACGTAGTCACATGTCACTGCTTCTTGAGCCCTCTCTAACTCGCGACAGCTCGTGCTACTCGTTGTCATTGCCACCTCTGCCGCATCCAAATATCATCTGAGCGAGCCGGAGCCTAGTATGTGCCCGCTTTTAAGCCCTTCAATGACCCCAAACTCAACGCCAGGCCCTGTGAACGTGAGCGGATCCGGATGAATCCCACTATCGAGTTGTCTGCCGTCTTTTCTATACTCAAATTCGCCAATGCATCCTCGCCTAGCTTGGTCAGTAGGTCGCGATAACGAGGTGGGGAAGACATGCTTACCGAAAACACTGCGTGCATACAGATTTGCGCTGAGGAATTGACAATCGCCTTGCAAGGCAGCTTCCGGAGTCAGACAGGTCATGTTGGTGCTCTTCATCAACTGCTCCAAAAACTCGCGGAGTGTCTTGTTCGTACTCTTGCTGTTGATGTTGACCTTGTTCTCCCACTCAAATTCGGTCCACATGGTCCTGAAGGCTGACTCGGAACAAGTCGCCGGCTGAATATAGTCCATAATATCGGCGTGGACGTCGTTCAAGATGACCACATGAGTATCTGTCCCGGAAGGCGAATCGTAGACGACGTTGCCGAAGATCACGCCAGTGTCAGTGCTTGACACTTTGATCGTGGACTGCACATTGAGGAAATCCTGTGGCCCGAGGTTGTGGGTAGTCGGTCTTTCCACGACTTTGAGATCGCCCAATGTTGCAAACTCGACCGACAGATTTTGGAGCGTCTCATTTGTCTGGTTGACAAGCAGCACGTCAAGGATGATATCGAATTGGTGCACCTTGACATACGCCTCGGCGTAGACTGGATCGGAGAAGCCTGTGAGTTGTACCACACGACTGAGCTTAGACGACAGGTCCTCGAAGGAGGCATCGCCGCCAGTGGCCTTCTCAAGGTCAAGATCAATCTCGTCTATCCCATCAGCTGCACTCTTTTTAGCCAATTGCCGTATGGAGAAAACATCATCGACCTGGACTGCCGTCTTCGCCTTCTCCACCGCTTCTTTGGCAGCGCGTTTCTTTTCCTCGGCCTGCACCATCGCTCGGAAGGCATCTCGTGTATCGTCCAGAAACGATGTTTCCAGCTCTCTGCGCTCTGTGAACTCCGCCAATGCCCTTACGCACGACATGATACGATCAACGGAGTCCTCATCAATGGGCGCCTTCACAAATTGCGACTGTCCAACCCGGATGATTGAGATCATAATAAGCATAGCCTCGGCACGCAGAGCATTGGTACGTGCCTGATCTGAAGAGATTTCAGAATGTCGCATTACGAGCTTGGTGAGAGTGGATGAAAGGACCGTGGATAAATACCAATCACCATCCAGGATGAGTTGTCTCAGCGGTGGTTTCTGTGCAGCCTTGACTGCTTCTAACCGAGCATTTGCTGCCGAGTCGCTGGTCATCGCAGTTTCCGTTGCATATGTACCGTCTGCGAGCACTTTTCTGGAGCCAGTCGACGCTACTTTGGTGGCATGACCGTTGACTTGTTCCTTGACTTCCCCATCCTCGTTGGATTGCTCGTCTAGTAAGCGCTGCTCCGATGCGAGGATGGGTATCTCTCCGAGACTTGCCCGAATCCGTTTCCAGGCCTCCTTGATATCATTTTCTTGGAGAGAATACTCGCCAATCACCCACAACGAGCCACGATACACCTTGCCGGCCCGAACTTCACCAAGTGTCGACACGAGTTTTTCGACGATTGACGATCTGAGCTTGGGGAACTTCTCAACCACTTCCTTGACGAATGAGATGACTTCCACAGCGGAGCTGTTGTTGAAATCCGCAATGAAATCCATCAACACATCGACCACACTGGCGGCAATCTCGGAGAATTTGATGGCACAGTGGTGGATGGACTGGATCAATAATTGTCGGTATTCGGTGTTCTTCTCGTATTGTTCCACCACGGTCTTACTGAGCTCCTTCTTTAGTAGCATGACAATTTCTTGCACGTTCTTGCTCGACACCATCTCCAAAGCGATGCTCAAGGCCTTCCGTCGAACATCAAGATCGGGGCTGGACAAGACGCGCAGTATTTCCATGGCTAGATCATCAAGCACACCTTCGTGTCTTCTTCTGAGTTGCTCGACTCGGTCGAGCACAATAAGTTTGACGTTGTTGTCGGCCTCCTTGATACTGAGTTCGATCAGCTTGCTTGCCGCGGCCTTCACTGCCACCGGATTGCTTGTGAGAGACGTAAGGGTAGTAGCAGCTTCGTAAACCACCGTGCTGGTACTGGCTTCCAGCAAATCGAAGATCAGGCGTAGATATCGGGCTTTGTTTGCTTGATTGTGCACCGCGTCTTTCCGGATGAACTCGAGCTCAACCAATTGTAGCAACTCGTCGGCATTGGGAATGCCATCCAGAATACCAGTAAGATAATCCAAAGCTTTCTCATGGCTTATGCTCATCAAAGCAGCAAAGGCATTTCTTTTGCATGTTGTATCGGTCTCTGCAGTCAGGAAAGTGTAGAGCATTTCGGGTGCGTCAGGGATAAGGTGCTGGGCATGCTGATACACGGAAGCTAGTGCCCACACCGCGTTCTTTCTCACATATGCGTGTCTGTAGTCGAGGCATGTCTGAGCGGCAGAGAGGAGTGGCTCGATCAGTTCAGGCTCTCGCAGCTTGGAAAGGAACCGTAGCGTATTTCCTCGAACGAACTCGTTGGGATGCTGGAGATCATTTCGGATACCATTACTGTCAATGGGGTCAGCACCGGGCCTTCTATCGACGGTCCAGCATTAAGCATACCACACCAAGATCATCTCTTGCTTCAACTTTCCATTCGCATCCAGCTTGGGACATATCTCATAGTAGAAGTACAGTAACTTCTTCAGCGGCTTGCTCTTGGACGGCATGACAAAGCGAATGATGTGCATCAAAAGGTTGGGCATCGGATCACCATTCAGCATTATTGTCAATATCCTCCGCATCGTGTCTATTTTGCTCTCGTCACTGCCCTTTTCAAGCTGGGTCTTGAGATCTTGCTGACTTGGCTGGTCGGCGGTGTTATCAAGGTGCACCAGACTATAGGAGCTATCGAGGAATGCCGCCATGGTCGCGGATCGTGCAGCCGTCGCCGGTGCGGCAATCAACGAGAAGGTCGAATATTAATCGGTGGTGGGTATGCAGGAAGATTTGTCGGGACTGTTTAGCACATCGTCCGGAAGGGTGCTGAAGGACTTCCTCCCGACACACTAGAATAAAGAGAACAGTCACCAGAAGAGACGGAGGAGGCGGACAGTTGAATTACAAGAACTCGCGAACGACGTGACAACGACCGCTCCAGCCAGGGGAGTCGGAGAAGTGTCCAAAATGCCAGATTAGGGAACGCGCTGATGAGGACCTTGGCAACACTTGTATGGAGTAGATTGAGGACACGGCAGGCCAGTCACATGATACGCCCAGGTAGTAGTTATGGTGGACCGTACATTTTCTTATGTAATCCAGATCCTATTGCTTGCTTGGCATTGCATCTCCGCAGGCTGTGACGGATTCAAAGTTTATCGCCTGCCATGGTACCCTCTGAAAACTGGCAATCACGCTGCGGGCACCGCAAAGTGCCACGTACAGTTCTGGCTACTGACACCATCCCCAGAAACGTCCGGAGTCCTCAGATCCTAATTCGAATCTCCTCAACATGGATTCCTCAAGAGGCCCTCCGCGGGTCAAGAACAAGGCCCCTGCGCCTGTGCAAATATCTGCAGAACAACTGCTTCGTGAAGCAGTCGATAGACAAGAACCGGGCATACAAGCGCCAACCCAGCGCTTTGCGGATTTAGAAGAACTCCATGAATTCCAGGGTCGCAAGCGCAAGGAATTCGAGGACTATGTTCGCCGCAACAGGGTTAACATGAACAATTGGCTGCGGTATGCGCAATGGGAATTGGAGCAGAAAGAATACCGACGCGCAAGGTCAATTTTCGAGCGGGCCTTGGATGTCGACAGCACCCATGTTGTCCTATGGATCCGATATATCGAAGCGGAAATGAAGACAAGGAATATCAACCATGCACGGAACTTGCTGGACAGAGCAGTCACCATTCTTCCGCGGATCGACAAACTTTGGTACAAATATGTGTATATGGAAGAGACGCTGGGCAATATACCTGGGACAAGGCAAGTCTTCGAGCGATGGATGAGTTGGGAGCCGGACGAGGCGGCCTGGCTGGCGTACATCAAACTGGAAAAGCGATATGGCGAGTATGACCGTGCGCGAGCGATCTTCGAACGCTTCACCATTGTTCATCCCGAGCCGCGAAATTGGATCAGATGGACGAAATTCGAGGAAGAAAACGGGACGAGTCAACTGGTGCGGGACGTGTTTGGCGTTGCCATCGAGACCCTCGGTGATGATTTTATGGATGAAAAGCTTTTCATTGCGTATGCACGCTATGAGGCTAAACTCAAGGAGTACGAGAGGGCCAGGGCGATCTACAAGTATGCCTTGGACAGACTGCCACGCTCTCGATCTGCCTTACTCCACAAGTCTTATACCCAGTTTGAGAAGCAATTTGGGAATCGGGAAGGAGTGGAGGATGTCATCCTTGCAAAGCGGCGGGTGCAGTATGAGGAACAAGTAAAGGCCAATCCTCGCAATTACGATGCCTGGTTCGACTTTGCCAGATTGGAGGAGGCGGGAGGCGATGTGGAACGTGTGAGAGACGTCTACGAGAGAGCAATTGCCCAAGTTCCGCCATCACAGGAGAAGCGACACTGGCGGAGGTATATTTACCTGTGGATCTTTTATGCGCTATGGGAGGAGATGACCAACAAGGACATCGAGAGGGCGAGACAAGTATACCAAGAGTGCTTGAAGCTCATCCCACACAAGAAATGGACTTTCGCCAAAATATGGCTTTTGAAAGCGCAGTTTGAGGTGCGGCAAATGCAACTGCAGGCGGCGAGAAAGACGCTGGGGCAAGCTATCGGGATGTGCCCGAAGGACAAACTATTCCATGGGTACATCGAGCTGGAGAAGCAGCTATTCGAATTTGGCCGATGTCGCACTCTCTTCGAGAAGCAGATTGAATGGAACCCGTCCAACAGTCAAGCTTGGATCCAATTCGCCGAGCTTGAGCGTGGGCTCGACGACTTGGACCGAGCGCGGGCCATTTTTGAGTTGGCCATTGAGCAGCCCACACTCGACATGCCAGAACTGGTGTGGAAGGCGTACATCGACTTCGAAGAGTATGAGGAAGCATACGATCGAGCCCGGGCGTTGTACGAGCGCCTCCTACACAAGACCGACCACGTCAAGGTCTGGATCAACTATGCGCGGTTTGAGATCAATGTGCCGGATCCTAACGAGCCTGAAGCCGGCGAAAATGAAGAGCAGCGGGTCAGCGAGGAAGCCAAGGGTCGGGCGCGCAAGATATTTGAGCGGGCACATGAGCTTTTCAAGTCGAAGGAAATGAAGGAAGAACGGGTTGATTTGTTGAATGCCTGGCGGTCGTTTGAGCAAACACATGGGTCACCGGAAGACATTGAGAAGATTGAAAAGCAGATGCCGCGTAAGGTCAAGAAGAGGAGAAAGATCGAGGAAGACCGGTTCGAGGAGTATATCGACTATGTCTTCCCCGCGGACGACGAGAGTGCGGCCAAGATGTCCAAGTTGTTACAGATGGCTCACCAGTGGAAAGCGAAACAGCAGGTGAACGAGGGCGGGGAGTGAACTGGTGTCATGAATACCTAGGGAGGTACCTGGGTAGGTACCTAAGTAGGTAGTAATCGTACCTAGGTAGGTGTACGGAGAACAATATCGAGTCCAGTATATCACGTGATCCGCACGGAGGAGGTGGGAGTAACCCCATGTTGAATAAGCCCGGCCATGCTGTTTCTATACATATATCATGCCATCTAGAATCATTGTTCTCGTTTATGTGTCACCGCCGTCGTGTTTGGCGGGTGGTAGTCGCGTACTCGGAGTAGTACAGTACCCCTGGATCACGGGGCTAAGGAGGCTCGCGGTGATGGAGATGGAGAGGGAAATGGAGACGCCGAAATGGATCCCACCAGGGGGCAGGCGGGGCGTAGGAAGGCTAAGGGCTAAGGGGCTTAGGGGCACTGCAGTGGTTAAAGGTAGGTACGTAGTTGGGCTGCCCTACCGCCTTCCCACCGCCCAGTGAGTCTCTCCATTATTTCTTGCCAGGGGGGATGCGTCCACTGTTCAGTCTCCGTACCTGCGCAAGAGCCCGCCATCCGCCTGGTCGTATTCCCCGTCCGGGTTAGCGCCCAGCGCTCTCAGCAGCCAATTCGCTCTGCTCGACAAACAGTGTTGGTTCTCTTCCAGTTCGCGTCTCCAATTGAGCGACACAACAGTCTCGATTTCTTTTAGTTGACCGTGACTGGGACATTCGCCCTCCTTCTGCGCGCCGCAGACGCCTCCTCCTGAGTCTCCCCTTATCCACAGACACCTGTCAATTTTGAATGACCTGTACACTACGCCGAACTCACCTGGCCCAAGCTCTGGCCAAATCAACGTCCAAGCGACCCTTTGTCGCTCGAGAAACACGCAGCTTAACGATTGCACCGGAAAGTCTGCGTCCAAGCGCTCTCATCAGAAGCAACCCGTGAACGTACCTAGATCCTATAGTGCGCCCTCTGGCACAGCAACGAGTTGATTCTCTGGATCGGACCACTTTCGACTTCGCACTCTCTACTCCCTCTCGACCACAGACTTTATAGGCCCTGCGTACCAGTAACCAGAATCTTCTTTGCAAAATCGACAAGAAGATGCAAATGCATTTACGGCTCTAACAACTGCCTGCGCCAATTGTGGTGAAAAGATCTGACATTGGACATGTCAGCGCCTAGACCTCTGGTTGCGCTCGAAGACCATTGCTCCATCATTCATAATGATACCATCTACGTCTATTCACCCGAGGCTTTCCAGACGTTGGAGTTGAAGGAAGGTGCACAGTGGAAGAGAGAGACCAACGGAATATCAGTGACAGGCGCGGTGTGCGTCAAGGGTGGTGTGGACGGAGACAATTCAAAACCAGCGCTATATGTTGTCGGCGGCGCAGCGAATAAATCATCTTCCAACTATCCAGGCTTGCAGCGTTACTCAATTTTGGACAAAGCCTGGGAAACCATCACGCCAGTTGTGTCTGTCACTCAACATCGCCTGAACCATGGAGCAGCCTACATGAATGCCCAGTCATCACTGCTGGTATATGGAGGGTCCCAAGATGGCTACACAGGGCCATCTTCGCAGACATTTCTTGTCGAAATGTATCCGCCATACAGAGTGTTGGCTTACAGCTCGATTGCCCCTCCAGTAGTGAAACCATTCATGCTTCCATGGGCACAGGATCGCGCTATGATGGTGGGCGGCAGCACCACAAACCTGAATGTCTTCACCTTTGGCCCATCCGACGGCTGGCAAGACCTCGGACTAGCACTGCCTTCTCCACTGCCCGATTCTTCTGCGGCGAAATGTGCGGTGCTTACGCTGGACGATGGCAGCAGGATCCTGCAAACATTTGATCTGGGTCAGTCTCCGCCTACCATAACGACAAACGTTCTGTTAAATCCTGGAGGCCTTCCTGCGTCCTATGGTGAAACAGTGGGAGGCGATGCCACAAGCACCAGTCTTACAGCCACTCCTAGCGCTCCATCCAGGTTGAAAAGAGCGATATATCTCGACAATTATCCCGCCTACAATAACAGTCTGGCGCCGTCAGCCAAGCGGACGGACTTTGATCTGGCACAGGGCGCCGATGGCCTGATAGCATTCGTTGGTGGCAATGACGATGACCCGGTGGTATTCTTCAACCAGACTGCAAATCGTTGGATTGCATCGACTCAATTGCTTGGGAGTCAGCAGGCCCCATTGGCAACTCCTTCGAACACCCAGCCATCTACAACTGCGAGTGCCACAGCAACCAGTGCTGCAGCCACATCGGGGTCATCTAGTAGATCTCGGAGCCTGACAATTTTGTGGGGTGTGCTAGGTGGCATCTGCGGCGTCGCGCTAATTCTGGTCATTCTCCTGTTGTGGTTGAGATCAATTCGCAAGAAGAGAATGGAGAGGGAGAAAGAGAAGCAGGCCGAGTATCCGGACGCCAAACGAAGAAGCGGCGAGGACACCCATGTAGAAAGAGGATTGCAGCCTCTATCAAGAGCTGGACAGCCCATGGGAAGGAGCCCGGTGCCTTCTACGGTCATAGCAGAGGCGGACAGCACAGCGATGTTCGGTGGCAAACCAGATCCCAGACACCTGATCCGACGAGTCTCCTCAGATCGTGGGTTTCGTGGATCGAGCATGGGATTTGGACAATCCTTATTTAAGCGAGACAGGGAGAAGGGCTCGCTTACCATCTCCAAGCCGATGATGCCAGATCTGGGCGACTATCAGGAGAGACCCAGCATCGAACTGGGCAAGGCGACTCCCGCTCAACAAGTGACAACCAAAGCAGCCCCTGCTCGACAAGCGTCTCAACGCAAGACCAACGAAGGCTGGGGGAGGTATTTCCAAGGCGAACACGTTCCAGAGAACCAAACGAGCTTGTTCTCCAGGAGTTCAGGCGGGACAACCCTTGGGAGGAGCGGATTTTGGCCCGGTTCGGGAGTTCCCGAAAGCTCCTTGAGATCACCTAAGATCATTCTGCGAGACAGCGCTGGAAATCGTCTTGAACCGCGAAACGTCGCGGCAGGGAGTCCCAATTTGCAAAGTGGCCCCTCAAGTCCACATAGTCGAGGCCTTCAGGCGCGGGTTTCAAGAGTGAGCTCCGCCGCGACCATGGACACAACCGATGACGAGTACGACGATGAACAGTATGAAGGCGCTTTCTCCAGTGGCGTCCCGACCAGTGTCCACGACGTGGCGTGGACTCCTGTAGGCAACACGTGGTCAGGTCCAGCTCAACGTCCATTGAAACCTCCAAGCAGCTATATTGCTGCCCAGGCCCAGGCACATCCTGTGCAAACTCCGGCGTCGGGTGAGACGAGCGATAGCTCGGAAACACGAAGCCCCTCAATACCCACTTTCCCAATGCCGAACTCGATACGGTCGGTCCAACATCACGAGGAAAGACAACCGGCAGTAGGGCCAGGCTGGAGTCAGGAAGAGGCCGGCGACTATTTCAGCCATGTGCGAGTACGGAGTCGCACCCCTGACAACAGTGACATGTCATGGCTGAATCTCGGGACGCCGGCCCGGTGACTATCGAGGCGCTTCTCACAGATTCTCTATCAGTTCCTACTTGACGATGTCGCGCGGAAACCTCGGACAAGCAAGCCACGGGCTCAGGAGGTGGACGCTTTTGAGGACCGAGACGAAACAGTGACCAAAAATCAGAGCCTGTTTCGCACTCGATCCACTCCTCGCCAGACTCAGGCATTTTACCGCCCTGTGCATGGCAGGAGTGGGAGCTGGGATGACGAAATGGTGCCTGAATCACCGACACTTCCTCTGGGTGAGCAGATGGTGTCGAGGTATACAGACCCTCGCGAGAGTAAGAGACTGACCATGTAAAAGTAGACGCAGAGTTGGGATGGCGACTCGAGCCTTGTCCTGTTGCGCTATTTCATTATGGACCACCGGGCTCCTGGTTGACGGGGACAGATCTCAAACTTTGGGCAGCTGGAGATGACTGACATCTCTCCAGCTTTGACGGTGGAGGAGTGATGATGATGCCGTCATGTATATCATATACTGCATGACTACGCCTGAGGCATGATAATGTAATGGATTTATAGTCGATGATTGCAAGCGAGCTCCGGCAAAGTCTACAGACATAGTGTAGGCATGGATTTGCGATTTCCATTTCAAATAACTTTTTGAGTCATGCATTACAGGACGCCTTATAGTGATTGGACATGACTGCACGAGTGAAGACCTCGTGGCTCTTGCGACAGGTGTTGTTGGTGCGGTGTTCGGTGAGCACCAACCAAGGGATGGGTGTCGGGGGGCGTGGAAGATTTCGTGGTATAGCTCTCCGTTTACAGACAGCAATGACACAACAGGTCCTGCCCACGCGCGCTACAGACGAGACGCGAGACGCGGGATGGACAAGAGTCGCCAGCTCGACGCACGTGGGAAAGTGACAAGCGGGCGGACCTTGGAAGAGAACATTCGTGTTGAACCTTGGTGCTGATCCCGATCCCGATTCCGATCGCGATGGGTAGTCCTGAAATGTGAATCCTGAGGTGTTTGGGGTGACAGGTCTCCTAGCCTCTTCTATGTCCTCATTTTACATCTTCTCCGCAATCGCCCGGGACTGGTTGTCGATTGAGGAGGCCCATGCGTGGTGCAGCGTGATCCTGTTATCTGTGTGGTCCGAGATAACAGACCCGTTCGGTACAGAGTACGTAGTAGGTAGTCGAGGATAACTGGTGCCTTTGCCCGGGTCTCCTGAAGGAGAGGAGAGAAGAGCGGCAGATGCGGTGCGTTTTCTAGCGTCTACCAAGACGGCGGGCTTTCATTCATCGCTTGAGCCAGGCTGTAGGTTGTTGTGCAATTGCTGAAGCTGTAGAGGCCATGTGCCGCAGACAGTCGCCACTCATTGGGGCTTGGGGTTAGCCCCGAGAGGTCCGGAGTACTCGTACACCACAGAGAAGCAGAAGGAATTCTCAGGCCTAATGAGCCTGTCACAGACGGCCTCCAGGCAACGAGCATTGCCCAGCAAGCCCGAGAGGATTGGGGCCACGCCCCCCACAAGCCTAAGTAATGTATCCGTATGTCGACTTAGGTACGTAGGGGGCCTGCCGAATATTTCCTGCATGAACTGCTGGTGGTGGTGGTGGATTGACTCACCACTGGCAGTCTGGCACGGCTCCTTAGACACAGACTAGTAGGGCAGCGGCAGCCTAAGGCCTTAGGAGCCCTACCGATTGGCCACTCACTAGGTCACGGGGCCTTATGGCTGGTTTGTGGTGGATGACGATGACGGTGGTGGCCGCGAGGCTTATGTACTACTACTCCGTACTACGTACTGCTACTGCTGGGGCGCCGGGCATTCCCATCACCCATCACCCATCACCCATCACCCCCAAGCCCTCTAACCCGTTGGCTCCTAAGGCCTTAGGGCCCATTGAAGTGCACCCGCACCACCCGCACCACCCTCCTCCAGGCTTAGGAGGCCTTCAAGTTAGGCTCCGGGCCTGTCTGCCCTCTATCTGGCTTGCATCCCTATCTCGTCTCTGTCATCTGCCAATCCAACAAACCAATCTGGATTCTGGATTCAATCATCCAACACCAACACACCTCACACACGCCCTGCACCCACCCCGCTTGTTCTATTATCAAAAGAGCCAACGCCAACACTCACTTCTCTTCTTCTCCTTCCTTTCCTTCATCTTCCTTATTCCAAAGGAAGATATCGCTGTACAGACACCTCCGTCAAGGTTGTGTCTCTTATCGCCACTTCCACTTACCTAAGCTCCACTGCCTGTGCCTTCCGTCGCCACACTTGGTCTGCTCGACTTCTCGCGACCTTGCCGATCCAGCCGATCTCACAGTCCCATACCGCAGTCATCGCAATCCGTAGCAGAGACGCGCGCTTTTGTGGTGAGTCATATTGAGCTTGTTCGGACAATAACATATCGCCATTATCACCACCAACGCGTCACCTAAATCCTTCTTTCATGCGCACAGTATATGCTGACTCACTGCGCGTCTAGCTCTAGCTCTGACTTCTATCGCAGAATTGCAGAGAACATGGCTCCAACACCCATTTCCGCCCTCGGTATGGCCCTCAACGGCAAGTCCGCATCCGTCGACATTCCCAAGCCGCGCGACGCCATGAATGGCCGGGACAACTTCACTGCTGTACCGGTCGCTTCCTCCAAGAAGCATTCTGGCATGTTGCCTACGCCTCCCAACTCCATCTCTCCCAACCTTCCGCCTCATGGCCGTCACGCAAGCGACCAGCATGGCCCAATGTCGCCAAAGAGCACTCAGCTGGACTCAGACATTGACTTGCAAGATGCCCCTGATAAACCACAACTCACTGCGCTGAGCGCTGAGGCTCTGGATAGCTTGGGCGACTTGGACAGCGCCGGGGTTATCACCCCCAGCATGTTGGCCAAGCATCACCTCCCAGATATCTTGTTGTCTCATGGCCCTCTAGCCATCCGACATATCATGGGCTACCTGACAACCTCAGTGCCAGGCTTTTCTCGCATAACTTCTGCCAAAGCTCGCCGCTTGGTTGTGGCTGCGCTGGAAGGCAAGGGCGGCGGTCCAGAGAATACAGGCCGTGAGGGCGATGTCCTTTTTGAAAAGGTTGGCTGGGGAAGATGGGATGCTCGCATCAAAGGCCAGCCACCTAGAGAGCGTCAAGCATCTACCATGACCCCCCCGGGCAGTCTACCATCATCCTACTCCCAACCTGGGCTTCAGGTCCCCGGCCAACGATCCTGGCGTACTGGATCCGAAAACTTCGGTACCAGCTACACTGGCAACTCCGCTATCTTCTCTCATTCAGAAATTGAGTACGAGGATCAAGACATGCTAGAGCACGAAGCCGACAAGATGTCTTTAGATGGCAACGACGACGGCTACGTCTCCTCTGTCGCTCCCGAACCTCTTGATGAGGACCTTGGAGACGGCGAAATCACCGACGAGGAAGACTGGGCGAGTATCGGCGCCGAGGCACTGCGTGCACGGTCACTTCCCATTGCAGCCCGATCCGTCTCTGGTGCTGGTCGGCTTTATCAGCCTATTGCGACGTACTCGTATCAACCAAGATACCGATCCAAGACTCCAGCTGAACTCGCCTATACTGCCCCGACTAAGCCGGGGACTATCAATACTTCCACCCTATGCTCAATTTCAAAGGACGCTGGCGTCAATGACTCCCAGGAACGAGTTGCTATCGAAGCACTCTTGAGTCTTGGGTCCATGTAATACTATGACCAATTTGAGAGAGCCCCAAGCCAGATCTCTCGCAGGCGGGTTAGAACCTTGGTCAACAAGGGGACGGCATCTCAACACCCCACTCCAACGCACGGTGCTCATAACACTCCTTCAGAGACCCTGGTGTCATTCAACGGCTCTGTGGCGTTCTTGGGATCTTCTGTTACGACCCTATTCCACTTTATGAATTTTCGACGACCTTGAGCCGCATGGACTAAGCTGGTTCGGTTTGGTGGATGACCTTTCATCTGTTTATGTTTATCGACAGCCGTGGAAACTGTCACCAAATCCGGTTTTAACACAGACATTTCCGATTTCCGTCTCGACAAAGGCATACAACCAACGCCTGTCTTACACCCCATCGGAGACCATTCTTTCAACATAATTAATTCCCTTTGTAATGCACGTTCTATTTGATGCCGCGCAGCGGGGCGGCCCAGAACATTTCTAAGGAGGCAGCAAATCGAAAGCTCAGGGAATGAAGAGCGACCATCCGCAACAGCTTGTCCAGCAGACCCTTTGATTAACCGGTCATCTTGATTGATCGTACTGGAAACACTGGTCTGCAGCTCTGTCATATTGAATTATTGCACGGAGTGATGAGTGGTTCGCAACAAGCATCTCTTCTGGTATGCTTACTATCGCCATTTACGAAGGTATAGCCCTAGCTATATCGACATTTCTTTTGTTCAGGATGGCCAAAGCGGGACTTTCGCTCGATACAAGCGACTCTCGTCTGTCCAGCTTGAGAGGATATATTGCATATGCCCCAGGTGGCATAGCTACAAGAGCGTGTGGAGGGCATAAGACTTTCAAACTAAAGAAAGCGGCCAGCAAGCAGAAACGCCTCGGACGGACAAGGAGGTGGCCTGAGATGGCACTGAGGACAGGTATCTTCGGAAGGGGTGTTTCGCTTGCATATTTTCATTCAGCGTTGGTCGTCTGACTGCTCGTTTCTGCGTCGGGCGATGGATTGGTTGTCCAGACGGTGCTCTACATTTGCGCCGGTATGGGACTGGTGGAAGCTGGGCAGCAGGGACAATGGAGAGGTATTAAACCAGCCAGATATGATATTTTAGGTTGAGAAATCCATCCATCCAGTCCATTTGCCAAACCCAGTGTATTTTCATGCTCTTGCACCTTGTTGGATTCTTTCTCCACCTTTCGGTGCGTAAATGTTTGACAAGGGGAAGCCTGGCCTTGGACCCTAGGGAGATACCACCGGTCTATGTGTCTGCTAGAACACCCGTCGGTCTCTCCAGGACGGTGAGCGAGTGTTGTGCGCGGTGGAAAGTGGAAAGTGGAAAGTGGAAACTGTGTACGGTGTACTGTATCTGGAGATTAATATTGCCGGTCATATGCCTTGTACATGAGCGGTATCACTTGTCTTATTGTGGCTACACGATTTCCCGGGCCAACATATTCTTGACCATATTTCTAGTACGCCAGATGTCCCGTTTCGTCGTGATGCCGTTTTCCTGAGCGGTATCCCGGACTGTTCCCTCGTTTGGCACGTTCAGGTTGCTGCCATCGGGCCCCGGGCCTTTGTTCTCGGTCAGTGGACTATCTTGCCTCGTCGCCAGCTCCCACTCCCTTTCCCGCTGGTCGCTTGCCTGCCAATCCAGCTGTCCAACCTTCCATCCTCGTGCTACCCACAAGCACAATGCTGCAGCGAAATACGTCAAAGCGGTGAAGATCTGGGGAGGCAGATAGACCCAGCTGTGGGCATGCTGACGTCGCAGTTGCAATGCGATAGCCTCGGCGCATGTCGTGGGCGGCACCATAATAAGCCAGGTCAGGCTGAGTCCTGCAGGGAGGTCTGCAAGGCCCAGGATCTCGGCAGCGACCGGTGCAATAGTGGCCCAGAAAGTGCCGGCCAGTGCACCGCCGACGATGGCAAAGAAGCACAACAAGCCCATAGGCGAAGAGACAACTTCGGCAGGGATCCAAAATGAAAGGCAGAAGACACCGCAGAGGAATGTATAAAAGGTGGCGAGGTTGAGACGGCCCCAGCGATCCGAGGTGAGCCCAATAAAGGGTCGACCTAGCATTTGACCCAAGTTAAGTACTGCGCCTACGATGGAGCTTTGTTGCGCGGTTAAGCCAATCGAGCGACCGTAGGCAGGCAGCGAAAAGAGCAAGATGGTATAGCCCAGCATGCTGAACCAGGACCAGCCTTGGAGAAAGAGGAATTCAGGACGCCGGAGAATTTTCGTGTCCAAGGCTCTGTGCCGCGATCCAGTTTGTTTGTTGCGGTCGCGAATGAGATTTGAAGCCGTCAGGTTGACTGCGAAACTGCAGATTCCCAGAACACGAAACGCCCATGGAAGACCCATCGTGTCAATCACGCGCTGGGTGACGAGACTGTACATCAAACCACCCAGGCCAGACCCTGCAGCAGCGATGGCGTTGGCGACACTGCGTTTCTTGTCAAACCACTGAGGAATGATCCCCACCGAGCCGACGAAGAGGAACCCCATGCCCCAGCCGAAACAGAAGCCCTGGGCTAGAATGATCTGGTATCTCTGCCTGGCGAAACTGGCACCAATAAGGGCCAATGTCTCGAAGAAGACGCCTAGGTGAAGGCATACTTTCGTGCCGTAAAGGTGGATGACGTGCGTTGCAAGAGGGGCGATTAGGACAGCTTGAGAGATGGATAGCCCACCGATGAACGCGTAGGTCAGGGCCGAAGTGTGCGGGAAGTAGTCGTTGTTGAGGTAGTATGAAAGAAAGACGCCATATGTCGAATTGACGCCCCATGTATGTCCTATAATTCGTCCGTCAGACAGTGTAGTGGCTGATTTGATGTGACCTGCAAAGAGTGCGATTGGGTGATAGTGCTAGTATGTGTATAGTAGTTGTAGAAGAAGCGATCTCGATTTACCCCGGATCCGACCTTGATCAGGCATGGTTCGACACATACGATGTTTCGCAAGATCCAGACATCTCGAATGAGAATACAGTTGTTGTTCTTACCATTTATGAAGAAGATGCAGGCCACACAGACCCAGCCGTATCCTCCGTCTGGGGGCGGATCGTCGATCTTGGGCAGCGTGGAGGATGTCTGCTCGATGTCGATAGTTTTCTCGGATTCCCTCTCATGACGGGGACGATTCTGGCAGGGAACACGGCCTGTAATTGTGGTGATGATGTCTGCCATTATCTTATTTCCCGTTTTTTTTGACAGCTCCAACCTCCAACTTCCATCCACTCTGTAAAAAAAGAAAACAGCGAGCGACAGGAATAAGAGGACAGAGAGACGAGGACGAGTCTGGAAATGTTAGCAATGCAGCAAAGCCGAGGCAGCTCCGCACGGCGCACGGATGAGTCACCGCGCGTTCAACAGAAAGTCAACCCTGCCGACCAAGACATATTGCGATGTGCGTTGGAGACCCATGATGGGATGGGGCTCCAGATGTGCTCTACTACTGAGACTCCGTAGTTGTTCCCCAGAAAACAGAAAAAGTTCGTGCTTCGTGTCATCGGTGACAAGCGCAGGCGGACATCTCCTTTGGGGGAGCGCCGGGACACTCCGTATACCGACCACTACCACTTTTGTGTCAATGATGCAGGGCAGCTGCTGGACTGGATACACCGTTGGAGAGAACAGTATCTCCCCAGACCCCAGACACGAGCATGCTGAGACATCGGTACGGAGTATCCGTACGGGATACATAGTTAGATCGCAGCTGTCGGCGAGTTCAGAGTTCACAGAGTTCAGGGTTCAGGGGTTGAAGGTCGTCCTTAGCTAAGACTCTGGTTGGCCTCGCAACCACCGGCCGCAAACACAGGAAAAAGCTGCCTGCGCTGCATCATGCCGGTGCCCTCCCTGGTCGAACGTACGGCCTCTACCAAGGTGAATAACTCAGTTGGCTGTTCCTTCAAGTTGAGTTCTCAACCCCGAATATTGTGTTTGACTGTTGATGTATCTCTTATTCCTGTGGTGCTGCGTTCACTTCTGCCCAACAACCCTACCGTTGCCCCCGTCCTCTGCCCCCGGTACACGACAGGACACTCCGTCCGTAAACCCTATTACATTGCTTCTATTGAATTGAATACACAACTGTTCATCATGTTCCACAAACGCAGCAGCTTAGGTGGCAGGAAAGTGTCTCCGCCTCAACCCACCTGCATGACCGCTGAGCAAAAGTGTACGTTCTGTGTCTCTTCATCTTCGTAACCAACAATGCCCCCTCGGAGCCCTCCATTCAAGTCACAGTACTCACAAAGCTGTTCAGCGACCTATCTCGAGAACCTACGAAACAATCGACCTGCTCGACCAACAGGCTCCCGCCCACCTCCCTTTTCTCCCAAAGCACACGGCACGACAGCCTCTCAGGTTTCGGTAGCACGCTCCGACTCTGCTCCAAGTGCTGTTTCTCGGCACAACGATTGCCAGAAAGATGAAGCACCTTCAAGCAATGGAGACCATCCCATCGTGCACAAATCAGTCTCCTTTTCTTCCACACCATCCTCCGTCAGAAGTCGGCCGCTAGCCCAACCTCCTCACAGTGACCTACCGGTTCTCAAGGGCAGAAAGGTGTCTCCCACAGCCATTGTCCAGATCCCACCACCTCCTGACGAAGGTGTATACGTGGAATCAATAAGTAGGGTGTTGGAAAAGGAGGAGGCCCACAACCTACGAGAAGCATTAGAATTCATTGACCATAAGGACGATGAGAAGAGAATCTACGATGCAGCTCAGAGCGAAGCGGCCGACCTGGTGTGGAGACATCAAAACCCGAAAGCTGAAGAGGAGGAAAAGTCTGCTGCCTATCGCAATCCTGAACTGAAATCCTACGCAAGGAGACGGAGCAACGGACATCGACAAGCCAGCGGGTCTCGGAAGGTGTCTTTCCCGAACCCTGAAAGCCAAATTTACGAAGAACCAGAGCCGAAGGACGACCTTTCCCAGGCATCTATCAAGCCTCCGAGTACCACACTACCTCTGAGAGTCAAGTCCAGAAATACGCTTCCTTGGCTCAAGAAAAAGGTATCTGACAAGCCAGAGACCGCACCGCTTCCAGACATGCCCAGGATCGATCCATTCGAAATTCACAAGAATCCGCCTAGTCAGTCTCGAAATGCAGGCTATACAGCCAACACACCTCCACCAGCGCCTCCCATCGATGTCATTGAAGCGCCGGACACACCTAAATCAGCCGGCACACTAGAAATCCGAAGTGAAGATATCCGAGCAGCAACGAGCATGAAGAGAAAAGACAGGAGTCCCAATCTACCCACACCGACTGCCGTCAGTGATCATCTGGGTCGGCCCATTGTCAGCTTTGATCCGTCATGGAAACCATCTGGTGACTCGCCCAAGACAAGTCTAGACATTGACAGACCTGCCATTAAATTGACACAGTCTCCAACAGCTGCTAGGTTTGGTGACCGGCCTTTGCCTAAGGCTGGCCCCCATATTCCTGAAGTAACTGTCTCTGCTTCGGCTATTCCAACGATCAATCTTCCTGACGAGGAGCTACACCAAAGACAAAATCCAGCAGTCCCATCTCTGACGGTGTCTGCCCCAACTGTGCCAACGATACGTCTTCAGGACGACGGAGAGGAAATTCCCATCACCACCATTGGCGACGACGTAAGTCAGTCTCCCCTGCCGACTGTCAACCTAGTGGATGAAACCAAACGACCTCCCAGACCACTGCCGCAGCCTACGGCAACGGCAACAGTCCCTACCAAACCTGCAATGCAAAATGGCTCGTCCAGTCGTTTGCCCTGGCTGTCTCGGCACTCGATGCCAACGGTGTCGTGCTCAAGCTGTGCACTACCCATCTCCGGCCGCATCGTTACCGCGTCGGGCTCACGCACCAGTAGCCTCAAAGCCCGCTTCCACCCTGAATGCTTCTCCTGCTACCATTGTTCGACGTTGCTGGAATGTGTTTCATTCTACCCAGAACCCGACGACAAACGTTCGGAACGACTCGAAAGCCTAGGCATTGACCCAAGCTCCCCCGACGCAGCTAACGACCCTCTACGGTTCTACTGCCACCTCGACTTTCACGAATTTTTCTCTCCACGCTGTCGCTCCTGCAAAACCCCCATTGAAGGCGAAGTCGTCGTTGCGGCTGGGGCGGAGTGGCACGTCGGCCATTTCTTTTGCGCCGAGTGTGGCGACCCCTTCGACAGCACTACGCCCTTCGTGGAACGTGACAACTACGCATACTGTGTGTCCTGCCACACGAAGCGCACCTCGGCACGATGCAGAGAGTGTAAGCAGCAGATCCTAGACGAATTGACTGTCGAAGCACTTGGCGGCAAGTATCACGAACGTTGTTTCGTCTGTTTCGAATGCGGGGGAGGATTTGGCGATGAAGGACGCTTCTTCATCCGCGACGTCGAGGTCACACCCACGGAGAAGGAGATGAGGAAAGGTATCACGCGGAAGCTCGAGGAGAAGGCCGTTTGCGGGCCTTGCGAGGAGAGACGCTTGAAGGCATAGTCCCCAACATGTTCTTTCTGATCAATGGTAGGTGGACGCACATTTTTCAACGGGGGGTGGATGGCATACAACGAGACACGGCGGCGAATGGGGGGGGTGGGTGGGCATTGTTTTTTCCTTTCTCCCTGCTGGGTTGAATTTTTGGCGTGTTTAATCTCGAAGACAGCATCTGGAATGTGAACGACCTCTTGTAAGCAGATAAGAGAAATCAAGGCAGATGAAACAAAAACATTTTACAGCCTATCTACTCACTCAGACCTTGCCAGGTGCCAGCATGTAATTCAATGATATAGTAGTAGTACACACTCTGGTTGCTCTGCAACCTTGCCGTCCATGGAATTGGGAAGGCTCTCTGGCTTCACCTACAGACTCCAACTTTCACTACCGTGTGCGGCGGCACCAGCCTTGGGCTTCGAGTCTCATGGGATGCTTTGATCGCAGACTAATATGCTTGTGGTGCTGGGTGGAACAAGTACACACTCGCTCTATCACGGTTTTACTAAGGTACTGGTGCTGTATGTCGGGCTCGCGACTGTACTCGTACTGTCTGCGGCCACTCGAATCCCAATATCAATCACTGGGTTCACAAGCTCTCAATCATGTGCCCTGCTTCCCTTCCATCCCCATCCTCCATTGTTAGACTGGCCTCACATCCTCCGCCAGTAACTTTTAATGCCCATCGACCATTCGTCTCGTTGTGCCGCCCTTGTCCTCCACTTCCTCCCATCAGCTGTCCCAAGTCAAGTCAATCCAACTCCATGGCTCCATGCTCGTGCAATCGCTCAGTAATACTGACCAGCGTGCCATCCCCAACAGAATCCCCCCAACTCCGATGGCGACGTGGTCACAGCAAAGCACGGTAGCCGAGACTGCTGGTCTGATGTTTTCCTCCACTTTTGGTCTTTTTCCAGCTCTAACCTTACGATAAACCCATAATAGTCGTCCAATGCGATGCGGTCGCTAAATGCTCATGATTTCGAAGTTTGTTTGGTGTTTGGTACTGGGGCAGAAAACAATGTGGTCCCTGGGCAATGATTTTACTTGTGATGTGCCTTTGTCAGGTAATTTGACAACCGTAGACGTATGCTGAGAACCAACAAGCACCATTTCAGGCCTTGGACCAGCGTCCATCTACCACAGTATTTCGGTCCAGGCTGTTTTGTTGTAGGATCTCGGAACTCATTCATTACTGGGGTGGTGAAGTCTGGTACGATCCATTGGCTCGACCATCAACGTTGTTAGACTCGTCATTGGGCGATCCTTCACCAGCAAGCTTGTTGTCGGAAGCCACAATTTTGCCATGGATGGTTTGAAGTTCCTTGCCTCTAATACCTTTGTTTGGCCAATAGGTCGCAGCATATTCCCTATTGACTATTAGCCAGATGCTTAAGCGCCGGATCTGTTAGACCTACCAGAAGCGTTTTTCCACAGAATCGTGGTTATCGTCAAGCTCCGCAACTTGCTCGGTGATGAAGCTGCCAATTTCTTTCAGCAGCATCCTCAGTTCATTCGCTCGTGCCTGTGCATCTGGGATGGCGCTCTTGGTCGCTGCCTTGATCTTCTTCAAACTTTCTCTGACAGGTTTGAATAGCATCAGCATCAGGGGATCGACTTCGGGAGCAGATCCATTGGCAGCATTCTCGCCGCGTCTGTGATCACTTGCATGCCTATTGTGGCGTGTGTGACCATGTTCATCGCGGTGCTTGCGATCCCTATGGTCTTTGCTCTCAATGTCGTGTTTGCCATGGGCATGGCGTCCTTCGGATCTGGGAGTGCCATGTCTCTCAGAATTTTCACGATGAGCTTGACTGACTCGATGTCTAGGCTTCTCTGAATCACGATTTGTCTTGCGATGAGACCCAGGAGCAGGCGATTCGGTGCCTCCGGCCTTTTCGCCATTGTGCTTCTTGTTGTTCCGATGATGATTTTCAACCGCTTTCTTCGCAGCTGGATCATTTCCATATTTGCTCTTGAGGACCGAGATGAGATAATCGGCACGTCTGACCAGATGAACTGCCCCAGGTGACTTTGCATTCTTCTCATCCCCCTTCTCACGTTCGGCTTTCTTGTCAACCCGATGTTCTTCAAGAAAGAATTTATCTTTCAGTTCAAGGTCGGGATCATCACGAATCCTCTCCCACGCGCCATAGCCGTGACGAGCAATGCCGATACAGAGCATGCCATCTTCTTTGGCGCCCCACGCGCAAGTATAACCAGCGCTCTTGGTAGCTTCGGGAATGCGGAAGGATCTGAAGTCGGATTCTCTGGAGGTAACTTCTTGTAGCAATCGCATTTCGCCCGGTCGATCGAGGATGGTCTCGGCGTTGATGCGCTTCACTCCGTGGAGCTCAAACAGGATTGCTTTCCTATCCTTCTTGGTGATCGGGCGATTGGAAGTACGCTCTAACTCGGCCATACGATTCTGCTCTTCTTGATATAGCTCGACTGACTTGTCCCACACCTCTTGCATGGCGGCTTTAACCACGCCGATGTCCCGACCGCGGAGGCGTGCCTCGGCCAAGAATTCTTCCTGACGATCGTCAATCGAACCGTATCGGAGATGACCTTTGATTAGATACCGATATTCCCGCTCACTCAGGGGCCGGGCCGGGTCAGCCTTGGGATTGTCTTCGGACCCGCTGTCTGAATCGATTTCTTTCTGGCGTTGCTCCTGACGTCGTGCCTTGCGAGCTTCTCGATCCTCGACCTGATGGTTGCGTACTCGGGGCTTGTTTTGTTCGATGACTTCTGCGAGATACTTCTCATCAGCTTTGCGCTGCTCTTCGGCCTTGATCTCTTCGAGTTGTTGTTTGGGAATAATGTCGTCCCAAGATAGCTCGTCGACCTTGACGTCAACAAAATCGAACGTTCGCAGGAAATCCTCTCCGCCGTCTGCCTCAGTTCCGTCTGGTTGCTCGACCTTATAATCTTCGGCACTGTTGAGCACCGCATCCAGGTCGAGTTCTTCAAGCTTTTTCTGATTGTCTGTTTGCTCAAACATCTTCTGTCCTCGCTTTTTGAGGATCCGGGAGATTTCACTGGAGCTGCCAGGTTCGCCAACCATGGCGCTACGTCGTGCTTGAGCTTTTTCGTCTGTGACACCACGCTGAATGGTCAGAAACTCCAGCATGAGCTTGTTTCGCGCACGCTCGAGGATTTCTTCTTCAACTGTCTCCTTGGACACTAACCGATAGACACTGACAGGCTTCACTTGACCGATTCGGTGAGCCCGAGCCATGGCCTGCAGGTCTGCTTGCGGGTTCCAGTCGGAATCGAAGATGATGACGGTGTCGGCAGTCATCAGGTTGATTCCGAGACCACCCGCTCTGGTCGAGAGCAAGAAGCAGAAATCACTGCTATCGGGAGCATTGAAGTGGTCAATGGCGATACGTCGGGCAGCGGCAGCGATAGTACCGTCAAGACGCTGATAGGCATGACCTCGATATTCCATGTAGTCTCCGAGAATGTCCAGCATTTTGACCATTTGGCTGAAAATGAGCACACGATGACCATCGCGCTTCAGCTTGGTCAGAAGCTGGTCCAGAAGCATCATCTTCCCACTGCTCGTAACAAGAGCACGCAAAACCTCATCCCGGCGAGCACCTTCCGGTACCAGGCGCTCCTCAGCACTGGGGAACATGAAGGGATGATTGCTCGCCTTCTTCAGCTCCATCATGATGTTGAGCAGGGACTGCTTCTGACCCTTTGCGCCTTGGTTCAGGGCAGCATAGTTCTTAGTCAAAATATTCTTGTAATATTCAAGCTGGATGTCGGAGAGTTCGACTCGGATGATTTTCTCCGTCTTAGGAGGTAGATCCTTTTCGACCTTCTGCTTGGTTCTTCGAAGCATGTACGGCTTGATGTCCTCGGTCAGCTGCGCAATCTTAGCACTTGCTTCTTCGTTGGTCAAGTCCATATTTTCATCGATGTTGACGACGCCGGGCTTCAGAAAGTCGAACAGAGCCGAAAGCTCGCCGAGGTTGTTTTGGACGGGGGTGCCGGTGATGAGCAGGCGAGCAGGAGCTTTGAACTCTCGCAAGCGGTCATACAACTGAGAGTCTCGGTTCTTCAAACGATGTGCCTCATCCACAGCCATGAATTGCCACTTGATCTGACTCAAGAACGGGGCGTCGTGCAAAACATATTCATATGTCGTGAGGAGAACGTGAAAGCGCGGGTGACGAAAACTTCCATCAGGTAACAGTTCGTACTCTCGGATGATGCTTCGCGAGTTCTGATTACCATTGTAGATGACATAGTTGATATCGGGGGCCCACAAGTCGAAAGTGTCCGCCCAAGCAGGCATGGTGGAGAGCGGAACTGTGACGAGGAAAGGACCTTGTTGGCCACGATTGTGTCTCAGCCAACTTAAAAAGGCAACGGTTTGCACAGTTTTGCCCAAGCCCATCTCATCTGCGAGGACCACGTTCTTCCCCTTCACCCAGTTATAGGCGAGAAAATTCACGCCTGTCATTTGGAAGTCTCTCAGAGTGCCGTTCTGGATGTAAGATGGTTGCTCCCGCATGGGCTGGAAGGCTGACCGAGTTGAAGGATTGCTTTCGGCGGGGTTGGACTTGAAATCCTGGCGTCTGCGATTGATGTAGCGATCAATTTCGCTCTGTGCAATTTGGCTGACGAGGCCCGACGGCTCCCAAGTTGCCTGCTCATAGAGCAGGCCTTTCCACTTGACGTAATACTCGGTACCTGCTTCGCCTTCACGATCGCCAATGACTCTCTCAACATTGTTGTGTTCTTCCAAGGCATCAAAGTACTGCTCTCGGTCAAGGATCCATTTCTCCTTGTCTTCTGGAGCGACGTTAGGGTCATTGCGGATCCGGATATCTTCTTGCAGGATCTTCTTGATGTAATTATCCAATCGCCGGAGACTCCTCACGCCCGCAAGGGATTCGATGCTTTCCCACGTAGCATGGTAGTAAGCCTTCTGCTGCCATTTGATAAGAAACTCATACTCCTCTTTTGAGTAAGACGGGGTCGTAACGTCGGCTTTGAGGCGGTGATTCAGAACAATGTCAATGGCCGGAGAGCTATCCTCCTGGCCGTTTATCCAGTAATTAGGCGTCGTAGTATCGGGATCATCATCTTCGAACATGTCATCGTCTTCATCTTCGTTATAATTCGACACTCTCGCGGCTCGACGAGTGGAGAATCGAATTTCGGCGTGGGCAGGTGTCAGGTTCTCGGCAGACTGTAACAATCTTCGGCGTTGTTTCTTGGTCAGCTTTGCACGTCGACCGCCATATGCGTCAGAATCATCGTCAGAATTAGTGGGAGATTCAACCACTGGAGTAGCGTGTTTGGAAGACCGCTGAGAGGTTTGTCGCAAACGCTTCCGAGGTCGAGGAAGAACATCTGACTCGGAACCCTGGTCATCAGAAGACTCTGCCATGTTCAAGACAGGTCGAGCCCGTCCACTGCGTCTCAGACCGTATATCTCGGGGTTGTTTCGAATGTATTCTTCATCATCCAGTGGTTGAGCCTTTCTCTTTGCAGGTCTGACAGATTCATCCGACGAGGAGTTGTGAGGGTCCGACTTGGCGCCGCCTGCCTGCATCGACGTGTCCATCTCGTAGTCAGCGTCACCTTCGGGTTTGGGCTCGTCTGTATCAGATTCTGATTCTTTGTGATTTCGCGGGTTTTCATCGTCACCGTCGATCCCGACACCTGGCGGCGAGGCTTCGGCAGCGAGAGGTTCTGCAGGTTCGGAAAGGTCGCTCTCACTGTCGAAATACTCGGCCCCGTTCTGCATGGCGGCTACAGACCGCTCAGAAGCGCCTTCGAAAGACATGGATTGTTCGGGTATTGAGGGTGGAGGTGGTTGGGCGAGAATACTAGAGGCTGTAAAGCAAAGCGTCAGCAAGGTATGCCCACCAAATGACTCTGGCCCCAAAACAGCGCGAGACTGTGATAATTTAGACATCCGCGATTCAGGCAACGGCAGACAAGCATGGTAAAAATGTTTCTGGAACGAACAATGGACAATATAAGATGGATTCGATAACGATGAGGGACGGCGAGATGATTTAGGGTGAGGCTGTCAGATGACCTTCAGCTTCGGTCCCAAGCCAGGATCCAGGGAGCGAGGACGATCAAGCGATCAGCAAAGCCCGGTTCGGCGTCTCAGAAGTCCTGTAAAAGCTAAGGGAACAGGACATATTGACCATGTGGGATGGCGCTGAGCTTTTGATGCGAGGCCGAGCAACCGCCAGGAAAAGCAGTGAAACCGCAAGTCGGTACAGGCATTCAAGCAGGGAAAAAAGACCACTTACACTCCATCCGTGGTGGGATGAGCCCTCCAGGCGCGTCAAGATAGTGAAATAGGTTGTTGGGTGGGAGGAAGAAGAATGGTTGAAGTGCAAGAGTTGTATGGAGAGATGGGTGCGGAAAGATGAGAGTACGGGCTCACGACTCTTTCTCGGGGTAAAGAGTGTGAGGGACGCTGAGGACCTGCCCTGCGCTGCCCAGGGCCGTGGCAGGCACGTGACCGAAGGGCATGGTAGCCGACTGCCAAGCCTGCCCGAGTCAGGCACGAACAATACCAAAGCACAGCAGCGGTGTTACTCGTCCCTAGTGTTGATGAAGTGTCCGGCGGGCCATTCACCCCGCAATTGATCCAATCATAGGGCCATGAATTTTGATTTTGAGGGTAGCCATTTTGCCAGTTCACAATCATTGCCTCTCTATTCACCGCATCCTCTCCCACAATCACCCAGGCCGATTGTCGGGTCAAGTCTATTGTTGCTGTGACTCATATACAATTCAGTCTGGAGGGACGACGCCGCACCCCATTCTGCCACACCCTTCGAACTCAGCCACCTTCCCTCGCCCACATTTAGTAGCCTCAACTGCGTTCGACACTCGGTCACCGACACTAACGACACAATGGCGGATAAGTTAACCAGGTAAGAGGTGCTTCACACAATGGCTTAATGGCAGATCGCTGACCCAAGGTGCAGAATTGCCATTGTCAACGCCGACAAGGTTAGTCTATACCGTCAAACTGCTCTTGTATTTAGGAAATATCGTTAACAACGGTGTTTCTGCCCCGCAGTGCAAACCGAAGGTGTGCAATCCTAACCAGCTGCAAGAAAGGGTTTTGGACTGACAATATACAGAAATGTCGACAAGAATGCAAGAAGTCCTGCCCTGTGGTTCGAACGGGCAAACTCTGCATCGAAGTCACTCCCGAATCCAAAATCGCTTATATCTCGGAACGTTTGTGCATCGGTTGTGGTATATGCCCGAAAAAATGCCCTTTTGGCGCCATCCATATCATCAACCTGCCGACAAACCTTGAGACGCAAGTCACCCATCGATACTCGGCGAACAGTTTCAAGTTGCACAGACTACCTATGCCGCGTCCTGGACAGGTCCTGGGTTTGGTCGGGACCAATGGTATTGGCAAGAGTACTGCCCTGAAGATTCTCAGTGGCAAGTTGAAACCGAACCTGGGAAGATATGACAACCCACCGGACTGGGAGGAGATTTTGAAATACTTCCGTGGCTCGGAATTGCAGAGTATGTGGTCCTTGCAGTGGTCGTGCAGTGACCGATCGCTTATTCTTCTGCAGACTACTTCACGAAGGTGCTTGAAGATGACCTCAAAGCCATTGTCAAGCCACAGTATGTAGACCAACTCCCGCGAGCGATCAAAGGCCCCGTCAAAACAGTTCTGCCTCTCATTCAAGCGAAATCTGATATGGGCAACTTGGACCATGTTATGGATGTTCTCGGTAAGACCAACTCCAAGAACAGACAAGGTGGCAAGCTAACGCCCTTCAGAGTTGGGAGCGGTCGCAGAGCGAGAGATCGGCCTTCTATCTGGCGGAGAGCTGCAGCGATTCGCCATCGCGCTGGTCTGCGTGCAAAGAGCTGATGTTTACATGTTTGATGAGCCGAGTTCGTACCTCGATGTCAAACAACGTCTGAGTGCGGCCAAAACTATTCGAGAACTTCTTCGGCCTGACGACTATGTCATTGTCGTAGAGCACGATCTGTCAGTTTTGGATTACCTCTCTGACTTCATCTGTGTTCTTTACGGCAGACCTGCTGTCTACGGTGTCGTCACCCTCCCTGCGTCGGTTCGAGAAGGCATTAACATCTTCCTCGATGGCAATATCCCAACGGAGAACCTGCGTTTCCGTGAGGAAAGCCTGACCTTCCGGCTTTCCGAAGGGGTGGAGGAGTACATGATTGACAAAAACCGTGGCTTTCATTACCCCGCCATGGAGAAGACGCTTGGATCCTTCCACTTGAAAATCGACAAAGGAACATTCACCGATTCCGAGATCATTGTCATGATGGGAGAGAATGGAACGGGCAAGACGACGTTCTGTAAGATGCTCGCCGGCGTTGAGAAGCCCGACGGTCTTCAGAAGGTCCCCCCGATGAACATATCGATGAAGCCCCAAAAAATCACGCCGAGATTCACAGGAACAGTATGTGTCCTATACCTCCTCCGCCCATCAATTCTCCATCCCATTTCCCTCTACTTACTTTCCTCTCCTCTTCCCTCATCCTCCATCCACTTCTCACACTTCTTCCTGTACATCTTCCTTGATCACCTTTTACCGTTACCCTCATTCCACCTCTCCTATCTAGCCTCTTTTATCAAGCCTCTTACCCATGTGCTCGATGACCATACTGGTGACTAATACCATTAAAGGTCCGACAACTCTTCTTCAAACGAATCAAGGCCTCGTTTCTCAGCCCTCAATTCCAGAGTGACGTTGTCAAGCCTCTCAAACTCGACGACTTCATCGATCAAGAAGTCCAAAACCTCTCCGGAGGTGAACTGCAACGTGTTGCTATCGTCCTGGCCCTAGGCCTTCCTGCCGACATATATCTTATAGACGAACCGTCGGCATACCTCGACTCCGAACAACGTATCATCGCTGCCCGTGTCATCAAGCGATTCATCATGCACAGCAAGAAGACTGCATTCATTGTCGAGCACGATTTCATCATGGCCACTTATTTGGCCGACCGGGTTATTGTCTTTGATGGCAAGCCTTCGGTGGACGCTCGTGCAAACTCACCGGAAAGTTTGTTGACTGGATGCAATAAGTTTCTCAAGAACTTGGATGTTACGTTCCGTCGGGACCCGAACTCCTACCGCCCTCGGATCAACAAGTATCAATCCCAGATGGATCAAGAGCAGAAGCTCGCTGGGAACTACTTCTTCCTCGAAGAAAGTTGAGGCACCCTCCAGCACAAGCACAAGCATCAGCACCGTCATCAAAATGATCAGGGCAAGCGCCAGCATCACGAGGGGTGGGATCATGACCGCTATCAGAACCATGAGGCAACCCCCCCGCCACGAGACGACAACGCCGTGGGTCCCAAATCCAAGGGCATAAGTGATTCCAAGTCGCGTTGCGACGGACTTGTTATGGGCGACGCGGACGCCGAGGCCGAGGGTAGTGACGATGATGATGACGATGACGATGATGATATCGGCGGTTAAGGAGCCTTCTATGCCTCGGGGTTCGGCACGACTTGGGTCTGTCGCTATCCTTGTAGAGGCGTTTGAACGGAACGACCCCTTGTTTGAATTCGAAGAAGGGAAGAACCACTTTGGGGAAAGCTTGTCCCGATGGACGCTTGATCTGGAGGTTGAGCAGAGAAGCAGTTGTGGCTTTCAGGCCAAGTGAGCGTAGACGCATTCAGCTGACCAAGAGGGCACTAACCATAGCATGGTGTCATACACACTCCTTTGGCATCTTCTTTCAGAGCAACACTCGTTTAGAATATATCCGACATCTCCCTACTACCGAATGACCAGAGCCTCCCAGTTGATTCTACATAATAAACCCTCTCTCTCCCAAAATCCTGCGGGTACCTACTATGTAGCCACCCTCCTTCTCTCCCGAAATCACCATCAGGGCACAAACGCGAAACAACAGGTTGATCTACACTCTCGGCCCGGGAAGGGGAGCGACAGCCGCGTACATGATTGGTGTTGCGGAACGTTGATCAAGGCCGCCCTGTTCTAGTGTCGTCAGCCTCTCCCCAGATTCCGTCAGTCAAGGGGACAACCTGCCCGGGCCCGCTAACCCCAATGGGGAGTTCCATGCCACATCCGCGTCCAAGTTGCACCAAGCCGTGACGCAGCCATGACGGCACTGGCCGCTTGGCATTGTGGCTGTTGGCTCGGACAGCCAATCAACTTCTCGCAGCCACAATTGTGCAAGCCTTGTGTACGCAAAGGTCCGCAGGTAGGTACCTGCCTAGTACAGAGCACTTCAAGTTTGTGATGCAGAGCTGAGGCAAAATGCCATTTACTAGTATGACACCTGAAAATTGGCATTGCACCTGGCGCCTTCCCTGCTTTCAGATGAGAGAATGCCACCCCGCTGGTGACGTAACACTGGAAATCTCTCCCAGAGGGTGACTGCCTGCTTCACCTCGACGGACAGGCGGACAGGATGGATGTCTATATAAACAACCATTTCCACCCTTCCATCATTCTAAATTCCAGTTGAATCTTCATTCGTCTGAACTCTGAACACACACACATTCATATCATCTACACAACAAACACAACAAACACAACACACAAACAATCATGTCCGGTCTCGTGAACAAAGCAAAGGAGGTCTTGACGGGCAACAAGACTCATGAAACCACGACCGGCCACACCACTTCAACCCACGGGCATAGCGGCACGACTGCTCATGATGCATCAACCCTGAATACTACCCATGGCGGTCATACCGGTCATACCGGTCATACTGGCGGACATACCACAGGAGAGTATGGCCACGGTCAAAACACAGCCACTACTACGACGGGTCCTCATTCCTCCAATGTCGCGAACAAGCTTGACCCTCGAGTTGACTCGGATGCGGACCATCGCAACAATCCCACCAGCGGTGTCGGTGGATATGGTGGTCAAACTCATGCAAGCTCTGGATACGGTCAGACTCATGCAGGCTCTGGATACGGTCAGACTCATGCAGGCTCTGGATACGGTCAGACCTCGTCGACAGGTGGTACTGCCACGGCTGGCCCTCATTCCTCCAACCTAGCAAACAAACTCGACCCTCGAGTTGATTCGGATGCTGACCATCGCAACAATCCTACCAGCGGTGTCGGTGGATATGGTGGTCAAACTCATGCAAGCTCAGGATACGCCCCGACCTCGTCGACAAGCGGTACTGCTACAGCGGGCCCTCATTCCTCCAACTTGGCAAACAAGCTTGATCCACGCGTTGACTCGGATGCAGACCACCGCAACAACCATGGTACTCGAGGCGGTTATGGTGAGACCCAAGGAAGTTATGGCCGACCCTTGTAAACTCGAGAAGATTCGGCGGATTTGTGCACGACGGAATGACTTGACCTGAAGTGGGCCGAGCGCTGGAGATCCTCTGAGAGAGCTTAGACATGGTCTCATGATGATGATGATGATGTATGTAATGCTTATGCATTGATACCAACCAACAAGTCAATAGGTGTGACCACCTGCATCCTTAGAGAGCTTGACCTGATGGTTGAGAAGTAATTTTATTAGTTGACAGCCTCCTTCCATTCGTTCTTCCATCCATGCTTCGAGAGGTTTTCGTTGGCTACTAAATACAAACAGGGCAGGGCCTATGTGTTGAGCAGCGGGCGACAATGACCTGGTGGTGGAAAAAGGCTGCGTGTTGAACTTCGGCGGCGGTCTTTGGCCAGCCAGAGGTCGAGACATGGACACCTATGATAATACTCAGCTCAGCGAGGTTGATTCAGGACGAGCAGATCCAGAGAGTTTAGACTTTACAGGACCTCTTCAATTCTTATGAGGGCTTCTGTGCACCTCTCGTAGTGATTCAATTGTTCAAGTTGTGACGGTGGAGGTGCCAGTGCCCAACCAGCAGCTGTGACAGTACGATTGACGTACTACGTAGTTGCAGGCATTAGGCTGGGCAGGCCCTGGGCCCCTAAGCCTCCTTAGCCCTAGATCCTAAGCCTAAGCCCTTACAGTTAGACCTGCGGAGGCCCCGAACTTTGGGCCTTTGGGCGATCTCCCTTAGCCAGAAAAGAGTCTAGTGGCCCTTTAGGCTTTCTCGGTGGACGCCTAGGAGGTGCCTAGTTGGTGCCTAGGACGTACCCGGTGTGTAGGCGCCAAGGGTGTTCCCTGTAGGGCCAAGGCTCTGGTGACGCTGTATCCGTACTCTTTGAGTTCTTCTACCACTGGGCACTGGGCCTTGGAAATGCCCGAAAGTGGTGGGTGCTCGTATAAGAAAACTCGGTGCTCGCATTGAAGTTATACATTGCATAAACATATCTACACATCCTCCTCGGCGCCTTTTACCTGGCATCCCTAAGGAGATCCTACTCTGTAAACATGCCCTGCAGAGAACCAGACTTCTTGGCCTGCCCATCCTAAGCTACACGACGACTCGCGAACCACCCTTGATTGTGCGTCTGGACACCTCCGTTTTACTTCTCAACCTCTATCACATTAGCCGATATGGCTGCCAGTCAATCGGAACCCTTCCCAATCTTCAATGCAGACAATGGAGACTCGTCCTCCGAGAAGGAGGCCGAAGATGGCGGGAGGGAAGACGCCTATCAAAGACCCTCAGCCACCTCACACCTGCCCGCTCCCACTCGTACGCGGACCTCCTCCCTGATGCAGTCTTTTATCGAGAGCAACCCTCCCTTGGGGATGTGGCAGGCGACTGGCGAAATAGGTTCAAAGATTCCAACGCTGCCTGAGATCAGGAACGGTGCGTTTGCGGAGGAGGGATGGACCCACGAAGGACAAATGGAGCGTCGCGGGACGAACCCTTACGACATTTACCGTCAAAGGATGGAGCGGACCAGTTCTGCAAGTACCAGGACCAAAAAAAGCACTCAATCTGCAGGTCCGGGTGCACCGCTTGTGATTGTGGAGGAGCGACATGAATATTTCCCCAGAAGCGCATCGAGACCGCTGCAGGAGTCTTTGGCTGAGGAGGCTGCGACTATACAGCCGAACGGTCAAGTGGGACAGATCGAAAAAAAAAACACCGACACCGCAGAAATGCAAGAGAAGGACTCTCCCATGTCTTGTTCGCAACGCGACACCAATAAGGCGCAAGTTGTACAGATACAAACCGGCCCCGATGAAACAGGCACATATCCCAATGGTTACCGATTCCCCAAGAAACACACCTGGACGCAGTCCACCATGATTGGTTTGCAGGCGTTCTGGAAATTCTTTCTCACGCCTTTCGGGTTCATTGTGACCATCTACGGCCTCAACATCATCGGCTGGGGTGCAATGATTTTCTTCGTCCTCCTCAAGGCGGCGCCTGCGATGTGCCATCCCAATTGTGAGGACGACAGCAGTGCGCGTCAGAAGTGGATCGAGATCGATTCCCAGATCCTCAACGCCTTATTTTGCGTGACAGCATACTGTCTCTTCCCATGGCGCGCGCGCGATTTCTTTTACCTCATGCGTTGGCGACTGGGAGGCAAACAACTCTATCACCGCCGTCTCGCGGGCATTTATCGATCCTGGTACCGTCTGCCGGGGTCGGATAAGCTTTCCGACGACATCGGCCCTCCGCCAGTCTACAACAAGAAGAACCCGCGCACCCCGGAATCTCCCCCGCCTTACAGCGAGGAGGAGATAGCGGAGTTGGAAGGGAACCCTGCAATTCCCATTCCAGCAACCTCGATGCCCGATGCCCCCTTGACGGGAATTCGAGCGCCTCCAAGCAAGTCCTGGACGCTCGACTTGGTTGTATGGATGTATATGCTCAACACGGGCTTTCAAGTCTGTCTGTGCGTATGGATGTGGCACTACAACCGGTTCAACCGGCCCTCATGGGGCACCGGGGTTTTTATCACATTTGGATGTCTCTCCGGTATCGTCGCCGGGGTTTGCGTCTTTGTCGAGGGCTCTCGGGTCAAGAGCATCGAGGGTATCCCTGTACAAGAGTACGACGTCGTGGAGTCGGTGGAGGATTACCAGGAGCGCAAAGCCAACGAGGACAAGAAGGAGGCCAAGAAGGAGGCCAGACTTGGCCAGCTCAGAACTCACCGGGTCATCCGATCGGAGAAATTGAAGGGCCAGCAGTGGTTCACTCGGAAATAAATGATGCGATGCATACGGAGTAGGTTGGGCGAGGTTGGGTCGGGATTGGGATTTGGCTGAATGTCGTCTCCTGTATATGTACTGTCTCTTGTATGAATGGCAAGGCTTTGGACTGCCGGATCGACACCAACGGGGGCATTGCGCCGTGGTTAGCAGGGGTTTCAAGTGCATTTCCAGGGCGCAATGGTCTGGACGGACGACTGGAATGGGCCATGAAGCATGACGAATTGACGGCGGCGGCACTACATTGTACATTGTACATTGCATTAGCGACTACGGAGTACGAGTATACTCATACTCAATCATCAATGCATGTTCAGATGGCACTCGACCACACGGTGATGGCATTGCATGTCTACTATTACTGTTAACGCAACCGGCCAGCCAGACCAGCCAGATCAGCCAGACCAGACTGGACCAGACTGGACGGCCACTGTATACAGGAGAAGACATGCGCCCAGTGATGAACCATGTCATGCTCATGCTCATCCTCATCCGCTGGGTTGGCGACTCTGGCGCCTTGGATGCGGTCCCGTCGCAATGTACAAAGACCACCTCCCTCGTCCAGCTTAACGTCGCGCCCTGCTTAGCAAGTCTGTCGTAATGGTGGATTGGATCGATCCTGTCCTGGACTTGCTTCATGGTCTAGCGACCCTCCCTACCCTATCGTATGTACCCTCAGACGCTTTACCTTGCCATGCATACTGGATTGTATGTACCTCAGACGCTTTCCTTTACCATGCATACCGGATTGTGTGTATGATCGATCCGTCTCTCAATCCGGTATGTATGATAGACCCGGTCCGTCTTTCCTTGGTGGTGGCGAGGTGGAAATTTGCAAGTCACTCTTGATCACCCCCGTAGTGGCCACCGTGTTGCTGCAGGTTGGACGTCACTGGTTCCAGGTGCAGCGAGGCAGCGACGTAAGTTCGTCGAGGGAGAGAAGGGAAGCTAAGATAGAACATGGCAGGGTTAGATTGCTTTGCTGCCGCTCGTCAACACCGCCGTCGCCAGACTCCCTACTCTGACAAGAGCGCGAGGATGGGGTCGGATAAGGAAGGCCCAGGCCCAGGCCCAGACAGGCATACTTTTGTGGTCGAGGGCGATGCAGTAAACAGGGGCGCCCCGACCTGAATCTCCTCAACCATTCTGTCGAGGCTTCACCTCGCCTTCCTGCATGATGTAGTAGACGACGGTGCCGTCTCCGCCGCCGCCCTCGCGCGCCCTCATGCCCAGCAACACACGCTTCTGGTCGCGGTGTTGATAGACGGCCGGGTTGGACGGCGGCGGGCCGGCACTGGCTTGACCGTTCGCACTGGGTCGGCGTTGCGCAGTGCTGGGTGCACTTGAACCTGAGCCTGAGCTTGAGCTTGAGCTTGAGCTTGAGCCGGTGGCCTGCACAGTGATCACGTCCCGCTCTGGCAGCTGGTCGAAGACGGCGCAGAACCTGGCCAACGACCACTTCTCGGCCAGGGACAGCGGCAGCACGAACTCGCGCTGCACCGGTACCGCCGCGTCCGACATTCCATGCTTCAACAGCTGGGCTTGCAGGTCTGGATGGATGTAGCTGTGCTGCGGCGGGAGGCCGGAGATGACTGGGACGGTGACAGTGACAGTGACGATTCCGGTGCTGGTTCCGGTCGCCGTGGTGGGCGTCGAGCTGCCGGACGACGGGGCGGCGACAGACACGAGATGCCGCTTCAGGCCGGTCCAGTTGTGCTGGTGTTGTAGGTTATGCATGATCTCGAGCGCCAGCGCCTCCGAGGCAGACTTCGCGCCGGAGTTGGTAATGAGCGTCGAGACCGCAGACGGCGAGGGGGGGGCCGGGCTGGACACTGACATGGACATGGTGAATCCCGCCGTGCTCGGTGTCGGCAGTGTAGTGGAGCAGTGTAGCAGTGTATTGTAGCAGTACAGTGTTTGCGGTCCTGTCCTGGAACCGCGGACGTGTGTGTTTCGTCGTTGTCGTTGTCGTTGTCGTTGTCCTGAAAATAGCGACTTTGACTAGTAGTTGTGATAAAATAAAAACGTGCTCGCCGCTTTTACCTTTTTACATCTACTCCATATATCTGTATCTGTTGGCGACTCATCGAGTCAGCCTCACAATACTCGGTACATAATTCTCCATAATCCTGTGTGCTGCCTACTGCATGCATCCTGCAGACATATTTTCTCTCGCCTTTACTTGTCTGAGTGGCCCATCTCATCCTCCAATCAACAATTACAACTGAGAGGCTTCTGGCAAGAACGGAACGGAGGGGACCAACTGAAAATGATTGCTACCACCTACCACCTATCTCCTATCTCCTATCTCCTATTTATTCCTCGAAGCGTTGGCCTTACTGATCCTGATCACGAGCGAGGCCATGCCTTTGTTCACTTGTAGCCATATTCTATCTACTAATCAAGTTCAATATGCTGGATGATTCCTTCTGCCTCAAATCATCATATCATATCATCATATCATCAAATTATGCGCCTCCGTCTCTGGTCACACGCAGACCGAGCGCCTCACAAAGCCGAGGGTCGTCTCGATCTTGGTCCGAGTGATGCGCCCGTACGTGACGTTGCAAGTTGTCAGGTCGTGGGTATTTATGCAGTTGATCAGGACAGAATGGGCAAATGTAGCCTGGCGAGAGATGCATGAAGCCGTGTCTGTGTCCGCAGTCAGAATCAATAAACCAGTCGAGTATAACTGATTCACTTACCTGATCAGTTCATTCTTTCTCTTGAAGCCCTGACCACCAGGACCTCGAGGACACCCGCCGACCGGACAAAAATGAGGCCGCCTCGCATTAGAATGCATGTTGTCCGTGTGGCTGTTCAACAAGTACTGTGTCGGAAAGGGCGCAGCAGCACAATCTTCGTGCGTACATATGTAAGCACCGGCCCCGGGACGAGCTGGTTCGGGCACAGCACCGGGAGTCGGAGACAGGTCAACGACGGACAATGCAGTGATGGGCCTAGTAGGCCTTAGGCTGGATGGTGTTGTAGCTGAGCCCAAAGCCATGTCTTCCGCGGGGTCTGGAGGCGTTGCAGGCGGATTTGAAGGAGGTTCCGAGTTGGCTAACATGGTGGATTGCAACGCATTAAGGACTGTATCCCTGCAATCGTCGAAGAGTCGTCGACGCTCTCCCTCCGAAAAGAGTTCACGGCTATCCTCCAATTTGCAGTCGGTCTTACGCCGCCGATGGGTCTCCCAACCGTCCAGCGCATGGAGCAGTGGCATGTTGATGTAGTCTGGCACTACTCGCGTTGTGCTCAGTTCCCAACCCAGTCATGGCTGATATGACGAAGAAGCATGCTTACAGGCAGATTGGGTTGCAGGCACTTCGCCTCCTGATGCCATTTGCCCTAACCATACCCAAAACTGTGGATGGACGTCGGCCAATAACGGGTCGTCGAGGCGAAGCGATAATTCGCTGTCCTGCGCCGGCGGTTCTATGCAAACGTCAGTGAAGCCCAGTCGGAACTCATGCTCATCTTCACACTCACCATCGCCGTCTGCGTGCCGTTTTCTTGCTCTGGCATTCGAAGTCCTTTCCCACAGTCTACTGAACGTTTGTATTGTCTTCCTTTCAAGATGATGCGCCCAGAAGATTGTGCAGAGCTCGATACCATCTGGATCCAGTATCTCCATCGCGAAGGAGCTTTCTCGATCGAATGCCTGCAGGTTGTCGAGAGTCTCCTCCCCCAGGAGAATCTCGCAGGGCAGTTCATCTGGCACATAGAACAATTTGCCAATCCACTCAGTTTTGGGCTGCTGCAAATCAGCCGAGAACCTGGCAAATATCTGGTGGGATATCCAACCAATGCTCGCATCGGCAAATTGAACTGCTAGGCGATGCTCCAAGACCCTAGAGCGCTGAGAGGATTTGTGGACAAGCTTTTGGGATACAAGGTCCATCTCCGAGCCCGTATCGGCGTGTGCATTCACCAAGGTACTGTCCACGTAACACCTGAACCTCTCCCTGGAAGTTCCGATATGCATCACCTGCAGAGGGGACGCAGAAGCCGCGTGCCTTTCTCGAAGCCGACGTTCGCGGTGCTTCGTCATGGTTTCGGTAAGTCTCAGGAATACACCGCCAATGATGGCTGGACGGATCAAGCTCTCAAACACGTGGAACATGCAAGTCAGCAGTATGTCGGGTTGTTGTGCGAATCGGATCTCCATTTCAAGGGCTCCTAGGGACTGCACGCCTTTGCCGTTCCCTAGAACGAACTTGGTCGAAAGGCTTGGGTCCAGCTGGCCCAGAATGCCAAGTTGGCTGGCAGTGTCCTTGGACAGGATGTTCTGTTCGGATCCTGTGTCAGGACAGGCCAGGACTTCAGTCCCTTGAAGTATGACTGGTAGATCCCATTTCAATCTATGCTGCTTGACATCCGGGCGATTGCTTCTCTCTGGTGGTCTATTTGGCGGTCGGTCAGAAATGTGGGGCGGCGGCAAGCGGTGCCTGGTCTCAATGTTTCCGTTCAGAGAGACATCAGTGTCAGAACCTTCCTCATCCTTGAAATTATCGATGGGGCCAGGGAATTGCTGATAAAATTCTTGCTTGGAAACAACGGCGCTTTCTTTAAACCAGTCGTCCGAGTCGTCCGGTAGAGGATTGATTTTGACAGGCTGCAAAAGGGGAAATCTTCGTGTACGATAGGGGTACTCCTCGTTGTCCGGATTGATTTCGAAAGGGGGAGATCTCGTATCATATAGCCGTACGCCTCGTCGACGGTCAGGAGCTCAACCTCATGAGTTCCTCCCAGGGAACTCTGCAACTTTGCCATCAGAGCAACTTTGTCGTTGCCGGAGAAAGTCTTCCAATCTCAGGCTGCGTTGTAACTGACGCTGGTGTGTGGGAAAGAGTCAGCCATGCCGCGCCAAAATCTGCCTTGTGGCGTTGTGGTAGGCGGGGGTTGAGTGAGCAGCCAGTAGTATTGTGCATGTCTTTGGCACCTCTTCAATTCAGGCTGAAATGTAACCGGCAACATGGGGTACGGGTTTCAAACCTGCTCCAGTCGACTCGGAGAGCACAATCCAAATCAGAGAAACTTCGATGGGACACTTAGCCGGTTACCGTGGGCTGGCACAGTTCATGGTCCGTGATAAAGATCGGAGCCCATGTATAGTTCGCAGATTCGACAATCTTGGTATCCGCAACCTCCTGTACCTGCAGACTGATCTGCTCGAAATCAGTGATCGTCTGGAAGAACTGGACAACTCCCATGTTCGGGCTTCCTTAGTTGTCAAGGCTGGCTTGAGAGATTGGAGCAGTATGAGAGTTGAAGGACTCGAGGAGCGCAGCCGGTTGCAGATTCAAGAGAGAATTGACTTGGTCATTAGGTTGAGAAAGACGATGAGGGAATACCGTATGGCCGTCACCAGCTTGTAAGTCCACTCAACTGAGAACCTCTAGGAGAGATGCTTGTGTTGGAGCATAAAGTCAGAGCAATCGAAAGACCATCCCACAGGACCCTCGAAGCTGTTCGGAATTGCTTCAACAATGTCACCAGTTCATTGAGACCCGGTGTTCCTGCACTCGACGGCCGAAATGCGGATATATTCAACGATGCCAACGACCTCTTGTCACTCAGGGTCGCAACGGAGGATGATCGCCTTACCAGGTTCCTGCAGACCACATTCCCGATTTTGTTCGCGGTGAGTGTCAGGAGACCATACGTCAAACTGCTTGCTTGCTTACTTGTGGGATTCGGAATCTAGAAGCAAGCACCTGGCTCTGACCTGGAGTCGCATAAGCAAGGATGCAATCCTAGTCCCGATGACCCGCTCTCATACTATTCCGAACGTCGGCTGCACGCCTGTGTTGCCATCATATACATCATCCTCGCGTCAGGCTTGCTTTTCGGGGCCATGTTCAACCTCTACTTCGTTGGAAGCAACCCGAAACGCCTGGGATTGATTGCAGGATATACCGTCGTCTTCGCTCTATGCGTCGGCTTTTTATCGAATGCGCGGCGGGCCGAGATATTCGGCGCCTGTGCCGCGTATGCTGCTGTCCTTGTGGTATTTGTGAGCGGGGGTCTGAGTTGCGGCGCAGCATCAGGTTCAGGTGGATGATATTTGACAGTCACTCGGTGCTGATATGGAGGACGGAGGACGGAGGACGGAGTACCTAGGTATTCAAGGCCTGGGACCATCATACCAGGTTGAGGGCCAGGGCCGTATCCATGACCGTAGGGGAAATGATTGATGATTGGGCTTTGGTGTGATTAACGAGGCTTTCATCGAAACAGCTTCCCTCCGAAGAAGGTTGAAGTTGAAGTTGAAGCTGAAAAGTTTGGTACCACGTCATTCAGCCTTGTAGTACTCCGTACTCCGTAAATGGCAATGAAATCTCCCGACACCTTCCTTTCCATCACCGCCAGCATCGACATCGACATCAACCTCGACACCTGCACCAGCGTGATCAGAGAAGCACCAAGCAGTTGTTGGAGGTGATGGTATTATTGTGATAGACTCTCGCGACCCCAAACGCCAGATCGAGTACAGTCGTCTCATCTGATAAGAAACCCCAGCAATTACATATAGACACACTGACGCCTGTGCTTCCTTAGTTATGTACTTCTCCAAACTAGACATACACTGTGCAGGGTATCGGATGTCGTAACAGTCGCTGGCAAGAAGATGATTGCTCCATAACGCCCATGACCGCAACTTGGACTCGGCGGCCATCTCCTCCACAGATGCCGTAGAACAAATCAAGGGAACATTCCCACAACCAGCGCATTGACGACATGGCCCTCTTTCCAGCCTTGTGCGGCGAGAGTGCGTCTGTCGTCCAAGATCTTGCCAAGATATGCGATTCGTATCCGCGCCTGGCTTGGAACCTAGAGAGGGAGTGAGTCATCGAGCTTCACAGAACACATCTAGCTAGCATACCTCAGTTTCATCTCGGATTCTCTGGGTGAGTGCCGCGACGCGCTGACCCTTGCCTAGAAGCACGACAACGTCGGGGCCTCCTCGGTCGCTCAAGCGACATTTGACCCTCATAGCGTCCCTTTCGACAACGGCCTTACCTTTGGCTTCTTTGGCCTTCTCGCCGTCAGTGTCTTCCTTGTTGAAGCTCGTAGGACCTGCCTCGGCGGCTTCCAACTTTGCAAGCGTGTCTATGTCACCTGCACCCAGGACAGTCTGGCTGTCCATGTCCCCCGCATCTTCGGAAACGTTGATAGGATCTGAAATGACCGCCTCGGGCATCCTGTACAAGTTTCCAAATTCGTCGTAGGCACCGTCCTCAAGTCTTCCCGTGGGTAATGTGACGACTAGAGCATCCAGGATACCCTGGGCATCGTCCAAATCCCCTTCGTGCAAGCATCCAATGGCTTGTTTCAAGCCGCTCCAGACCTCTTTCCGCCCCGTCACCCTGGTCTCGAAGAACTCGTATCGTTCTCTTTCCAATTGAGGGCGTGTCCAAGTCCGCGTAGTGCTCTTCCATGGCTTCGGTGGTTGGAGCGGGAGGTTGTAATGATCGGCAAGGGATAGTGGCTGGCTCGGGTGGGATCCTGGATTGTGGACCGAATGACGAGGGGTGGAGAGCGCAGACCTCGAAGTCTCACTCTGATGTATGGACAGGCCCGAAGGAGGAGCGAAGGTACGCGGGTCAGGGTCGTGGGAGCCACCATTGATGGCAGTCTGAGATGTTATGGCTTGAGAGGAATGTCGGACTTGAGGAGGCACAGTGTCTCGGCCGTTCTGAGAACCGTCGGAGTCTGTAGGTCTTGATGTACAGCACCCCTGGAGAAAGTAAGCCTCAAGTCAGTTGCAACTGTTGAGGAACGCACGAGGCAGGGCCAGCGCCAGGGTCAGGGTCGGGAATGAATGGTGGTGCAGCAATTAAAGGATTACGCACCATGGCTCAAGATCATCCTGCACTAGGCTCCTCCGTGCATACAATGGCCTGAAAGAGTAGAGTTCACAAAAACATTTCGCAAGCAGTGCACCCTCAGCCTTGGGTGGCGGGGTTGGAGGTGAAGAGACGGACACTGAGCAGTCAATGCACGAAACAGCGCCAAACGAGAGTAACGCCTGCGGTGGGCTTCGACATACACTCTGGAAGGATGTCGATGGAGAGGGTGATTGTGGCGACTTGGAGAATGGTAGACGTTGATCGAGGTGGCACCGAGACGGAGAGGAGGTGATGGTGATGGTGTTGGTGTTGGTCACGCCCAATAATAAAACTGGAGAGACAAGTCCGCAGAATGGTCCAGGCCTGATCAACTACTAGAGTACGGAGTAATAGTAGAGTCTCTCTCTACACGCGCCCATGTCTGCTCCCAGTCTGCTCCCAGTCTACTCCGTCCTCCGACTCCGACTCCGACTCCGACTCTGTATTGTCTCGAAACAACACACCAGCCATGACCCCCGCGAGCCTGAGCGATTCGTTTCATAGAAAAAAGGTTGGATTTCATACTAAGCCAAAACATCCTGCCCAGAGCAAAGAGAATAGAAAACATGTCATTATGTCATGTCGCCAGATCCATGTCCTCAATCTGCCTGTGAGATACAAGAGCCATGGAAAATCTGTCTATCCAGCCAGTATCTGCAGCATCTCCCTAAACGAGACCCGTTGCAAGCAACGCAATCCAGTGCCAGCCCATGAAACACACATGATATTGACAATCGCTAACGGAATTCCACCGAAGGACAGACGCCCTTCCCCCAAACGCCTTGCTGGCCCTCATGTTGCAGTTCGAGCTGTTGGTACCTGATTCTACATCGTTAGTCACAAGCAACCAGAGATGTGGACGATTGCAGCACTCACTTCTCGCTTTTGGAGTGGAAATATATCCCGCTCACTCGTCCCTCCGCTTGATTAAAACAGATATAGTAAAAGCCCTCGAAGCTGGCTCCTTGGATGCTTTTCAATTTGTAGTCCGGCACCAGGAAATGTTCCTTCCATCTCATAAAGATCACCTCCTGCTGCCACCAATCCTCGTGATTCAAAGGATAGACAAAATTGATGTTGCGTTTCGCATGCAGACTAAGCGGCCGCCAGGCGGGGAACCTCGCCCAGTGAGTCAGATCAGTCTTATCACTGGCACCCCAAGCCGGGTCTTTCGTCCTAAAGCTGTATTTCTGATTTGGCCCGCCGATGATCTCTCCTGTGAAAAAAGTGGTCAAGGTCGGGTGGTCGGGGGTAAGCCCGCAGATCTGCAAGTATCCCGACATGCTCGCTTGTTCAATATCCACGGTCAAGATGGTGACTTCGACATGGTAGATCTGGCGGTCTGACTGTTGCGTCCCTTTAAACTTGGAAAAAGGCTGAAATGTAACCGATGGATACTGCGGGCGAAGTCGCCTGTTGGAGAACTCCCAATCCTTTGCCTCGCTCGACCAGTCAAGCTCTTGGTCGATTGAGGGCAACCCGGTCCGGGTAGTAGTGTCACCGAATCTCCTTCTCCTGTGCGGCGCAGAGAGTTCTGAGGGCGTTGATAGAATGTCCAAGTCGTCGCCGCCATTCAACCCCGTCTCCCGGTCTCGGGCGCCCGCTATCTCGCCCAGCACATGCGCCTTAGCGGTGCTCTCCGCGAGATCAATCGTGGGTGCAGTTTCGTATCCCTCCGTTTGCGAGACTCCAGTCATCTTCAAGGCACCGTCTTCGAGGGTGCTATCACCATCACTCTCGGGGTTGTCACCTTCCGTCTGCTCTGCCGAGGATCCGGCCTGTGTATCTCCCTGAAAGTCCTCGGAAGAATTATACATATCCTCCTCCTGGAACAGCGACATGCTTGCAGCGGTGTTGCCACTCATGGCCAGTCGACTGACTCCATCTCCCCCGACAGACCTTTGCTGAGCAAATTCGCGCCCTAATTGATGGTCGCCATTGGTTTCTGGAGGCGGTGTTAAAGGTACAGGGCACGCGACACTGGTTTGACTTAGATCAGCGCGGTGAGGGCTAGCGGGAGTATTCGATGCATGAGTTGGCATTGAAACGGGACGGCTCGCGGGATTATCATATGGAACGAGTGCGAGGAGAACCGGATGCGCAAGGACAGCTGGTGAGGAGCGGGGAGACGATTCGGCGGGAGAAACGGTGATGCCGAGGGAGAGGAAAAGAGTACGGAGTACGTATTGGCGGAACACGAGATGTGGCAGAGGAACAATGATGCGATGGAGAGAGATGGAGTGATGGGAAGAGGTGGAGCAGAAGCCGTCGATAATAGCAAGCGCAAGCACAAGCACAACTTGAACTTGAACTTGAACCCGGCGTTGGCTGATGAGATGATGCTTGAACTAATTACTAGTATTACTGCTAGACCAGCCCGGCGTCCGACACTGGCAGTGCTCCCTCGCACTTTGCGGGGTACGGATAGGATACAAGCACTCAGACACACTCATCACCACACTTCTTCTACTCTGTAGTAGACATCCTGCAACCCTTTGATTCAATGCCATTATCTTGTCCCATGAACCTCAGTTCTGTTGTGTCCCTACTCCCACTTGCTGGGCCATTCAGTGTACATCGTGTTCCAATTGCCGGATGATGGCGGATGGCGGATGTTGGATGGCGATGCCGCCGCATTACGTCGAGTCGGTCTCCTCCAGCAGGCCAGGCACGGGGGCATAGCATTCATGATCACTGGCTTGTATAGCAGTATTTCCTCGTCTCTTGAGCCGCTTCTCTCAGAGGCACAGAACTGTTGAAGTTGCTGGATTCATCTGGAACCCTGATGGCAATGTTGTCGTTCGATTCAGAAGGCAGTTTGGACCGAAGAAATCTAGCTAGATTGGCTTGATCTGTAAGGCAACCATGTCAGAACGTTCTGGACCCTCAAGGTGCGGCCGTCGTACCTTGAAATGCAGTGATATCAACGAGAACACCAATGCTTTCAAATCTTGCACAAGATAATAGAAGACTCGCAGTCCTTCTGGGTCCGCGGAATCGGTAACGTCTCCAAGAGAGCCAATCTTCGCAGTCTGGACAATGGTCAACGCCTGGTGTGATGCCCATAGGGAGTTCATGGCAAACCTCGAATTGGATATGATCACTTCCGAGCCTGATTTCGAGCTCTTGTCTTCCGTCCTTGTTCTTCTGTGGCCACCGGGAATCATCCTCTTTTATGATTTCGCTGTCTTTGATGATGCGTTTGATCTCGGCGATGAGCAGGGCGCTGACACACACTAAGTCCTCGTAAGTCACACGCCGTTATGCAGGAGTGGGAAACGCACTCTCTTTGCGAATAAGGGAATCATTGCGATAGTTGGAATTGTTGGCATATCTCGCAGTAGCGCTGCGTCCATCGCCGATGACTCGGAAGTCGAACTCTGTTTACCCATTAGTTACATCTCACGGATAGTGGTAGATCGATCTCACCTAGAAATTCGTGACCAAATCTGCCAGAGTGACCGGAACTGTTTTTGGTCAATATTCGATCGTAGACGAGCGACGGAGAGATGCCATACTAGTAGCGCACGTAGAACGGCTCATTGATGTTTGACATGGCTGAGCTGCCTGAGCAAGTCGATTCAGATTCCCTCTGATCTAGACCGCAAGAACCAGGCTTGAAAAATCCTTGGTTTGGATGACAGTCAAGGCTGCGACTTTCCGAAGTCCAGCGCCAAGAGAACAGACCTAGGGCCTTGGATGCTTCGTACTACTGGGCAAAGGCGGTAAACTTTTGTAGCGGAGCCAGGCTAGGGCTATCACAACAATACCTGTGGTGACTGCGACGACTGAAACTGTACGAAGTGCGGTCTGCTTGGTCTGTTCTTTAGCAATGATGGTGTCCCACTTGTTGGGTCGGTTCTTGGGTGATGAGGTGGAGAACAGGGTGGGTTGCTGCACTACTGTATCCGACATCGAGTTATCCCCTGTCTTTTTGAAGAGTTACTTTGAGTCTTCTGAGATGCGTTCTGCTCCCCAGACATTTTGGGTGGTAGTGGCTTACAAAGACAAGTTCTGAATCCATGGAAAAAAAAAAAAAAATTTTCCTATACCTGAACATCCAAGATAAAAAGGAAGGAGCGGTAGTAAGGCAGGTGCATATTTCACTGTCTGTCTCCCCCGCTACTACTACTCGTAGGTGCCCCGTACTGCCAAGAGAGTTATCAAGGCTGCAGCGAGGCTGTTGACTCTCCACATCTCGTTTCTCCATGTCAAAAGAGTTGCTTCGACTTTTCAAAACTCACGCTCTTCCGCCACAGACGTGTAAGACCCCTTTAGCTGCCGTGCAGCAAGCTCCTCTGGACTATGGCGACCCTCGCAGACGAGCTCCTCAACGATTTCGACGAATCTGGCTCTGAAAAAGAGGACAACGCAGACGGCTTCCAGGACGGAGAAGACACTCATGGCGAACTTCTGGGCAACAGCCACGAAATGAGAGGAGAGGTGGAGGAAGATGATGAGAGCATGCCAGATGAAGAGGAGGAACTAGCCGCCAACGATGCTGCTGGGACGGAGACATTGGACGACGAACTTGACACAAAAGCCAAAGTTGAAAAGATGCGATTAGGTGGTGTACGGGATGTGAGGAGTGTGGCGGGCTTGATGAAGACTCTGCAACCAGTCCTAGAGGTAAGCATATGACCCCTCCCATCATGCTATTGCCAAAGCCCTTTCGGTTTACATAAAGCTGGCCGCAGTCCTGACGGTTCGCCCTCTTTTCAGAGAATCTCCCATTACCAGAATATCCCGCCGGATCAGCGAACAACTGCAGTGGGATCAATTGAAGACAACCCGGAATACCATCTACTGACCCAGTCCAACTCTCTCTCGACACAAATCGACAGCGAAATAATCCTCGTCCACAAATTCATTCGGGATCATTACTCTGCACGTTTCCCAGAATTAGAGACGCTGGTGACGAATCCAATCGATTATGCGAAAACCGTCGCCATCATCAGGAATGGACCTCTGGAGAACATCAAAGCCCTGGCTGATTCCTCCGACAACATCGTCGGACAACCCCTCAGGTCCGTCTTAGACGGTCCAACCTTAATGGTGGTCACTGTGGAAGCAACAACGACGCGAGGCCAAGAACTTAGCGAAGCAGAGCTCGAGACGACCATACGTGCGTGCGAGATGGCGCTCCAGCTGGACAAAGCGAAGAAGGTGCTCACAGAATATGTCCAGTCTCGGATGAACGTATTTGCGCCTAACCTCACTGCAATAATCGGCTCACTTACAGCAGCCCAACTACTCAATTATGCCGGTGGCCTGAAGGGTCTCGCCAAGACACCTGATCGCAACGTTCCCGCGATGGGTTCACGGAAGCAGAGGCAGAGTGGACTCGCAACCAACGTGGGCATACGGCAGCAAGGGTTCCTCTATCATTCCCCACTTATCCAAAGTATTCCCAACGACTTGAGAATCCAAGCCATGCGTATAGTTTCCGGCAAACTTATCCTCGCCACGCGTGTGGACAGCGTGCACCAAGCACCGGATGGCTCAACGGGAGAGCAGTTACGCGAAGATTGTTTGAGGCGACTGGATAAGTTGACCGAACCTCCGCCGAATCGTGGCCCACGAGCTCTCCCTGCGCCGGACGATAAGCCTAGTCGCAAACGTGGCGGGAGGAGAGCTCGCAAAGCCAAGGAGGCAACTGCCATGACGGAGCTGAGGAAACAGCAGAACAGGATGGCATTCGGCAAGGAGGAAAAGGAAGTCGGGTACGGAACCGGCGAGGGTACGGCAGGATTAGGGATGATTGGCCAAACAAATGACGGCCGCATTCGAGCCACGCAAATCGACCGGCGCACCATGGCAAAATTGAGCAAGAAGAATCCGGGTTGGGCCGGCTCGGGCACAGCAACGAGCCTCAACAATGGTATGAACACATCGCTGAAGGGATTTGGAACCTCGGGAGGGAATGCCACGACACTGCGAGCTCAAGGACTCCGGACGACTGGCGTCAGTGCTGGAACGGCCAGTTCGATCGCGTTCACGCCAGTCCAGGGTCTGGAGTTGGTTGATCCGAAAGTGCAGGCTGAGTTGAAGCGAAAGCGTGAGGCCGAAAGTGCTGGATATTTCTCCCGTGGTACATTTACTCAGGTCAATGCGGGGAAATCGGAAGGGGGCTTCAAGGTGCCACAGTTGCCAGCAGCGAAGAAGGTGAATATGGGTCCTCCTCCAACACCCGGGAAATGAGCATGATCAGATATTGTTCTGCTGCTTCAACACCTCGAAGATTGTCGGGACGGCAACCACGGCTACTGGGCTCGTAAGCGGGATCTGGTCAGACAGGGCCAGGGCCAGGACCAGGACCAGAATATACCGTCGATCGAGCATCCCAAGACCATGGGTGAGAGACTTGTTACGAAAACAAGATTCAGATGTGGTAACAGTCTACCAACCGGGTAGATACCAACGCTGGCGCCGAGATCCCATTTTATGTGGTCCTATTGACAAGCACGCCCGAAGTCGACAACTGGCGACGTGCCAGAGCGAACAGTACCTGCACCAACCGGACCTGTGGCTCTACGGCAAAGATTGAAGGAGAGATCGATAGGAGAGATCGATAGGAGAGATCGATAGGAGAGATCGATAGGAGAGATCGATAGGAGAGATCGATAGGAGAGATCGATAGGAGAGATCGATAGGAGAGATCGATAGGAGAGATCGATAGGAGAGATCGATAGGAAAGATCGGTAGGAGAGATCGATAGGATTAGTGAGTGCTGGCATTTACAACATACTTAGTCACAGCCTCCTTTAGAACGTCAATCTCACGCTGTGTCTTGACAAACACTTCTCTATACTGGTCCAAGCTCTCTTGAACGACTTCAGTGCGACTCTTACGCCCGTCCGAGATGGCCTTCATCTTGAGTTCCATCTCTTTGCGGAGGAACGGCTTGCTGACACTGACGTCGAGACCCACATTGTCGTATCCCTCAATCAACGCCACCCCAAGTGTTGTAGGAATGAATTCCTGCACAGAATTGCGACCGCTCCCAGATTGGGGCCTGGTATCGACATATGAGCGGTCCTTGATCTTGGAGATATGCTCGGCCATTGTTGCGTCGGTACCAATCCCGTTTGCGTCCATGAGGGCAATAAGTTCGGGTTCGGTAAGATATCCAGGAGCCGTTGTCTTCCCGTCACTCATGCTGGCTTCGGAAGGTTCAAAGGTTTCACCAACGGTGAAGCCAGGGAGCTGCTGACTGCTTTCCCATTTGTCGTACACATAGACATCAAGGTAGTTTCGTTGACGAACAATAAGTCCGTGGGTATGAAAAGTCTCAGTGCCCCAGAGCAGCTCAATGTCGGTGGCGTCGCCCTTGGCATCATCTGAACAGCAAGCAAGGAATCTCCTGGTCACAAATTCATACACTTTCTTCTCGTGTTGATCAAGGGCGGAAGGCGCAGCGTAGTTGACCGGGTGGATTGGAGGATGGGCTTGATCGTTGTGGCTCCCTGAGCGAGGAATTCGCAACCCATTATCAAGCAATCCTTGCGCGTATTGTCCCCAACGCTCGTCTCTAGTCTGCCGCTCGACAATCGCTCGGAATCCGAACTCTCGAGGAAACTGGTCGGTCTCTGTGCGGGGATAACTGATGAAGCCTTTTGTGTATAGCTTTTCCGCCACCGACATGACTTGATGACTAGTCATGTGCAGGAAGCGACTTCCTTGCTTTTGTAGTTCCACGGTGGTCAAAGGCAATGGGCGCCACTTTGACGTCGGCTTTGTCTGCACCTTTGTAATTCGGGCGTATTTCGCGTCAAGACATGCCTCAAACAGTATAGTGACTGCCGCTCGGTCAAAGAGATGGACTCTCCGCCAGTTGAAACTGACACGTATTCCATCCCGGACCTGTACAAGCTTGATGAACCAAAAGGTCTCTGGCTTGAATCTTCTTACCCTGTTGTACCGTTCGACCACGAATCCGAGGGTGGGGAACTGGCATGAACCGTAACTGATCATCTTGTCTCGAAGATTTTCGCTCAAGCACTGCAATTCAAGACTCTGTAACCTGGTGAAGGAAGCCCCGATACGCAGGTCGAGTTCGATTCTGGCGGCAACCGCGTTAACCTGTCGCTCATCTAGGTCGATGGGAGAATGGGCTGCTTGGACAACGTGGCTACTGAGAGTCAATGTCTGCAACTGGATCTTCGGGGTAAACGTAGTCACTCACGCCCTTTCGGTGTTGCTGAACTTTGCTCGCTTTACAATAATGTGTGGATTACCTTTCTTTGCCTGGTCGCGGACTTCGCCCCCAATGTGCTCCCCTTCACGGTCGCCATCGGTCCAGATGAAGAGGATGCGAGCATAACGGGCCTGTTGTTGAATGTTGTCGGCCACGGGTTTCTTGTCTTTGTCGATGGTGGTCAACGTGGTGGCGTCGAACAACTGACTGGGTGGGCAGGACTTCCAACTCTTGTATTTCGGATCAAAATCCAGGCCCGTCAGATGGCCCAGCACGCTGGTCATGGTTACCGAGCAGTTGCCCCATTGTTGGAAATTGAACTCGAACTCGTAGTTTTTCACATATTGATTACCACGAATGGAATGCTATAAGAGGAGATGAGACGCGAAGAGGATGGTGGATGACATGGTTGCCTACCGTGGTGAAGCGGCCGCCAGCCAGATGCTGGGCGACTGCTTTGGCTATTGCCGGCTTTTCTGCAACGCAGAGGATTTTCTGGCCGGGCATCGTTCATGTTGAGGGGGCGCGGGCGGCATGCCCAGAGGACGGGATTACAGGATTACAGGCAGTGATGAGCTGGAGGCGAAAGGGAGGCAGTTGGATGCTGACGAAGGGACACAATGGTCTGGTCCGAGAAACGCGACCAACAACGCGTACAAGGAGACAGGAGATGCCACGCACCTACAGGTACTGCATGTGCGGGCACCAGGTGCTTGCGGGTGCCTGCGGGCGCCTGCGGTGGTGATTTTGCTTGTAAAATACCCAGGTACGAAATACAGGTATTGGAGTTACGGCGACAGTTGCTGACGAGAAGTGCTGATTGGACAAGGCGGATCTTGTGCCTGCATCATGGAAATCTCATTGCGTCATTACTTTTCGCGGTATAAATACAAACGCGAGGTTGTTTCCTGACAGCGCCCTCATCACGCCGACTGTCAACTGCTTTTCCATTCTCGCCTCTCGTTGTCTACCGTCCGTACCTAAGGTAGCAAGCAGTCGTGAGTCGTGCTCGCTTCACAACCTAGGTCTTCGCATCTTGTCAGCTGAGTGCGGCTCGACATGGCCCTCCCAGTTCTTCGCACCTTGACACAATGCGCCGAGTACAATACGACCGTGGCTCCATTCCTCTCCCAACTACGGCCCCTTCCAGAGGTCTTCGTTCAGGCCTTTGCGAGCCCTGCGGCGCTGAAACAGCTATATCTTGACACGAACCCTCTGGTCACAGCTGTTGCCTTCTCGCTGGCTCTCGCCCCCGTCTTCCTGCTGGTCTCGGAGGTCAATAAGAACTACTCTCAGGTAGATCGAGTCTGGTCGATATTACCAACCATCTACAATCTCCACTACGCTCTTTACGCTCGCCTGGCAGGACTTCGCACGACGAGACTTGACGTGGCCGCAGCCATCAGTGTGGTCTGGACTGTAAGCATGCCATGCCGGGTCCCCTTTTTCGAACTAACACGGTGGCAGACACGACTGACCTACAACTATTTTCGCAAGGGTGGTTATTCCGTTGGAAGTGAAGACTATCGTTGGGCCATTGTGAAGGAGCATATTGGACCTGCTGTCTTCTTCGTCTTCAATGTCCTCTTCATCTCGTTGTACCAATCGCTTCTCCTCTTCAGTGTCACCACTCCGACTTATGTCCTTCTCCTCACTCAGCGCCTGGCCACATACAGCCCGCAGACGCCCTCATGGGATTGGAAAGACACTCTTGCCGGCTCAATAATACTATTTTGCATAGGCATCTCATTTGTGGCTGATCAACAGCAGTGGAACTACCATCTGGCCAAGGCTGATTATCAGAAGCAAGCCAAAGTACCCGTGGGCTATGAGCGGGCAGACCTAGACCGGGGCTTCTTGATCAAAGGTCTCTTCGCCTACTCCAGACACCCAAATTTTGCCGCCGAGCAAGGTGTCTGGGTTACCCTTTACTTGTGGTCGTGCTTGGCTACAAAGACTTGGTACAATTGGAGTGGAACCGGAGCAGTGCTCTACTTACTCCTGTTCCAGGGTAGTACTTGGCTAACGGAGCTTCTGTCCTCCGGCAAGTACCCAGAGTACAAGATCTATCAAGAGAGAGTTGCAAAATTTCTGCCTCTGCCAGGTCCATCGCCATATCATGCCGCAGGCTCCAACCCCCAGGATAGTGAAGCGCTGAAAGCACGCCAGCGATACGATCTACGCTGACGCCATTGCTATGCATATAGCGTAACAGATGGATCTTAGATGACATGTGGCTCAGATGGCGCTGTCAAGACATGCACAATGAAAGACTACTTCCAGTCCCGGGAGCATTCACACCAGACCCCCCTGTTGTCGTGTGAGGCTTTGTAGGGCATCTCTCATGTCCAGTATACGTTATGGTGATCTATTCAACCCCGCCCAGAAGCCAAGGGGCCCGACGCAACAAGGCCTTAGCCGTCTTGAATTGGGATAGGCGAGCGACAATCCGTTGCAAACCGGGACGCTACTACTGGCGGAGAACCTCCGACTTCCTACTACTACTGTAACACCGATAACAGTCGGTCAAGGTCGACATTCCTCTCAACTACAACCGTGCAGCCTGTTCAAGGTCAGTCCATGGCGGCAGGTCCAGGAGTGAAGCAGGCTTCACTGCAATATTTGTGGCTGCTGCCTTTGATTGCAGGATCCTCGTGGTTTATGACCCTGTCCACTCTCCTGATCTATTGGCTCGTTAGAGGTCGTCCCAGGTACCCTCATCAGAGGAACCCATATGTTGCGTGAGATCAACCGCTCACAGTGGTGCCGGTCGAATGCGGATGCTGATGTCTGTCCCAGCTACATTTCCAACATTGCCGCGTTCGAGCTCAAACCGGTGTTCATCACAGGTTGCACAATCACTGCCGTCGCCTTTGCTCTGACTGTGGTCGCGGTCCACTACGCTCGTTATTCCAGTCACTTATACGGGCTCGTTTACGATGCACAATGGAAGAAGAGAACCTCGGTCCTTGCCGTCATTGCCGGCCTGTGGGCATCTCTATCTTTGCTGCTGCTTACCGTCTTTGACACGTACCGTGCCCATGACCGCCACGTGATCTTGATGTTGTCTTGTTTGGCCGGGCTCGGTCTTTCCTCGATCGCTACCAGTGCCGTATGGTTCGACCAGGCCTGGAGACCTCCGGCACGAGAGGGCTTGCGGAAATGGTGGTGACTCCCCTTCTCAGGACCTTCCCTGTGGTACGTGGGCCCGACTAACAGGCTGCACGTAGGTGCCTCGCAAGCAATGTATTGGTCCTGGTTGAGGTCGCTCTGGGACTCACATTTACGGCTCTGTTCGATGTTTCTTGGTGGAAGACGGCGGGTGTCCTCGAATGGGTGTTGACTTATATAGGTGCCTTATGGCTGATGACGTTTGTTGGATACCTCAGGTGAGCTCTTCAGCAGTGGACTTTGCGATGCTTCATATGGCTGACCTTCCAGGAATACCAACACGGACGCCTCCGACGGGACGTCAGAAGAACGACCTTTGCTTGCGTCTGAAGACTGAGTGGCAAGGTCGGCTGAGGGAGGCAGCAATCTCGGATCGACGCATTTGAGTGTGAAGTACATAGGGAAACTGTTTATATAAGATGGCAGTAGGTGGCAAGGGCTTAGGGTAGGGCTTAGGGGCTCAAAGCCCTAGAAGGCGCCCCCACGCCTAGAGATTCCGCCGGGAGGATCTCTTAATGTTAGGTCTTGGGCGCCTCTAGGCAAGGTTTGGGCATCCTTAGCCATCCTCTAAGCTGCGTTTACAGTAATTCGTATCAGGGACCCTGGTGACCTAACCCTAACCCTAACTCTAACCCTAACTCTTAGGTGCCGGCTACATAATCCATGACGGCACGACTCGTCTGGCGTCACAGCCACATCCACATCCACAGCCATGCTCGTGCTTGACTGCATGGGATGATGATGTACAAGATCGGTGTGATGAGTCGCATACTGTACATCCAACTCGTCAGCTTCAGCTTCCTCGAGGATGGCTAGGAAAGACGGCATCGATTCATGTGGAAAGGACTAAATCATCAACTCAGCTTGGCTCAGCATCCACTGACGGGCACTCGACCCATCAGACCACCAGCAGCACCAGCACCACCGCGTACACTGGTGTCCATTATCCTTAGCCCTTCACTCCCATTGTCTCTTCGGCCATGACCGGATCGAACATGGCGGATTGACGGGAAAAGCTGTGACTCCAGTCTCTTGTTCTGTCTCCTTCGCCCTGCCTGCAACTCGGCTTCAGCACTCTTGCTGTCATGCCTCGCTGAGCTGGACGGAGACCCCGACGGCGAGCAGCATCGACAACGGCAACCGCCGCCTTGCCTGTGACAGCATGGACCTGGAGAGGATCAAGCAAAACCTCCGCTTACGCTCTGGCCGATTGAAGAAGAAGAGTCGCAAGCCCACCGTTCAGTCCAAGGCGTCCGATCCGCACAGCAGCCAGGCCGGTTCGGCGAACCCGCCCGCTCGACCGCCGACGGCAGCGGTCCATAGTCCTGCCAAAAAGCAGCCTGCTCCTCACAACGGGGACACGGGCATAGCGCTCTCGCCGATCACATTGGTTGACTCGGCGGGTTCACTAGAGCACCGCCCTGATATACCCCGTGCTGCAACGGGGCCAGATCTGAGGTCTGACCTACCGGACTTGTCAAGCCGATATGGTCGTTCAGGCATAGAACGACCTCTAGCAGGTGCTTCACCCCAACCTACAAGAGACCCTCCAGCCGTCCAACGTACCATGTCGGAGACCGACACTGGGGCCTTTCAGAATCTAGGCTCAGATGTCCTAGACTTTGACCTGCGACCGCCGCCGCCTCGATGCAGGATTCCTTCAGTCGAGTCACTTTCAGAGTCACTGTTTTCGTCGGGGCACCTCAAGACTCTCCTTCGTCACCCAGGGTACCTAGCACGGTTCACTTCATTTCTCGCAATGTATCAACCCCAGAGTCAATCCGTCCTTCTGAATTTCCTCGAGATCCAAAAGGCCATCAAGGCTGTTGAATATGCCAATGCTGTGGCTCAAGGAATCGCACCGCTAGCCATAGCTGACGAAGATTCCCCATCCATCGGACCTTCCACTGCCGCCACGCTCGACAAGGCCTTCGAGGAATCAAGTGAGGCTGCATTTCATGTCTTAGCCGACACTGCTCTACCTGCATATATCACCTATAACCTGGTGAAAGTAGTCAGCGAGTGTCTCATTCATGAAATTACTGGCAGACAAACGACCTTTTTGGAAGACTCCGTTGGGGGCTTGTCCGAAGTCTTTTGCTTGACCGACCCGAACCAAGAAGACAATCCCATCATTTACGCCAGCTCAGAGTTCTATCGTTTTACAGGCTACGGGCCAGACGACGTAATCGGGAGAAATTGCCGATTTCTGCAAGGAACGAGGACGAAGCGAGAATCCGTGTCGCGCTTAAGAAGCGGCATTGAAAACGGTCACGAGATCTGCGAAACGTTGTTGAACTACCGAAGAGACGGCAGACCATTCATCAATTTGTTGTTGATTGCGCCACTCCATGATGACAAGGGCAATGTCAAATATTATATTGGCGCCCAGGCGGACGTGACCGGCCTGGTTGAACGTGGCAGCGGCCTGGATGGGTTCGGGCGCTACCTAGTGACCGAAGAGAACGAAACCCGGGAGGGAGAGATCGGGGGCACCGCAGTTGATGCCAGTTCGCCGAGTGCACGGAAATCAAAGGTGCTTGCCAAACTGCGAGATCTTAGTGAGACATTCGACCTGGAAGAATCCGCGGTCGTGCGTTCGCACAGCAGGTCGGCTTCTACAGCTCGAGACGATGACGAACGTAGTATTGGCAGTAGCCGGAGAGCACCTCGACGGCTTATCCCCGATTCTGACGGCTCTTCGGTCGAGGAGGGCGGCGACCAGGCCCGCAGTGACGGTGCTCTCTGGACAACACTCGGTGATTCTGGCCGATTCGATTCATCCGGGAGGCTGCCCGGTGTCTACGACAGCTACATGCTAATCAGACCGGCTCCGTCGTTAAGGATTGTGTTTGTGTCTTCCAAGCTACGTCGCCGACTAGGCAATATTGTTCAGCACCCATTCCTGTCTCATGTCGCGGCACCGTCCAAAACGTTATCAGGACTCCAAGAGAGCTTTGAAACGGGCGTGCCTGTTTCGGCCAAAATTCATTTCATGTACAGCCAGGGTGACCGGAGCGAGGGAACCAAGATAAGCCCAGACAAGCAGCTAGATGAAGCAGGACAAAGTCGAGTCTGTTGGATCTCTGCAACTCCGCTACTGGGCAGTGACAATAACATTGGAGTGTGGATGGTTGTAGTTGTCGACACAACCAAAGTATTTACGACATCTAGGTTGGAGAATGGAGCCGAAACGAATGTGAACCACAAGCCAATCTCCACCACTACAGGCCGCCCGACAAAAATCACTATCCCAGCTCGCGAATCAACCGGGGAACGACAACAATCGCGACCCAGCAAGCAACCCGACCAGGATGGCCCGCCTAGGGACACATCTACCAGTCCAACACGGCTTGAGCAGGTGGCGGATACCACCAACATCGTTCCATCGACCTCATCCCCAGTACATAACGGATTCCTGGACGATAATGAAGACAAGCAGGCAAACCACGAGGGGCCGCAGGGGGTAGAAGAGCCCCAGTCAAACCTGGCTGCCCAGAACAGCGCTGAACAGGATTCGGATTTTGTGCCGGTAAACACCAACCACACGAGGCTTGGCTTCGACAGTCCAGCAGGCTCGAACGACGATTCTGGTAGACTGGCAATCCAAGCCCATGGATTAGAGGAATGGCAACAAGCTCATCATGAAGCTGGCGGTGGCAGTGACGGAGATCCCGATGCACCGATGACATTGGACCTCGATGGTGATCTTTATCATGCGCTGGCAGGTCTCAAGGCTGGAGCAGAAGGTGTTGATCTCGACTCACCGTACGCTCGCGAAACCTCAGATGAGGCGAACGTCCTCCATAGCTTCTCAGACGACGAAGATACTCCTAGACGGCCACAGCGTCTCAGCCACTTTGACAACGGCTCGGCTTCTCCCTCACGGGCGGGAACTAGCACGATGGAGGCATCACCAATGAAATCGAACAGCAAGCATTACATGGACTATCTCCGTCATCCCGGGAGCAGGGCATCGTCCGAATACAATCGCCCACTGTCTGGAAGCGGACTTCTATCGTCGATGTACCATGCAGAGGGTGCAGACGATGATACGGGAGATGATGGTGAAGACTTCAATGACGCACAGTGCGCAAGAACCCCGTACAGTGTTGATTGAAAACATTCGGCGGAGCAGGAGGCTATTAATACTAAGCTAAATGTAGTCATAGTGATAGCTGGGCGAACACGGCGGGAAACAGTAGCAGTAGCGGTAGCTATCTGCAATATGCCTACCAGCACGTACATAGCTAGTAGCATATATGGAGTCACATGTACGGAGCACCTAGGTATGTAGGTATGTAGGTATGCTTTGCTTGTTGAAACTGGACGTGTTCAGTGTCAAGAATGCCAGCCTCGCCTCCTTAGCCCTAGCAATTACTTGTAGGTGACTAGTGATACCAGACGAGGCTGAGGCATGCCAAGCCATTACATAATCAAGACTCGATTGGGCAGCCAACGTCCAACATCCGACTTCGACTTTTTCTCACTGCTCGTGGTTTTTGCAGTATCAACCACTCCCACAACCACTCCCTCTCTTGACTCTTACCTCTCCTGTCGAGCGTTCCTAAGCTCTGTTAGCAAGCCCCTTCTATGCACGGTAACAACTATGCCTCAAGACATCGACGTCGAGCCTATTCCTCCAATCAAGGACTTGGCCAGTAGTGGTAAGTCAAGTCTACCTCCATTGTCAGTTGGCTCCCAACACGGGATTCACGCGGCCATCACGTAATCCTAGTGTGTGACCTGAAAAGAGGTGGCTGAGACTGAGGCTGAGACATTCTCTCTGTGCCATGTCTTGCACTGGACTCTCTTCTCTTCTCAAGATTCCGGCTCCTGCTCCTGCTTGTTTGCGATATCCCCTACTGAACAAAAAGACCGACTCCGACCCTGTCTGTGCTTGCTGACTCTCCAATGTTACAGAACCGTCTGTCCGACGTGCTTGTCTCAAGACCATAATTTCCCACCTCGGCGACCGGGCTCCTACGTCTCCGTTGACCCCGACACAATGTCTTCAACTCTGGCGTGGCCTATACGTCGCATTGTACATGCACGATAGCAAGAACACGATATCGGTCCAGAACCTAGCCGCCGAGCTGGCGCGAACGGTCCCGACGATGGCGGCCAAGGACGACGAGGCCATCAGCCAGGGCGAGCAGCCGTCTTGGTTAGACACGTGGGCCACCGCTTTTTGGGAGACTATCAGCCGAGAGTGGGCCTTGGTTGACCAGTGGCGCATGAACAAAGTCCTGCTGCTCGTGCGTTTCTACCTGAGAGAGACATTCAACGTCTCACTCGGCTTAGTCGCAACGGACGATTCTGAGACCAAGGCAAATTCAAAGGATTTGGCCTCGAGGCAGAGGCAGATCCTGGAGACGTGGCCACTCAGTCCGCGTGAGCGCAAGGTTCCCGACGGGTTGCGGCTTCATGTCCTCGATATCTGGGTTGATGAGCTTCTCGGACAGTTTGACGCAGCACACAAGCAGTCAGAGTCTGAACCCGCCGCCGCCGCCGTGCAAGACGTCGTGAAGACTTTTATGTCACCAGTTGAAACGATTAGCAAAGAAGCATTGAGCAAAGGGGTCAGAATGCGGGCGAAGGACGCAATCGGCCTCTTCCACGAGAGATTTCCGTCTTGAGCATCTCGGGACTCGTCTTCCAGAATGAGCCAAAACAAGGACCGCGAGACCCGGGTGAATCATTCGGCTACACATCATGTGGAGATCACCAATCAAGTGATGGCCGATAGTCAGGGCACTGTAAGCCAGGGCACAGTAAGGCCTACGGTTACCCCGATATCTTGCGGCATGGCGAATGACACGTTTTTCAAGAACGCCCCCAGCAGCAAGCATGGTCATGGTTATTTTCAGGAGACTGTCGAACCGAAGGTCATCAAAGGGAAAGACGCAGCCTCCACGGTCGTGACTAAGCCACCGGAAAGGCAGCAAGCAGGTGTTCCTTTTGGGACTTGGTTCTAAGATTCAACCAGGCCACCGTCCTGAACGGTCAGACCACAGGTACAAGATGATCTTCGATTCTTGTTCATCACTGGACCGCGAAGGTCGCTCCCGTCGGGCATCTTGGTGGTAGGGATCTCGTGTATCCAGCCTGACTCCTGACCACTGTCTCTTGACTCCTGCTTCCTGCCTCCTGCCTCCTGCCTCCTGCCTCCTGCCTCCTGCCTCCTGCCTCCTGCCTCCTGCCTCCTGCCTCCTGCCTCCTGCTTCCTGTCACCCAAGGCCATGTCAAAGATCTCATCAACCACGACTCCAGCTTCTTTCCGAGGATGAGGACGATGATGTGGATGAGGATGAGGACGGGGATGAGGATGAGGACGAGGATGAGGACGAGGATGAGGACGAGGATGAGGACGAGGATGAGGACGAGGATGAGGACGAGGATGAGAACGAGGATGAGGACGAGGAAAATACCATACTGTACTTTACGTACGGAGGACGGAGGACAGACTCAGGCGCCTTTAGACGGGCGAAGGCGATACAAAACAGAACCAAACCCAGAACCAGAACCAGAACCAGAACCAAAATATTCCAGACAGACACATAGACATATATAGATCGGGTCCGGTAATTCCGGATCTACACTACCAGAGATCAGAGATCAGACGCCTCAACTCCATCGCTTCGCTCGCTAACTAAGCATCATGCGCACGCCTCGAGCCATGCTCAACATGTGACCCCGAAAGTAAAGGCAAAAACGCATCGCAACGCAATACAACACAGCTAATGCATGCTAACCATGTGCGTGCCGCCAAGGACACATCCCCGAATCAGTATCGCTCCCGGAGACGAGACGCTCGCCAAAGCCATGGATATGATGAACTTGCACTTGCTGGATGAAAAGTCGCTGCAACAAAATGCGCAATCAGGTACCCTCCATTCCTCCATCTCAAGTCCGAGCTCACCAATGTCATGTGTGAGATGCATCCCCATTGAGTTGCTCTCAAGACTTCTTCTGCCTCTGCCCGTGCCACTCTAGAAGACGGCGGGCTTCCACCAGCTCCCTCTGTTGTTCTGCTCTTCCTCTTTCTCCTTTCCTTTGCTGTCCGCACTCCCGACTGCCTTCCCGCTAGACCCGGACCCTTCAATGGCATGATCAGTGGTTGTGGCAGCCGTATCTATCAAGCTCCCCAAGATTCACACATCAGTACGCAGTTCCTCAAAAGCCTTCCAGATGCCCAGATGACGGTCGAAAAGTGAGATATATTAAAATTAATCATGAAATGGACATACCTAGACCCAACCCAGCCTCGGTCACTTCAACCTCGGGCAGTTGTGGGGCAGAAGATTCATCAGGACCCTCCTTCGCTGCTGAGGTGTCTCCCTCGGCCGATGGCACATGCTGTTCATGGGCATCTTGAAATGCTGCCTCGTCCTCTTGTGATGCGTCATTCTCAGGCCCTTGAGTTGTTGCATCCGTCTCCGGTGACGAGGCGGCGGCAGCGGCAGCGGCAGCGGCTTCTTCTGCCCTTTTCCTTTCCATTTCCGCTGCTCGAGCTTGCTGTCGTTCATAGTTCTCCCGGCGCGCCGCTTCGTCTTTCAATTTCCTCCTCCTCTCCACTTCATCCATCCCCCCAGTCTTCTTGAGCTTGCCTTCCTCCACGAACTTCTCGACCTCGCGTTGGAATTCTCCGACCTTGCGAGTCTCCAACTCACGCTGACGGACTCTCTCAGCCCTCTCGATGGCCTCCAGTCGGCTCTCATGGTTTGGCTGCAAGGCTCGAACCTCATGGAGCACACCAGTCTTTGCTTCATGCGGATCGACATCCGTGTCGAATGCTATGCTCTTTGAGGGATGACGCCCGCCAGTGCTCGCTGCCTGCAAGTTCTGCTGTTTGGTAGCTTCCTCCACCAGCTTGAAGACATTGGTAATGTCCTCAAGGTCGCCGTCGAGATCATTCATTAGTTCGTCTTGTTGCGTCAACTCATCCCTCTCTGTCATGACAACCTGAAGCTCCTGCTCCCAGATCTTCGTCCAGATGGGCTTTTCACGCTTGACAAAATCTTTGACTTTGCTCAACTGTTTGGCCGTCGTGCTGATCTCTTTGCTGATGTCCTCTAGTTGACGTGGCAATGGCCTGACTCCTCTCATTACAACATCCTTGCGGAGCTCTTCGACAATGTCGGATAGATCGTCTACACGGTTGACTAGCGCCTCCGAGTCACCCGAGAGGACCTTCTTACCCTCGTTGATATGGACACGTCCGGCATCGCCTTGGTATGCTGCGTTGGCTGCCTCGACTGCAACTGCTTTAACATTGGTCGCCTTGACTTTGATGTCGCTCATTGCTGCAGTGAAATCTGACGACATGGTAGAGTATGTCTGCCGTAGGACGGCGATCTCGCGCCGCAGGCTCTGAATCTCTTGTAACGAGGCCTCAGATGGTGCGGGAGCGGCGAACTTTCCGGAAGGCAGGGTTGGCGTCCGGGAGGGATGGTGACTGGGTACGGCAGACATGCGAGCCATTTCCTTAGAGGTCTCAAGTTGTCGATCTGAAAACCGCTGCATCATTGTCGTCTGTCCCTCGAGCAAGGACCGTACTCCTTCCAAGCTCTTCTGCACGCCCCCAAGCCCTTCATCAATTTGCTTCTTGACTTCGTCAAGCGCTTCGACATTTAACACCAATACAGATCTATCCTTGACGTCCGAAAGATCTTCCAGTTCATGCCTTACACCAGAAATTGGATCTTGGACATAGATTTCAGGAAGGTCAACTCCGTTGTGTTGCGTGTTCCATGCAAATTTCTCGATGAACGCCAGCTGTAATCTTGGGATGGTCAGCTCTCCGTATCCTTCTGCCAAAACGAACTTCTTGATCTTGCTCTTGTACTGGAGAAACAATGTCAACTCTTTCCCTTGCGGAGGCGACGATTCAACACCGAGCACTTGCGACTGGGGCGGGGTGATGATTTCACGAGTTTGTCGCGAGATAGTGTGGGGAGTGTCGACCGCCTCCGTCTCGATGGACGTCTTACGGTCTGGAAGGCGGGGAGCAGACTGAGAGTCTGCAGATCCTGGGTCTTGGTATTCTTCTGGCGGCGGACCTAGAGGTCCATTGACTGTTGCTCCCACGACCGTGTTTTCGTCACGAGCTGTATCTAGCCGAGGAGGCTGGTGGTATTCCTCCGGGGTTTTTACTGTCGGGCTGTCGATAGCTAGCGATTCATCCGGAGCTTGGATCTGAGGTATCTCCTGCAACGACAACACGGGGGTTTCTTCCCTCTCCTCGGAGATTCGTTGAGGGGCTCGGACAGTACCACTCCCGCCCGGTGATATGTCTCCTTGGCGTCCAGACCTCGCTCTTGACTGTTGGTAGGAACTCCGAGATCGCACGGCAGTCAAAGATTCTCGGAACTCTTTTCCCCTGTTCGGTATTGGCGAGTGCTGAGTGGCAGGGATCACAGGGACGCCATTTGGCGAGGCGCCAAGGTGCTTTTGTATTTGGTATGCGGAAAACCTTCGGGATGCCCGTCTTTCTAAATCTCCTCCACGCTGGAGCCTCGTGAAAGCGTCTGTTTGCTTTGGGGGTGGAGGTGGAGGATGTGGGAAATTGATGGCAGGGCCTGTGGTGGCCTGGGCTGCAGTATAGTAGGGCAGTGCCGCAGAAGCGGCTTGTGGTGGGTTTGAAGGCGTGTCTGGAGCCGATTCAGACTGCGGGCCTCGAGAAGCACCATCCCGCTGTAGTAGTTGTCGATTTGCCAGAGGCTGATTTGCTGCTGGCACGGCTGAAACGCTTGTGGAGGTGTACGCGGGCTGCGTAGCAGGCAGGTTGTCTTGCGGCGTGGGCCCTCGCGAACCTGAAGCGGCACTGGGCACATCCTGAAGCATATGTGTCAAGCCCGACTCATTGCTGCCAGTCGTGGACACGCTCGGTTGTCTTCCCGAGGCAGCCGGTGGCCTCCCTTGAGACGGGGCACCAGGGTCCTTCGATGCTCGCCCACGTAGTCTGCTTTGCTTCCTCTTGAGACCATGTAGGAGGTTGATGATGATATCACGAATTCGGGGGAGGTAGTTATCGAGAGCTTGTGGCGAGGCAGGCTGACTGAGAGTATCCTCGAGGATGTTCCGCAGAAGATCAGGGACGGGACCCAGGTCGGAGGTTTCAACGCCTATTGAGTTGAAAGCACGACACGCAAGATTGAATTCATACCCCAGGCGGACATAGACATCCGACACCTCCTCTTCCTGTGCCTGCCCACGGGACCATTGTGTCAACGTCTCCAGCAACTGTTTAGTGGCCACTAGTAGATGGGTGACGCTCTTTTCGATCTGGGATATTTGTTTGTCGGGCTACACATAGCTTTAGTCAAGAGCGAGCGACTGCAAAAGGATGGGTCGGTACGAACATTCGCGCTCCTTTGAGAGCGCCCTGAGCCAGATGAAGACCTCACTTGAGATCCCAGTTCCGATGGAGGAGGATTCATCGTGGGAGGAGGAGAGCGCACGGGGTCCCGTTGGAGGTGCGGCGGGTGCTGGGTTGGTGATGTGAATGGAGACGCCGATGCGGATGCGGATGCGGATGCAGATGCTGATTGCTGCATCATCGGACGAGCGTTAGCCACGAGCAGGGTCCAGAGACATCGTCGGTGAAGCGATTGGGATGGTCGCTCGCCCTGCTCGAGAAGTCTATCTGGAAGAAAAGGCCAGGCGCGTGATACGTGACGGAGATGCTGGCCAGGAGAAATGTTGGAGAGACGGTACTCGTACATTCACCCCGACCACGTGCCAAGGATGCCTGCACCTGTGGCGGCGACTACTAGGATACTACTATTTAGTTGAAAGTCATCAGGACAACTCGAACTTGAATCTCCCTCAGGGGTCCCTTCTCTTCTTCTACAAGATACAAGAAAAGCCTGGTTGACTTCTTATCATCGTCGAGCTCCTCCCCGCATACAACCGTCCCCTTGTTCGCCCTGGCGTGAGCCACAATAACCAGATCGTCAGGTTTCCGAAGCGGCGCACTTGACATCGGGGAGCCAGGCAAGAGGGCGAATCGAAACCCTGCCTCCACAGTGGTTTCACGTTTGTTTTCTCGTTGTTCTTGCACGTCTCAACGCTGGTAGTGTATCCAATTCGCCAAGTTGCAGAATGCTGCCTCGTTGTCATCCCGTGCTTTAGCCCGCCTTGCCACTATACAATGTGTTCTACATGTATATTGCTCAAGCTGATGTCCTCCAATGCCGAGACAACTACCCATCTGGGCAGTAAGATATACGCCGGGCGCCGATGCTTATACTAATCCAGTGTTTACCTCCGAATGATTCGCCATTACAGAGACTGGTCAACTTCAGCCAAAGACCAAGACCAGTGTCGTCTCAGCTCGGCGGTCCGGAAAGATTTTCGTATTCGGCCAGTTTTTGCTGGATGAGGTCGAGTGCGTTCTTCAGGACCCTCTGTTTGTCGTCCCGGACGTCCACTTGCAAGACGTCCCATTCCATTTCTTCCTCGGGTTCTTCCAGGGCTGCCATTTGACTGTGGACCATGCTCTCCTTCATATAGTGGCCCTCGCGCTCGGCCACGCGCTTCTGCAGGGTGCTTTCGTCGACTTTGAGGTAGAGGAAATGCACTTGCACCGAAGGATGTTCGTAGTTCGCAACGCGAATGACATCTCGATATTTGCGCTTCAGGGCGGAACAAGTGACCAGGACGGAGTTTGAGGTTTGAAGTCGCTTGATGGCTTCTTCTCTTAAAGTGATAAGCCAGTCCCAACGGTCTGCGTCGGCAAGTGGGATGCCAGAAGCCATCTTCTGCTTATTGGCTGCTGAGTGGAACTGAGATCTTGCATTAGCGCAGGCTGGAAACAAGCGCAGGTGAAGACCTACATCATCGCCCTCCACATACGGCCACGACAATTCTTTGGCGAGATACTGGGCAACAGTGGTCTTTCCACATCCTGCGGGCCCTGTGATGATCCAGATATGCTCAACGTGGTGAGGTTCCGACTGCATGTTGCGCGCAGAGGTAGTATAGTTCGAAGAGAATGGGCGCGCTAGGTGCTGAAGAGGACGAAGTCGTGGATTTCGTTCTGCAGACAACATGATCGCCAGTGTCAGAAAAGACGGTAAGTAATGACAGGAATAAGAACAGCCGCAGCAAGCACACGAGCACAAAGAAGACACGAGCAGGGCTGCAGGGGGCGTGAAAACTGGTGGCTACAGAAAAGCGAGGATAGCTACATACCAAGAGGGATCTGGGCCAGAGATATAAAACATCGACCACTGCCTTGGATCACCGCCGGAAGGGACCGAAAAAGGCGACAGTGAACTCAGCCTGAATCGAAGACTGCGAGGCCAGGGTGACAGTTGCCCGCTACCCCACACTGCTAGAGCATGCCAGCCAACGCCGGGCAAGCCGCAGAATTGGGTGATGCGCATGGCATCTCCGGTCGATGGAATGGGGGCTTTTTGTGGGTGAAACCCCAGGACGAATCAGCCCTAGTCAGGCACCGAAGTTTGCAGCCAGGAAAGGAAGAAGCACCAGTGATACGTGGTGTGGTATGGAGGATGGCAGATGGCGGTCAAGCGGCGCTGGGCAAGTAACAAGTGGCAGCGCAGTTTGACATCATCGGCCGAGTCACGGGCCCAGGAGCCCCAGAGAGCCTGATGATTTATCCGTGCACCTCAGCAATATAACTTCCGACAGCGCTATGATCGCCTAACATATATCTCTCCCTTCATATAGTATTTCCGGCCGCCATGTGTACTCCGTATAGCATTCGGGCAGCATTGCAGCGGTCGGCAAAGTGATCCATTAGTATCAGCGGTGTACGAATGTGATTGGCTCCTGTCATTAGCCGACGAACAGAGCCAGATGCCAGATGCCAGATGCTGCCCGGCATGGAATAGGTAGGACAAGGCTTGTAACCATGATGATCAAACAACGATCAAGAAACATCGTGGTTGCAGCCTCATCGGACATGCATCCGGTAGCTTCAAATCGCGTGTGACGGGTTTGCGTAGGCGTCGTGGAGCCACTGCAGTGGTTTACTTGGAGTGGCGGTGTCGGAGGCCTGCCGCACAACAGCGTTCACATCTTCCGGGCAAGGGAATTGCTCCTGCATCATACTCCCGCAGCGGTGCTCACTGTTGATTGTATGCGTCAATTCGATACCATTTCACGGGCCTGTAGTCGCACTGCTGGTGTGCTTCAAGTTCATGGTGTTGAGGAGGAGGCTTGGCAGTAAGCAACGCAACGCAACGCAGCTGCGCGGTGTACGGAGTACAGTATTATTACTTACTACGGAGTACGGAGCAGCCTGCAGCGCAACCCAAACCACCACCAGGTGCCGTCGTTGTATCTTCCCAGTGTTGTAGCTTCGTCTCAAGATCTTTTCTATCCTGTGTGTTCTATTCATTCGCAATAACGAGAAGAGAGATTACCGTCCAGCTCCTCGTTCCGCCGTCCCCGTCATGTCTTCCTTCTTCTTCTCAAGCCCCCTCGACATCGACATCGTGCTCGACGAAGCGGATGAACGGCAGATGGTCGATGTCAAGCTCGACAAGAACAGACGCGAAAAGGCCCCTCTATATCTCGACGGCGAGTCGGTAAAAGGTGCAGTCACCATCAGACCCAAGGATGGTAAACGGTTAGAACATACAGGGATCAAAGTGCAGTTCATCGGATTGATTGGTAGGCATACTCTGTGTATTGGTGCCTGACATGCGAGTTGACGGGTGCATTGCAGAAATGTTCTTCGATCGTGGAAATCATTACGAGTTTCTGTCTCTTGGACAAGAGCTTGCCGCGCCTGGCGAGCTACAACACCCGCAGACCTTCCCCTTCAACTTCAAGAATGTCGAGAAGCAGTACGAATCCTACAATGGCATCAATGTCAAGTTACGCTATTTCATCCGAGTCACCGTTTCACGAAGGATGGCCGATGTGATACGCGAGAAAGATATCTGGGTTTATTCATACCGCATCCCCCCCGAGACCAACAGTTCAATCAAGATGGACGTTGGTATCGAGGACTGCCTCCATATCGAGTTCGAATACTCGAAGAGCAAATACCATCTCAAGGACGTCATTGTCGGCAGAATATATTTCTTGCTTGTCAGACTGAAAATCAAACACATGGAATTGTCCATCATTCGGAGAGAGACAACAGGTGTTGCACCTAATCAATACAACGAGAGCGAGACTCTAGTTAGATTCGAGGTTTGTCGTCCGTCCCTGATGGAGATATGGCTACTGACTGCCCTAGATCATGGATGGCTCTCCCTCACGAGGTACGTTTACCATTTCAAGGACGAGTCTCCGGACTGCATACTGACCGACTACAGGCGAAACGATTCCGATCCGTCTCTTCCTCGGAGGCTTCGACTTGACACCCACCTTTCGAGAAGTGAACAAGAAATATTCCGTGCGATACTACCTCAGCCTCGTGTTGATTGATGAAGGTCCGTTGAATCTACATCTCCCCATTCCCGACTCGTATACTCGACGGCTGGATGGAAACCCGTCGGCAATTGGAGTGTCCCCGCCACCCTTGGGATCTAGGCTGTAGTCGCAGACGATAGGGTTTCCCTTCCCCTACCTACCCGCCCTCGCCAAAACCTGGGTATGGTCTATCTGCTAACGTCCTATCGCACGCAGATGCCCGCCGATACTTCAAGCAATCTGAAATCGTGCTGTATCGTCAAGCACCCGAACTGCCCCCAACGCTGTCGACCGATAGTCCGAGTGTCGGCGGAAAACCACCTGTCCAGCCGCTGCTGACTCCTGCTTAAGTCATCGGCATTTTTCATACCTACCCGTTGAACAGCGATTGTGGGGATCTGCCGCTTCGACCTGGCGCTGCAGCTCTCTCGATCAGGAAATTCTGGCCGCAACCACAGACGAAGGACGATCACCGGCAACTCTTGGCCCCTCTGGCATAATGGTATACCTCGCCGATTCATCCTCGCCGATTCATCCTCGCCCACAACATCAACGTCCCATCCCGGTCTCATCGCACCAAGCGGCAATTCCGTCTCCGCGATAAAGTGACCAGACCTATGACTTGGTTTCGCCAGTAGGAAGCCTCATGGCGAATAGCATGCATCGATTCAATGAGAGACGTCTCGTGGAGCCGTCCCCTCTACTACCAGGCTAACGGTGTTACCGGTGGGAACTGCTGAACGGGGTGATTCCATACACCGAGACAGCTACCGTATAGCCCGTCGACGAAGTTATGGCAAGTTTTGTCACTATTCGATCCGTGGGTCGTCACTCTGGTCAGGCTATGTGCTATGTGGCCGTCATGTGTCACGTTCCAGAGGCAAACCTGTGCCTGACTTCCAAGGTCCTTTAATCATAAAGCTCATTTTCTAATTCAGAGATATTCAAATCCCCAGCCTTCTCCGAGGACCGTATTCCACCGTTCCAATGCATCTTCAATGCCTCTCCCAGGCTCATCGGCTTGCCAGGCATGCCCTCCTTTTAATCTAGGCAAATCACGCCAAAACTTCTGCACGCGAAGGATGAACGGATAGAGGATGCGAAGGTGTTCTTTCCCGTCTCTGAGAAAGACGGGAGCGCTGCGGCTGTTTCCATTCTTCCCCTGGCCGCTGCGTCGCACCGAGGAGACTAGACTTTCAAATGCCTCCCCATCGCTACGCAGGTCCACGAATTTGGAGAGCACGGTTTGTAGCTCGACCTGTTGCGGCATTGGTGGCGGAGTCAGCCCACGTAGTCGCTGATCGGCAAGGAAGACCTTCAGAGGATGTACCACCCGCAGACTCAGGTAGGGGCAAGCAGCATATGCCAGTTTGTGCCCACCCACCCTCGCAGCTTCGTCGTTCTTGCCTGCCAGCTGCGGCAGCCGCACAAGGTCGAACAATGCATCCAGTGCCGTGTAGCATACTCGTCTTCTGACAACAAATATAGGCTGACGGACGCTGCCAGGCCTCACTTCCGTCAGTGCTTTCAACGGGTCGTGAGCAAGGTCGTCGGGAACGTCGCCAAACCAGGGTGCCGTAAGCAGTGATGCATTGAACAAAGTAATTGCGTATTGCTTGCAACTGTCCCTATTTATCTCCTCGGTTTGAAAGATCGGAACCACCGCATTGTGCGCCAGTTGGAAGTGTTCAATGTCAAAGGTCTCATCTCCCGGGAGGGTCTCCTCGGGTTGCTTGGTTGGCGGATTCGATAGGCCACCACACGCGAGAATACTGGAAACGGTGAGAATGACATATTTCCCTAAGGAATGGAGATGGGGAAGATCTCGCGTCGTGCCGTGCACGTCGATATGGGTCCGCAACGCTTCCAGCATGACCACCGCTGTGACAGTTGCATTTCGCCAGAGTGGCGTCTGCTGGTTGGCGGGGATCCCGGTATACTTGGTATTGATGATGGCGCTGAGGACATGGAGGGATTGTTCCACTGCCAGAACTTGTATGAAAATTTCACTGTTTGCATGCTCCAGGACCAGGGCTCGCAAGCCGTCTAGACACGCTGATGCGAATGCAATGAAGGTAGGTCTCTGGACGGATTTGCTCATGGCGGACTTCTTTGGCTGGTAACTGACGTATCCGTCCTGGATACCCAAAGTGAGTTCCAGCAGTTGAATATGATATCGCGCATAGTCTGCCACTCTGCCAGATAGTAGAGCTTTCAATATCGACAGACACTCAAGCGCCTCCTTCTGCTCCGGCGAGAGGCCTTTCACATCACTAGTGTAAGGAGGGTGGGTACTAAAGATGACCGCGCGCTCGGTCGAGTCCATCAAAATAGACGCCATTCCACGGCCATTGAGTTGATAACCCATCACTGCTGCAGAATTTGCCTTATGTGCCTCAGATAGAGTATGTAAGTATGCGGTAAAGGCAGATTGATTTGGACCCTCCTCCGCTGCAATTGCGCCAGAGTTGGAACTCCGCTTGCTTTCGGCCGGGTGATATGTTGCCCAAAGGTGCATTGCAGGTAGAATGAAGTCTGAATTACCCTTGCCCACAGCTGCCAGCGACGATAGGAGCGTCGACAAATTGGTAAAGACCAGGGACGACGCATTGAGAGACAGAGTGTCAAGGAGCCCCTTGAAGACCTCCATGATAAAGCGCCACGTGTTCTTGAAGTCATCGTGCTCAGCAATCACGTCTAAATTCTGGGTGACAAGCTGGATGACACCATCAGTCAACTGTGTAGCAGACGCCAGCCATTCTGACTGTGCATCGCCACTGGAATTAAAGTCCTCAACGCAAGCTTGTATGACATTAAATGGTCCCGCAACGAGAGTCATCGACCATGCTTTGGAGCTGAGACTTTCACCTGACGCCTCAAGCATTTTGAGGAGAATTTTGATGGCTGCATTTCGGATATCAGGGCGGCCATCTTTGCACAACTGAACCAGCTGGACCAATATGACACTCCAGAGGACAGAGGGTGCCGGCGGCCCACCGCTTGAATCCAAGCTTTGTGACACCATATCCAGAGAAGGAGCAACTGTCAGGTCGATTCTTTCAATGGTGGTTAGGACCTGTGAGGCCAGGCTCCATAAGAGAGTCGTACTTGTGAGAGCCACGTTTAGATCGTAAGGCTGGGAGCCGAATTCTCGAAGTAGGTCGGCCAGACTTATGAGTGACCTGGGGCTGAGGACGCTCAAAAAGTCGGAGATGATCAGTTGTACCGACCGAAAAGCAACCCTTAAGATTTGTGCATTTTCCTCGAGGTTTTCTGCTTGACGGGTTGGAGCATCGCTATCCGTTTCACGTTCGTCCATGTTCAAGAAAGTCATGGACAAAATCTTGAATACCATCGGCCAGCCATTGCCCAGGGTTTCCCCACTGTAACTCAACATGCTTTCCAAGGCCTCGAGAGCTCTCTTGTGAATCTCCAACTCTATGCTTCCATGCTTGCCACTTTGGGCTACATACAAGAGCTCCAGTTGATCGAGTAAAGACTGGAGGCAGCGAGACCGGATTTTGTCCGCATCCTCGGCTTCAAAATTGGGTTCGTCGAGGAGTTTGACCGCTTCCATAGATATGAGATCGAGTACGCTGGCCGCGTGCACCCGATGGCTGCCAACAATGTCACTGTCGCGCGAAATTTCCAGCAGTCGCCTCCCGATGAGGTCCCACGAGCAGGAGATTTCTGACGTGGATGCAAAGCGGTGGATGTTGACACGAGAAAGCTCGCTGATTTTGCCAAGAACGAAACCAATCTCGAGATCTAACGTTTTTGACTTGGTCCACAATCCCGATACGCTGCGGGAGGTGTGATGTCTTCCAAGCCCGGGTCTTGAGGGAGATAGAGTGGAAGAAAGTGTCCCCTCCAATGGCATTTCGCTATCGCCTGAAGCCACTTGGCCGAGGAGGCGAAACAACGCCCTCACGGCCACAGCAAAAGATTCTCCAGTGTAGCCTCGTGTACTCTCCAGCATCCTTTTCGTCGCCGCTTGCACCGCAAATATCTCGTTGGCAAGTGTAGTCTGACCATCCTTGCCGGACAGCCCAGCTCGAGTATTGCTGGATTGAGAACTCGCTGCCAACGTAGTGGGCAAAGAGATCAGAGCTTCTACCGTCTGCATTGTTTCAATGAGAATGAACCAAGAGTCCTGCTCCATGGTAGGCCCAAGTGCAATGCCCAGGTTTAGTAACGCTCGAAGGCAAAGGAGGTGTCGCACGTTCAGAGGTGAAGAAACGGGTTGGAAAGTTGGAGTCTGGGGTGGTTCGCTAGGAGATCTCATGCCTTCGTTCGCACTGTCAGCTTCTTGGTCCATGGCTCGAGTGGCAGTGGAGTTCTGATGGGCTGATATCACGCTGCTTGCATTGGCGGGAAGGGAGGCTTTTGCTAAAGTAGTGAGCAAGGCGTCTCTGGGGGTGGAGAGCTCCAGTACTCCAGACACTTGAGCCAACTTCTGAACGGATCGGACGAGAAGATGATAAAATTCAGTGTCCAGGGCCGCATTTAGAAAGGTGGAGCAGGTTGCAAGAGCAGCCGGCCAGCAAGCATCGATCATGGCGGCGCAAATCCGAACTTGAGGTAACTGAGGATGGTTGATCATGGTCAAGGGGTTGAAGAGACGTTGATACTTTTGACCGGAAGTAGATGACCGATTAGGCCTCCGAGTCGTATCATCGTCCGCCGGATCTGTTGCGGAGCTGTCTCGTTGGGCGGAGTCTTGCGATCGTCGCTGTGTCGGCCGACTCGGAACACTCAGTGGCATGACAAACTTGGAGAGGCCATCGCAGAAAGATGAGATGCAGTCCAGCACCAAAGCGTAGATGTAAGTGCTGGGTACTGTCGGAGCGGCATGTCTGTCGGGTTGCTCGATCAAGGGGGCGTCCACAACACTCCACTCCATGCTGATGCCGATCGTGCTCGTTTCTCCGACAGACACTGATGTTATCGCACCACCAAGACCCTGAGCTTCAATGGATGCTACATCCTCACTTTTGATCTCGTTGGCTCTTTGCACGGGAATCGTAGATTGGCGTCCAAGGCCGATTAGGGATGGATCCTCTGCTGCGATACGGACGAATGCCGACATCATCTGCCCGACCAGTTTCCCCGACTCTCTAGGGGTGTCAAATAACTCGAAGACGTTCCTCAGAACCGTAAAGTTGGAACATATCTTCTGGAAGAATTCCAGGCACAGTGCTCGCCTCCATGTCGGATTTCCCTCCTTTTCCAGCGCGGACAATATCAATGGAATCGTTTGGGAGAGCAGATCTCTCAATACTTCTGGATATCCCTGCACAAGCAGAACCAGTATGGACCAGGCACGCACCACGATACCAAAGGCGTCTTTCTTGGCCAGAATGCGTGACAATCCGCTCACCAGATGCTCCCAACAATCCGGGTACTGCTGGGCATGCCACGTTAAGAATGACCTGTGCGTGGGCAACAGCAGCTGCACAGTCTCGAGGAGGAAACCAGGTGGAAGGCTTTCTATCCTCAGAAATTCCGGGCGTTGCTGATCTAAAAGCATGCAAAAATCATGGAAGAGTCGGTTCGCGTCGTTCGTCGGAGTCCCCACCGACGTCTCCCGTTCCTCGGGCGCCTTTGTCTCGTCATCGGTCGAAGTGCGAGGCTCCTCAGTCTTATCTGCCTGCTCAAAGACAGTAGAGACCAGCTGGTTGAAGGTTGCCGCAGCTGTGTTACTCACTATGGCAGTCTTACTTGATTGAAGCACGGCGCAGATCTCTAGCGTCCTTGCAAGGAGTTCGCCGTGCAGATCACTGGCATAGAATTGAAGTAGCGACGGCAAGGTTTGGAGTATCTTCAATTGTGGTTCATATCCTGAGGCCACTCCCTCGCGGAAGGCATCGAGCACGTCAGGAAGTCTGGCGCGGGCAACGGCCGTGCTCGCGGTCAAGCGTTGTAAACATATGGTACCGATGCTTGCCAATTTGACATTTTTGGATTTGCAGGCTAGGACAAAGGGATCAATGAACTGAGGCCGTCTGAGAAGATCGCCGGCCAATTGTGCTTCGGACGTCACGGTGATTGCCTTGAGGTCGGCGAGCGACCGTTCAGCTGCGGTGCGGACCTCATGATGCCGTCGCTTGGAATCTGATATGAGGCTAGTCAATTCAGACTGTAGAAAGGCCTGGGTCATGCCTGCGACTACACCTCATCATAAGGGAACGACCATGGGTTTGAAGACAATAGAAGAAAATCCACAATGGATACAATGGAGTTCAAGCGCGTCGTGGGCACGAAGGCGTACAGATCTGGTTCGTTTGGAAAGAGTGTCCTTACAGAGTACTAGCAAGGCTTATTAGTCCTAATTCCGATGACAGTCAACGCCAAGGCTGTCAACCGTGACGTGACGAGGCTGCGGCTGCAGACTACCTTAGTACCTAGTAGGTAGTACTACGTACTGCTAGCAAGGCCCGACTTGAACTTCCCTCTGTTTGCCCCTCACGATTTCTCAAGCACAGCATCTTCGCCCAAACCAGCTTCTCGGCCCCCATATTCACTCCTGCTGCATTTGTCTAGGCTTTTCATTGCCTGTCTCACAAGATGGGCGCCAAAGTGCCTCGAAACTTCCGGCTGCTGGAAGAGTTGGAGAAGGGCGAGAAAGGTCTAGGTGCAGGTTGGTGTGCTGCGCTGCTCTTGACCAGACCAAGAACTGACTTCTCTGTGCAGAAGCATGTTCATACGGCCTAGCAGATAGCGACGACCTAATGATGACAAACTGGAACGGCACCATCCTCGGGCCTCCCCACGTGCGTTGCCGAACGAGCCTTCTAGGTGGATTTAAAACATGGCTGACTCTGTTCTGCACAGAGTGCCCACGAGAACCGTATCTACAGCGTCAACATCCACTGTGATTCCAACTACCCTGATCAGCCTCCCACCATCCAATTCGTGTCGAGAATAAACCTGCCTTGTGTGGATAAAAAAACAGGGAAGGTGAGGAACACCTTAGAATGTCCATGCGCCTACTGATGTTGGGGGTACTAGGTTGATCCGTCAAAACTCCCTTGTCTGGCGCACTGGAAGCGTGACTATACAATGGAAACCATCTTGATTGAACTGAGAAGGTATGTTTCCAGATCCATGTGGATATCAAGGCTAAGCCATTCTTTCAGGTACATGGCACTGCCTCAACACAAGAAACTGCCGCAACCTCCAGAAGGTACAACTTTCTAGATCAAAGTTTTTGGGAGCATGAAATCATGGCGTTGGGGTTCTGCCATCCTGCAACATAGCGGTGATTGATGAGGTCTTGACGATGCATATCAGGCGTCAGAATCGGTTAACGCAATATCCTTTTGCAACACGCTGCAAGGTCATTAGTATCAGGTAGCGCCAGAGAAATCTCATTGAAAAGAGAGCCCTTCCCAAGTTACTTTGACGGGTAAATCCATCAGTCCAAACAGAAAGCTGGTCGCTCACGCATCTGTGGCACAGCACGTGACCCGACCTTGACCTCGGTTTGCCTGCCTAACGGGGATGTTGCGGACTACGATCTTATACATGAAATGTCTTCAGAGAAATTTGGCGCTTCTCCATCTAGATGCATTCTGCCAAAGAAATGTGCGGATGCCCCGTAGTATTGTCCCGCATAAGTCGGGATTGCATAGATCAACATGTAGGATGATATCCCAACTCCTCCACCGCCACTGCTAACGTGACTCAGGTTTGTCTCTATACCGAGCGCTCCTTCGAGAATGCGGGCGGCTGCCCACGACAGCACGATGCCATGACCCCAACAGCCCAGCCAGGATATTCCAGTCGCTAGTGCGATACCGGTTTGAAAAGGACAGGGCCATCCTGTCCCCGACGCAGATATGCCATGGCATCGAAGCTGGCAGTAGATTTCTCGACCTTCTGCGCTCTTGTAACGATAACTCGACCGAGGCGCTCACTCGTTTATGCCAGATCGTCGAGTCGGTCACGTTAGAAGCGGAACACACAGCGCTATTCCGCAAGAAACTCGCCTCGTTTTGGAAGCCACCGCCTCCCCACCGGGCAAAATATCTTGAGAACATCAAAAAGATCAAAGACAAGGCCAACCAAACGTCGACGCCCTCGCACCCCCGCATCTTCGAACACCCACGGCCTTTGTCCGAAGTCAAAGCGGGAGTTCGCAAGGTCCCAAACCTCATCGTCACGCAGGGGATACCTGTGCTGAAATACCCCGGTCCACAGCCTGTGCTGCTCAACCGAGTGATCAAGCAGCGGACCAAATGGGGCGTCAAGATGTTTCAGCAACACAAGACAATGGAAAATGGCGCGCACCTCGCCCACCATGAAGATGACTGGGACGCAATACTGTACCGCCATCATAAAATCTCATATCCGGAGGACAGGACGCCTAGTGGTGGCACTACAGGTGTTGACCGTCCCTCCACCGCAGCGCCAGGCGGAACTTGGGCGTCGACGTTTCGCCAAGTCGACCAAGAGCTGGAGCAAAAAGTCCAAGAGCGTGGAAGGAAGAACGCCGAGCTTGGAAGAAGACTATGGCAGATCGTGCTCGACGAAAGGGAGCTCAAGGAGAAGGAGAGGAAGGAAGCTAAGCATCAACGTCGCATGGCGAGGAAAAGTGCTGCGGCCGGGCTGCCGACCATCAATCCAGACGGCCCCGGGAATGATGAATCAAGCACGACATATGTCAGGTAGGCAGAGGCTTGTAGCTGCTGTGCTGTCCGAAGCTCGACTGGCTATTCACATTGCAAGCTAGTCTGGGTGGTTGTATAAAAGGCTGTAATATCAGAAAAACTACGATACCGTCTAGCGTCAATTCAATCTCCGTGATTTCAAGATCCTTAGCCTCTCCATGCTCTCCCTGACTCCCCAACCGGTTTTTAGCAAGTCTGCCACCTCCTCTAACCCTAGGCCCATGGTCTCAGGATAGATGTGGTAGATGACGACCCAGCCTGCGACGCAGACGGCGGCATAACAGGCAAAGGTCCATTTGGGAGTAAGCAGCTCCATCATTGGGAGGAAGGTCAGTCCAACGATGGTATTGCAGCCCCAGTTTGTGGCAGTGGCTATACTAGATCCCAGAGATCTCACACTGAGGGGGAATAGTTCGGACTGTTGCCACGGGACTGGACCGAGGCCAACTGCATACGTCGACACGTAGAGAAGCAGTGCACACAAGATTCCCACGGCGGGAAGCCGCGAATCTGCGGGCAACTCGGTTTTGCTGGTCGGGGCGTCTAATTGATCCTCCGACGCCTTGGGAACATACGAAAATGCCACGGCGCACAACAGCAAAGACACCACCATGATCGGAATGGTTCTCAACAAGATGCGTCGTCGTCCAATGCGGTCGATGAGACTGAAGGCGGCCAGCGTGAACAAGAAGTTTGATCCAGCAACACTGAGTGCGATCAAAGTTGGCGAGGAGAAGTGAAGCCTCTGAAAGATGGTTGCCGAGAAGTACATCAGGCTGTTAAATCCGCAAAGTTGCTGGAGGCCCTGCAAGGTGCATGTGATCATGAGAGCTCGTGCGTGGGGAGGATGGAAAAGAAGAGAGTGTAGAACAGGCGGCATGAGAGCCGATCGAGATTCAGAGCTTTTGAGCTGCACGTGAGCCTCCTCCTCGGCGAGGAGTTCCTTTCTGATTGCCAAAATGATGTCTTCGACAATGCCGGTCGTGTCGGGCACCATTCCCCGGTAGACTTTTGACAGTACAGCCCTTGCTTCAGCTTCTTTTTGGACCCGGGCTAAATATCGTGGCGTCTCAGGCATGAGTGTCAACATCACAAGCTGTGCGATGGCTGGAACTGCACCAAGCCCGACCATCCACCGCCACCCACCTCTGGTGCCGGAGAAAGCCCATCCGACTACATAGGCAATGACCTGCCCGCCGGTGATGAACAGCAGCGACACTGTGACAAGCCTGCCTCTCAGATGCCCAGGCGCAAGCTCAGATATGTAGAGAGGCACGATCATGCTCGCTCCTCCGATTGCAAGTCCGACTATGCTTCGACCCAGTATCATGCCCCACACCGAACTTGTAAAGGCCTGCCACAACGCACCCAATGTGAAAAGACCGTCTGCAAAGAGGATCACATGCTTCCTTCCCACTCTATCAGCCAAGACACCTGAGATTGGGCTTGCAACGAGGGCAAAGAAGCTCGTACAGGAGGTGATCAGGCCTTTGTCGAGGTTCGTCAATTCCCGGGAGGACAAGTCGGTGCCGATGGAAACCAGTGTGCCGCTGATAACGCCCGTATCATACCCGAAGAGCAAGCCAGAAACACAAGCAGAAATGGTCAATACCCAAGTGAAAGCATTTCCGGATGAACTCAGAAGGAGGGAAGATGCATGGCGGTTGTCTGCTTCGTGGTCACCGATGAGTGGTACGTCCGGAGCAGTATCGTCATGGGTAGGCTCCATTTCTAGCGAGTGTGGTGTAATAGTAGCATTAGACAACATGCGTTCAAGAAGGTCCACCTCCTCAGATACAGTGAGAAGAGGCTTCGCCAGACACGTCCACATAGAAGCGTGATGAGTGTGGTCGTGTGAGCCACGTTACGAGGTGAGCCAGTCTGGCATACTAGAGGTACGACGCGTACTAACGGTGGTTAGAGACTTGGCATTGTGTAGTGCTAGCTGAACAGACCTTAGCGTGCTGCTATACGCAGTATCCGTACTATTATGAAAAGTCCTTCGTAATCCTAAGCTCGAGCAAGGGATCTATACAGAGCGACACCTTCTTTCCAGAGTAGTACTAAAGAGCATACCTCTATTGTGTCGCGTGGTCTTCCAAGCTTAGACTGTTGTACAAAGATATAGAGACCTGGAGTGTGCGCAGCGAGGCGTGTCGCCCACGACCCAACATGCACGTGATTTCGACTTAGCGAGCCGGTTCCTGATCGGCTTTCCGGAACGAGACCGGCCACTTGCATGTGGAAACGGCAAAGGCTCGGCTAACAATCCCAATGAACAGTCTCGATCTTGGGGGTTGCGTCAAGCGTAAGAACTTGGGTAGCAGGTTGACCCGGGCATACCGATATTGCTAGGCCAGGGTCAGCAATGCCTACGTTTGATTGAAAGAGTCTTTGATAGTTGGTATTGGTAGACCTTATACCAAGTGTATGCACGCTGAGAGATCTGTGGAAGGGGAACAGGCTTGGGCGCATTGACTAGAGGTATGGACAGTTGGTCTTGGAGTCAAGATATAATTAGTGCATCTCAGCCTGATGCAAACAACATAGCAAGCTATCATACCAGGCAGTTTTTCGACTTGACCGGATCAAGTAGGCAGCACGAGTCACAGCAACAGTAGGGATACCATCTCCAAACGCACCCCAGTAGACGATCAGCACCAGCGATAACTTTCCTTTGCTTGGGGGGTTAGATCGATCCTTGGAATTGTCCTGTTTCCACCCTCCGCCAGGCGACCTTCACAACATGCTCTAAGATGACATACGCAGCCTTGAATCTGCGCGGTAACGCCGCTTCTGCAGGGTGTGGCGATGGCCTGACACACGCCCGGTGCGATGACCATAACGCCACTGAATGAACCTCGTGGTAATCATGGGAGCCAGGTCGCAGTGTCTAAGCCGAGGTCGAAGCTCTTTGCATACAACATATCACGGAGGAAGTGGCTCGATTCAGCTTAGGTAGGCGGAGCATAGGAATGAAGACTTTACACCATGGGGATGGCCCATCTCTGGAGGTGGCAAGGCGGAGTTGGTGATATCTTAAGGGATTTGTGTGTGGAGGAGCACGTACAGTAACAGTACAGTCACAGCTTGAGGGCTGTCAAAGGGTGAGGAACGCAGGTTGGAGTTTACGCACGAAGAGACGTCCAAGGGTAACCAAGCTAACCATAAACAGTATGGTGCCGCCAGAAATACCGAGGCAACTCAGGCTTGCAGGCGTCACGCTGAATGTCCGTCAAGAGTCGTCAGAGTCGGACTGCGACACCGGCCTGCTGTCGTAATTGTTATTTAATATTAAATGCTCTACCCCGTCCTCTTCCCCGTCAAAGAAGTGTCCTAGACACTCAAAACCCCCGACCTCGTCATTCCAATCCCGTCCCAATATCACCATCCATCGCCATGCCTTCCAATCCCGACTGGGTCAAGGCCTTGAAGCCTTCTGGACCCCAGGGCTCAGAACTCCTCGCACAGGAGAGAGCAAAGTCGAGCCTCAACGTCGATCAGCTGGCAGACTTCCTGTTCACGAGGCAGGTTCTGGAGAGAAATGAGAGAATCTTGAAGATCTTACAAGCGGAGCCTGTCTTCGATAAGTCTCAAAACTACTTCCGGGGCCGGGAAGCCAGGATAGAGGCCGCGTTGGCAAGAGGCAAAAGACTACAGCAACTGTCTGTCCAGCACAAATGGTCCAAAGAGGAGTTTCAAACGGCCAACGATCTCGTCAGCGAGCCAACCCCATATGGTCTTCATGCAAGCATGTTCCTCGTCACCCTCCGCGAACAAGGCACGCCGGAACAACATAAACTTTTCCTCGAGAGGGCTGAGGCGTACAAAATAATTGGCTGCTACGCCCAAACTGAACTTGGGCATGGTTCCAACGTCAGAGGACTGGAGACGACGGCGACTTGGAATCCAGAGGACAAGACCTTTACGCTACACTCACCACATCTGACCGCATCCAAATGGTGGATCGGCTCGCTCGGAAAGGCTGCCAATCATGCGGTGGTGATGGCTCAGCTCTTTGTGAACGGCAAGAACTATGGTCCTCACCCTTTTGTCGTCCAAATACGGGATCTGAAGACACACGAACCTCTCCCGAACGTCCACGTCGGCGACATCGGTCCGAAGTTCGGATACAATACCATGGACAATGGGTTTCTCTTGCTCAAGAACGTCAAAGTCCCCCATGTGAACATGCTTGCACGGTTCTCCCGAGTGGATCCAAACACCAACAAATACGTTCGACCGTCGAACCCGTCGCTGATCTACGGTACATTAACCTACATTCGAAGCCACATCGTTCTGCAGTCCGGCTCAGTGCTTGCCCGAGGCGTCACAATTGCCACTCGGTACTGTGCCGTTAGACGGCAATTTCAGGACCGAGACGCTCCGGCCGGCGAGATTGGTGAAAACCAGGTGCTCAATTACACGATGGTGCAAATTCGCCTTCTCCCTCTCCTTGCGGCGACGTACGCGCTGCACTTTACCGGCAAAGGCATGATCAACCTGTATCAAGAAAACCAAAAGCGCATGAACGGCGACGTGGGCAAGCTTGCCGATTCGAACCGGGCCCCAGGCCCCGAAGAACTCAATCCTGGCACCGACCTCCTTGCAGACCTTCACGCTACCAGCTGCGCGCTGAAGGCCTTGGGTTCCACCACCGCTGCTGAAGGGTTGGAGGTCTGTCGTCGGGCTTGTGGAGGACACGGCTACAGTTCCTTCTCCGGCATTGGTAGCTGGTACGCCGACTATCTTCCCACCGTCACCTGGGAAGGGGACAACTACATGTTGACGCAACAAGTCAGTCGGTACCTGCTCAAGTCGGCTCGATCAGTTCTCAAAGGAAACCCGCCCGATAACGACACAACCCGGATCCTCAAGGAATTCATCAGCCGACGCGACATCGGCGCGGCCTTTGACGTGATTGGGAGCGACACCGACCTTGTGGCTGCCTTTGCCTGGCGGGTCTCGTTCCTTACCTTCGAAGCCTTGCGTCATCGCGACGAGGACAAACAGTCCTGGAACTCTCTCCTCGTGGATTTTTGGCGCCTGTCCACGGCGCACGCACAATACATGGTTGTGAAGAACTTCCACGACGCGCTCAACGATCCCAACACCACGCAGCAACTCGACCCCGACACGGTGACGGTCCTGCACAAGCTGTTCCGCCTCTACGCCCTCAACACGCTCGAACAAGAAGCGTCAGAATTCTACTCCAGTGCCGCCGTCACGGTGCGACAAATCACGCTTGCGCGCACCAAGGCTGTCATGAAGCTGCTTGAGGAGATCCGTCCTCACGCGCTTCGCCTGGTCGACGCCTGGAAGTTCCCGGATTGGCAGCTCGACAGTTCTCTCGGTCGTTACGACGGCAAAGTCTACGAGGACATGTTCTACCGCGCGAGCGAGCTGAATCCTCTGAACAGCGTCGTCTTCGACCCATACCCCGACTCCAAGGTGCTTTTCAGGAAGGACGAGCGCGCCAATCTGAGAAGCAAATTGTAACGGTATGGGACATGCATGCGAACGTGTATAGCTCTACAAAAGGGTTGGTTGATACAGGCCGGAGGCAGTCACAGTTAACAATTACAGTCTCAGTCTCAGTCACAGTTAAAGGCACAGGCACAGGTAAAGCAGTTATTGTAAATGCGGTCAACAGCACTGCTTCGCAGACTACGGAGTACACTACATATACATACCTAAAATAGATTGGATTGGCCTGTGGTTCATCGTTCATCGTTCATCACCCTTCATGCTAGACCCCTTACTGTAAGGTAGGTACCTAACCTATACCAGAGCTACTGCAGCACCTGGGTGTGGACTTTCCTCCTCCCGGGACGGTCCGCATGCCAATCGAGCAGTCTTCTGGAAGCGACGAGCAGTTCTATGTTCAGAGTACAGATACAAGTACTAGCATTTGCCTCTATGCCACAACGCCGCGATTCGTCAAAAACACAAAGAGTTCTACTAATAGATAGCACCAAAGTCTGTCCTGAATAAGTTGCATAATTAAATCTGGACTCGCCGACTACATGACTGGAACTGCACTGTCTAGGGGTATTCAATACAAAAAATGGTAACAAAAATCAATCCACAGGACATGGTCACCTTTTCAGCTGAACACGCTTTCTTCCACCACACACCTAGCCCATTCAAGCGGCCGAAGCGGCGGGAGCCACAGGCTCCGGATTCACGGGCTTCTCCTCGTTGATATCGTGGATGGGAGACGATCGGAGAGGGGTCGAAGTAGAGTCGTCGACGCCGTTGACCACGTCCCTGCTCAGCTCCACATAGTCGTAGGCGAATTCGCCAATCTCGGTTTCGTCCATGCCCATGATTTCCTCTTGCTCCGAGGCGCGGAGGTGGAGACCAGGGATGAAGTTGATGACGAAGAGGATGACACAGCTGAGGACAAAAGAGTAGGCCATGCCGGTGACACCGTCACACAGCTGGTAGGCGAGCTGGATGTAGTGGTGATTCAGCCAGCCACCGTCAATCTCGCTGAAGCCATCGAGGTGAGCTATGTAGTCTGCGGCAAAGAGGCCGGTCAGAAGGTCTCCAACCAGGCCTCCAATGCCGTGGATGGCGAAAATGTCGAGCGAGTCGTCAATGCGGAGGAGGAACTTGAGCTTGGTGCCGTAGTTGCAGGCGATGGCCCCGACAATCCCAAAGATGACAGCAGACCAGGCAGGAACGAAACCACTGGCGGGAGTGATGGCAACCAAACCAGCAATTACACCACTGCAGAAGCCAACGGTAGACCATTTGCGCTCCAGGCGGTAATCAAGGAGACACCACGTGAGACCACCCACGGAGGCGGCCAAGTTGGTGACCACTGCGGCCATGACAGCACGGAGGTTGGCGGCCAAAGCGCTACCGGCATTGAAACCGAACCAACTGCGGACATGTTAGCCCACGTATACCGGGAAACGGAGAAAAAGGGATCACGTACCCGACCCATAGAAAGACGGTTCCAATGACAATGTGAGTGACATTGTGAGGACGGTAGTTGAGCTCATGAGTACCATGGCCCCGACGCTTTCCGAGCATCAACGAGTAGGCGAGAGCAGCGGCGCCCGAGGAGATATGGACCGGTGTACCGCCCGCAAAGTCGAGACCGCCCATCTTGAAAGACCATCCGGATGAGTTCCAAGTCCAGCAGGCGATTGGGTCATAGACCACGGTGGACCAGACGAAGGAGAACACCATGGCGGGCAGCATGCGACCACGTTCAGCGGCCGCGCCAATTGCCAGAGCAACCGTGATGGCAGCGAACATGCCCTGGTAGACTGCGAACATGAGATCGGGAATCTTGGACGATCCCACCGAAGGGGCACCGAGGACGTTGCGGAAACCAAAGTTCTCCATGTCACCGATGAATTTGCCGGCGGTATGAGAGAAAGCGAGGGTGTAGCCCCAGAAGAACCATTGGAAGGAGATGAGCGCGGTGGCCGCGACGGAGAGCCAAATGAGTGACAAGGCTGACTTGCGGCGAGCCAGGCCGGAGTAGAAGAAACTGGGAGAAACGGTCAATGCTGGTCGCCGGGTCCGTGGCTTGTGATATGCTTACCCAACGCCGGGAATCATAAGAAGCACCAGGGCCGTGGCTGTGATCATCCAGGCAATGTCGCCTGCATTGTAGTAGACATTGAGATCCTCCGTAAGTGAATCTCCACCAGTCATAGAAGTGCCTGTTTTTCACGCAAATGGAGTCAGCCTCGATTCTTTTCGTGCCCATCAAGTTCGGGAGGGTGGTCTTTCGTACCATCATACACTTCCAGAGGAACGTAAGGAAGGGACGTTGGAGCAGACATGTCGGCGACTTAATGCTGCGACCGATGTGAGGTTGTCACGACCGTCGAGGCCGGTATTGAGACTGCGGGTGTCGACGAGGAATGAAGGTGTCGGGGTCGGGGTCGGTGTCGGCGTCGGGGGCTCAGCGTAGGAGGGCAGACGGTGGCTCTGCCAGGCGGGTGACAGGCAGGGGAATATATGGGAGGAGAGTCGGCGGGGAGAGAGCGAAGTCCGGAACAGGTGGAAGGAGAGATTCGTCTAAATTGGACTGGCAGAAGCAAAGAATATAACATTGCAAGGCGCACTCCGCGTTGTGAGTGAGTTCCACCGTGACCGTTCCACCAGGGTGTTGCTTGTTGCTTGTTGGTTGTTGGGTGGGAGCGGCTGCTAAGGCGTGTGCTACCGTCTGCTACGGTCTACCCGAGGGCGCCCAAAACGGTAACCGCCCCTTGACCCCCCTGTAGTCCGTTCGCTGGATACAGTGGCGGACACATAGCGTGGGAGATTTGGCGAGAGGAGGCACGGCATGGAGTCTCAGGCCAGGCGAGAATCGGTGGGAATCGGGAGCACAGGGCGCGAGCGAATAACTGGCGAATCCCGGGCGAGTCAGAATCGCTAGGGACCTGATAGGTGCCTGATTAGGTGCCTGATTAGACGGTTAGACAGTCATAATAATAGGTGAGGAGGCTGCGATAAGGCCGTTGGATGGAGCCTTAGCAGTTTCTGATACATAAGGCCGCGATTACAATGTCGCATCACTGTACTTACTACCTACCTAGAGGCACCAGAGGTAGTAATGATGATTACTGAATACAATGCTGGCTGCACCTTGACAAATGGTCAGATATACAGAGTACAGACTACGGAGTACCTACACAGCTACCAGCTACCGTACCTATCCTTATTCTTCTGCAGTCCACTGGCACCAGACTGCCGGTACACTCCTCTCTGGCAAGGTCCTCTGGTACATGTACCGTACACCTACAGAGCCTCCCTCCCCTCCCCCTTCCCGCGGTCGGCCATTGTTCCAAGCAACGCATGCTTGATCCGCCCCCATCCAATGCAAACACATTCTCGCAGGACGTCTTTTTTTGAATCTCAAGACTTCTTGGCGAGATAAGGATCGTGGCTCCCATTTGCCGAGTGCAGCCCGCCAAGCTCCTCCCGCCCACCAGATCGTCTTTTCCGGCCAGTGGGCCGCTGCCACTCCACCATCATCCACCAACATTGACATTGCAATTCCACCACGGCCGCCTAAAGGAGCCCAGCAACTCGAACTCCACAGATAAAAGAGCTTGGAACTACTAGCGCCCACGCTTCTCACACTTCTTCGTCCCATTATTGCAGCCTGCAGCCTGTCCATGCGCCGAGCCTCGTGGCCACCAAGCCGAGCCTGACATCGCAACCTGCGCCCTAGCCGTCCATCTTGCCTTTCTCCAGACAAAGCATCTCAACCACAGCTGTCAGGTGGCAGCTACTGCGTACGAGTACTCCTACATCTCTCGATCCGTAGTCTTGGTGTCGCGTGTTTGTGCCTCCTATTCGCCACGCGCACACCACTCGATAATCCCTGAGGCCACTACTCCGTACTTATGTGTACGTAGTACGTACTCCGTACAGAGTGCTTCGTATCGTTGGCAGCTGTTTCATCTCACGAGATCCAAACAGGCTCCTTGCCAGCACACCACCACCATCGATTGCGACTGCCGACTATCCGGTCCATGCGCGTTCTTTTCAGTGTTCCTCCTCTCGACCACAAACTCCGCATGTTTCTCTCGACTCTCCGTCTCTCCCTGCTCGTTGTTCTAGCTACCTTCTAGCTACCTCTCCCGTCGAAAATTGCCCTTTTGTCGCTGCACGGCCGCCGTTCCTCGTCTATCTGTTCGTACTAGTATCCTACTATATGATATTGACCCACTCTAATAAAGCCCGCTGTGTTCCGATCACCGGGGAGTTTCCTTCGGTTCGGTCTTCCCCATCCAGACGACCTACCTGGTGGGTAGGCCGCACGTACCCTTAAACTCCTCAGTATCACCAACAATTCAGTTTCACCAAACTCTCCCGGTCACCGCACCTTCACCAGCGGAGGCTCACTCTTCATGACCAATATTGACAGCCACGTGATCCGGATATGTCTGCCAATTAGATATGTTTCTGCCAGAGTGAGATGTCGAAAGTCCAGTCTGTCTGGTGGTCAGCCTCGTGAACGGCCTTACATAATTCGGGGATTGTGTGGCACCTACGTGGGCGCACCACTGCACATCAACATGTCTGTAGTCCGTACATTCCAGGGTCAGTTCATCCTCTGTCTACTCCGTAAATGCTTTGCGGATACCTCGCCTGCTCTTCCACGCTTACCCGCATGGCACATGGCTGTGACCATGTTCGAGGTCCACTTGCACAATCGCGTCTCGGGACTCTGCCGCTTAGATCGAGTGAGACAAGCTTCACCCAACCCCAGCATTATGCAATTGTGTAGAACAGAGCATCTTGGATCTCAGGTTACCCACTCGAGTTTCCAGTTCGGCATGAGACTCGCCAGTTGCAGGGTGGAGTGGTTTCCTCAGCCTTGCTGGGCTTTGATGCGATCCCAACGTTGAACATGATGCTCACTCAAGAATTGATAATAGTGGCAGGAGTGCTTCGTCTTCGTAGCAGTACTCCGTACAGATAATCCAATGGGAGCATCCAAGGTTGTCTTGTGCAAAGTCTCAGTTGCCGGGTGATGCAGGGATCGCGTGTCATCGCAAATATACGGAGTACACCCTCCGTAGTCTGTACTACCCTTTGAACGATGATGGAAATTAACTGGACGAGCATTGCCAAATCTGGAACGAAGTCTTCCAACTTTTCTGCAGCATCGTCCAGGACGTGGGCGAGGGGCTGCCAAGTTAAGGGAGCTCTCCTGAAGTACTCTAATAAACAAGGCACTGGAGCGAGCGCCACTGGCAGGCCGGCCGAAAAGGCGTCAGTCGTCAGTCGTCACGCTGTAGCATGTACGGAGTGTGCAGTTTTCCGAGCACTTAGATTTCTTGCCATTTAATACTACATATCAACCCTTTCCTCTCCTCGCAGGGACGTCTGATGAGGGATGATATACGGAGGACCTCGGTAGTCTTCTCCGCGCTCCCCCCAGCCAGACATGCATCAGCCAGCGCTGCAGGCTGCCGTTGGCGTTGGCTCTGGCAGTCTAAATAATGGCACAGCCAGGCAACCTCTTCAGCCACACCCCCTCGCTCCGCCGTCCGCAACGCCTACGCCTCAGGCCTCGGGAGGCCCAGAATCCCTCTCCTCACCACCGACGATACCTTTTCCAAGCCAAACTCAAATCGTCGCGCCCTCGCCTGTGCGTCCATCTCCTTCCAGAGGCGGCCCTCGCCCTCTCAAAACCGAAGGGCGACGCATCGAAGAAGGTCGACTGCCTCTCGTTATGGAGCACGATGAAATACCCATTCGCCGTCCGAATGGTTCTTCCTCCGGCTCTGATGAAGACGGCGCCCCCTCCGCTACATACGCGTATGCCCCTTCTGCTGGCTACGATGCCTCCGAGTCCACCGTTACATACACTCCTACCTCCTCCATTTCAGCCTATACTCCTTCCACCGGCTTCTCCTCTGGCCTGTCGTCCTGGACCTCCTACGCCCCGCGGCCCAGAACCAACAGTACAGGGGCCCAGCCCGCAACCATGGACCGCTCTTTCTCGGGCGATCCTCCACCCGCTCCAGGAGACATACGTGCTGGTAGACCGGGAGCCCCCTTACGGACGCCCTCAAACACCTACGCTCCACCGCGAAGACCTCCGCAGTTTCTCTCTCTGAACTCGAAGCGGCTGCACTCGTCGAGCACGATGCGCAGCTCTAGAAGAGACCCGAATGCACAGTACAAGGCACAAGAGAAGGCTTACGTCCAGCGAGTGCGACAGCAGCCACAGGATTGGCTCGACAATGACCCGCGGACGCCCAGCATCGGGTATATTACAGACGATGAGACGGACGATGAATCACCCTCAACCGAACACCAGTTCGATGATCCCTATGATCCGGAAACTTTGATGTTTCTGGGAAACGAAGATAACCTGCAACCCTCTGAAGAGGAACTGCAGAATCCACAAAACCGGGAACGACTCGAGTGGCACTCGATGTTGGCCTCTGTCCTCAAAGGCGATGTCGTCAAGCAAGAAAAGCAAAGACTGATTGGGACGACTGAGCAAATCTCGAGGTCGGAAATTGGTGCTGAGATCTGGATAGGTGCGAGGGCAAAATATTACGGACGGCCGTTACAAATGCAGAAGAAACTCATTGAGGAAGGCCGTTCCAACCTGGGGCCGATTATCGAAAGCCTCATCGCTTTCGAGATTAAAGGGGAAACCGTCGTCGGCAAGTCGCCCCTGGAACAAGTCGAGGAGGCGGTGGCGAATGTTGAAAAGGTACAATGGTTGTATCCCTCCCGGAGAGAACTCGAAGCTGCCCAGTCCCGGGCTGCTTCTGATGCATTTCGAGACAGCTGCGATGCCGTCGTTTCGTGGCATAACATTACGCAGCTGATCAACACCGAGCTTGCCGTTCTCCAGGCCTGGGTTGGAAATTCGGAACTCGATTTTACGAAGCCAAAGCGTCGGTCTAGCGATCAAGGCGACCTGTCTGACGAATCTTCATTCATCGACAGGATTCTGAAGGAGGATGGGTTGAAGTCACTGCAGGGCGAAAAGAGCATGTTCAAGGGGATTGGTGAGGTCATTACCAAGGCCAAAAGCACACTCATTGAGAACGCCGAGGCATTCGCCGCCCGTCACCTTCCTCCTTATATCGAAGAGCTTCTGACTCTGATCAACTTCCCTTCCAGGTTGATCCAGGAGATCATCCGAATGCGATTGTCCTATGCGAGAAAGATGAAGGAATCGGCACAGCAGTCTGTCATGATTATCGATCAGATGATTGCGCAATTCCAGATACTCATGAACCTTGCATGCCTCATCAAGCAACAGTACCTGGCCATCTCGCATCCGGAGCCAGGGTGGGACTTGCCACCCTGTATCGACGAGAACTTTGACTCTGTCATTGTCGAAGCCCTCAAATTCTACTTCAAGATGCTCAATTGGAAGCTGGGCGCCAACAAGAACACTTTTCGAGAAGCCGAGATACTCGAGCAGGAGTGGGGCTTTTCCAACGAAATTGGACGCCAGCTCGAAGGAGGGGATATCGAAGTCGCCGAGCAATTCAGTTCCCTCACAGCCAAATCACTCCTGCGCTTGACTACGTCGTTTGAACGCGAGCTCAGATCTAAACCGGACGAGAGCCCCCAGGACATGGAAAAGCGGTACAAGACGATTCTCGACTCGGTACGGGTCCGACAACGAAAGCTGTTCCGGTTCTCGCGTATTTTGAGGCAGCGTTTTGAAAACGCAACCGAATTTAATCTGTCCATGGATGACCAACAAATTCGACACTTTACGGAGTCCCTCATTCTGTCCGGTCATTTCTTGGTGGACATGGGATCAAACAGCCCGAAGGGAGTGCACTTCGTCGCCTCCCCGTCACTGTGGAATCGACCAAAGGAGATACAGTCCATCTTGGGAACATCATTCCATTCCGATGACGCACCAGAAGACCCTTCGAATCCCTACATTCTTATCATCAGGCCTGAAGACGACATGCTCTGGGAAGGGCCACGAATGGATGTCGATGTTCTGGAATTGCCCAACGATGTCAGACTGGGGCGCCTGCGGCTTGTAGCGGACGGATCATCTCTCCGGCTTCAAGGTGCTCGAATGGAGTTTGCAAATGCCGTGGGAAAGGAAATGGATATCGTCATTGAGCAGCGGGCCAATCTTTCCCGGGTCAACCTGGAGCTCGGAAAAATCAAGAAAACCACCTTCAAACTTTCGAACACGATCATGGAGAGTGTGGAGGTCATTCGGTCGCAGAATGGTGGTATCGCTAGTCCTGAGTTGGTCCAGTCCTGCTTTGCGTTTGCCACTGAATTTGGCAAACGATCGCTGACATACATGGACGCGAACCGGCGGATGATGAATAACTTGAAGCTGACCAGGCTTGCACTTGACTGGATCAGCTTTATCTGCGATGACTGTGACGCTGCCGATCGAAGGACGTTCAAATGGGCGGTTGTTGCCTTGGAATTTGCCATGGCCATGACGCGCGGCCGCAATATTCTAGACATCAGCGAGGAGGACTACAAACGTATCAGGGGCAAGGTAGCCGGGTGCATGTCTGTCTTGATCTCACATTTCGACATCATGGGAGCCCGCTCCACGCTGGCGGCGCAGCAGGAGAAGTCGAGAATGGAGGCGCTGTCGGGTATGAACAAGCGTCTCGATTTCAACAAACTGAGAAACGACGAGGACTGCTGGAAGGAGATGTCTGAACAGAGACTGGGGCAACTCAATGCGATTGACCAGGCTCGTGAGGAACGGGGCACCGCCAAAACAACTCTGGGTCGAGTGCTGGAAGGATCAAATGAAGCGGACCGGTCGCTGACGTTCTTGTCCGCGTCGGCGACAAACATCACCATGAGATGGCAGCAAGGTCAATTTGTGGGAGGGGGCACTTTCGGATCGGTGTATGCGGCACTGAACCTCGACACTGGAACCCTGATGGCGGTCAAGGAGATTCGTCTTCAAGATCCACAACTCATTCCCACCATCGTGAAGCAGATCGGCGATGAGATGGGTGTCCTGGCTGTTCTGGATCACCCCAACATTGTGTCATACTACGGCATCGAAGTTCACAGAGACAAGGTCTATATCTTTATGGAATATTGCTCTGGTGGCTCGGTTGCCGGTCTTCTCGAACATGGCCGCATCGAGGACGAAACCGTCATCATGGTCTACGCTCTGCAGATGCTGGAAGGGCTGGCCTATCTGCATCAAGCACATATAGTGCACCGAGATATCAAACCGGAGAATGTTCTGCTGGACCACAACGGTGTGATCAAATATGTGGATTTTGGCGCCGCGAAAATCATTGCTCGACAAGGTCAGACCATGATGGGCATGGAACCGGTTCAGCGGGTCAATGGCGAGGCAGGCCACCTTGCGAACGGCGCCGGGGTCGCGCGACAGCCACAGAAGACCATGACGGGAACACCGATGTACATGTCTCCGGAAGTCATCCGAGGAGATGCGCCCGCGACCTCACGTTTCTCCGGTGCGGCCGACATTTGGTCCCTGGGCTGCGTGATCCTCGAGATGGCCACTGGTCGTCGTCCCTGGTCGACGTTGGACAATGAGTGGGCGATCATGTACAACATCGCCCAAGGCAACCCGCCACAATTGCCGACCGAAGACCAGCTCAGCGACATGGGCATTGATTTCTTGAAGAAATGCTTCGAACGAGATCCGGCCAAGAGGAGCACGGCGGCAGAATTGCTGCAGCATCCCTGGATCGTGGAGATCAGACGACTGGTGGTCGATGATCCCGATGCTCAGACGCCGCGGAGTGATTCGAGCACCTCTAGTGGAGGGAACCCTTTTTCATTCAGGCAGAACTCGACATCTTCTGTAGGGACGCAATAGCACAGGTGAAAGACGAAAGACGGAATGAGGATCCAGGCGGGCGAGAGAGTCTACGGAGTATACGGAGCACTAGTAGACGATATAGGTGCCCGGACTATAATTAGCAATGCATGTGTCTGGCAGAAGAATGCTGCCCATGATCTATCATTCCTGGTTGTAATGTGTGAGTATCTATTGCAGTGTGAGTGACAGTGACAGCCTGCATGCAGGGCCGATGGCTGAAGGCAGCAAACAGTCAAAAAGTACGGATACCACAGTAGCAGTGGCCTACACCTACACCACATTCATACTTGTACCACGGTGGCGCTGAGGCTGGTGTTGGTTGGCGGATTAATGTGGTGCCTTGTGCCAGGCGACGCGAGGCCGAACCGTGCCGACTCGTTGACCGGATAATAAATAGTAATAGGACGGATAATAGTAGTAGTATTGCTAGCATGCATATGCATACGCATACCTACGCATACACATATACTCCGTACAGTTCTTACTTACCCTCCTTACCCAGCACCTACAGATCAACCCCTTCGTTAAGACGCCCGCGTGGAGGATCCAGCGTGATCGGGACGACGGTTTCCACTGCATTCTTTAGAACCAGCATCGTACAGATACAGCATATGCATATGGACTGATCGCCGCATCTTCCATCACACTCATTATGTCCTCGTGGACTCACCATGGCCGCAAGCAGACCCCACGACTTAGATCCCTTCTCCGACCACGCCGCCGTACAAGATGAGCGGGAAGCAATCGCCGAATCGACGCTGGCCGTGGGCCGCAATGCCACGCTTACCTTGGGGACCGATACGGTCATTGTGTTAGGTGGGCAACATCCGTCCAGCTCGTCTCTACTTGGTCCTGACAGCTGTCTCGTAGATGAAGGACTTCGCAAAGCAACAGGGTTCAATTGTTTCGGCCTGTGGCCTCAGAGTATGTATGCTCCCACGCCGTGCAGACTCAAATATGACCGTCTGACCTGATGTCTAGGGACTACCAGCACTCGCTCGATTCCTTACTTCAACGTTCTGTGGGCAGAAATCGTCAAAGACGACCTGACGATCCGATATGCCAAACCCGAGTCGAAATCTGCCGATTCCCCTGTCCACGTCGCATACATCAACTACACCCTAGACAGTTCTGCATACACGCAAGAGAGGGCCTCGAGATGGGTACATCGTCTCCTCGACCGCGCCTATGGACAATCACGACGCAACAAGAGAATTAAACTGTTGATAAACCCGTTCGGAGGAGCCGGAAAGGCCTCCAAACTCTACACCCGTGAGATCGAGCCCATCTTCGCTGCGGCGCGATGTGAGGTCGACGTGGAGCACACCACTCACGCAGGTCATGCGGTGGAAATCTGCGAACGGCTCGACATCAACGCATACGATGTCGTGGCCAGCGCCTCAGGCGACGGACTTCCCCACGAATGCATCAATGGTCTGGCCAAGAAACCCAACGCTGCGGAAGCCCTGAGAAAGGTTGCCATTGTCCAACTTCCCTGTGGAAGCGGGAACGCCATGTCATGGAACTTGAACGGCACAGGGGAGTGCAGCACGGCGGCTCTTTGCATTGTTAAAGGGGTGCGGACTCCTCTCGATCTCGTCAGTGTCACTCAAGGAGACAAACGGACGATTTCCTTCCTGTCGCAGTCTCTCGGGATCGTTGCAGAGAGTGATCTGGGGACCGAAAATCTGAGGTGGATGGGTGGCACCAGGTTTACGTTCGGATTCCTGGTCCGACTGTTGGGGAAAACCGTCTATCCCTGCGAAATCGCCATGAAGACGGCGATTGACGACAAGCAAGAGATCCGGCGCCACTATGCACGGCAGATGGTCAGGCGAGAACAGGAGAATCCGTTATTGCAGAGTGAGCTTGACGGGCCGCTAGACACTTCGACCAATCTCGGCCTACCACCGCTTCAGTATGGTACCATCAACGATCCCCTCCCGACGGATGCGGGATGGACGCCCTTGACCCCATACCCGACGCTGGGCAACTTTTACTGCGGCAATATGACCATGATGGCCGCCGACATGCCATTCTTCCCGGCCTCCCTTCCCTCGGACGGCCTTCTCGATCTGGTGACGATTGACGGGGACATTGGGCGGATGAAATCCATAGGTCTGCTCCTCTCGGTGCCCAAAGGCACGTTCTTTGACAAAGATTGCGTCAACACCTACAAGGTCCAAGCCGTGCGGGTGATCCCTCGGTACGGACCCGGGGTAGAAGACGCCCAGCACCTACAGCATAAGAAGAAAACCGGGTACTTTAGTGTCGATGGCGAAAAGATGCCTTTCGAGCCTTTTCAACTTGAGGTGCACCGAGGACTGGGCACTGTATTGAGCAGGCACGTTGGGAGGTATGAGGCGATTGGGCCTAAGGGGTGGCAAGATATTGAGGTGGGCCGAGCAAATAGCTGATTTGACGGGCAGCAGGTGTAGTTGTCGGGTTGGACAGAGATTGGTCATGATGCCGGCGGGCTGATGATAGAGAAGACTTGGATTCACATCCACTTGATACCCCGGGGACGGTACATGGTATAAAGACGTCCAACAAGAGCATGGGCGGAGTGTGGTACACTTTGGACTTTGTCTTTGGACATGATGGCGAGTACTTTTGGATCTATGTATATAGCCTCTTGCCTCTTGTCTCGTTGCTTGCTATTGCTACCTACTTATGAGGCAGTACGGGTGCACGGTCAATGATACCCCTGTTGATAGTATGCTGTAAGCTATATGTGTAGGCCAACTTGGTGCCAACCCCATCAATGGTGCTCTGGACATGTCGTATTATCAGAATTACAGTTCATGACCTATTTCAACGAGGCGAGGGGCCACCTAGGGTTAGGGTTAGGGTTAGGGTTAGGGTTAGGGGGTGTTTTGAAGTGGCGGGCGCAGTGTGAGTGGGATCCAGACTAACCCTGACTCGTATTTATCTGGAACAGCCTAGCCTCCTCCTCCTGAGAGACGCAGCCTAGTTGGTACCGTCCAGCTACGATGGGGTGATTGAAGACCGACCACGAGAAACGAGTTGAATTGAGTTGAATTGAGTTGAATTGATGCCGGTAACCCCGTCATGTCATGGAGACTATGGCTATGACTATGGCTATTATGATGACCTGATGACGACGACTCTAGTAGTAGGGTCCTGGAGACCGCGGTCTCTAAATACAGGTTCCCTTCCCTCGCTAGGTAGGGTTGTGCCCAATGCTTCGCTTCGCACTCCCAACGGTTGTATGTTGTATGTTGTATAGCCCGAAGTGTCTGTCCATTTCGTTGGCTGAGCCTGGTGCCATTTCGTCGACTACTTACTACTTACTACTTACTCCTTGGTCGAGTGTTTTACTTACTACTTACTCCTTGGTTGAGTTGTGTTTTGTGCTTGTGCCTTGTGCCTTGTTTCGTCCAAGGAGAGGAGAGGAGAGGATAGGCATCATGGTGAAACTCGACCTTGTCCGCTCATACAACGCCGCGTTGGTCCAGACTCAGTCGCTGGTGGCGGTGTTTGTGGGCGCCACCTCTGGCATTGGCAGGGCGACACTCTACGCGCTGGCGAAGGTGCATGGCGAGCACACCAAAAACAATGGCCAAGGCAATGGTCAAGGCAACGGCCAAAGCAACGCTCAATCTCTCCGGGCTTATGTGGTGGGAAGAAAGAGGGCGGCGGTCGAAGCCATCATCTCCGAATGCGAGCGACTCTGTCCGGCCGGTCGGTTCGTGTTTGTCCAGGCTCATGATCTGTCCTTGCTGGAAGAGGTCGACCGCGTGTGTGCGGACATTACACGAATGGAGCACGACGAGGCCGCGGCCGAGGCTGAGGCTGAGACAGCTGGTGGTGGTGCTCCTGCCAGAGTGGACTTGCTATGTATGAGCCAGGGCGACTTTACATTCGAACCACGCAAGGGTATGTACAAGTAGGCCATGGCCCCAATCTTGCGTCTCTTGTGGTTGTGGCTGCGGTTACAGTTGCATTGGCGACTACAGGGCCAGGGTGTCTGAGAACTCAGTGACCAGCGACAGTTTGAATTCTGCTAACATGAGTTCCCTCTGCAGACACCACCGAAGGACTGGAATTTCGCATCTCCCTCCTCTACTATTCGCGCATGAAGTTCGCCGTCAATCTCCTTCCACTGCTCCGAGCGTCGTCGCTACCTGCACATATCATATCGGTGTTCGGCGCCGGCAAGGAGGGACAGCTGGACGTCGACGACCTGCTATTACGGTCAGGCGGGCATTTCTCCATGGCGTCGATGCGGTCGCACGTCGTCTACATGACCACCTTCTTCATGGAGTATCTGGCGGCGCAGAACCCGGGCCACTTGAGCCTGGTCCATGTCTTCCCGGGCCTGATCATGACCGAAGCCTTTCAGAACCTAGGAGTGCCAGCGTGGGCTCGTCTCCTGTGGTCCCTCTTGGCCCCTGTGACCAGCTGGTTCACTACCCCGGTCGCAGAGTGCGGCGAGCGCATGCTGTTTCTGGCGTCACCGCAGCGCTTTCCGGCACGAGGTTCTGGCCAGGCTTCAGGCGACATGGATCCACCAAGGGTGTCGAGTGCAAGTGCAGGCGCAGGTGCAAAACCAGGCGCAAGTAACCCCATCGACATCGCCACAGGCTCCGACGGCATCTTGGGCAGTGGAGCGTATGCGGTGGGATCGGACGGCGAGACAGTTCGCAACGAGCAGGCGTACGAGAAGCACCGAGCCCAAGGAGTCGGCGAGAAGCTGGTCGCTCATACCCTGAAAGCATTTGAGGACATCAAGGCCAGCAAGGTATTCACGGGGTAGTGGGTAGTTGTGATAGAGCAGTCCAGTACTGACATCTGTTTATTCAATCTACTATACACTCTAGTACTAGGCCAGTAGGCGTTGTAAGTGCTATCAAGTGCCGCCCTCGTATCGGTAGAGAGTATTGTTGAAAGTTATTAGTACTGTAGTAGAGAGATGAGAGTATCTTTCCTTACGAGATCGATGTAACCCTCCTCCTTCGATAAAATCTTCCCGGTAGAGTATATCTTCCTTATAGTCCTTCTCTTTCGTCGGATAAAAAACCTCTAGTAGACGAAAACCGTACGAGATAAAGGTAAGGAATCGCGGTAGAGGATATTATTATCGCTCGAGTATTAAAGGCTGTCTCTATAGTTAGCTGAAGGCTGTAGGTAGGTAGGTAGGTAGGTAGGTTGCTATCGCTGAAGTAAATAGCGTTCTAAGGCCTCTGTCGATAAGTAGAAGGAATAGCCGTACTCCCACGATATCGTTCTTTTATCGACTCGGTTGTTGTTGAGAGGTCTGGTTTCACAGCCTACATGAGGCTGCTACTCACACCCTGCACCGCGTGAAGGTGCCTCTCGCGCAGGGCATGGAGGTCGAGATGGAGGTCGAGATAGAGGACAGAGGACAGAGGACAAGGACAGAGACAGAGACAAAGACAGAGACAGAGACAAAGACAGAGACAGAGACAAAGACAGAGACAGAGGACAGTAATCCGTAGTCTACATTCAACATTGTATCTGAATGAAGCCTAGCCCTACAGGTGCTCCTGAGTCTGGCTTTGGCCCAATCACGAGTTACATACTGTACTTCAAAGTCACATAGTTAGTTGGCCAACTTGGTGCTCGGAGTGGATAGATGGCATATATTGGGTTTGTAGAGACGACTATACTACTACTTGGAGGTAGTTGGCTCGGCCGCAACTTGCCCGTGGAAGGACCAGTCACCCATCAACCGTCACCATCAATCGTCACCCCCAGACTGGTGCACTACCACTGGCGCACTACCACTGCACTGAGCCAAGTCAGACAGAGGCAGATGTCACAGACCGGTCTTTCCAGCTCCAGCCAGACGCGTCCTCTTCGACGGGTTTCGTCCGAATGTGCTTGAACTTGCGCAGAGGCTGGCCCGAGCTGAACAGCTGGTCGACCTCCTCCAGACTCCGGCCCTTCAATTCCGGCACGTACAGATAGGCCAGCACCAGGATGGCCCAGCAGATGGACCCGTAGATGAAGCCGACTTTCCCGCCCAGGTTGGCGTACGATGCGTTGATGAGGTACGGCGCGGTGAAGGAGGTGACGAAGGTGGTGAGCACCGAAACCACACAGGCCAGAAGGTTCGTCTTTTCCTTGACTCGGTTGGAGGCCACCTCGCTCACCACGACGTAGGATCTGTACGAGCATCATGTCAGTTGGTCATTCAACCTTTCCTCTTCCTACTCAGCCTCGCTAGCTAATTCGACTTTCAACGGGCCGGGCTGGCGTAGGAGACCATCATACTCGTAACTTGGCCCGACTTTTCCAACCGACACACACAAAACAGCCAACACACACAAAATATTGAAGATCGCTGGCTGACTTACATTGGAGCCCAGGACAGAGAGTAGGCCGCGCTGAAAAGAATGACGGAAGCGACCTGGAAGATATCAAAGCGTTAGAAAGCAACGTCGAATGACCCAAAGATCACATCAGCATCACCTGGCCGCATGTGACCAACAGGTGGCTGGGGTGGGAACAGGATTGTGATCATGCCGTACCAGAGTGTGTCTGGCAGCGTCCGAGGGGTGAGTCGCCGTCGAAATGCCGCCGACGATAAAGATGAAAATGGCCATGAAGGTGCCGCCTAGGAGAAGCAAAGTTCTAACGGCGTCCATGGTCAGCGGCGGGTCCCTTTCGAAAAAGCCTCGCAAGGTAGAAATTGAAGGGAGCCAGAGGGCCAAGGGTCAGAGGCCGAGAAGGAATGAACGCATGCACGAATGAACAAATGAACAATAAACTTACCGTCGCCCAATGGAATCGACCAAGAGCCAGGTGATGGCAACGCAGACGACGCCTGCAACGGCCCCCAACACACCATACAAGAAAGCTTTACTTGCGAAGCCTTGAGACACGTAGAAGACAACCGAGTATTGCGACACAAAGGCCTGGCCGGTGATTTGTTGGCCAAACATGACCAGGATGGCCACCGAGGTTCGGACCTGGAAAGGGCATCATTCATGGTCAGCCAAAGAGTAGGACAGGAACAGGAACAGGAACAGGAACAGGAACAGGAACAGGAACAGGAACAGGAACAGAAACAAGACCAAACAAATAACCCTCACTCACCCGGTTCTTCCGGTCGAATACTTCCCTCCAAGTCCCCTTGCCTTTATTGGCGTCCGCGCTGTACAGCGCAGCGATTTCCGCATCCAGCTCGGCCGCGGATTTGGACTTTTTCGACAGCCTTCGCAGCGATTGCAGTGCCCGGTCATTTTGATTGCGGGAGATCAGCCTTGCACGCCATGTCGTCAGCCAACCCTGTCAGATCAAACACATGGCGGATACAAGAGATGCCTGGTTCTCCTTCGTCTCGGGGCGGGAATAATGCCGACACGCTTCCAGGAACCCAAGGGACTGATGATGCCAACACACTTCCAGGTGAGCCCAAAGGACTCACGACTTACCAGCGAGGAGATTCCGGCAGGACAAACCAGCCAATGGTCAGGAACACCGGGGCGACGTACTGCACGCCCACGGGGATCTGCCATGCCTTGTCGCCCGTCATGTTTTTGGTGCCGAGATTGACCAACGAGGCCACCAGTCCACCGAGACTGATCATGAGCTGGATGGTGGCGTTCATCATCCCTCGTAGTTCTCGAGGCGAAGTCTCGGCGAGGTAGATGGGCACTCCGATGACGGTGAGGCCCGTGGCGGCAAAGGTAAGACATCGTCCCACTGTGAATTGCGCCGGGGTTGTCGCCGCCACCTGGAGCGTCACGCCACTGGAGGCACGGCGTCAGCCTGGAGTTACAGTTGCCACTGTAGTCCTGTAGCAGTTGGGTACTGCTGTTGTCGAATACTCACATATAGCAGCAGGCGATCAGAGCGACGAACATCAACTTGCGCCCAAACCGTTCCGAGAGCCAAGCCCCAACAACCACTCCCTATCACCGCAGACACCGGTCAGCACTTATTACATTCATTGCTTCGGGCCAGAAGCCTTGCTTCTTTGCTTACCAGCGCTTTGGCCAGGAAGGGCAATGCCGTCATGAGCGATGACAGGTAGGCGGACAACGCCCAGGCCTTCTTCGTCTCGTTGTATTCACCGAATTTGTGAGCGAAACCTGCACAGGCGAATGGATGAGATTGAGACGAAGAGACCATCTGGGACACCACTCACTCTGCATGGCTTGCACTCCTCCAAAAGTCCCTGGTGTCATGGGTCAGCGAACAAGCCCAGGCCCACTATATGACTGCAAAGAAGGGCATGGCCGTTGCGTTGGAGAAGGCCAAACTCACCGACGTCGTAACCGAAATTGAAGGCGCAACTCGCCGTGTATCTAAGCAAAGTCAGAGTCTAGCCTCTAAGCTAGAGAGAAGAAAGGTTGCGACATACAACATGGTGAAAAGGGTGAGCGGCGTGAACAGAGCCAGCCGCTGCCTGATGGAGAGCCGAGCTTCTTCTGTGGATGCACTGGATGGCTCTGGGACGGCGACGGCGACGTCGGCCAGGCCAGCGTCCTTCTCGCCCGTGGGAGGAACCATGGTGAGAGTCTGAGATGAAGTCGTCGGTGGTTGGAATAGCAACAGCAACAGCAACAGCAATACACCTTTGCATATCTTTGCTGAGGATCGGGACGATAGGCCTGCTTTATATGAAAGGAGATGGTAGTCGGTGCATCCATTCCCATTACGTTGGGTGCTGTGTACCGTGTACCGATGTCTGTTCTCAAGCCTTCCGAGTTGGAAACTTTAAGATGTCGCCATATTGATGGCGAATTGCAAATCCGATGCAGAGGGCCATTTCGGCGAGGCTCGTGGTGCAGTCAACAATCTTTGACCCTCTGGTCCTGGAAACAACACGGCTGGTCGTGCCATCGTCGCGAAAAAGAACCAGGGAAAAGCGAAGGGGGACAATGCGAGCTCCGGCAGGGCTTGGGCGTAGGGGCGTAGCCTTGCCGAAATCCGGAGCGACCTCCGCCATGATCAGATCGTGGTTCGTGATTGGGCATACCGGAATTCGCAGCGAAATCCATCCCGGGGTGGGTCTCGTTCAGGACGAGTGGCGTAGATGGCGAGATGCAGGGGTATGAGGTATCCATCATGGATGAAGATGAGGCTGAAGCTGAAGCGTGCGGCCGAGAGACAGGACAGTCACAGCGGATGTGAATCTTACTCTTTCATTTCATCTTCTTCTCTTCCCGAACGGGTCGAGGATACCAGGATACCGTGCTGAGGCGAAGGAAGGGGAATCACTGAAAGTAACATTGACAGTCGAGGGAAGAAGTAGATACTTGGACCAGAACTGAACAGGACAGAACATGCCGGCCCCTCAACCACTCGGCGGGCAAAGGCAGAGGCCCAACTTTTTGATCATTGTGGCCGATGACCTGGGCTTCAGCGACTGCGGCTGCTTTGGGTCGGAGATCGAGACGCCCAACATCGATGCGTTGAGCGCGCAGCCAGGTGCCCTCGGATTCACGTCGTTCCATGTTGCTGCTGCATGCTCGCCGACGAGGTCGATGTTGATGACGGGCACCGACCACCATATCGCCGGCCTGGGCCAGTTGGCCGAGTTCACGCGCGCGTCGGCCGCCCACCGTGGCCAGCCCGGGCACGAGGGATTCCTCAACCAGCGCGTGGTGGCCTTGCCCGAGCTGCTGACCGACGGCGGCTACCACACCATCATGGCCGGCAAGTGGCATCTTGGCTTGAAGCAGGAGCATTTCCCGGCGAAACGAGGCTTCGCCAAATCGTTTGCATTGCTTCCTGGCTGTGCCAACCACTATGGTAAACCTCCCACTCCCTTCCACTCCCTCCCACCCCCTCCCCCCTCGAGATGGACGCTGAGCTGAGCTGAACTGATCTGAACTGAACTGAACTGAACTGAACTGAACTGATCGATCTGTGCTCAGGGTATGAACCTGCGTACGAAGATCCCATCGAGGAGCCTCCTCGGTTTTTCGAGACCGCCACCCGCGCCCTTCATGCTGAAGACGACCACTTTGTAGCCCAGCTCCCCGAGCCGTGGTACTCGTCGGACGGCTACGCAAGCAAGATGATTTCCTACCTGTCGGAGAGGAGCGAGGCCGAAAGAGCCAAGCCATTCTTCGCCTACATGCCCTTTTCCGCACCGCACTGGCCGCTCCAAGCCCCGAAAGAGAACGTGGACAAATACCGCGGCCGCTACGACGACGGGCCCGACGCTCTGCGGCAACACCGCCTGCACAAGCTGAAAGAGCTGGGTCTGGTCGAGCCACATGTGCAACCGCACCCCGTCGTCACAACCGACGACGAGCCCGCCGACTGGGAGAGCTTGAGTGCGGACGTGCGAGCAAAGTCCGCCCGTGCGATGGAGGTCTACGCTGGAATGGTCGACCGCATGGACTGGAACATTGGAAGAGTGCTGGCCTACCTGAAAGAAAGCGGCGAGTACGACAACACGTTCATTCTGTTCATGTCCGACAACGGCGCTGAGGGCGCTTCATACGAAGCCATGCCGTTGATTGCCGACGACGTCCTGGCTCACATTGACAAGTACTACGACAACAGCCTGGACAACATCGGCCGCGCCAACTCCTTTGTGTGGTATGGTTCGCGCTGGGCCCAGGCTGCCACAGCGCCCTCCAGGTTGTACAAGATGTACTCCACCGAAGGCGGCTGTCGAGTCCCACTGGTGGTGAAGCTGCCCAACACCAACACTGACACCAACATGAATGATGCGCCCTCCATGCCTGGCTTGGGTCAGGAGAGCCGCCACGTGAACGGGCCGGCCAAATCATCCCTTTCCGGTGGTGGTGCAGTGACCGATGCCTTCGCCACTGTCATGGATCTTGTGCCCACCATCCTGGAACTGGCTGGCTTGGAGCACCCGGGCACCTCCTACCAGGGGCGTCCCATCGCACCCCTTCGAGGTCGCAGCTGGGTTCCGTTCCTCTCTGCATTCGCCTCTCCATCCAGCCTCATCTCCACCACCGGTGTCACGACGCCCGCCATCCATGCCAACGACTATGCGGTCGGCTTCGAGATCGCGGGTTCCGGGGCCTTGCGCCGAGGCGACTGGAAAATCACCTTTGTGCCCGCGCCGAGAGGGCCGCAGAGATGGGAGCTGTTCAACATTGCATCGGATCCCGGCGAGACGACCGACCTGAGAGATGCACAGCCCCAAGTATTCGAGGAGTTGCTGGAGTTGTGGCAGGAATACAAGCAGGAAGTGGGCGTGGTGGGACTTGCAGGGGAATACGGGTCCTCAGAGCAAGGAAAGGCCAACGGCAACCATGTCAACCTCCACGATGAGTTCGAAGACCCGTACGGCTGGATCAAGTATATCGGCAGGCCCCAACACACTCCCGAGAGATTGAAACATGTCGTTCCTGTCTAGGCCACCGAGGGAGACCTCAGCCTGCAGCTGATGACTATGGAGGGCAGTGACTATCAATAACAGGATCGCTCCAGACACAGACCAGACTAGGCCTTCAAGAGGTCCAGCAGTCATCAATGGCTGAGTGCGTAGCAAGGGTATCACGGGACTTCGCTCCACCAAAAAGAGGGATCTTCCAGAGATTGGTCGAGGAAGACAGATTCCGACCAAGCCGGTTGATAGGGCAGATCCCACATCAGGTCTGGCATGTTGCGTGCCGTGTTGAGATAGTCGGGACCCTCAAGACCTTGTTGCGGCGGGGCTGGCCGCTCGGGAGTATATTTGGAACTGCCTTCATGGTGCCGGTTGGCCTCGTCCATGTCTGACCCGTCGAACGAACCCAGCGCGTCCGAGGGTTTGATGCTGTCTATGACGGGCGGATCCTGACGTTCTGACCGCTTGCTCTGCAGACCGGGTTGGCCATGGACGGCGCGATTGGTCTCCATCTCCGTCTCGGCCGCCTGACGGAAGGCAGCCGTCTGGCTCAAATAGTCAAATTTTGCAGATCCAACCACCTCGATTTCTTGATTTACTCCTGACGCTCCCTCATCATCCCATTCTTTTGCGATATCTTCGAACCCAAACCGATACAACAAGGGCAGGAGACCCCGTACTTGCTTGGAAGGCTGCTTGCCCACGACTGGAGGTTCTTGCGGAGCCAACAAGCTCAGGTTCGTTCTGATATCCTCCGCGACTTCCAACCGAAGCGCGGCATCGTGTGGACGGACAGTCGCGCAATAGATGATTTGTGCCTTTGTGGATTCAAAGGTGGCCACGTTGCAAAAGTGATCGTCGAACGCTTCTGGCCCATACTCGCGTGCCCTTCGAATGATTTTGGATATCTCTGAGGCGTGATAACGACATCTTTGCTGACATTGAGTCCGAAAGGTCGGAGGCGCGTGGGCCAATGTTGATGCTAGAGGGAAGCTGAATCCTGGCAATGCGATCCTGGTCAGATCAATGACCGATGCGTGGTAGGCCAAGTGAAGATAGTGAATCGCGCCGACTAAGTGTTGCTCTTTCTGGATGTAGAGGTTCAGGTCTGTCAAGGCACAATGCCTTGAAAGGTCTGCGTGGAATTGGGCGGTTTCGTTGATCAGTCTCATAAAAGGCGACTCTGGGTGCCAGGGATCGGTGCTCAGATTGTGCTGTCGGATCAGCCTCAGAACCCGACTTCGTAGGCAGCTCAGGCGCACCACATACGCCCGGATTCCCACTGATTCGGGCGCAGGCGGGACGAAAGCGCCATTGGCTGACAGTCGGACGATGGCCCCGGATCGTTGGTTGATGAAATCGCTTTCGGGACAGGGCAGTGGCACCTGAGGAGGTCCGTCACGCCAACAGGTGTTTGCGTCGACGCCTGAGCCAACGCTGGTGTCAAGTATGTAGCAAGCCCAGAGCAGACGCCTTCTGGATTCGGTTTCGGTCGGATTCGCCGCAGAGTGTGCTCGCGTCCTCTCGTCCTCCTCGAACCCGACCGAATCTAGCCTGAGTAGGCGGGCCAACCTGTAGCAGCACCCGATCAGACTGAAACTGGTGGCAAAGTCTCTCCTCAAGAAACAGTACTCGCAGGACAAAACCAGAGCTCTGAGGTTGTTGATCGACGGAGTTCCAAGATTATCGAGCGCACGTCGTCGACCCCCGAGTGCCCATTCTTGGCCGGGAGCTCGAGGATGCGCAGGCTGCTTCGCCGGCGTATGGCGCAGGAGATACCAAGCACCCAAGGCACAAATGGTGAAGACCAAGGCCTCGCCATATTCCTGACATAAGCTGACAACGCCCCGGTCGAGGAAATGCATGAATGTCGGCTTGTGAATGAAACCGAGGCATCTCTGTGGATGGACCCGGTCAAAGTATGCAACTGCTAGGCTCCTCAACCTCGCTTTGTCGTCTGGAATCGATGGCTCCGAAAGCCAGTCGAGATCCATCGGCTCAAGAAGATTTGGAGAGGCCGCTGACTGTGTCCCAGCATCCTGCAGGCTGGAAAAGGCAGATTGTTGACTGCCAGACGAGATTGATGCCCCGCGACTTCGCCCGCGCTTCCAGTTGTAGATACACTGTAAATGCCTGTCGGAGCATCGTTGACAAATGGGTCGTTCACGCGTGCATTTGCTCTTTGCTGTCCGGCACTCCAGACAGGCACCGTCGCTTTTCCGATGTATGCCAGCGGCTGCAAAGACTCTATCGACGTGAAGCTTCAGTTCTTTTCGGTTGATGGACCTAGTTCTTTGATCCTGATCATCCAATCCAGGGCAGGAAATCCCCAGATGCCGACAGTTCTGGCATTCCGGCTCCGACAGATCACATCTTACCTGTACGTATGTGTCACAAGCCGAGTGTCAGCCTTTATTCTTTGGATGTGGCTTCAGACATCTTGAGCCTCGAGCCGGTAGGGGGCTTACCTTGCGTGATCGACAAATGAGACACCCTGCAAAAAGAAACAGTTGGTGGCTTGATTCGTCGACAGGGTGACAAGGGGTAGACGTACCAACTCCTCGCCTCACACGGCCTACTCCTGCCGAGGAATCTACACAGGCACCCATTCTCCCACTCTCAAGCCATCCTAGCAGACCATCATGTCGAAGGTACTCGGTACTCCGTAGATGGTCACTCCAGCTCGACTGAACCTACCTGGGTGGTCACGTGCATGATTGCGTGATTCCAAAGACCACGTTGGTGACGTGCTCCGCAGCGCTCTCACTCCATGGCCATGTGGAGGGCAGTTCAGGATCCGTACCTAGATACTGAGTAATGATCCTGAACCATCGAGCGCATTCAAGTTATACGAAGTAGTCCCCAGTTTGTCCTACTCTGTACTGTGTAGTAGCCCAGAGGACCCGAGAGTTGGCACAGCAGCAAACTTCAGGTCTAAATCAAGGCTTATCAGCATAATCTCCATCCCCGCCCCTTCAATCTTACCGGTACGTAGCAACAATACTCGCAGTAATTACGGAGTACTCATCATGGCTGGTGAAGGTCGCTCGCTCACTGGGCTCCCGCAAGCCGGGATGAGGTGAGTGCTCTTTATATGCGTAGGGCGGCATTGCCCTCGTCCTAAAAGGGTGATTTTACTCCTCTTGGCATGTTTTCCCGCTTTTCAGTTTCAAGTTGTCGGAGTCGGACACTTTACATCACAGCCTGCGCTTTTTATATACTCCAACACTGACACCGTATCCTCCTCTCGCGCGCGACAGTCCGTCTCGACATGGCGGATGAAGACCATCCCGAGGAGGGGCTTCGAAGCGGATTCCCTCAATCACCGTCTTCGTTCGATACAGACCCGCGAGTCTCCTTCTCCAAACTAGACAACAAGTTCGTTCTCGAGACCGATGAGGGCAACGAATTCGAATGGGACGCTGCTCTAAAACGATGGATACCAGTGGTAGGCAATACAATAAATGGCTTCCGAGCATCTTGGATGGCGGACTTTTGCCTTGCATCCTCCACTTTGCAATACTCTTGAACCATGGTTTCTCGAGCAAGGACAGATTCTAACCCTCTGGATGTTGTGTCTTCATGTAGCTGGATCAGTCACTGTTGGAGCAACAAAGCGAGATCTACAAGGTGCCAGGTGTCGACGAGAACGTGGCCCCTGCGAGGGACAAGAAGAAAAGGAAACACGCCAATGGTGACGAGGTTGGTTGCTTCTCTTTGGAGACTGCGGCGAACACGAGCTGAACGCGATCAGGCCGGTCAAAAGCCCAAAAAGCCCCGAGTTAACACTGCGGTCTATGTCACCTCCATCCCACTAGACGCCGACGAGGAAGAAATAGAACATGTCTTCTCCAAATGCGGCGTCATTGCCGAAGATCTGGATACCGGCAAGCCCCGAATAAAGTTGTACGACAACGAGGACGGCAAATTCAAGGGGGATGCCCTCGTCGTGTACTTTCGACCGGAATCGGTGGAACTCGCCATACAAATGCTCGACGACACCGACTTCCGATTCGGCACGGAAGGACCAATGGGAAAGATGAAGGTTCAAGCTGCAGATTTCTCGCACAAGAAACCACAGGAGGAGCAGCAACAGCAGCAGCCAGCCAAACCAAGCAAAAAAGACCAGAAAAAACTAATGAAGAGGACGCAGAAGATGATAGGGTACGTTACGGACTGTGGTTGAGAAGGCCCAACACTGATTTGTGGTAGAAAACTGACGGACTGGGATGATGATGATCCCCAAGTGCTCCAAGCGACGACTTCTAAGTGGGATAAAGTCGTCATCCTGAAGCATATGTTTACGCTCCAGGAATTGGAGGTGAGGGGACCCTCGACATCGCTGATAGCCAATCTAACGTGCAATAGGAGGACCCTGCGGCGATGCTGGAGATCAAGGAAGACATTAGGGAAGAGTGCTCAAAGCTTGGGGGCGTGACCAATGTTGTGCTTTTCGATAATGAGGAAGACGGTGTTGCTAGCGTGCGCTTCTCCAGTGCCGAAGCAGCCGCCGAGTGTGTAAGAGTATGCATTGTCCTTCGCTTCTGCCCATAACAGTGCTGACCTGTCCCAGGTCATGAACGGGCGGTGGTTCGACGAGAGACAGCTGGAAGCCTTTGTCGCAACCGGAAACGAGAAATTCAAGAAATCAAGCGACAAGGCGATCGGCCTTGACGAGGAAGAGGAAGAGGACGAGGGTGGACGATTGGATAAGTTTGGTTCCTGGCTCGAGAGGGAGGGGTGAAGTGTGTTAATGGACGTAGTTTCAGCGGTATAGGGACAAGGATGGAAGAACGTTCTTGGTGCCTGGATCTTGTACTCTTAGATACTTGAAGATTGGAGCCCTCTGCATAATTAGGTACCTATACCTACAATATTATGACTATCCAAGTCTGGAGACACTCAACACATTGGCGAGTCTGACACGTGATACCTACGTCGTTGTTTATGTAATGCACTCCCCTCACACCGCCCTTCCCCGCATGCAGGAACCGCCCAATAGATAACACATGCTAAGATAAGAGATAAGCCAATTTTGACTCAGACTACTCCGGTCACCAGCTTCATCATTTTTTTTCTTCTCCTTCATTTCTTCTACATCGACTCAACCACCACCTTACCAGCCATTGTTAGCTGATTGAACCCTCAGCCGAAAGCTTTCAGCCTCTCTAGAAGCAATCCTCCAGTCGTAAGTTTCATCCTCTCTGGCAAGACTCCTCCAGCGGGGAGACTTTACCGCGTCTCCCGCATTCCCTTTACTCGACTCACCCAGCTGTTTTCTGTACTGACTGGCTGACTCCTTGCTAGAACCACCGCCGTCACATCAGCATGCCTGCCAAAGAACGAGTGTGCCTCGCTTATAGCGGCGGATTGGTAAGTCGCCTTGAACTACACATGAAGATCATTTTTGCTGACCGGGGGGGTTTTAAAGGACACCTCGATCATTCTGGCCTGGCTTCTTGAGAAGGGCTATGATGTGGTCGCCTTCATGAGCAATGTCGGCCAGGAAGAGGACTTCGATGCGGCTCGCGAAAAGGCCTTGAAAATCGGCTGCTCCAAAGTTGTCATCAACGATGATAGGGATCAGTTCGTCAAGGAACTGATCTTCCCAGCGATTCAATGCAATGCCAATTACGAAACAACATACCTCCTAGGCACATCGTTGGCCCGACCTATCATTGCACGATCAATGATGTCTGTCGCTGCAAAGGAGAAATGTGCCTATGTAGCTCACGGGGCTACCGGGAAAGGTATGTGGTGTGAATTTCATTGTTTTGCCAAAAATCAGCACCTGCACCCATCTCTGCATTTACACAGGCGATATATCCTCACAAGGATGTTTCTCACTCTTCCTGGGTTGAGACACTCTTACTTCTCGGTGCCTTGGGAGAGGCATATTACGTGGATGAGATTTGGTGTTCAGCACCCGTTCTGAGTTTGCCCGCCTTTTAAGAATAACAGGGATGAAATTGAGAGCCATGTTGTTCTAATCAGGTGGAATCCCGGACTGTCGCACCAAGATTTCATCTCTATTCCGCCGGGTCCAAGAAGCCTTCCCTGTTTGCCTTTCCCTTTCCCTTTCCCTTATCTTATATTCCCAGCTCTATTCTCAAATCTCAGCACGACTCTAATCTAATTCAACTCGCTTCATAGGAAACGACCAGGTCCGTAACACCACCAGATTCATTCTCGATTTCAACACGCCTCTAATTTCATCTAGGTTCGGTTTGAATTGGCTTTCTACGCTTTGCAGCCTAACATCAAAGTCATCGCACCGTGGCGTGACCCCGAGTTCCTAGCTCGCTTCAAAGGCCGAAACGACCTGCTCGACTACGCAGCGGAGAAAAACATACCTGTCACCTCAACAAAGGCAAAGCCGTGGAGTATGGACGCCAATTTGGCTCACTGCAGTACGTTGTGCTACTTGTACAGGATATTCTCGGGATCCGGCTAACCACCATCCAGGTTACGAGGCTGGTATACTTGAAAATCCGGACATTACACCGCCTGATGATATGTGGACTCTTACTGAATCTGCGATCCTGTCGGCAGCCAATGAGCCCGAAGATGTCGTGATCGAGTTTGAAAAGGGTATTCCAGTAAAGCTGACCTCACCCACTACTGGAACAGAGACAGACCCAACCAAGCTGTTCCTGGCCGCAAACGCTCTCGCACGCAAGCATGGCATAGGACGTGTCGACATCGTGGAGAATAGGTTCATCGGGATTAAGTCTAGAGGCTGTTACGAGAGCCCTGGTCTAACTATCCTTCAGCACACGCACCGGGACCTGGAGGGTTTAACCGTCGACCGTGAGGTCCGCGCCCTCCGAGACCAATTCGTGACATTCGGATGGTCAAAAATACTGTACAATGGTCTCTACTTCTCTCCCGAGCGAGAATTTCTCCAAGTCAGCATCCCTGAATCCCAAAAGACTGTCAATGGTCAGGTTCGCGCGCGGCTATACAAGGGCAACACCATTATCCTGGGCCGCAGTTCGCAGACGGAGAAACTCTATGATGCGAGCGAGAGTTCGATGGATGAGATCGGAGATTTTGAGCCATCCGATGCTGGCGGCTTCATCAAAGTGCAGGCCATCCGGTTGAAGAAGTATGGGCAGGCGAAAGCAGAAAAGGGTGAGGCTCTGTAAAGGAGTGGGCAATGACCAGGCTACGTGGAAATGAAGGAATTACATTGGACTGTGTTTGGTTAGTTGGACGGCATCAACTCGCCTCAAAATTGCAATTGTGAATTAGAGTATGTCAAGGAATTTCTAGAGGCAAAATGCAACAAACCTGATCACTGGGATGGCAAGTCACAGCGGGATTGGAATGTTTCAATGGGTACCCTTGATGAGATACCGTGTATTAGGGAAATAATTTGTGGCAGTCGCTGGTCGTTGCCCGATGTTACCTATATCAACCAAACTTAGTGCTCGGAGTGCACGGATAGTACGGATTGATCAGAATGATGGGTTTGAGGAAGATTCCGAAAGGTTGGATCGAGAGACCGCCTCTATTGCAATAGCAGCGCTCTCAGCATGAAAAGAACAAGTTTACAGTCACACACTTGAAAGCAGTTATTTATTGACGACGGCCTCCATAAAAATAACCCGAGCCTTAATCGAGGTGTGCTCATGCTGTGGTATATCTGTGACGCCACCTTGACCCAAACTCCATCGATGCCTGTCACCGGGTCGTGATCGCCTAGTGGAGAGTATGCAGAGTATCTATCAACTCTGCTGCTGCAACACCTCGTCCTCGCTTGAATTTGTCAAACTGAGATAGGCGGTCCAGGCAATCCCAATCGTGCTCACGAAGGGGATTTGGAATTGTAAAGGTAGGACGCGGAAGTTGAGGATTTGCACCGCAGGCCAGAGAATATAGTTAGCCCTCAGTGTGGGAAGGTAGACATCCCGGAATTTGTTGAGCACATCTTCCTTGCCGCCTCCCTCAGCAACGGTCATAAAAGTGAAAAAGGCACCCAGACCAAAAGGGGCGAACATCAATTGATCGCAGGCTACGCGCTTCAGTGCGGGCACAGTGCCACTCTTTGATGTGACCGGAAACCATTTGGTGAGTTGACCAAACCACACGAACTGAACAGGCGCCATCAAGAATCCATAAGCCATGAATCTGGTCAAGCGCTCGAAATCAAACGGTTGAGGTCCCGGATGTCGAGGAGAGAGGGAGGGCGATCGTCTTGCGGGCTTCTCGTTGAGATCCTCCAACTCCACACCGGAGGAGATGAAGGATCCGGAGTCGGCATCAGGAGGTAGTAGAGCTTGTCTCGCTCGGAACGCAGTGATGCTCTGTGCGACAGTGTCTGCAATGCCTCCGAGGACCTATCTTTCATCAGCTGATATCAGCCGCGGGATGCTGCGCCACATACCGCATTGGTGATCATAGTAGTCAACACGGGCTTTTGAGCATAGTAAGAGTTGAACTTGGCCACCAGTCGTGCCGCCATGGCTACCTCGATGAAAAGGATGAGTGTATGGAGAAGAGGCTGAGGAGAGAAACAATGTTAGCTGCGAGAGTTTGAAGCCATCGAGCGCAAGCGCGGCATTCTCATTGTTGGGTGAGGTACACGTACAATTCTGCCATAGATGTATTGACTGTTTAGCCAGGCCAAAGATTTCTGTCTTGATCCTTCGAGCATACTGAGAAGAAAGGAGGAAGAGACGTGGAGGTCGAAGGGAGTAGAAAACGATGAGGTCAATGGAGTCGAGGTGAAGTCGGTGACGCCAGACCAAGAGCGCAGGCAACACAGTCACGCGGGACCCAGTCGAAAGGCTCCGCTGGCGTTGAGGAGATCGTAGCACAATGACGAGTCGGATTGTCGACTCAACTACCTGGGTGGTTCAGTGCCCATTGGAGTGCAAAAGAGTCTTGTCGACTGAACATGGGTGAGGAAGATAGAAGCGTAGGGGCTGGTGCCAGTGCGCCTCATGTTTTGCCGGCGCAGGACCAACACCCGGTCTTCCCGCCACTCAGGATCGAGCTCATCTGGTGTGTCGGGCGAGAACAAGATGGTCATCTGCTTCAATATGATGGTTATCTGTTGTTGTACTTTATACTGACAAGGCTTACGGTACTAGGTAGGAATGCAATCCGCTCCCTGGATCTCTTCTCGTAAACCTGCAGTCCCATCTGCTTGTTCACTGATTCGATCTTTGGCTGGCTCTGCATCATGCCACCCTTGCAGCCCCGGCGCCCTCGGGCTTGGAGACACTGGCACCCTTGATCACCCCGGCAGAGGCAGACCACGCAGAAGACTACTTTCATGAGGGAAATATAGAGCGACCAACATGTGGCTCTCCTGATTCAAGCACTCTGATGGTTAGAACGGGCATTAGAGGTAGGCATCGGCGCCCAAGGGCCTATTAGAACTACGTCAGTTTCCGGAGCATTGGTGGTGTTGGCACGATTATTAGGTACCTGGGTTGGTAGCCACTGCTCCCCACCAGATCCTCGTCCCGGTTCAACCCCTCCATCATCGGGTTTGTTTTCTTTTATGAAGAGCTGCTGGTCTGAGGATTTTCTTTCCCTTCAATTCCCAGGTCTCAATTTATCCCTCCCATTACCTGTAATTCAACATGTCTCTGTCTAACAAACTCGCTATTACCGACGTCGATCTCAAGGACAAGCGTGTCTTGATCCGAGTATGGTCCTCATTGAGCAACTTTTCTATGTTAGCTAATTTGGCCGCAGGTCGACTTCAACGTCCCTCTCGATGCCGACAAGAAGGTCACAAACAACCAAAGAATAGTCGGCGCTCTTCCTACCATCAAATATGCAATTGATCATGGCGCCAAAGCCGTCATCCTCATGTCTCATCTCGGCCGCCCGAACGGCACGAAGAATCCCAAATACAGCCTGAAACCGGTCGTCCCTGAGCTTGAGAAGTTACTGGGCAAGAGTGTCATCTTCACAGATGACTCTGTTGGGCCCGAGGTCGAAGAGACGGTCAACAAAGCCAGTGGTGGCCAGGTCATTCTGCTCGAGAACTTGCGCTTCCATCCGGAAGAGGAGGGAAGCAGCAAAGACGCCGATGGTAAGAAGGTCAAGGCAGACAAGGATGCTGTTGCCAAATTCCGTGCGGGATTGACTGCATTGGGTGACATCTACATCAATGATGCCTTCGGAACCGCCCATCGTGCGCACAGCTCTATGGTCGGTGTCGACCTACCGCAGAAGGCTTCCGGTTTCTTGATGAAGAAGGAGCTTGAGTACTTTGCCAAAGCCCTCGAGAACCCTAAGAGACCGTTCTTGGCCATTCTTGGTGGCGCCAAAGTTTCGGACAAGATCCAACTGATTGATAACCTGCTCGAGAAGGTCGACAGCCTGATCATTTGCGGAGGCATGGCTTTCACTTTCAAGAAGACTCTGGAAGGTGTCAAGATTGGTACTAGTTTGTTCGACCAGCCCGGCAGCGAAAAGTGCGCCGAGCTGGTGGAAAAGGCCAAGAAGCACAACGTCAAGATTATCCTGCCAGTGGACTATGTCACAGCCGACAAATTTGACAAGGATGCGCAGGTCGGCTATGCAACTGACAAAGAAGGTATTCCTGATGGCTGGATGGGGCTTGACTGTGGCGAGGAGAGCATCAAATTGTACAAGCAGGCCATCGACGAGGCACAGACGATTCTGTGGAACGGACCTGCCGGCGTTTTCGAGTTTGACAAGTTCGCCAATGGTACGAAGAAGACCCTGGACGCGGCAGTGGCAGCGGCCCAGAGCGGAAAGATTGTGATCATCGGGGGAGGAGACACGGCCACCGTCGCCGCCAAGTATGGAGTTGAAGACAAATTGAGCCATGTGTCTACTGGAGGCGGTGCAAGCTTGGAACTGCTCGAGGGCAAAGAGCTACCCGGTGTGGTCGCCTTGTCCAGCAAGTAGATCACGCTGTGCATTGTACAATGACAGTGGTCAGATAATGCCGAACAGAGCGGAAATGAAGATGAACGATGGAAATTGCACGACATGGCAGCAGGCAATGGTCGGTGTTTCAAGACTTATGCGATAGAGGAAAACATATCCTATCTGTAATTAGGCTCTATGCTCCTTTTATGACCCCAAACGCCATGTGGTGCAATACTCGAAGACCAGCCGTTGGACCATGAGCTATTTGGTAGCTTCGACCTTCTTCAATTCTTCCCTGCGCGGTTGTTAGTACCCTTGGGCGATTCCCAGTCGTTGTCACGTACTTCAATTGTTTGCTGAAATCCTCGTTTTGGTCATCATCGTCCCAGCTCTCCTCCCACAGGTGGGTTGCCCCTCCTGGTACTTCGGCGTCTTCTTGCGCCCAGTCTGTGGGAACTCCGTCAGCACACGGTTGAAGATCGTCTTTGAACCCGTGAAAAGATTCTCCGTATGGATGTTGCCCGTACCTTCAACTGGGAAGTCTTCAAATTCATCATCCTCTTCTAAAAGCGCGGGTTGGGGATTTGTTGCGGACTTGGAAGTCTGGGCGGGGTCGACCTCATTCTTCTGGGTTGGCTGCAGTTTCGTGGTGGGCACATTGGAGGAACCTGAAGACATCTTGGGAGAGAGCACGACCTGATGGAAGCGCAGGCAGGAGAGGATTCGGCGAGTCGATTGGGGACCAGGTTGAGGATGGAGTACTTTCTTCGGTCGATCCAGGCGAGATGAACACGGGTGGAATCGCGGAGTCGAGAAAGCTGCAAAGTTCTTTTTGAGCGCGCAGGGAGTTATGTGCTGAAGTATGGATTGTCGCGAAACCTTTACGGTGGTGAGATGGTACGGAGTACAGTAGTGTAGGTTGAGAGGATATTGGATGGTATGTTAGACTGTTTGTCTGCACAGAGGCGGAATTAAGGCTGGACGGCGGAGCAGTGAGAACTAGCGACTTGAGGTGCAAGGTACAGGTACGCGGCCTTAAACAGGCGCAGTCTTGAATATACCGACTATCCGTAAACACACTACCACGCTACTACGTGCTACTAGTACGTTCCTGAGGTAATATCTGCAGGCGGCCATCAATTGAATGACGAAAGAGCACTCCTTCCATCCGAGTCTGCCATCTCACCCTGCCAGTTGCTGACAACCACGGAGCTGGGGACTACTACCTAGTACTGAAATCCAGATGGAATCCCACGTATAAAGCAGAATATCCTTGAAGGGTCTTTTCCCTGTGTTTTGTATTATTACTTATACTACTAGAGTCCACCATCCGTCCTCTCTCCTTCTGGGGCATCTTTCTCTCTACCAATATCATTACTTCTGGCTGCCGGTGACTTGCGGCTCAACATGGCTTGCTAGGCCCTGACACTGAGCTCATCTGGTGCCTAGATTGACCTAAGCCTGTCGAAATCCTTTCATCGTTGCGCATCTGCGGCGGACATCTGGTTTCTTTCCCAAGCTAATCGCCATGTATAGAGTTGGAAAGTGGCTTGATCGAGGGCGATCGTATGCCAATGCATCCACGCAGAGCTTGGATTCTCTAGCCGAATCCCAGAACCTTGAGTCGGCCCTCCGTGCTGTAGAGCTGGTTTTGAACGATGACATCCAGGGAGCAGAAAAGGGCCTCGGGGATGGGACTTCACCATTCCACAAACTCGCCAAAGGCACTCTGGGTTTCATGAAGGCCGTTCTGGGCTTCGAACAGGACGCCATGAAAGAGGCACAGGCGACGCTGTCTGAAGCCGAATCCAGCTCATCTGCCAGCTACAACAAAGCCCAATATGACCCTCGTACGTTTGTTTCCACAATATACGAGAAGGGCTCCGAGTTTGCATTGTGTCAGGCCGAGGCCCAGATCATGTCCGCTGTTGTTGGGGTGCTTAATGAAAGCCTGACAGAATCCATAAGAGGTTTTTACAAACTGAGAAAAGCTTATATCACCCTGGACCGCCTGGTGCAGATGGAAATAGCCTTCATGAAAACGAGGCCGACTCAGGGGCGCTCTGCATTGCGACCACAGTCTATGGAGAGTTTACAACGTCCCGGATCTCGGACCGGAAAGACGCAATATCCTTCTGAGAGACCTGGAACAGATCCGGTTCAGCCGAGTAATCCGTCTGCATTGCGAAAGGCAGAAGCCGTGGAGGACGTCTCAGCAGATGACCCTGCCGAAGAATTCCACGAAGCTGACATCATTCATGACAACAACCCAGTGACCCAAGCTTATGAAGGTCATTTTGATGTCGAAGAGGAGGCGGAGGACATGACTGAACTGGACCGCAAAATCGAGGAAATGAATCTTGCGCACCACTCGAACGAGCTACAAGCCGAAGGACTGATGAAACCACCACCTCTAACGACCCTGGGCATGCTCACCGAAGATGCAGACTCGGAAATCTTCGCCAACTCCCTCGACGCCTTCATCCATTCTGGCACCAACCTCATGTCCGGAATTCTCTCGCTTCTCATCTCCGTTATCCCCCCAGCCTTTAGCAAATTACTCTACATCATAGGCTTCCGAGGCGACCGCGAAAGAGGCATTCGAATGCTGTGGCAAGCGAGCAAATTCCCCAACATCAATGGCGGTATGGCAAGCCTGGTCTTGTTCGGCTGGTACAATGGGTTGGTTGGGTTCTGCGATATCATTGCCGACCCTGACCCCTCGAAGCCAGACGACGTGGAAGGCTATCCTGCAGCTCGACTGGAGGCTCTGCTGGTCGAGATGCGAAAGCGGTACCCCAAAAGCCATCTCTGGCTTATCGAGGAAGCTAGAATGGCGGCCTCTAAGCGACAACTCGACTCGGCCCTGAAGATCCTCTCTGTTCCGGGCACCAGTCAACTCAAGCAGATTGAGGCCCTGCATATGTTTGAAAAGAGTTTAAGCGCCATGAACGCTCACCGATACCAACTATGCGCCGACTCATTTCTTACTTGTGCAGACCTCAATGCCTGGTCCCAGGGCCTGTACTCCTACATCGCAGGGGCTGCACACCTCAGCGCTTACCGTTACGACAAGACTCTCTCGAAGGCAGAAGCGCAGAAACACGCGAAGCTGGCCGAAGAGTACCTCAAAGCCGCGCCCACTAGAGTTGGTAAAAAGAAGATGATGGGTAGACAGCTTCCTTTTGACGGGTTTGTGGTTCGGAAGATCGCGAAGTGGGAGGAACGTGCGGTCAGGTGGAAGTGCAACTTTATTGACGCCGTGGGAGTCAGTCCACTCGAGGAGATGATCTTCCTTTGGGCCGGATACAAGAAGATGGATGCAAGTCAACTGCAGAGCTCCCTGGAGAACCTGGCCTGGTCGGAAAATACACCGCGGTGGCCGCAGGAGGATGCGGACGAGCGTGCCATCCTCGCCGTTCTGAGGGCCGTGATCTTGAGAAATCTGCGCCAACATGAAGAGTCCGCAGCCATTCTCAGTCAAAACATTCTCAATCGAAGCGCATTCGACTTCACAGGCCAGTACAAAGACGACTGGATGGTGCCTACGGCGCACTATGAGCTAGCCGTGAATCTTTGGATGCAGAGAACCGAGTACGGCCAGATCCACGGCACTAAATTCGTCACTGATCCTGGCGAAAAAGTTCCACCTGTGGTGCCGGCACACGACGCAAGGTTGGTGAAGGAATGCCAGGCGCATCTGGAGAAGGCGAAGGCCTGGGGAAAATATGAGCTTGATGCGCGCTTGGGGCTGAAGATCACAGCCGCGCTCAATGCCGTCAAGCATTGGGAGACGAAACACGCCACCATTCCAACGTGACCGGCCAGAGATGGCACTGGAGGAAACCCGGCGGACAGTGGAGACCGGACTGAGGATGTTCCTCATCTTCCTCCATCCATGCAGACCCAGTCCCAGCGCCCAGGACTAGGCTCACTGGCGGGAGGGGCCTTGGCCATCGTGAAGCTTGGCTGAGGCCGGCAACCGTAGCGCCAGGAAATGCGTTCCCTCCAAGGGTGTGTCATAGTAGGCTGGAATATCCTCAAACCCAAACGAGCGATACATGTTCAGCGCAGCCACCATACTAGGAAGAGTGTCAAGCCGCATTTCGGTGTAGCCGAGCTTTTCCGCCGCCGCCACGATCGTTTTAGCCAACGCCTTTCCCACTCCGCTGCCACGCCCCGCGGGAGCGACGTACAGACGCTTCATCTCGCACACTCGAGCGCCGTCACTGGACGGAGGGAGAGGTCGCAGGCCGACACAGCCGATCGGAAGGCCGGCGTCGTCTCGGGCAAGAAGCAATTCCCCGCCAGGTGGCGCGTATTTGCCAGGCATGCGGGCCATTTCAGCATCAAAATTCTGAAACGCCAGATCGATCCCTAGAGATCTGGCGTATGTATAGAAGAGCTGGATGGTGTCTTTCAGGTCGGCTGCACCTCGGACGGGGCTTATAGAAAACCGCGGTTTTTGTTCAGACATGTCGATTTTTACGAGTGGTAGACGATTGTTACTGCGTAGCCTGTTTCTTGAGGTCGGCGAAGAAGCTGTCTAGTACGGGGCGGAGTCAAATCCTGTCTGCTCGGAGAGAATCTGATGCTGTATTTGTATCATGAGGAGTAGTCTGCACGGGGCAAGGACTAGAACGCTACACTGTTGGGTTTCGGGGACACCTATCTGTCCGTGTGTGGGAACTGGTTGGTGGCCTTGCACTGCGAATAGACTATCAAGTGGAATGCTCAGAGGTCATGTCTACGGAGTTATGCGGCAGTATATTGCCCATGGACAGTTGTAGTATCTTCCACCTCCGATAACGACTCTTTATAGCAGTGTGAGGCTCAACCTCAACTATGCAAGTGGATGAGTAGGTATGAGTGGCAACAGCCTGAGAGCAATCCTGTCTTTTCATACTAAGTAACCGCGGTGCATTGCCGAGATCGGGCCCCAGGCAAGCGGCGTGTCCATATATTCTTTCTGCTAATATTATGTGTATGGCTGCCGTGATATTCTCTTGGTCATCGGCTGGTCTCGGAAGCCCGCTGCTTTCTTCTGGCTGGACGGGAAGCGTAGGTAGTGGGTAGTGTGAATCTGGCCAGGGCGCAGTCTCCACGCGAGTTACGGGGATGCTGTAGGCGTCTCCGGAGACTTGCAGAAGACGGATCAGCGACATCGGCTGGTAGACGATGGATCCGGCATGGCCGTTTGGGGGCTGGCCGGGGCCCTGGACAGTGGACAGTAGTGGACACTGAGACGAGACAGAACCGCCTTTTTTCCTTTTTCCAGCCCTGGGTTTAGTCAAAGGTTGACGGTTGGATTCGTGCAATGCAATGGTCGAGACAGGCATAGCTCCAAGCCCAGACTCTTTATCTGCATGTTTCTTCCTTATCGAACCAATCGTGTGCCCAGCTCCTCATTTCCATCCATAATTTTGTAGCTGTATCGATGTCAAATCTGATGGTAGACGACATGATGATTCTCATGATGAGCTGTAAATCCACGCTGAGGGGGAAGATCGCCTAGCAAGGGCGGTCTGCACCTAGGTGCTCCGGTGTCGTCAGCCGCAGGGACTCGGAATGTTCAGTTTGAGGAGTGGTAGTGGTAGTAGGGCGCAGGCAGGACTGTAGGTAGCGAGAAGAATTCGCCGCTCGTAAAACTCCCAGAAGCAACAGCTCGTCCTAGACCCAGTCACGTCCGTGAGCCTTTCAACCCCCCCGACATCCTCCCTCATTTCTTCTTCTGTCCTCCTCTGCCCTACCCGATAAATAACTCTCTCCTCCTCGACTTACACCTGCCCTTGTCTCTGTTGCATCTGCCGTCAAGAAGTGCTCTGAAAATTTCCTCCCTCCCCAGTTCCGTTGCCACTCTCACACCGGCCACCATGTCCAACCTTCCCTCCGAGCCTGAGTTCGAACAGGCGTACAAGGAGCTTGTCTCAACCTTGGAAAACTCCACTCTGTTCGAAAAGAACCCAGAGTACAGAAAGGCGCTCGAGATCAGCGCCATCCCAGAACGAATCATCCAATTCCGCGTCGTGTGGGAAGATGACAAGGGCCAAGTCCAGGTCAACCGTGGATATCGCGTCCAGTTCAACTCCGCCCTCGGCCCCTACAAAGGCGGTCTTCGATTCCACCCCACCGTGAATCTGTCCATCTTGAAATTTCTGGGCTTTGAGCAGATCTTCAAGAATGCTCTCACCGGTTTGAACATGGGCGGCGGCAAAGGTGGCGCCGATTTCGACCCCAAGGGCAAGTCAGACAACGAAATCCGGAAATTCTGCTGTTCTTTCATGAGTGAGCTCGGGAAGCATATTGGTGCCGATACCGATGTCCCAGGTAAGACAGCCATGGCCTCCGAGATCTCACGGCGAATCTAACAAGCGCTACAGCCGGTGACATTGGTGTGTCTGGGAGAGAGATCGGTTACCTCTTCGGCCAATACAAGAAGCAGACCAAACTGTGGGAAGGAGTATTGACCGGGAAAGGAGGTAAGCTCAGACTACCTATTCTACGCCCCTTGTGGTTGCTAACCAGGTATAGGAAGCTGGGGCGGCTCTCTCATCCGACCAGAAGCCACGGGATACGGCCTTGTATACGTGAGTGCAGCCGGTTGGCAAAACGGGTAACTGGTGACTGACGAGATCTAGTACGTTGCCCACATGATCAACTATGCCACCGGCGGCAAAGAGTCCTTCGCCGGGAAGAGGGTCGCCATCTCTGGATCTGGAAACGTTGCTCAATACGCTGCCCTCAAGGTCATCGAGCTCGGCGGCACCGTCCTGTCTCTTAGCGATAGCAAGGGTGCCATCATTGCCGCCACTGACAAGGGTATCGACGCTGAGTTGATTGCCACCATTGCACAGTTGAAGGTTGAGCGAAAACAATTAGCTGAGTTGGCAAGCACCTCCGAATTCAGCAGCAAGGCGAAATACATTCCCGGAGCGCGACCGTGGCTGCACGTTGGTGCCGTCGATATCGCCCTTCCTGGCGCCACTCAAAACGAAGTTTCCCGCGAAGAAGCTGAAGGGTTGATCAAGGCTGGTGCCAAGTTTATCGCCGAAGGTAGCAACATGGGTTGCACCCTAGAGGCGATCGAGGTGTTCGAGAACGACAGGAGGACCAAGAAGGACAAGGCTATCTGGTATGCCCCCGGCAAGGCCTCGAACGCTGGCGGTGTTGCCGTCTCCGGACTCGAGATGGCTCAGAACTCGGCACGCATTAAGTGGACATCCGAAGAAGTCGACTCCAAGTTGAAGGATATCATGAAGAACTGCTTCGAGAGCGGCCTACAGACCGCATTGACCTATGTCACTCCGGCCGAGGGCGAGTATCCCAGCTTGGTGGCCGGCAGCAACATTGCAGGCTTCAGCAAGGTCGCGGCGGCGATGAAGGAACAGGGCGACTGGTGGTAAATGTTAGATATGACTTGGTATTTGCGGACGACATAATGATACGAAATGGTTGGATTTCCCATCTCTCGGCCTCGGCCTCGCTGCCACATCATCCTCGGCATGTTGGGCTACTTGTGACTGTGCGTCTGTTTTTGCCGTCCAATCTTGCTGCTGATCCAGACTCATTGGCATGGCTATCGTGCCTTTGGCAGGCGTTGAACGATGTCGGCCCTGGGTCGTTCATCAAGAGGTCGATGCTGATAGTCTTCTGTTGACGATCTGCTGGTGCGACTCGTCCACCTTGGTGATGGATCGCTCTGGCAGGATTGATCTTGGTGTTGATCTTGGTGTTGATGATATCATTATTTGGTTGTAGAAGCAATGGCGTCACGTCGAGCGGTTGCACTCTTCACTTCCCTTCAACTCTCAATTCTCGAATCTCTCCACCCTTCAATTGATCTTGATCTGTCAGATATCCTTGTATATCCCACTTTGTATTTCCGGAATACCTATCCCAGGGGGCAGTATCCAAGAGTTGTGGTTTTATTTGGCGGGAACACCACGAATCCGGATGCCATGTCAGGAAACAACACCCTGCTTCTTTGAAAGGGAGTAGCAGCCTCGTTATACTACATCTTACTCAGTTGTACCGCCCATGCTGGAAGCGTCCATCGTCCTCCGTGCCAAGAACCACTGTCCTCCGGGCCCTGCTCCCGGTCTCCTCCCACCTGCCATGCCGGTGCGTACTATTGGGTAGTACTCGTAGTAGTCCGGAGATGACACTCCGGGCGACCATCGTGCTCCGAGATCAACCACATGATACTGGTGATACGGGCCAACCAGCTGACAAATTCGGTTACAGTCCTCTGTACGGATACCCAGGCACCTACCGGGTACTTGCCTCAGGATGTCAGAGTATCAAGTCCGTCTGGTCTATCTCACCATCAACTATCAGATCTCCCTGATCCCACTACATTATCAACTACAGCGTCTTGGTTCTCCGTCATGGCCGGGTTTATTGAACTCGAACCCCCCAAAGCCTTAGCAGATGACCTGGTTTGTGACTTTTGCCTGAAACCCCACCAGAGACGTCCGGTCCCCTTGCAACCCTTACAGCCATTTTGCTAACAATCCGTCCGTAGGCGACCTGTTTCTGCGCCGTCGTAGACGCTGCAATGGCCCGAGAAAGTCCATAAACCGCCGCAAAGCCTGCAATGCGTGCGTCCAAGCAAAGACCGAGTGTTGCTACACCCAACCCACCTGCGTCCGTTGTGACAGACGAGGAATGCAGTGTGTGTATGGGCGATCTTCAGCATTGCCTACCCCGGAGCAACAGAACGAAGTCGCAAAGACCTCTGATTCAAGTCTCCAATCTTCCTCCTTCGGGACAGACGACTTCCCAACCCCCACCGAGCCCTTCACTCTAGACCTCCCTGGTTGGGGGTTCCCAACATCTCCTTATCCTCTTGGGACCTTCGACATGAATCTCCCAGATCTGGCAAGCACGCCAGCACCGCTTTCAGGATTTCCGGTTGGGAAGCCGTCTATGGTTCAGGACAGTCGGGATTTTGCGCCAGCCAGCCAGACACGCCAGCTTTCGCCAGCATCGAGGGGCACCCCAGTCCTAACGCCGCCGTTGAGTGACAGTGCGAGCTCCACAAGGCCTCACCCAGCCTCATCGATCCCACTCGCGCTGGTCCGCAGAATCGGCGAATATCCTTCCTTGCTAATGAAGGGAGCTTTCATGTCGCCACTTCTCCATCTGTCGCTCTATTCACTCTACAGTAATGTCGTTCCCGACATGACGTTGCTACCACAGACCTTGATGGCAATCGCCTGCGGCAGTGGCATAAGAAGTTCGGACAGTAGTCGGTTTTTCAGACGGGCCATGGACGCTGCGCGACAGAGACTAATCGCCAGTTTCGTGAGTGATGATGAACACGAATTACTGCGATCAATTGCTGACATACAGATTAGCCCACTCACCAGTGTATGGAACAGTGGGATGCATTGCATGCCATGCTGGTCTACGAAGTCGTGGACCTGAGGGCAAGTCTTATGGAAGCCACGGAGAAATGGAGCCATAAAGCGCCAGTCAAGGGGCTGCGTTCGCCTTTTCTTCTGAAAGTACGGCCCCCTTCTCCTCCATCTCTCCATCAGGTCTTCGGGCTTTCATCTTACCTTTCCGAGGCTTACGAGGCTTTGCTCATCGTCGCAGATGACAAATAGTTACCTCGGACATTATCCTCAGATCCGTAACCCTGATGTCGGCGTCTTCTCAGACCCGAACTCAAACCCATGCCCAGCAGCCACATCAGCATGGGCCCGCTGGAGGATCACCGAGACAGCTCGGCGAACGGTATTCTTTGCCAACATCGTCAACTTCTATGGCAACCGTGACCATCAAACCGGGAAGCAGACGCCGTATTATGAGCCGCTCAACGACGACCTCGTCCTCAACATGCCCTTGCCCTGCAACGAAGCCGCGTGGTCGGCGCGTAACGAGGAGGATTGGAGACTTGCAATTGACAGCCTCCCACCTCTAGCATCTCGCCTTTCGTCCAGCTGCAACAGCCTTGGATGTGAAACCGTCTCGTCGGAGATCTCGCTCAAGTCGATCTTTTCCAAATTCCCCAAAGAACATCTTCAAGCCGAGCTCGGGACAAAGGCTGGCTTTGGCGATTCCGACGAATTCAGGGCCCTCATAGTCCTCTGTGCGAGCGAACAGTTTGCTTGATTGATTCCATGACTGTAGGAGATCTTTTGGTCGATTGCTCGAAAACGCAGACTTGCAAATGCCCATAGACGCAGACTTACAAATACCCCAAAACAGACTTACTAATGCCCAAATCAAGGGTCACAGGTCAGGCATCATAGATCAAAGATCAAAGGTCAAAGGTCTGGCCATCTTCATGCTCTGCTTATTCAATCAAATCCTAAGAAGTGGGTCTGAGAGCGCAAGTGCCTCCGGGCCCCAGGCCTCCTCTGAGAAGACCAACCTACTCCGAAATCTTAATGTTCACAACGCTGAAGGAGATTGCGGATGGTAGCTATAGAAATGTGTATATAATCAGGTTCGCCCTCAGGTCGCCCTGGCCTGATACATCTCCGGCATCATTACGAGCCCTCACCCTTCCCAGTGTATATCCGGATATCCAGGTCTTCAAGGTTCCAAACTCACTCCATGCCTCAACCCGACCGCAGGATTTCCCCAGGTGGATGGGTTCTCGTGACAGGAGCCAACGGATACATCGCCTCGCACGTTGTCGACATCCTCCTTGATCAAGGCTACAATGTGCGCGGCACCGTCCGTAACGAGAAATTGTGGCTGAACAGATATTTCGAAACCAAATACGGCAAGGGGGGGTTCCAAACCTTCATCCTCCCGGACTTGGAGGATCAGTCTGCCTTTGACAAGGCTGTCAACGGTGTTTCGGGCGTCGTCCACATTGTTTGTTCCACCCAGTACTTCACGAGACAGTATGGTGCCGGAGACTCACACTAACCCCTCTGATTTCAGGCCACAGATGTGTCCTTCAGCACGGATGTCCACGCTGTTGTGGCCAAAGTCGTGGCTGGGACAGTGAACGTGCTTCAGTCCGCGGCCAAAGAGCCTTCTGTCAAGAGCGTCGTGCTGACCTCCTCCTCGTCGGCGGCACTGATTCCGGTACCAAATCAAGAAGGAGTGGTCGTCGACCAAAGTAAGTGAAGGCACTGGTCCATCAGCCACTGAAAGCCAATTCTAACAAGCTCCGCCTAGATACATGGAACGATGCAGCTGTGAAGGCAGCGTACAGCGGAGCAGCACCCGCAGAGCAACTGCCATTCTTGTCCTATGCAGCGTCCAAGACTGAAGGAGAACACGCGTTCTGGGACTGGGTGAAGACCAACAACCCAAGCTTTGCTGTCAACTCAGTCTTGCCGAATATGGCTGTAAGTCCGTGGAGCGGCCTGTGTGGCTTCTCATCTGCACCACTGACAATCGTTGACACTAGATGGGCCCGATCCCAAGCCCGGAAATGTATGGGAGCACCATGGGCTTTATCCGGGAACTTCTGGAAGGAAAGACGGATAAGAACATTGACATGTTCCCTCCGCGTAAGCTGAAAAGCGCCGTTCGCATCCTCCGGACCAGAAGAGGAACTGACTGTGGCAATCAGAGTGGTACATAGACGTCCGAGACATCGCGAGAGTTCACGTCGCCGCCCTGCTTGATCCCACCGTCCAGTCCGAACGACTCTTTGCATTTGCTGGCCCGTTCAACTGGAATGATATTATCCGGATCTTGAAGAAACTTCGTCCCGGGAACACGAATATTCCCGCGGCCCCTGAGAATGAAGGCAGAGATTTGTCGGATGTTTGGAAGGCGAGCAAGAGAGCAGAAGAGCTGATCCGTTCATTCTTTGGGGTCAAAGGCTGGATTAGTCTGGAAGAGAGTCTCGAGGCAGGCATTGTTGATCTTAAATGAGGGCGAGACGAGGAGGGCTGGAGGAAGGAGGGGGAAGGGTTCTGGTCGTACTACTCCTTTCTGTCTCTAGGTAGAGGTAGCTAGCCAGGTATTAGGTATTGTACAAGAACTGCTGATAACCTCAACGTCAATTGGTTCTTGCAGTAAACGAGTCGGAAGTAGCGCCATGGTAGATGGCAGCCTTTCTGAGACGAGAGACTAGATCTTGAAGTGTAACAGCCGGGAGATGTGGTGAATGGTGAGTGGTGAGTGGTGATGGTTTAGCAGATGGCCTGAAGTCTGAGCCTAATGTAGGGGCACAGGGCGGCATCACACTCGTCCTAAAGGGGATTAGACAGGTCTTGTCTTGGCGGGTTTGTCAACCGCGACGGCTAAGTTTGCGTGTCGCGTCCAACCACGCATACTGCTAGTTACTGGCTACATTCTTGTCGAAACACCAACAAATGGAAATGTTCCTCCCCAGTGGTCTCACTTGATCCGAATTTGACCTGACCAGATGGGACCGCAGGAGCTGTTGCAGCCATGCTTAACCTCTACACCGAAACGGCCTTCAAGGTGAGGCCTGCCACCACCGCCTCTGTCGCAGACTTCCAAATCCCCAGGTCCGACGGCTCATACAATCGGTCCAAATACTCCTCCAACGCTGCGACCAGTAGCAGCGCCTTTACCAGAAACGAAGAAACCTTCGCTGCAAACGTCCTTGCCTCGCAGAGCTCCATCTACTTCCGACAGTGCAAGTCCTATCCGAGAACATTCTACTGGAGCGTGGTGGGCAATGGCAAGGTTCTGCAGGTTCAGTGCGCGGATTACGCAAGGAGTGAGCTGGATGTGAAAGAAGCATACTTTACACTTCGTTTCGAGTTCCAGGACAAGATCCTGCCTCGGGGCGTGTGCTTCGCCGACCTGGAGACCGGCCACGAACTCCACGCCTTTGTCTGCACCGAGAAGAACGGGATCTTCGATCTGCAACTGCCAGCAGCGGCTTTCCGCGACCCCGAAGTACTGCGAACCGAGACTACCAGCCGATGGTGCAAACCCGTTGACGATTCATCGCTGAACATTGAGACCGTTCATCAATTTTGGGCCAGTAGCCCGTTGGAAGTCTTCATATCATTTGCAAGTGGCAAGCTACAGAAATTGACGAGGCGCTCGGTCAATGGAGCTTGGAAACAGGACAACTATGACGACAGATCTTGGGCAGCCTCTTTGCGTGGCATCGTCAGTCGACGTGGTTTCCTTGCAATCGAGCATGGTTCCAGTCAGTTCGATCCGAGAACGGTACAGGCCATGGTCACATCTCCCGACGGCAAATTCCTATTCACAGTCTGCTTGAACCACACTCTCAGAGTATGGAATCTCCTCACTGGAATTGTTGTGGCGACAAAGGATCTTCTTGACGTCGAGAGAGATCCAAATGATAGAACGCACTTGAACCCTGCCGAGGAAGCGCATATCCAAGTTTTCAAGCTTCCATTCGACAGGTACCCTTCACTCATTACGTATACACCTCACGATGGGGGCCACTTCAAAGTCTGGAACGTCAAGGGTGGATCAACAGATTCCGTCACGGTTGAGGACAAGTATCCGGGCTTGAGACTGAGCTCACCAGACCCGGACCCGTCGGGGAACACGGTTTGGTCCATGGTGGGATTCAAGCTGGATCCTGGGAGTGACTCCAAGCCTGCAGGACTGTGGGTGTTGTGGAGAAATCACAACTACCATCAACTGTACAATTGTCGGTTGGAATTCGGCGATCTGAAATCCTCGTGGGCCTCGAACTGGGTCAAATGTAATCCAAGAGCAGCAGCGAAGATTATTGCACCGGAATATGTCAAGGCTGACAGCGAGGATCCCGCCTCCAAATGGCTGGAGTTCTTCTTCTACCCCGGCCGCTATACCGACGCCACCCTGGAGACGGCATTGTCCATCTTCGCAGAAGCCACCGCCGTGAAATTGCCATCTTCGCAAAAGGGGGCTCCTTTGCGACAACGGCTGAGCGCAGTCGTGGCTGCCGGCGTGTCACTACGCAAATACGAGGAGTCTGATTTCGACTATGACCGATTCTGTACCGACACTGATTTCCATTGGCGCAATCTATATAGGATTGCGGAAAATGTGAATGAAAGTCGCAATGCGCCTTTGGCCTTGGCCTACGACGCATTCAGCGAGATGGTCTGGATTACAATGGCCGACAAATGCTGCGCGGTTAGAGAATGCAGCAAAATCGAACTCCTGCAGCAGAACAGACAGGAGGACATCCCGGACGTTGAAAGCATTGCGGCTCGGACATGGGCACACCGGAAAGTCAGCAGCGAAGACGGTGAAACGTTCAGTGACATTGCTGCTCTGATGACCGCCGCTAAAACATTCCGAGACTTCTTCAGCGCCGAACTTTCGAGCGATCTGAGCGTCGCCATCGAAGAAGAATTGTCTCTTGATGCTGAATATGTCACCCCGAATAGGATCACTGGCATCTGCAACAGCATTGGCTTGGTCGATGCCATCACCAACGAAATCTTCGAGCAGCTGGAAAGAGATCTTGCTCCAATTGGAGGGCTCTTGTCCCTGAACAATGAGTTGTTTCTGAGCGTCCTGGAGTTGCTGGTCAATGCCAGGACCAAGAGGCCAAAAAGTTCGATGCGGAATACACTTTTTGGGAATCTTTTATTGTCAGCCGGGGTGTTGGATACCACCACCTCTCAGCGAGATTTGCTCCTGGATCTGCTCGCTTTGGCCCTCTTTGCCGAAGGCGAGCTTAGTCAGGAGGAAGTGAAGCCGACAGGGTTCAATGCCTCGGAACTGTTCCATCACATTACTCCTCTGCTGAAACTCTGCGAACGAAACCTCTGGCTGGCGTCCCACTCGCGACTCGTCCCCCTGGAGATTATGGGCGCGGACGGACGTCCAAATGCGGCTCGTCGGCCGTCCTCCGCGGCAGAAAACAAGAGGCGGGTCTCAATCTTCGAAGACACATTGAGCAAGGCAGTCCGGCCACAACCGGCCGTAGAGCGGCCATTGATGTACGTGATCACCGACCAGTTGTCAGAGATCGATGACTGGGCATCTGGAAAGGATACGATTGCCGTCGAAGAGGGCGCCGTCTTCCTCCAATGCGATCTCCTCGCACAGCGCGAACTTGAACTGGCCACGGACTTTTTGCGCTTCCAGCCATCGACGTCTTGGTCAAGTTATGTCAAAGGACGGCTTGCCTTGGCCAACGGCAAGTATACCATGGCAAGCAACTATTTCCGGAAGGCCTCGTATGGCCTCGCATGTGGCAAAGCAGTTGGCAACCTCGTCGCTCTTTCGGCGGGCTTGTTGTCAATAATCGATGCGGAATGTTTCAACAATGGCCTCCCTTCATATTTGCATCATATCACTGCTCTGTTCGAATCCGCCGATGCGTATAGTGAGGCTGCCTACTTTGCACACTTGACCATGGAAGCCCTGCAACCCGGTCAGAAGGAACCATCGCCCGGTTTCCACGCAGAGGTGTTGTCTAGACTGTTCAGCGCAGAACTCAAACTCTCCAGATTCGACCGCGCCTACGCCGCCCTGGTCCAACTGCCTGACGCAGCACTGCAGCGATCTTCGGTGATCACACTCACCAACGCACTCTTAGATTCACAGCGCTCGATACTAGGCGCCCGCGGTGCAGTGGAGACGTTGATGTCCTTCCCCTGGACCATCTATCCCCAGCTTGCCCGTCACCTGGACCAGCATCTGGTCTCACTAGCAAAGAAGAACAGTTCCAGTGGCGCCAGATCCTCACCCTGGTCGGGTGGCGATGCCGGGTTCGATTACCTGAGTATCATGTACGCGATACGCCTGGCGCAGAAGGACTATCGCGGCGCGGTTTCTGTTTTGTACGATCGACTAAAACTGACCCGACGACTTGCAAGGGCTCGACACGATCCTCAGGCCACGGCGTTGCGGCACGCACTTTTGGCACTGATCAATGTCATGGCTTGTGTCCCCCCGGAAGAGGCTTACGTCCTGGCGGATGCAGACGACAAGAATGGATCAAATCAAGTAGGCCAAAACGGTACCGACACTTCAGGCAAGAGACGCCGCATCATCATTACTTTGGAGGACTTGCGCAAGGAATACCAACAGACCCTCGACAAATGCAGCCGAATCGAGCGTGGGGACTTTGACTTTGAGGTCGACGGGGAAAGCGACGACGACGGAGAGCAGCTGGCGAACCAGTCGCGACTGAACCTGTCTTCTTCCCATGCCGGCGACGCCATGGAGTTTTGATACTAAAAAGGGAGAATGGCCATCATCACACACAGACCGGCGGCTATGGACTAGCGACGTGGAAATAAATAGCGAGGGAGTTCCGGCCAGCAAGATGACGGACGATTCGTTCTCGAAACAGTGTAGCATACATAGCATACAAGGATGGCATGGCGTGATCTGTAGAAGAAAGAAGCCCAACATGTTTGAGTTGAACAGACTACGCGTTCCTGCTCCTGCTCCCGCTCCTACTGTGCTCATTCTGATCGGTCTATCATGTTATATGCGACGACAGTGAAACCAACACTAACAGGCTCGGGTATACCGATCCAGGCTACGGATACTCGCGGTGCTATTCAACCAAACCAGATGTAGGATATGAGCATCGCAAGCACAAACTGCAGGTTGCTTCGGAGCGTAGATGGCATTGCTCGTCACAACCATAATCACAACGCGTACTGCACGCCCCGAGGATGAAGACTGCCGAGGGCCAGGATGGAAAAACCGCATGAAGAAAAGACGACACAGCAAGACACGCACCTGAGGTGGCACAAAAGGACATTTTCTTTTTTTGTTTGGCGGCAAGGAATGCTCGACGAAACGAAACTGCAATTGTGTGATTAGAAACGCGCAACACGGGCACTACTACATACCGAGCAACGACAGTTCCGTGTCCGCCCTGATCTGATCGCCCTGGTCGTCCACCAAGTGCCTAGGTGGGCGCGAATCATTGAAATTGAAACCGTCTCGCGTCTCCTCCGAATCAACCTGGGGCACGAAACAAAGGCTAGCAGCTGCTTCGAGAAGAATAGCACCAAACCGACAGGACACTGACCTGAGGAGTCCGGGCTTGGTTGACCTTGCGAAGGAAGAGCTTAGTCCTCTTCTATTTCGCCTTCTTCGCTGCCAGAATGCACACCAGCCTCGGACAGCTGCGCCTCTTTCGCCTCTTTTGCCTCCTTCGTCTCTTTAATCTCTTTCCTGTCCGGCTCGGGCGTCTTGCTCTTCCGCTTGTCCCCCGAACCATCTGGTCGGTCGCGACGGTGGCGCTTCGCACTGGGGCGGCTGCTCTCGACGCTCTCAACATCACTACCATCGCCTCGTCTTCGGCGTCGCTCACTTCCCGCCACACTGCGCGATTCTTCGCCATAGTTGAGCTCGTCCCTACTGCTTCGTGGTTCTGCACGCAGCCGGTACAGGCGTTCTCGTTCTTCCTCGCGCTCACGCCGCTCACGTTCATATGAGCTCAGGTGCCGTGAAGGGGGCGATCGATCACGATCCAGGCGGCCATGTCGTTCATCCCGTTCTCTTCGTTCTCGGTCCCTATAAGATGACGGCGGCGGGCTCAATCCCAACGAGCTCGCCTTGCGGTATTGCTTCTCTCGAGCCGCCATGGCTTTCCGCCGATCAGCCTCGTAGGGGTCGACTTCAGGGGTTTTGGAAACCCGACTATGCCTTGGCTCTGTGCGGTGGCCATTTCGATGATCTCGATCATCTCCGCGCCGGGATTGTCTCCGTTCCCGGTCTTTCTCGGCGTCCTCTTCTTTCTCCTTCAACCGCTTAATGACTTTATCGAATGCAGACCTGCGCAGATCTTCACGTTCTATGGCATGGTACTCCTCTGTTTTCTCCACCCGAGGCTTCACGTCCTCCCAGGTGTCGGTGAGGCGAACCGAAGGCTCGAGATGTTTGATACGCGAGCGCAGCGCATCCACGGCACGCCGTTGGTGACGGTCTGCGGCATGCTTTTCATCTTCGCTTCTCCGGAGCACTTTGTCATGCAACCGCTGAAAGATAAGTTGAAGAGCATCGCGGTCGATGTTGGCTGTTCGGCGATCAGTAAGCATAACATCAAAGAAGTCATCGAAAGAGGTTTTCGGGGTAACCTCGTATCGTTTGTCCTGCAAGTTGTGTCAGTATGGCTGTTGAGCAACGAGGTTGGATAGGGGCGATGTACCTCGAGAACATCGTACACAGCATTCCGCCGTCCACGGAGGGCTCGTTCCTCCTCCTCTATCATGTCCCAAAACAAGTCCAGCGGTGTCGATCCAGACTGGCCCAGCATGGCAACATACCTGGGATCTTCCTCAATATCTGGCAGGATAGTCATCCATTTGGTCCCTGCCTTGATTTTTCCCTGAGTGCGAAGTTCTTGAAGAAGCTCCTGGAACTTGTCGCGATTCCGTCGCTCGCGTCTCAGTTTAGTGGCTTTCTGCTGCTGACGTGCATCATTGAAGGTTCTCTCGAGCGACTTGATGTGGTTCTCAAAAGCCGTCAAGATATCCGACTTACTCAGAAGCTTGAATTTGTCATCGCTCTGAAACCTCTCATTGGACTGAATGATCTCGTGGGCCTGCGACCATCTGGTGTAAGGTTCTAGGTCGAGCGCGTTGAGGATGGCCACGAGATCGTCCAACGCCGACTTTCGGGTGGCGGTTTCCTGTTCAATGTGCTGCTTCTTAAGCTCGACAATGTATTCTTCAAACAATTGCTTACGCTCGTCCTCGTTGTCTGTGGATCGAAAGACGGTTTCACCCTCGATGATTGGTCTTATCGTCTTCCATCGACTGTAGTATTTGATTTCAGGATGCGTCCTCAGCATGTTGCTAAAATCTGTGCGTAGCTTAGCCAGTCTTTCTTTGGCCTTTTCCCGTTCTTGTTGGCGAACCTCGACGGCAAACTTCTCAAAAGCCGCTTTTCTATCCTTGGGGTCTTTCAACGCTCTGTATTGCGGATCCTTGATGGTGGCCCTCATGGTTTGCTCCCAGGTCCAGTCGGGTTGGACGTTCGACCTCCGGAGCAGTTTCATAAACGCAGACTCCGCCTCCTCGAAACTTGAATAGTCGGGTATCACTTCTCTGGCGAGCGACGGCAGGGCGATCCCACCGGCGCCGCCAAAGTCATTCCGTGATTTTGAATCAAAGGGCGTGTTGTTATCGCGGTCACGATCACGGTCACGGTCTCGGTCGCGAGGGTTCGACAAGGAAGAAAGTGCCGTGACGCCGCCAGCCACAAAAGCAGGCGGTTGTTGGACTGGTTTGGGGGGCAATTGGACAGAATTGAGGGCATCTCGATATGGAGTGGGCATGTCCCATACTGTCTGCTTGGTCTCGGAATTTGAGTAGTATTTTCGGCCATCAGGTGTAGTATACTCTTTCCACGGCTGGGCAGCAAGCGCCTTTTCGAGAGGGGTCAGGAGCTCTGCCGGCTTGGACCATGTTGTCTCTTTCGTGACCACATTGTAAAAATAGACGCGGCCGTCGGGCGCGCGTGCTTCCTGCCACTGCGATGGAGTTGGTGGTAGGCCGTTCATGCTGAATGGAGGCCGCAGGACACTTTGTGATGCAGTGGTGAAAGGTTCAATGTGCTCGGGAAGGGCAGTGGCACCTGTCGGATCAGGCTCGTCCACGGGCAGCTGACGGAGATGGGTCGAAGATTGCAGGACTGGCCTGGGACGGTAGAGGCGCAAAAGAAGTCGGATCGTGAAGGTTCAGAAAAAGAGGCGGCAGGCTTTAGTACGGACATGTTGCTAGTACGGATACTGTAATAGCAGCCACAGAGCTACTAGACACCTAACTAGGTACTAGTAGTGGCTGGGGGGCCTGGGCCCCTAAGCCCTAAGGACTTAAAGGCTCCTAAGCCTCCTAGGGCTGAGGGCAGCGTCACAATCGTCCCCAATCGGGATCAAGCTGCGGGCAGTTGTACTTCGTACTTCCCCTAACAACCTGGAAGTCGACATTTGTCCTTACACTGCGCGGATCCAGCATCTCAACAGCCTGACTACCAGCACTGCCACTGACTTCTAGTGGGTTTGCTATGGAGTGCTTACACCAGAGTCACTCGACGAGTCACGCGTGAACATGCCTGATGCCCAACGCTGGCATGGAGTCTGAATTCTTCAAGGCGTCGCTGCTGGACGCAGTCATTCCGGATGACACCGTCACAGGCGTCTCCCAGCTTGTGGGCGCGGATGGAGAAATTCTGAATGATAACGGCCGTCTCCTTACTATCAAAGAGCGGGAGATCTTGTTCTTCGGTATGGAAGACTTCTCCTCAAGGCCTGTCGTGTCCTCTTGCTCATTTGTAGAGTAGATGAACAGTTGAGAACATATGCCGTGCTCCGTCTTCCTCATTGCGACGAAGACACCTTGAAGACTCTTCTCTCACGGCTGTCATTCAAGATAGATGTCTGGGCCTTCGACGACTCGGTGAGAAATGAGCTGGACGCAGCAGCACCGCCGCCCAAGGACTTGGTATTCACTCTCGAAAACATCCAGGAAAACGAGCCTATAGTCCTAGCCAGTCAATCACCGGACCGTGGCCAAACCCTGACCCTTATCTGGGAGGTTGAACTCGCAATCAATCGGCCTCGTCTTCGTACTTCCCAGACCAGCATTGTGCTTGTTCCTTCAGGCATCATCACTGCTGCGGAGGAAGGCGAGAATGGTCAGAACACAGACTTGACTCCTTTCCAGCCGCTCGACTCGAATGTCCTTGAGCCTATGCGCCTGATTCCAGGTCTTGACCGCACGCCGCCGTATCTTGCTGCTTCGAGGCTCGAACGAGTGCTGCCTGTCGCTTCGAGAAGCAAACCAAGAATCCACATACCCCAGGTTCCTTCTCGGCGGCACCGAGCGGTGCCTGCAGTGATCGCACGCGTTCATTATAGCAAGTTGAGCACCTTTTCTCCTTCGATGACGAATCTGGCCCTGCTGGACATTGAGATCATCCCCTATATTCCTGTGGAGGCTGTCGTTGAACATATTGATCTTGTGCTGGGGAACGGCCGAACCGAGTCTGTGATGCCGGAGTTCCTGCCAATGCATTGCCGGTCCGGAGACTGTCTTACCTTCATGTACAAGCTCTACCAGGGAATGGACTCTGGCGTCCCTTTGGCAAGAGCTGTTGTCAATCCCAATGTCGATATTCTCTCCATCAAAGTGCGAGTGGAAGTCACGCTAAGCTCACGTTGCCGGCCAGTGGTAATCATGGCCTGGACAACCCACGTTGATTTCACGCAGGCATTGAATCCAGCGTTCGGGCCTCCTGCGCAACCCATCCAGCGAGCGAACAGGCCCGCAAGTCTTCCAGTCAGCAGCGGGAACGGGCCATCTACGGCGATGATCGCCACCGCCACGAGCCCGCAGCCAACTTATGATGTTGCTTTGAGAAGTGGCCTCTCCATCACTTTTACCGCATCTGATGCTCCTGTTTATGTTGGACAAGCGTTCACCTGGAAGATTTTGGTGGTGAACAACTCTCCAACGCTGGCCAAGATCGCAATTATCCCATTGCCACGAATTCACCGCCAGACGACTCAGGCACAGCTCTTCGCCAGAAGGCACGCTCCAAAATCGTCCACGGCCTCATTCCATCCTAGCGAACGTCGGCATACGAAAAGCGGCGAAGATGCCGATATTGCACAGGCCGTTGTGGACGAAAACGTGGTATATGCCATGCACCATTCAAACCTCGTCCCTCCCGAGACAGATTTGATGACTCTCACAGCCGAGCTCCGAATCGGGCCACTGGCGCCAGGACAGTGTCATGAAAGTGAAATACAAATGGTTGCTTTTGAGTCTGGAACACTGCGGGTGGATGCCATGCGAGTTGTAGACCTGATTCAAGAGGCCGGCCAAGAAAATGTGAACACGAGTGTCATGGCCGATATCCGGAGTCTCCCAGACGTTGTGGCAAAGTCACTAGCTACTTGAAACAGCCACTTGGGAAGGCTCCAACGACACAGTGCGCTAGTACTCCTCCCTTCGCTGCTCGACTGGTCACTACAGAATAGGTGGGAGGCGATCCAAGATAGGCTTCACGGTTTTCGAGCGCCGAGCCTCGTTTCAGACTCTACTGTCTTTCCACGTGTTGCGTGAATGCGACCTCGCTTCGAAGCGCCATGAAGTCAAGCAGCAGCGATTTCTCATGTTGGAGATTAATCTTCGGTCGACTCTACCAATATGAAGCACTTTGCCATATCGGGAAGCAAGCATCGTCTATCCGATGATCGAGCGATGTTTACGATGTACAGGTCTTGAGCACATTACACTGCCATCTCTACATACATGTAGGTGAACATGTATTAATAGAAGCAGTTCAAACTCGACGTCATCGGCTCTTGGAGAACTTCATCATGCGCCACGGCACCGTCAGTGTCAGGCCGTCTGCTTCGTTACCAACAGCCAATCACACCGATGCTTCGTATTGGGGATGAATTAAACGGTTTCCGAATACGACGGCAAGGCTTAATGCTAACAAGGCGCAGTCGCAAATAAGCTACTGAAAGTTTCATATAAAAGGAACAAGAACCTGCCTCCCTCTCATGAGTGTCGTGTTCCAAAGAAAACGGCAAGATATCGACTGAGCCTGGACAGCAACGCCTTCACATTTGCACTGATGGCTACAACATTGGATCACGGCTACGATCTATCAAATCCCAAACAGGAGCAAGTTTCCCATTCTGACAACATGAAGTCCTTCTCCTGGTCAATTCCGTCCGAAGTGTCGAACGCCAGAGAACTCCTTGCACCGTCTGACTTCCATCCCGGCACAACGCTGCACATAGCCGCTCGCGGTATAGGGCCGCTACGTTGTGCACTTCTACATCCCGAGCTTGAGATTCCAGTGTTCGACGCCGGCGGCAGTTTGGCATATGTGTCCAGAAGGCAGAAGCGTTGTTCGGGCAATGCGGTGCTGAGCCATCCACAGCGGGGCGGTCTGATCAGTACATCATACTTCTTTGGGCCCAAACGTGAGCCGCAAATCAGACTGTTACAAGGTGCCGCCAGCGCCGCTGTCATCGGCAACGACGACGCCAATATCATCAAAGTCAGTGGCAGGTGGTCCTCACGGACGGTCTCATTCACGACTCCTGATGGCCAAGCATTTGAATGGAAATACGCTCGCACAAAGGATGCAAATGGAAAGAAAGTCAACATCATTGCCCTGCAACAGATAGAGACGCAAGAGTCAAAGCCTGATAGCGCAGGGAAGATCATTGCACAGTTGGTCCGGGGAAATGACACGCGTGCTGAGGGTTCCTCGAGGTGCAGCGCAGGCAATGGTGGGCAGCTCGTTTTGGATCAAGATGCTGCCATTTATCTAGATGAGGCGATGATTTTGGCAACATGTTTGGTGATGCTGAAGAAGGAGATTGACCGCAGAACAACCATGCAGATCATGATTCTGGCATAGCACATAGCACTGTATTTCTTTCAACAACGATCGAGCATTGATTTTCAAGCAACCTTGAAAGTCAGCCAGTTGTACCAACCTGTTGCATCTCTGCCTCTTGTATTCCCGTGCGATCTCAAGAAGAATGAAGGGCGATAATAGTACTAGGTGGCTTCCGGAATTTGGTTGTATCAACGGGGTGCAAGTTATAGGTCCCTGACCCAGGCGTAGTGATCAGGGTGCACGGATACTGGAAGATACTTCTTGTGCTTCTGTATGACGTTGTCAAACGCGTTTATTTGACCCGCCGTAAAACATCTGATGCCCGCCCGGAAAAATAAACGAAAGTACGTATGGAGTACACGCACTTGACTTGTAACCATGAACCTGCGCGCCGCAACCGTGACTGACGTTTTCGAGAATGTCCTGATGCTCTGCCCTTCGGCGCGGTGCGAATGATTGCCTCAGCCATGCTACACAACCGCCGAACATGAATCGCAAACGCCGCAACACCTCTTCGCCCGAGCCCGATGACTCTCCGGGTTCGAAGCCGCAGAATCACTCTGAAGTCGAGGACAGTTGGGACGACTCGGAAGAAGACGACAGCAAAGAACTCCCCCGGCTTGATGAGTACTCAGGCCAGGTGGGAGCATTCCCCGGGCTCGCGGACGATGGCGACGAACTCTTCTACGGTCCAGCCTCGGATGGGGTTGACTATCTGCGTATGGTGCGGTAAGTGATCCTGCCTTGACAGAACCTTCCGGTCGCTGAGTTGTTCTCTGCAGAGTTGGTGCCTCCTGAACCATACTGACTCGAGCATCCCAGATCTGAAAGAAAAGGCATTCCGTACATTTTGACAGCACCGGAACAGACAGGCGACGAGAAAAACAAAGCGGAAGAGCCGTCGTGGCCAGTTCAACAAGGAGGCTATTATCATGATGGTGCATATACGGCCATCCCAAGTCAATCTACACCCGAAGGAGAACCCTTGTCCTTTGCACAAAAACACTACTACGACTCGCTCCTCGCCCAATTCAGGCTCGTCCAAGCGACCATGCGCTGCGTACCTCCGCTGCACGAGATCCAAAATCTTGCACCATCGCAGTTTATTTCCTTTCCGGAAGGTTCTCGAAAAGCACGTCTGCAATGGGAATCCCATATTGTGTCCCACGATCCACACCCTGTCCAAATTGCGTGTATGGACCTCGGTTCCGTGTTCGAGCTAGTCAGACTTCTCAAGAGAAGGCTGCATGTTTTCCTTCAACACAAGGAGCAGGCAGTCATCAAGCGTGTCGGTGCTTGGGTGTGGGCTGTCTTGGGAAGATGTCCAGATCGAGGGGAATTGTCGAGTGAGGACATTGGAGAGATTAGAGGGCTGGCGCAGAAAGCTGCCAAAGTGCACCAGATACTGGCTGGAAAGTTGGATGGCACCACATCAGATGAGGAGATGGAAACTGACATCGGGACTGAACCGGATTTGATTGAGCAGCGCGACGCTGGCCAGGACCGGGGGGTTGTAGGCGGAGAGGATGGCTTCATAGGCGCGCCAGAAGAAGCATTGAGAAACCCTGAGCTACCTACCAATGCCGGCACCCAGGGTCCAGAACAAGACAGGTTGATCGAAGTCACCTTGGACATGCTTCTCACTGTCGCGGGCGAAGTGTATGGCCAACGAGATTTGCTGGACCTACGGGTCAGATGGGAAGATGGGAAAGGCGGATGAGAATTTGAAATTGAATCAAACAGTGAAGTATGCCACGACTTTAATCTTGCCTGCGGATGGCCACTTCGCACACAACCTTCGTCGCTGTCTCAGGCGCTGAACACAAACACACAACCCCATCCCTCTACCTTCCATGCGAGCCATCTTATCGTTCTTCGAGTCCTGCCGTCTGCGTCTGCATCTGCGTATGCGTCTCCACGAACTACCACTAGTCCACGCATTTCAAACGATCGAAACCGCACTCGAGAACCTGCATGATCGAGATCAGTCCCACAAGCCTCAGCCTCTTGTTACACAAATCCTCCCGACCCGGTCTTCACCATGTTTGCCATGCCAGCCCTGCATTTGACCTGCCTCCTTCTTTGTTTGCCGGGCCTCTTCCACCAAGTCATGGCCAACTATAACCCCGACATTTCCAATGGCACTTGCTACTACGCGGACGGAGAGGAGGCCCCTTCCAGATTCATTCCATGCGGAAATGAAGCCATTGGACACAAAGCATGTTGCGAAAGTCTGGATATGTGTCTATCGTCCAGTGCTTGCTACAACGGACAATGTAAGCCAGACATATGTAGCCTCACCTTGCATCTCGAGCTGACAGTGCAAGACGGCGTGACCTACCTAGCTGGCTGCACCGACTCGACTTACGACGACCCAAGATGTCCAGATAAAGGCGACTTTTCAGGTACACGTGCAGAAGTCGGTTTCTTTTCCACAACTACTGACACGGTGCAGGGCAAACATGGGCAGGTCTAGTCTATTGCAATGGCACCTCAAACGAATGGGTCGCCTGTGAGGACAGCGGAGCCACTGTCTCGAGTCCTGAACCCTGCTGGTGCCCTTCGACCTCAAGGACGGTGGCGTTTACTGATGCCCCCCAACTCACCAATATCATGTCGCTGCCGAACATGTTGGGTGCAAGTGTTACTTGGATGGACAGAGCAGCGTATGAGTCGGAACACTCACTTACTCTCACCACCTCTGCCGTCTCCCAGACATCCGACCCCGGCAGTATCACGACCTTGCTACCACCTGTGTCGGTTCCCACCACGCTAAGCCCGACCACTTCTTCTACCTCTTCCTCGTCTACAAGCTCCGCCAATACCACCTCGATAGCGCCCGCAACACCTGCAAGTGTGACAAATTCCTCAGGGCTGGGTACGGGGCAAAAGATAGGAATAGCACTCGGATCAGCCGGCGGCGTGGTTTCAATGTTACTTCTGGGCTGGTTAGTCGCGAAGAGAATGCGCGGTCAGAAGAAGAAGCACCGCTCGACTCCTCCCATGGTCGACCTCAGCAGACCTCATCCAGAAATCTCACAGACGGAGGCTGAAATGAGAAGTCCCTCCTGGTCAGGTCACAAGTCGGAACTACCCGCGGATGAAAGCACAAACCTATCACCCTCACCGAACTACCAAGAATTTCAGCGACCACTAAGTGGAGAAGTAGAGGGAAGTCCATCCCGACTGTCTCCCACAAGAGCCACGTATGATGGTGGATACAGGATGCCAGGCCACAAGGGCACGTATTATGAGATGCCTGGATAGGTCAAGAGAAGATGTCAGTTTGTCAGGGGGCATTAGAGCAGGCTGATTAAAACCAAAACCCTCTAACAGAAGGCTTTGTATATCGGACAGGATCTGTGGTCAGAAGGTTCTTGGTGCAACCGTCTGTCATTGCTGGATTCTTGTATGGGCGACACCTGGGGTCTTCCAAGTTCCGTACAACTTGCCAGCCTTGTGACTTTCAGCCTTGCCCCCACCACTAGTAGTGCATGATCCGATATCCGCTTTGCTGCGTCGGCAAGATGTTCGGCTCCCCCGCACACGAACATTGCCAGGCAGTCTGCCGGAGCCGAACACGGATCTAGACATATGTGTAGGAGGGTTTGTAATGATAAATCACAATGATGCTGCCGAATCCGTTCATATATGCCTGTACAGGTACTTGTCATGTGTAGTTGTTGACCACACAGTCTGACTTGACTACATATTCTCCCCGTCTTGCCCGTCATCTGGCGCTTCCCCAACGACTTCCGGACAGTGTGCTTCGAATCGAGGATAATACCCATAACCCAAGGCGATATCTCACTCACTCACTCTCTCTCTCTCTCTCTCTCTCTCACTCTCACTCACACACTCTCTCTTTTTTCGTTGCACGAATTCTGTGACGCCAACATGTCGACGTACCGAGGCCAAACGCCGCCCTCCTCCCCCGTCGACCCCCGCATCATCTCGTTCTTCGAGCACTTCTACGCCGTGTCGGACAACCCGACGGCGCACGAGGAGTACGCGCAATTGCTGACCGCCGACGCCGACTTCATTATGGGCAGCAAGAAGGTCCAAGGCTACGACGCCATCCTGGCGGCCCGCAAGGCGCTGTGGTCCGGCCCCGTGCAGACGCGGCACCACAAGCTCGACAAGATCTTCCCGTTCGGCCAGGGCAGCAGAGAGGTCATGCTGTACGGAACCGTCGACTACGGCCTCAAGAACGGAAAGGCTGTCAGTATCGACTGGGCCGGTAAGGCTGTGCTGGTTGATGTCGACGGAGAGCTGAAGATGGCGTTTTATCAGGTCTATTTGGTGAGAAAATGCCAACCTTGGCTCCCTATCAGAGTTACATGTACCTACATGTACTTCTTGGAGGCAGAAGTCTACCTTCTCAGAGCTTCAAGTCCACGCCTACATCTATGCCCCAGAGCCCAGAACCCAGAGCCCCGAGTCCAGAGCCCATGCTAGAAGTCTGCAAGTCTTGAAACGACGAGACTGCAAGCGATACTTCCATTGTGTTATGACACCGGCTAATACAATCACGAAACACAGGACTCGACCCCGGTCGCGAACGCTGCCAAGGACTAGTTCCTCCCGCCTGCAAATATGGATGTGAATGTGAATGTGGATGGAAGTGAGATAATTCAATTCAATTCAGTTCAGTTCATGGCCCGAGGCTTTGCTCTTTTCTCATTGCAGGATCTACTCGTTAGTTTATGCTTCTAGTTTCATCCCGTGTGATAACCTTCACGTCCCACTGCCTCATCATAGAACCACAGTCGTGAATGACTATGACTCCTCATGGCCTCAATCTTTGCGGGTCGCGAGGGAACGGCGTGGCTTGCCTGACATTGTCCAAGCCCAGGAAGAACATGACGATTCGGTTCAATCCGAGGCCTCCGCCGGCGTGCGGTCGACAGCCTTGCCTGAAGGCATTGACATAGTCTACAAACCCTTCGGCGTCCGGGTCGAGCCCTTTGCTCCTCATGGAGGCCTCGAGCTCCGCAGCATCGTTGATGCGTTGAGCCCCGGACATGATCTCCTCGCCGCGCATGAAGAAATCGTACGAGTTGGACAGCTTGGGGTCGGTAGGATGCTGTTTGGTGTAGAACGGTCGCACCACCATGGGGAACTCGTCGAGAACGTAGAAGTCGGTGTCGTACTTCTCGCGGATTAATTGGCCCAATCTCTTCTCCTGCGCCGTTGTCAGGTCCGTCACGTAGTTGTCCTGCTCTGTGGTGTCGACACCGGCGTCGCGCAGGATCTTGATGCCGTCAAAGTACTTGAGTCGTAGGGCTTTGCCATCTTTGATTCGGAAATCGCCCGCCCGAGGGAAGTATCTGTGAACCACGGCGATCTCGTCTTTATAACGCGCCTGCAGCTCCTGGATTATGAACACAATCAACTGCTCTGCGAACCCGAGGACCTCGTGGTAATGGTGGTCAAAGACCATTTCGAAATCGAGGCCGGTAAACTGGAGAAAAGTCAGTGGTTCAAACTACGAAAGGCAGGAAGGCTCGGAAAACATACTTCACACAAGTGTCGATGGGTGTTGCTGTTCTCGGCACGGAACACTGGCCCGACCTCGAACACACTCTCACAGTCAGCGGCGATTAGCATCTGTTTGTACAGCTGCGGGCTCTGCGCTAGAAATCCACTCTTGCCAAAATAGTTGCTGACCTCGAAGACACCGCTTCCACCCTCGGTTGCGGCACCAAGGATTTTGGGCGTGTTGAATTGTCGGGATCCGCTCTTCCGCATGTACTCTGTAAACAGACCCTCGACCGCATCGGAGATGGTGAAGATGGCTTGATTGCACTCTGTCTGGAGATCGATGACACGATTGTCCAGTCGGGTCTTCAACGTGACGATGGGGGCCCCCTCAGCATCGACCTGCCCTTCCTCTGCTGTGGCCGGCGGTGGCCGCTCAGCGTCCTTGACCTGCATGGGGAGTTGCTCGGCGGCGCGGGCGAGAAGATAGATCTTGGTGACGTGGAGTTCGAGATTGCTGATCGACGCAGAGGCGACGGGAGGGTCGGGCTTCTTGATGAGTCCGGTGACTCGCACGAACGAGTTCACGCTGAGCGAGACGGCCCATTTCACCATTTGCCTGGATACCGCCTCTCCATTGGCGGCGACCACCGCCTGGACCGTCTTGCCCTGCTGCCTCAACATGAGAAAGGCCAGTTTGGCGCTCTGGCTTCGGCTATTGTGGATTCTTGCGATCACCGTCACCTCCTTGTCGACATGGTCTTCGCCGAGCTTCTTCAGATGTGTGATGATCGGACCCTCCTCCTGCGGTAACTCGCCGTATTTGTCCTTGGCCGTGTCCTCGGAGGTTTGAGCTTGTTGAGCCGCCCTCTTCTCTTCGTCTGCCTTTTTGGCCGCCGCCTTCTTGGCTGCCTTCTCAGCCTCCTTCTGTGCCTTCTTCAATGCGTTCTTTGAGGGGGCCCCGTCCGCGGACACATTGGGGTTGTCTTTGGCGTGGGTAGGGAGCGAGGATTCCATGATTGCTGTCTGCAAGTGGTGAGTAGAGGACTGGAAGCCAAGTAAGACAACTCCCACAGATCGTATAGGAGTAGGAGTCAGATGTGAGATGTTGAGTCACTGAGGCTTTGCGGGCAAAAAATGGGCTTGCAAAAAGTGGCTGCGGGGAAGAACTACAGGTGGCACTAAACAGGTGGCACTAATAGGTACTACTAGTAGGTCCCTATTTATTGAGCACCTTCTCTTACGAAATTTCCAGTCTATCGTCTACGTTACTCTACTGCCTACTTCGAGTACGTTACTCTGTTGAGTACCTAAGTATCTAGGTACCTAGGCACCCAGGTACGTTGCTCTGTCAGGGTGCTCGTAAGACTACCTAGTACAAGAGAGGCCTAATTCAGCTTAGTATCTCGGCAGACTTACCTATCAAGGAGGATTTACGCCCTAGTACAGTACTAGTATATAGTCCGTATATTTCATATCGAAGACCGTCATGTTGTCCACTCATTATGAGGACTGGACCCGTGCTGAATGGTACAAGTTCCCAACCAAGGAAAGGCCGTCTGGTGGTGTCGTCCAAATGAAGATCAGCTAGGAACACCTAGGAGTGACGGGGTTGTGCTCGAGCGAGTACAATGAAGATGGTTTTATTGAATTCGATGTGTGGAATTGATATTTATCTGACTCCATGCCCGCCTTCTCAGAGTCACCTTTTCAACAAAGACATAGATACGGCTGTAGCTATTGCAATCACCAAAGCCAAGCCGTGGCTGACGACCTGTTGTTGTATCCGTTATCAGAAATCACTTGGACAAAAGTTACCGGTACTTGAAGGTTCACTTTGTGATGCAATGGCATTTGAGCCGTGCGTCATTCACCGCCCGGAGCCTTGAACCCAGCCACTCATCATCGAACACAGCAGGATACATGTGTGATTGAGATTCACGAGGCTCAGGATGTAATTTTTACAGAGTTCATCACCGGTCTCCTCTCGCTCCTCGACCTTTTCAAAAAGCATTCAAATTGCATCCTATATCTCAGCTCAAACGTCCTCGTCCTGTCCACAAGTTTGACTGAAGGAGAGGGATGCTGGAAGGACAGGCCAGAATCTTGATAAGTGGTGCCGGTCAAGGTACGGAATGGGCTTTTCACCGTTGCTCTAGCGCTAACTTGCTCGCCGAAGGAATCGGGAGAGCCATAGCAAGACATTTTGCATCCAAAGGCCACAAGATTTTCATCATCGACATCAACGAGGACAGCCTCCGCTATACAGCGGAGGTACATCTGAAGGAGCATGCAGATCGAATGGGCTGGGCAAAGTGCGATCTGCGCAGCGTCGACGAGATTCGCGCCACGGTCAAGAAGGCTGCGGAATTCCTGGACAACCGCATCGACTTCTTGATCAACAACGCCGGGATATCATCACCGTACTGGAAGGACGGGAAGACCATGGCGGATGAATCCGTACTAGAGCAATGGCAGGCCTATGTCGACACCAACCTGACTGGGCCGTTCGTCATCTCGCAGGCGTGTATTCCATACATGAAGGTCGATGGACAGGCAGACAGGATCAAGCAGCCCGGATCAACCGTCGGCATGGCAGGACCGTGTATCGTCCACATGGGCAGCTTTCGAGCTCTCGTTTCTGATCCGAACCAGGAAGGCTACGCCGCCACGAAAGGTAGCCTGCCCTCTATCATCGCTGCCGGGGTAGTGGCTGACCAAACTGAATCTCTGCAGCGGGCTTACTAGGACTGACACACAGCATGGCGGTTTCTTTGCAGACGTTCGGCATTCGTGTCAACATGGTCTCGCCCGGTCGGGTCAGGGCAACCCACGAAAGCCGCTCTGGTGACCAAAATGAAGAGGAATGGGAGGTCAAGGCAGATGATGTTGATGTCCATCCCGTCAATCGAGCCGGACTGCCCGAAGACATCTCCGAAGCTGTTGAATACATGCTCGGAGCAGGCTTTGTGACGGGCCAGAATCTAGTGGTTGATGGTGGCGTTACCAAGGTTAAGTGAAAGGCTCGAGAAATATATCTTACGCCTTGCCGTTGTCAGTCTAGAGCTCGTTAAGTGGAAGTGGAATAGGCCGATCCATACCTAAAGTATGGCAAAATAGTTGTGCATGACAGGCGCCATAACACCCAAATATGTAGGATACTCTAGGACCATGCTGATTGAACCAGTATCTATCTTATAGAGACATTTGCCATCCCTTCGTAAGATACAGTGTACACAAGGGAGGCTCGAGAGAGTGATGGCTCGAACGGGATCAGGATCGGGGTGGGTCTGAAGAAGTTGCCCCAAATAGCAATCTTGTATACGCGGGAACTACATGGTGAAACTATATAGTCCGCCCCTACAGACGCTGATGGTATCCGTATATCCGTCGTATGGCCAATCATGCTGTACCCTAGGTGCCCGGCTATCATCAAACTCCCCTATTAGATCTGTAGCCGGCCGGAACTCCTCGCTGGTTGCTAATCACTGATAATAACGTCCAACCCCTCTCTCTCCTCCTTCCTCCTTTCTTGTGCACCCCTCGCTCAAAGTCCAGCTTGAGCGTGGTTCTACAAAATCATCTGAGAAAGACTGCCAAGCGCAGCTATGCCTTCGTTTGTCCTCTGGTCGAAAAGCGGTCAGACTTCACGCAAAACAGGGTTGTCCGGCAAGCGTTCAAAAGGAATGCGTACTTTCCCTGCACGTCCGGACGCCTGGGCCTGAAAGCCCGAAGCGATTGATTCTTCACCGAGGTTATGAAACAGGCTCGAAGGTCCCATCGCGTCTTGAACTATGGCGAGCGCGTCGATTTGGATGCCCCTCAGCGTTTCTTGGTTTGCCAGAATCGATGCAGTATGGGGGCCATCGGTAGGGGTGGTCACCAACAGATTGTGGAGGGCCCGAAACACACCAAGGCTCCGCTTGGCAAGTGGCCAGCGATTCGAGAAGGCCTCGAGAATCTCGATTCCCAGAGTAACGTCCCCGTTGAGGTCATGCTCCCTGACACGATCAAGATGCCCCTGCTGCAAACAGAAGATCAGTAACAGACAAATCACGAGAATCCGGTTGAGGGTGCTGTGGTGGAGCATCAGATGGCCTTGTCGAAGAAGCACGGCGCTGCACTGGAGGTATTTCTGGATTGACTGGTACAAGTGGCTGAGCTGGTCCCGGGAGTAGTAAGTGTTGAAGCGGGAAGGACAGTGCAGAAGAATGAGAAGGCCGTGATAGCGCACGTTCAGCCACGGGATCGTGTCGTGAAACGAGATCTCATCGTCCTCCAATTGTGACAGGAGGCACCCATTGGCATACCAATCGTCCAGGTTTGACTTGAATCGATCAATGACGCCTTGTCGGTCGGCATTGCCGACGTTGATGCTGGAGATCGGGTTGGAGAGGTGAACCTGCTGCAGGATCTTGCCCTCAAGCTCCCGCAGGGCAATGGCATTTCGACACACCTGGAGGATTCTGCTGTGCCGGACCCGAGATGGAGAGGCATACTCGTCGATGGTGACCGAAGGAAGCGGGACGTTTACATTCTCGTCATTAATTGCCACAGGAAGACCAAACGAAGCCGCAATTTCGCGGTCCAGCGCGTAAATGCTCCAAAATAACCGGTGTCGTGTCTCTACTTCCTGCAACGTCAGGCCGTGCTCCGTCGACGACCGGCGACTGAGCCCGAGAGCGATGGCCTGGCGCCCGAGCAATCCGGTCAACAGCCACGGCGAAATCCCGTCCGGGTCAAAGACGGAATAGATGGTCACCAACATCAAGATGCCAGTCGACTCGACATTCGGCTCGGCCAGGCAGGAGTTGACAAAATATTTGTAGGGGACGGTCATGGTTGCCAATGCTTCATCCGATAACTTGCCAATTCGATGTAGAGTTGCAGAGCCGATGGCGCAGAGAACATATACGAGGGGGGACACTTCATTCGTGTCACTGGGAAGGCCGCGGGTGGAACGATCAAGGTCCTCCAACACCTGCTGCCGGTCCAAAAAGGGGTATGCTTTGTGGACGTGACGAAAGTAAGCTTCAACGAGATGTCGTCGCTCGGCCCAAGCAGGCAGCCGCAATTTCGTCTTAGGCTGGTGGCGGTCAACATGGCTTTGTAGCGCCGCCCCAGCATCATCGGACTCGGGATTGGGACCCTCGGCCATCGTCGTCGACGCTGCGGACGTGGCCGTGGCTGTAGGACTCAGCATTTGGGAGCCGTCCACGACGGAGACATGCTGAGACAACCATTCTATCTGTGACTTGAGCTCCATGGCCTCCGAGGTGCTGATCGAGTCACTCTTGCTGGGAAACACGCAGCGAACGCCTCGAGCGACGCATGCTGAACACTCTGGGAGCGAGCGACAGCACTTTTTCTTTCGTTGTCTGCATCGGTAGCAGGCCAGCCCGGCACGACCACCCTGCTCACCAGCCTGCTCACCGCCCTGCTCACCACTATCGAGACGCGGTCTCTTCGCAGAAGCCTCAAGCCCACCTTTGTGGGCGGCAGGCGCCAGGCGGAAACGTATGTAGGATCCTTCAGCAGTTGGTGGACTCTTCGGCATAGTGGCAACGCTCGACCAGAATGATAGAGGATCACGGAGGGGCCGCCCAAGAAGATCGCGGACGGTGTACTCATGATGCCGGCGGGTGGTCGAAGTGAAGAGTGACGATGCCAACGTAAAATTGCCCAACTTGGCCGCCTATGGTGCAATCAAGCTCCCTGGCTTATCGACGACACGGTGAGGGAGTTGCGGACTTCGAGATAGGCGGAGTGTGTCCCACTTTCCATGTTGGCAAAGAACTAGTCGGATCACGACATTGGAGGTGCGTTGTCGTGACTCGCGAAAACCCGCATGTTCCGAGAATTGACGGTTTGACGGTTTGACGGTTTGACGGTTGACGGTTGACGGTTGCCGCTGCCGGTGCACTGCGCTGATGCTGGCACCAGAGGAACCCGCAGCTACACCATGTACAGTACAACTTACTATGTACATGTACCTAACGCACTGTATCTCGCCGACAAGCCAACCCAGCCCAGCCCGTCACCCTCCAGCCCTCAAAGCCTTGCCTGCGGTGCTTGAACTGCCAGGCCTCTGCTCGCACGACGCCGGTCCTCCAAGTCCTCTGCCGCCGCCGTTCTGAACGCCCTTTCCGCATCATGTTCAGTCAGCCACACGGGGTCTAGCCGGTTGGCAATCCGTTTCCTGAAGTCAGCATCGCACTCGGGATTCCCAGCCCGCGTCTGCTCAAACCGCTTGTGGGCGCTGGCCTTCCCTTGGTGCACGAGCGCAAGCACTTTCGCCGCATGAGGTCGCCTTATCCGCTCATACAGGCCAAGCACCCGGGCAATGAGCTCCGGGGTGGCTGCTTGGTCACTGAATACTTGCGTCGGGGGGAACACTTCGTCAAAGGCCAGAGACAGCGTGTAGGCGTCGTCGATGGCCAGTGAAGCACCTGCTGCGAAAGCACCGCCGTGCGTATGAGCGGCGTCTCCCAGCAAAGTGACACGATCGGCAAAGGTCCATTGGTCTAGTTCACGCCCGGCAACATTTGCATACCGGCGCAGCCAGGGGACTCGTTCGATGATTTGGGGCACGACCGGATGCCAGTCCTACAACCGGGCGAGTTAGCTCCCCGGACACCTGTTGAATGAGAGAGACATGTCACTTGCCCGAAACTTCTCCCGTAAAGTCTCAACACTGGCTGGTGCATTCCAGACTGGCTCGTTGAATTCCGGGTCTGTCGCGGGATCGGCCGTGAACGAAGCTGTGACGGCGAATTGATCCGATCCTGTGTTTTCATGAGTGACTGACGCTTCATGTCTCGTGCAAGCCGTACCTATTCGTGTGCCAAAGAAGAATCCGTCTGGTCCTGTCTGTCGTTCGGTCGCCTGGTCAGCGGTACACGGGTCGGCTGGATCGAGGGTGCATACAAAGTGCGATGAATTTTGGGGGATGTCCTTCAGATCTTCCACCAGAGAATAGTCGAATGTTGACCGAAGCACAACATCTCCATTCCACACAAGCTCATGATTCGGGACAAAAACTCCCCTGACGCCCTGTATCTCTCAGCTTCGTCCCCAATTGAGTGATCCAACGCCGTACCGATCTGATCCCATCCGCACCGATCAGGATGTCAGCATGAACCCTGGTGCCGTCGGAAAAGGTGACGGTGGCTCCGCTCGACCTGTCCACCTCGACATTCACAGCCTTCTTGCCCAGATGAATGGCCTTGGGAGGTATGTGTGCGAGGAGGGCTTTCTGCAGTTTGGCCCTGTGCATTCGGGCAAACTGGTGCCGCCATTCTGGCACATTGTGGTTGAGGTCCTGGCCCAGGATCTCTCCAGTCTTCCAATGCCTGAAACTGTCAGGTTTCCAACTTGTCTCAGACATCCTGACACGATGCTCACTTGAATATCATGGGTATCCGGTTTTTGTTGCGCCACCCAACCTCATCTGTGAGCACTTCATGTACACCCAGCTTTTCCAAAGTTCTCAACCCATTCGGTGCAAGGCCCACAACTGCCCCAATCTCCTTTAGCTCTGTCGCCCTCTCGTAGACGTTCACATTGAGATTCGGATTGTGTTGGAGTGCTACCGCCAATGTGAGGCCGCCAACGCCTCCTCCTACGATCGCAACTTTGAGAGGCATGATGAATGTAAATCTATAGACAAGACAGATGCGACGGTGTAAGAATAGTCAGCCTTTATCTATAACACTTCAAGTAGCCTCGCCCAACATAGCCCAGGTCCGTACGGACTACACACTGCTCCCTATATTGTGGACCGGTGGCGCCATACCGACCGAATTGCCGAATAAGGAAATTCCCATCGGCCTCTACCACAACCATCACAACTTATCTCGACATCAAAGACGAGTAGCCAGCTGTCGCATTCCTAAGCCTTGAACTTGGATAAATAATCAGCAAAAGCCTGTCCTTTGAGTCCCTGTAGCGCAAGCAGCCGTCGGGATGGCGACATAGCAGCATACACGTATTCCAAGGCCATAGCGAGATATATATATTGACCGGGGAAGTCTGTCACCGTGAAGTCCATCGTTTCGCCACATCCTGATCAACTCTTTATCATGGGTTTCTTCAATCATTGGAGAACTCGTCGCCAGGAGTCCACTCCCGACCGCGATGTCGAACCCGTTCCCACAGGCGTGCTCCCCAAGGGAGTCAGCTCATCCGCGTCAGATGGCGACGGTGAACCCGTTCGACCTCACACGGATGCCGTTGACGACGAACGTGTCCGATTCCTCGACACTTTCACCCCCGAGGAGGAAAAGAGGGTCATGCGCAAGGTGGATTGTCGTCTTCTGGTGACCATAGGAGTCATCTATCTCGTCAAGCAGGTACGCCATCTTTGGTCCTGGCATGGCCGCAACATGGACTGACGAACGATCGCGATCTCGGTAATAGATCGACGTCAACAATGCTTCGAACGTCAAGGTCCTCGCGGTCGGAAAACCTACCAACATTCTCAAACAACTCCATATGACCGCTGACGAGTATAACTGGGTTCAATCTATCTACTACGTACGGCATCCTCGCAAACGCAGCGCATGTTTGGTATTAGGCACTGACCAGAAGCAGATAAGCTATATCATCTTCGAACTGCCCAGCAATCTCTTCCTGAAAAAGATGACCCCACGAGTCTTTCAGACCAGGATCTGTGTTGCATGGGGACTCGTCTTGGCTTGCCATGCCGCGATTAAAAACAAACAAGGCATCTACGCCGCACGTTTCTTTCTCGGTCTTGCAGAGGCTGGGCTGTTTCCTTCCATCATCACCCAGCTGTGCAACTGGTGAGTTTGTCGCAGACCTACCGGATGAGCCAAACTGACTCGTGATTGATTTGAAGGTACCGGAGTGATGAAATGGGGAAGCCTGTCATGTGGCTGTTTGGCATCTTCAATCTTGCGGGTATTATAGGATCTTTGATCGTCTACGGTATCTCTTACCTCGATGGGAAGCAAGGATTGAGTTCGTGGCAGTGGTAAGGTTGCTCATCTGTGCCTCAGGACTTCTGCTGACATGCATGAACCTGCAGGGTCTTCTTGCTCGAAGGCGTGGCGACTATAGCGTTTGGTGGGCTCATTTGGGTGGTATACCCAGACTATCCAAAGTCTCCCAGAAGTGGGAAGTGGCTCACACCACGAGAGCAGCAGTTTCTCGAGATGAGATTGACAGAGAATGCGCCTCGGACCCAGGATGCCGCGTTTTCTTGGAAAGAGGTGGTCAACACGGTCAAAGATCCTAGGATATGGTCCTTTATGCTGGCCCAGGTATGTTTGTTATCATGAGGCTGACAGACCATGGCTAATGATCCACAGATCCTCATGAACACGGGCGGATTCGGCCTCAGCTGGTTCCTTCCGACCATCACCACCAACCTGGGATTTGCAGGCCTTCCTCGCAACCAACTGCTCAACATTCCCCCGGCAGCCGCCGGTATTATTGCCATTATCGTGGTGGCCTGGATTCTCAAGAAAGCCTACCTACCTCGTCCTCTCCTCGCCATTATCATCGTGCTCTGCGAAGTTGCCACATTCGCTATCTTCTTGGGCACCCGCCATCGTGGGGCCATCTACACCGCCTGTATCCTGGGCAGCATGTTCTCAGCATGTCTCGCCATCCCCTTCTGGTCATGGAGGACTTCATCCCTCGCCGGTACTACAGGAACCGCTTTTGCCCTCGGGCTTCAGTCGGGTCTTGGTCAACTGGGTGGTGTGATTGGTCCCCAGATCTTCCGGCAGAAGTACGCGGCCGATGGTTACCGGGTTTCGTATGGGGTGTGCACTGGGGCATTAGCCGGCTGTTTTCTGGCCAACTGCTTGTCCTGGTACCTAACTCGTAACCTGGAATGGGACGTGCGCCGCGTCAGACGTCAGAGGATACGAGCAGAGAAGGAGGGCCGACTGTTCACCGAAGACGAGGTCAAATTTTACCACGAGCGAAAGCATTTCACCAAGACTTTGAAAAAGAAAGAGGTTGGAGATATTATCTAGTAATGATGTAGCGGAACGTAGCAAGGGTGAATGTGAGAGGAAAAGAGGAACGTCGTTGTTTGTTGGCCTGTCCGTTTCAGCCAGCCTGAATTCATGGAACCGCAGGCCGTCGGAGAAGAGACATGCGTGAAGAGCTGGCACCACCCACCTACCACCCGAAATAGAAGCGACATAGCACACCTTCCTCCACCTGTTCCCATGCGGGGGAAGTTCCCGCTCGATCTGAGGCAACAAAATATTCCCTTGAAGCAGCCGCCAAACTCAACCATGACCGGCCGAATCCGTACATATGTCTCTTTATTCGTACGTTTGGCTGTATTGCAAAGACCCAACAAATATCGCCCCCGGCGACCCCAGCGACCTAGCTGGTCAGGTCACTTTCGTTCTCTGCCAACCCTGCCTCTCTGAGATCGCAAGCTAACTCTAGACTTGTCTTAGGGACTTCCGTCAGCTCTCGGTAGCTTAAGCCTCACACTGGCAAGCTCCATTCACGACCCGAACGCACTCCGCTACCCCTCCTATCGCATTGCGTGAGCAGTTCCACTATGCGAACTATACTCCGTACATGAGCACTTCGCACCTAGCAACATGGATGCCTTCACGTGCTCCAATACTTGGGCCACCTATTGCGGTTCCCATGCAAGCATGAGAAAGCACCAGGATGCCTTGTTGACAAAATTTGGGGGCACCGCGTTGTGGTCTCCCACAGAGCTGATCCCCGATATGCTATAATATGTAGGAGAGCCCCCCAGGTCAAGCAATGAGGGCGGGGAGTTTCTCAACAGGCCATGTTAACATCAATACATGCTCTGGGCTCTACTCCATGACATCTTAAGAGATTGACATCATGGACGTCGTCGTCAAATTCTACTTGCCCCAAGTTCAGTCGAAGCCTCCTGTTTGGCTTTCATAGTCGAGGAGTGTGATTGACATGCGGCAGCTCAATGGACAATACCAACGCAGGGAGGCTTGGCCAGCTTTCCTTCTTGTTGCATCAGCTTCTTGGATTTGCCAAAACACCCGAGTTCAGTCTAGAGATATGTCGATCAGAATCAGGGTCCTTGGGAACTTCGCCGCGTGACAGATCAGGTGCTGGGATGCACTTCCTTCTGAGCTGCAATCTTGGTGGCCTGGAGAGGTCGAGGCTCAGAGTCGGGAATTATCACTGTGCTCTAAATCAAGCTCGTTTTTGGCTATGAATGAGGGTCTGACGAGGAGTCGGTGGGTTTCTGGGAGCGAGATATGTGAGCCACTGAACATCGACAGACAGTGCCAGCTCAAGTACCACTCTGTGGCGACACGACCCACTCGCTGCTCACACTAGAAAACAAATTGTTCGATTGAAAGTTCGATTGCAGTGTACGCAGCATTAGTGCCAACAGTGCTCGCTTGTCTTTCGTCACAGGTACAGTTGGCAGTCCTCGGTGAAGACTAGGCATGTTCCAGCCCTTGACCGAGTGGCAACTCGATATCACAACAGACGGCTGGTGCTGCAAGCGATCCATGATATGAACTCTGATACGCTCGTATCGCATGATGGTGATCGGGAAGGAAGTCGGAACAGCATTTACATCATCTGATGGTGGTGTCATTTTATACGATTGGTGTAGAGCAGAGTAGCGTCTCCTAGCTATTGTTAGGATCTTGGTATTGATAAGAGACGCGACCCTCGATGAGACTAGCGAATTGGGACTACTAGCTGTCTGAGAGCCAGGGTCTGCAGAGTACGAGGTTCTAACGACGCCAATGAGCATCCTCAGAACCCTCGCTTTGAGAGGCAATCTTGAAGCCCCAACCTGAACCCCAGCCTGCTGCGAATGATAATGCAACCCCGTTAACGAAAGACGTTGCAGTCGGGCCAAGCCGATAGACTAGCCTAAGCCGCCTAACCCGCCCAAGGCAGCTGGAAGCTTCAGCACTGGCAGCCCCAGTAGACGCCACGATTGGAAGCTGGACGTCGATCCCTATGCCTGCCATCAAATCAAGGTCACAGTGCCACCCAGCCCGACGGCGTGATTGGTGCTCTCCTGGAAGGCGCTCCTGGGCACAGGTTAGTTCTGGTTTAGCGCTGGCTTAGCGGTGGATTGCCGTCGAAGCTTCGCTGCAACCAGAGAGTTAAGCATGCGGCCAGCTAGCTACTACAGGCCTAGTGGTAGGACATGTACTCCGTAGAGGCTTGGCACTCGGAGCTGCCAACTTCAACTTCCCTGCGTCCCCTGCCCTGCCCTGCGCTCATCCCACCACTCTCGGGGCCTTCGACACGCCTGGACCGTCCAGCACGTATCTCTGGCGTCTCTGATCAGAGGCTGTGGCGCTTGCAAAGATGTAACATCAGACGATGCACTTTCAGCCTCTGGCCCAATCGCCGATCCCAATGGCTGTGGTGGTGGTGATGTTCGCGATGTTCGCGATGCTCGTGTCACTCATTTGGCCTCTATCGCCTCAACATGCACCAATCTTTGCCCCTCCGTTGATAAGCGCCTCACATTTGACAGGAGGGACGGGAGGATTCAATGCTACTTCGCACACTTTGGGTGGTCTCACACCTCCTGCCTCTTCGAGGATAACGGGCCTTCTCGACGAGCAGGAGCTACTGCTACGAGTATAAGATCACCTGCAGAGAAACCACCTCGGCTGCCATCCCCTTCCTCCTCCTATCCTCTCTGTTCCCAACTACTTGGACCAGGTTTTCACCACCATGCCTGTCGACAACCCCGAAATTATCCAGACCGCAGCCTTGGGCGACCTACATGCTGACCAAGGCCGGCGCGTGTCTGTCTCCCAAAAGGTCGACGACAAGACATTTCAGTCTGCTATTCGTCGTCCGTCTGAGGCCGACAACATCCCCACCGCGGAAGAACTTCACGGACCCCATGCGCTGCGACGAGTTCCGGCTCCCATTCCGTTAAAGGTCTATACCGTCGCGTTTATCGAGCTGTGCGAACGCTTCTCATATTACGGGACTCAAGTCGTCTGTAAGTTGTGCTTCGCCCATGGGCTCTGATTGGTGGCACGGAAAGAATCCTGGCTCTGACGTGATAAAAGATTCCAACTTTGTGAACCATTCCCTCCCTCCGGCTCATGGTGGTCCCCCTGGATCGCATCACAACACTGGTGCAGGTGGTGGCACCGAACAGGGAATTTCTGGTGCTTTGGGCCAGGGCCCCCAAATCGCCAATGGCATCAACACCTTCAATACCTTCTGGGTCTACTGCGTTCCCCTGTTGGGTGCGTACATGGCAGATGAGCACTGGGGGCGATACAAGACCATCTGCGTCGCAATCGGCATCGCCATTGTCGGTCACATCGTCCTCGTCATTAGCTCGATTCCTCCGGTCATCGTTAACCAGGACGCCTGCTTCGGCGTCTTCATGCTTGGCGTCATCATCATGGGCTTGGGCACAGGTGGCTTCAAGCCCAACATTTCACCCCTGGTCGTGGAACAGATCAACATCACCAAGGCCTTTGTCAAGACCCTCCCGCACGGCGAACGAGTCATTGTCGATCCAACCATCACTCAGTCCCGGATCTACCATTACTTCTACCTGTTCATCAACATCGGCGCACTCGTCGGTCAGATTGGCATGAGCTACAGTGAGAAGTACGTCGGTTTCTGGCTGGCTTACCTCCTGCCTACGGTGGCCTTCATGACGACCCCCTTCATCATGTGGTGGGGTCGCAAACGATACCAGCAAAAGCCACCGGCAGGCTCCGTCGTCACCAAGGCTTTCCGCGCCCTGTTCTACGGCATGAAGGGCCGCTGGTCTATCAACCCTGTCACCATGTACAAGCGCACGCACGATGGCTCTCTGTGGGAGGCGGTCAAGCCGTCCAACATCCAACCGTCCCAAAGACCCTACTGGATGACCTTTGACGATGCGTGGGTCGATGAGGTTCGTCGTGGCTTCAAGGCCTGTGCGGTCTTTTGTTGGTATCCGTTATACTGGCTGGCGTATGGCCAGTTGACCAATAACTTCACCGCCCAAGCCGGAACCATGACTCTGCACGGCGTGCCCAACGATGTCGTCAACAACCTGGACCCCTTCGCCCTCATCATATTTATCCCCATCTGCGACTCGCTCTTGTATCCCGGCCTTCGCCGACTGGGCATCAACTTCTCTGCTATCAAGAAGATCACTGCCGGATTCTGGCTCGCATCGGCCGCCATGATCTGGGCCGCGGTCGTGCAATACTACATCTACAAGAAGTCTCCCTGCGGCTTCCACGCCAACAACTGCTTCAATGACGACGGTACCGTTAACCCGGCCCCCATCAACGTGTGGGCGCAGACTGGCTGCTACGTCCTCGTCGCCCTCTCCGAGATCTTCGCCTCCATCACGTCGCTCGAGTACGCCTACTCCAAGGCACCCACCAACATGCGGTCGCTCGTGCAGGCCATTGCTCTCTTCACTAATGCCATCTCCGCGGCCATTGCTGAGGCCCTGAACCGCCTGAGTGGCGATCCCCTGTTGATCTGGAACTACGGAGTCTTTGCTGTCGTTGCCTTTGTGGGCGGTCTCCTGTTCATCATCCAATTCTGGGCTCTCGACAAGGAAGAAGACGAGCTTAACTTGCTGCCCGAAGGCCACGTTTATATGGACAAGGATCCAGAGGCATTATCCATTGAAGAGACGCGACGTCCCACCACCATTGAAGAGAAGATTTAGAGTCTAGGGTCGGTCCACGGTGGGGCAAGTTTTGTTGGAGAATCGAGACTGTATCCATCTCGTAGTTGGGGAAGTATGCCAACCAAGCTCGCTCCTGTCTAGCCTTGCGAAGCTCTGTGAATAGATGATGCCGGTCTACTACTGGCACATGCTTTATACCTTGAAACTACCTATCAAGATGAGTTCCCCGACTGTGCTGGTCTCCACCTTTTCTACCATGTAGGGTCCCATATTCTTTACTCGCCTCTGGTAGAGTATGGAGAGCTAGCTCGAGATGACTAGGGGTTATTTCTCGGATAGCGACGACTTGGCTCCACGTCATCGCAGCCTTGACGCAAGCACATGTATTCTGCAGCCTTGAGGAAGGGCTCGAGTTCATGGCTAAGGCGAGCAACTCAGCTACCATGGTCCACGAACCCACCAGACCCGCGCCCGCAATGGAGATTTTGTACAGGACAAAAAGCGAGTGCGCGGCGGCCAGCGCGACCAACACCAACAGAACGGTAATGCCGAATTGTGCAGTCCTCGAGCCTTCCCACCGGTAGCCGTAGCCGTAGCGAGAAAAGGTAGGGTCCAAGCGAAGCCATGTTTCGGCGTCGACCGTTGTGGAATTCAGAAGCGAATCTTTTCCTTCTTGGGTGCTCGTAACCGCGAATCTGCCGACCAAGCCGCCGGATTCGTCGGTCTTGTTCGTCACGAACATGGCAGCTGAATAGGAAAAGATGCCGTTTCACTCAGTAAACAAACTCAGCTAGTTGATGGCACCCGCATAGTCAAGGTCAAGAGGAGGTAAGATCTCCTAGAACAATATGATGGCGGGGATAACCGATGTATTGAAAGCGCACTTGCTCTCTATATCTAAACCCCCGTACTTTCCACCCTCTCTGTTCCTTCCCTTGGCCTCAAGCCAATATACCCTACTCTATCAAAACTTCTATAGATACTCTGCTGTTCCCCATTATTTGGGGTGTCCATCATCTTTTCTGTGTTTAGGTAACCACTTTCAGATCACCGTCCTCCTCCGCAATTACCTCGACTCCGTGTGGTTCGTTTATCTCCTGAAGCTGCCTGGCAAACTTCCTTCGGCAAAAGTACCATGCTGCGACCACGGAAATCGAGGAGCCAACCAAGAATACAAGAGCTATACCATAGCTAAGCCGGTAACGAGGACCAAACTTCGTCTGAAAGATTTGCGGGCCCTAGCTCAGCGTCAGTAACTTCCATGGTTCACGAATCCCCAGTAAGAAAATCTTACGATTATGCCGGCGAGACAACCCACAGCCTAAATTCTGCGTCAGTATGTACTGTCTCGCTCAAGAAAACTTATTCACTCACATTGGTCAGTCCAAAAGCGATTGCTGCTGTGGTCGTCCCCTCCACTGAACGGACTCTCTCTGTCGTCGAGTCAGAGACGTATTTCTCTTCACTAGACTGGAAAAGTCCCTACCTGGCCAAAGAATCGGATATATCGAGAATGTGCAACCACACGCGACGATGAAAAACGTGTATAAGGCATAAGTGTGGTTGATCGTGATAAGACAGATGAAGCAGATAATCTGTGTAATTACCACTAAGGATCGTCAGCATGGAGTCGCATTGTAGGTAGGCTTAACATACTGCCAAAGGCGACAGCAAAGGCAGAGATCTTCTTCTTGTTGATGAAGTAGCCAAAGACGACGACCAAAATCCAAGCAAGTCCATATGGAGGCTACTATCTGTCAGCGGGGCCTGGGAAACGACAAACACAGAATTCTGGGATCGAACATACCATAGTCATAAGCTGGGTTTGAGCCGTTCCTGTGAGACCCATATCGTAAATGATATTGGGCAAAACTGCAGTAACCCCAAAGCCTCCAATTCCACCAAAGGTCCAGATTGATAAAAAGCACCAGTGAGTCGGGTCTCTCAGCAGCTTTTTCAGTCCATTTTTGTCCCAGAATTTCGCTCTTGTTGTTGGTCCTGTCGCTGGCAAGTGGGCAATTATAGCCTCTCTTTCTTCTTCAGTGATAAACTTTGCCGTTTGGGGATCTATAGCGTGTTCTGTTAGCATCTCACCATCTTCCAATTCGCACGTCCTCTTACAATCGGTCAAGATGAAGTAGGTGATAACTCCTATCACTATCATAGGAGTTCCTTCGAGGAGAAACAGCTATATTCGGTCAGCATATGGCACCTTCTTTAAAGTACAAGGACTTTACCCATCTCCATCCAGAAAGACCCCGTAGTCCATTCATAAAGGACACACCGTACGCTAGCGTCCAGGTCAGTCTTGAACATCTATGTATATAGGAAAGAGGTCTTACCTATCAAACCGGCGACTGCCCCGGAAGAAACTCCGATATTGTAGTTGATTCCCAGACGAAGCGGCATTTTGTCTGGATGATACCAAAAGCTAAGATGGTACCTGAATGCCGGTGATTAGCCATCCAGGGTGAGTAGATAACATAGATGTGACGTACACTATAGAAGGATAGAATCCTGCTTCCATAACCCCAAGAAGGAAGCGACAGACCAGAATGCCGGCATAGTTCTGTGTTGCAGCTTGGCAAGCGGAAACAATACCCTTATAGACGTTAGATTATTCGCCCATTACCAGATAAGGCTTTGACTACTTACCCAGGTAAAAAAGATCCTGGCGAACCATCCTGAGGGTGTATATCTTTTCACCATCATAGTTGAGACAGGCTCAAACACCATATAGGGATACCTAAGACGTTAGTATACCGGAGATGTTTTTGTTCTTTTCTCCGTACCAGAATATGCTTATGCACCACGCCCATTGAGAGCTAGTAAGGTGTCCAAGCTGTCGCCTAATGTCCGTCTTCTGCTCCAGGTTCATGATGGCAGCGTTCGAAATGTTCGTCTCCGCAAATTTAAACACGAAGTGCAGGACAGCAAGCCAGACCAAAAGGCGACGGTCAACCTTTTTGAGTGCCCGGAGTAGTACGGGATTGTTTCGAACATCATCGTCGAGTTTTGCGGCAAGAACCACTGAAGGGATGGCTCCTTTATTGGGACCGACTTCTTTCGTAAGCTCTGGTCCTTCGGCAGGGATCTCGGCAGCCATTTTGAGTATTGGAGGTCAATGAAATGTTGGACAGGTTCTCGCGGTAATCAAGGGAGAGAATGAGAAACCAACCAGACTTTAAGAACCTATGGTAATTGACAGTCTCGCCATTCTTTCCAGGAGTCAGTGCATAAGACATTAGGAGCCCACTTCCTACAATCTGAATGTCGCCATATACTAGGACACGCCGGACTACCCGAGGCTGCGCTAGTACTTATATCACCTTGATCAACTACACAAAGCCATTTTAGGGAACAAGATCCTATAATGCCTTCACGGCTGAAATACTTCGCGCGAATACGAACGAGCTCATGACAGTCCCTTTTAGCCCGCACTTCTGGCTCACGTCTGCTTCTTTTGGCGGAATTCTTGTTCCAAAACGAGTGCGACGAGAAAGACTCTTCGTGGAGCATCTCCTCGACATTGACCCGCTCGAGTGGCCGACTCTCCGGATAGATCAGCTCTGCCCATGTGCTGCTATCGTTGGCATTTCTGATATTGCAAGCGTGATAACGACTTGCGGGTACTGGATGATGCAATCTAGGTGGCGAGTCACGAATCTGTATGCGATGAAGGCTCGGTTTTCAGAACGGGGTAGAGATCGGGGAATAGCTGTGGTTATATCAACATTCCAATTAGAGTAACTGAGGCTGCTCGGCGATCAGAACGGGGTAGGGCTCGGGGAACAACTATGGTCACATTGATAGATGATTTCTACCACGAGGTCCGGAGTCCACTGCGTCCAATCAATCGTCTCCAGCCATGAGGCCGTCTTATATCTCGGCATAGATCCGGTAGCTATCAGGTCCGAGTCCTCTTAGTTCAAGAATTGCAACTATAAGTGTGGGCAAGCTAGGGGGTTTTGAGTGCTTTCGGAATCTCGTCTTCATATTGCGTGATCCGTCGTGTTGACAAGGTGGATGCAGCAGCCTTGTCCACCCAGCACTTCCCAACAACGCCGCTGTTCAGTCCGACAGCCAGGAGATGTGCAAAGTTTGCTGCCGGGCAGAGGGGGGCAGAGGGGGGCATATATATAATTTCAGTATGAGCTTTACAACTTACGCTCCTATAAGTTGACTATATTCCGACGAACTGTAAACACACAATCGTTGAGATCACGAGTCATGGCACAGCAGAATACGTCTTCAGCAGGCAGGCTTCGGCCAAATAACAGAAAGCCGCTGATTCTGAACGCGGCCGTGATGAACACACCTTCTCATGTATCCCCTGGCCTATGGAGACACCCTACGAACCACTCAGCAGAGTATACCAACCTGAAGTATTGGACTGATTTGGCCCAACGCCTCGACGATGCCAACTTTCATACCTTATTCATAACCGATTCGCTTGGAAGCTTCGACGTCTACAAAGGCCCTCACAATGCTGGCCCTGCAATTGAGTCCGGGGCTCAATTTCCCATCAATGATCCTCTACTCCTAGTGCCTTCTATGGCGGCAGCGACGACAAACCTCGTCTTCGGTGTTACAGCAAGTGTCACTTACGATCATCCATACTCACTTGCACGGCGGTTCTCTACACTAGATCATCTGACGAATGGTAGAGTTGCATGGAACGTCGTGACTTCTTTCCTTACGAGCGCCGCTCGAAATCACGGATTGGAAGAGCAAATCGAGCACGATGAACGGTACAGGCGCGCGGACGAGTTTTTGGATGTTACCTATAAACTATGGGAAGGCAGCTGGCGCGACGATGCGGTTACCAAAAACATCCAGAGCGGCCAGTATGCAAATTCTGATCTTGTGCAAGAAATACACCATAGGGGAAAGTATTTCAAAGTCCCTGGACCTCATGTCTGCGAGCCTTCGCCACAAAGGACCCCATTCATCTTTCAAGCCGGCTCGTCGAAGGCTGGAAAGGATTTTGCGGCAAAGCACGCCGAGGCCGTCTTCGTTGGCTCTCAACTGCCCGAGCTTGTCAGGCCGACCGTTGACGCCATTAAATCGACAGCGCAAGAAAAGTATGGGAGAGATCCTAATCATATCAAGGTCGTCGTGAGTATCTCAGTGATTGTAGCAGAGACGGACGAAGCTGCAACCCGGAAGAGAGACGAACTACTATCATATGGCAATATCGAGGGGGCCTTGACACTCTTTGGTGGCTGGACAGGCATCGACATGTCGAAGTACTCGGACGACGAGGATTTTCGTTTTGTGAACGACTATGCGATCCGGTCTGTCCTTGACAAATGGTCTTCAACAGTACCCGGCAGTGAGAATCTGCCCTGGAGTAAGAAACGCATAGCCGAGTATATAATGCTCGGGGGGTACGGCGCCAAGGTCACTGGAAGTCCAGAGACAGTGGTCAATGAATTAGAACGATGGATCGAGATTGGAGGTGTGGACGGATTCAACTTTGGCTCGATCACGGTTCCAGGTACATTTGACGATCTCATCAAGTTCGTTCTTCCCGTGCTGAAAGAGCGTGGCTGGCTCAGGGCCGACATCGAGAAGGACAAGGAAGGCGCCACTGCCCGAGAGGTGTTTCTAGGCACTCCTCGATTGACTGAAGATCATCCAGGCCATCGATATACATGGGCCCGCGATGGAGACCGGCCGGTATTTCCCTCAAACACGGAGTAGTTTGTTATAGATCCAAAACTATCATCTAGCTTGTGGACGAAGTTGGCTACGAAGGAGACTATCTGGTAAGGAGCGTACATACATATAAATATGAAAACCAGAGGCGCTCTGTAATGCTCTCCCGCGCTCCGTATAGAGCACCCCAGAGCCCGGAGTAGGCGAGTGCACTTTGGCTTTCCCCTAGTCACTTGATTCTCCCTCGCTTCCATAGGCTACAACCTCGTGACCCAGTAGACCTTAGGTTGGTAGGACTCCGGCGACCCTGATGTCGACCCGGATCCTAACAGCAAGACTTGGTCGTGCTTCACCTCGCGCGAGCCGGGGGTGAGCACAGGGCGGCATCACCCAGGCCCCGATCGGGGGTGAGCCGCGAGCAGTTTTTACTCACCTTGACGTGAGGGCCGAGTCCGTCAGTCCCGAGCCGTGCGCACCGTGCGCACCTGACGGCGTAGTCAGCAGCTCCCCATAGAACGAACGTCGCTTTGACCAGCAACCTGCGTCTGGATTCTCTATCGCCCAGATAGCAAGAGAAGTGCACCCGGTTCAAGGCTTCCCTGATGAGCGGCGGTGTGGTTAAAGTCAACAAGTGGCTAATTAGTGTGGCTGATCTTCGATGATGGACGATAGAGAGCGGGCTCCTGAAACGCACCTGTCAGCACTGTCTCTAAGCTCAGAGCCGTATTGAAGAGCGGAGTTTCATGTTCACTAATCTGAGCTGTCGCGCTCATCGAGTGATAATATCTTCAACTGGTGATCAATATCTGCTCGGTTTAGTTTGAACAAAAACGAATTTCTCGGGCAAGTCTCTCGGTCATGGACTGGACAAATTATTACACGCATAATATTGTGAAAACTGCTATCGTGCGAAGCGATCAGCCGAAAGATTTGCAGAAAACATCCCATTCCCCTAGAAACGTGGAGATATCTGCGTCGTACGTGGAAGTCTGGGGATACGGAGTTTGAATTAGACAAGCCCATAAGTGCCCGTGATTGACACGATCCCAAAGATCGGGGTGAAGTCTGTTCGTACTCTGATATTTTCTGGCAGATGAGCCAACCGAAGACGTGGAAATTCCTCGCTGCATCGTGGTCAAGATTGCAAATACAAACGTGAGATGCCCGACTCTCCGATCTCTAACCATGTGATGTGTAACGTCAAGAAAGTCTATCTGCAAGATAGAAGCCATACCAAACAGTCGCGATCCATGCCGTCAAGTTGGCCAACGAAGATATACCGTGAAGCCGACCAAACTTTGCGTTCAGAGCTTGCATCTCTTTGCTGTGCGGAGGCGGATCATGACTTTTCTTCCCGTCTTTTGTTTCCTGGTGTTTCCGCTCTCGCATGGTTTTGGTTGTCGCAGGTCCGACGAATGCTGCGTTCAGCAGCCCACCAAGGAAGATCGTCAAAAGAGGCGTCAAGACATGGAGTCTGTTGGTCGGCTCGAGGACGCCTGAAAAGCTAGATGAGGTCGTTCCAATGGCAGTCCGTTCGGCGGGGAACGTCAATGCTAGGATGACAGGAAGTGCAGTCTGCAGCGAGAAGTAGATTGGGAAAATAGCGGATTGGAGAGTTGCAAATTGTGGTCGAGGCAGGTTTCTGAAGGCTACGATGCCGCCGATGAAGGACTGGAAGGTCTCAGCACCCAGAAGGATGCCATAGCTAAGGAGACGTTAGATGAACAGTGGACGGCGGTATGGAGTACAGGGACTGTTCGTACCTGATGATATGGTAAGGGGCTGCCGAATAGATTATAGACATGGCTGTACAGAATAGACGTCGGATAAAGTAAAGAAGAAAACAACTCGAGTATACTCTCTCTATGATCTGCTTTTTCTAGCTTTCTAGAAGAAGCTCGAGATGCTCCGACATTGGAAAGTCACACAAGAAGCCGGCGGCACGTCACGTCATTGGTGGTGTGAGGATGGTGATGCCGAGGCACGCTGGCGTCACGGCTCCACACGTGACTACGTTCACCGTTCGCGAGATGCTGCCTGCGCTTTCGCGGGGTCACTGAAGAGGAACAGCCAGCAGACGCGATCAATCGCATGAGCTCAAATGGATGGGCCAGCACCCCCAGCACCCCCAGCACCCCCTAATCATCACTGTTCCAGGGCTCAGGCTTGCGCTGGACCCTGAGATTCGTCAAGCCTCCCCCTTTCACACTCGACGCGCAGGGACGGACGGAAGACGCAATGGACAAAGAAGCAACACTCTACGTTATCGACCTAGCCAGGTCCATGGGCGAGGAACACTCTGGACGAAGCATCAGTGATCTTGAGTGGGCTCTCCAGTACGTTTGGGACAAGATCACAAATACCGTGCTTACGGGCCGTAAAACCCTCCAAATCGGTGTCGTCGGGTTTGGGACAGACCACACCTCCAACGACTTGCAAGACGATGACGGTTACCGCAACATTAGCGTTCTTCAACCCATCTCACAGATCCTGATGCCTCAGCTGCAAGCATTGCCAGCCATGCTACGGCCCAGCAAGACCGATGATCGCGATGTCCTATCCGCCATCATCGTTGCCGTTGATATGATGGCGAAGCACTGCGGGACTCTGAAGTACAAGAAGAAGATTGTCGTGATCACAAATGCAACTGGTCGCATCGACGACGACGATGTGGAAGACACTGCCAGCGAGTTTAAGGGCAAGGGTATTGAACTGGTGGTCTTGGGCATTGACTTTGACGACCCGGAGTTTGGGTTCAAGGAAGAGGACAAGTCGCCAGTGAAAATGCAGAATGAGAAAATCTTGAAGACGCTGGTAGATTTGAGTGGGGGTGTCTATGGAACGATGCAGGAGGCCATCGATGAACTCTCTCGACCAAATATCAAACCCGTCAGACCTACTCCCACCTTCAAAGGCCAGCTGAAACTGGGCGATCCAGAGCACTACGACACAGCACTCTCCATCGACGTCGAGAGGTATTTCAAAACATCCATCAAGAGGCCGCCGACCGCTAGCGCATATGCCGTCCGCGACGCCGCGCTGCCCGAGGAAGACATGAGCGCCGTCCACAGCCTGTACAAGTACAAGGTCAAAGACGAGGAATCTGGTGGAGGCACGCGAGACGTTGAGCGTGACGAATTAGCCAAAGGCTTCGAGTATGGTCGCACTGCAGTTGCAATTTCAGAGTCGGAGCAAAACATCACCAAACTTGAGACACAAGCAGGATATGATATTCTGGGGTTCATTCCCGTGGACATGGTGGAACGCTACATGATTCTCGACAATTCCAGCATGATCGTTGCACAAAAGGGCAACGACAAAGCTGCCATTGCCCTATCCTCGTTGATCCATGGCCTGTATGAACTCGGATCGGTCGCCGTGGGTAGGCTCGTCAAGAAAGACATGTCAGAGCCCATTATCACACTCCTATCACCTTTTGTCGAAACTGACTTCGAATGCTTGATCGAGAACATTCTTACTTTTGCAGAGGATGTCCGATCTTATCGATTTCCGCCTGTCGACAGAGTCCTTACGGTTTCCGGAAAGGAGTTGACGGAGCACCGCAACTTACCCTCAGAAGAGTTGTTGGATAGTATGAGTGAATTCGTTGACAGTATGAGCCTGGTGCGTGGTGATGAAGAGGAAATGTGTATAGACGACACGTTCTCTCCAGTTCTGCATACTATCGAAGGGGCGATCAAGTATCGAGCGGTGCATCAGACAGACGACATTCCAGAGAAGTCAGAAATGTTCCTTGCATACTCGAGGCAGCCCGAGGAGCTCCAGGAGCAGACTAAAGGCGCGCTGGCTCGATTGATTGCTGCTGCGGATGTCAAGAAGGTCCCGCCCAAGACCAAAGGTCGGAGGAAGTATCGGGAAACCGAGAAGCCCTTATCCGGCCTCAATGTTGACGACCTCTTCCGCAAACAGAACCGCACTCAAATCTCTCCAGACAATGCCATTCCGGAGTTCAGACAGATGTTAGAGCAATCTTCCGATCTGAACTTGGTGAAAGATGCTGTCCAACAGTTGGCGTCAATATTGCAGGATTGGATCCTCCGCAGCTTCGGAGACGCGAACTATGACCGAGTCCTGGAAGGTCTGGGAGTGATTCGGGAAGAGATACTGGGGTTTGAAGAACCAGCCTTGTACAACGAAGTCCTGCGCGACCTCAAAAAGAAGCTGACGGCTGGAGAGCTAGGTGGCAATCGAACCGACCTGTGGTACCGAATCCGCGTCACCAAACTTGGTTTGATCGCCAATGACACCTCGCCGTCTTCAGATGTCAGCCGGGCGGATGCCGACACATTCATGAGTCTGAAGGGCTAAGAAGCCGGTCCCGGGCCAGGTTGTTGTTGAGATGGATGAATGCATGATCTGAAAAAGCAACATCAAACGTGCTGGAACGGTACAGATACCCAATTGATGAAAGCATTACATGACCGGAGCTCTTTTTTCTAGGAGATTTTGCCTATCCTTCTCTTCGCAATGTTGATCTTCCCTTGCACGCGGTCGGTATCTTCGTCGACCATCCTCAGCATCTCGTTCTGGACTTCAAGCTCTTGATTGATGGCAATGCCCAGTTCTTTCTGTCTTTGAACGATCTTCCGCAGTTCCTCGACGTCCAGGTCTTGTGAGGCCATCTTTTGCTTCTGTAGCTGTAGCACGCCTTGATTGTCCAGCTCTCTCGTCTCGGCAGTCTCCTTGCCCAACACCCGCCCGCTCGCCTTTGGTTTGGACCCAATGAGCTCCTGCGTTTCTTGCATGGACGCAACGGCGCCATCGAGTTTGGATTTGGTGGCCATGGCATTCAAGAGATTTTCGAGGCCATCGCGATCCTTCTTCGCCGAGGCCAGCAAGTCCTTTCTTCTTCGTATTTCGCCGTCTCCCAGTCTGTGCACTCCCCATTCGCCGTTCGTGGCTTTTCGGATATTCGCGAGACCCTGCTCTAGAGCGGCGACCAACGAGCCCGCCTTGACCAGACTGCTCTTGGCCGCAGCACTGGCCTCGTGTTGTTTCTGAGGAGTTGAAGCTTGATCGCGAGATGTCAAATTCAGTCGGGCGTCTTGTAGATGCGTTTTCAGATCTCGATAGCAATCTAGCCAGACCACGGCATCTGTGATGGGTGCGCCGCCTCCTCCTGGCCCTGTGATGACCGAGTGCAGAGCACCAGCCTTACTTGACGTCTGGTTCGCAAAGGAACTTGGAAGATTCAAGAACGCCCTCCACACACTTGTCGTACGCCATCGTGAATCCTCTATCTCGTTGATTGTCTTCAGGTATTGTTCCAATTTTTGCCGACGGTCTTCCGTGAGCTCTGGGTTTGAGACCGTCTTCGAGAACCAGGCCTTGGGGGGGATGGTAACAGGAGGCGGCGAACCAACCTGGTCGGTCAGTCCATTGTGCAAAGCGACAAAATCCGAGTAGCGTTTCTGGACAGTGAAGGAGCGAAGAGGGAGGCGCAGTGTGATGTTGTACACTGTGTACGGTTTCGAGGTTCCGGCAACGGTGGTGTTGGGTATTGAGATCTCAATCTGAGGTGCCATGACGATGACTTTGGAGGCTAAGAGGACATGAGATTGTGGGAACGCATAGAAGACTAGAACAGGCCAGAGGCCATAAACAGGCGGTTCGTGATGTTCGTGATGTTCGCGACGTTGATCGAGACCTTTGCATAGGTAGGTAGGTGTGTCAAAAGTCAAGAGATGTTCGACTCGGGCGCCTGCGCAGTGACGTCGCGCCGATCAGGGTCTCTGCGTGCCCGTGCCCGTGCCAGCATCCTGCAACTAAACAAATACGGAGTATCTCAACATGTCGGTGAAATGGCCGCCGAAAACGGCGGTCGTGGGCGCCGCTTTTGGCCTCCTCTGCACCCGCGCGCGTGGCCCGCCAACACCACGATCTCACGTAGCCCTGTGGTTTTGTCGTCGTAATGTCAGTCTTCTTTTCTATACACCACCGATTGCCCCTCGTACTGTGCTAGCTACATCCCTCGACCGAGTTTCTCCTATCTTTCCATTTACGTTATTATATAAAGCCCGTCCCTATTCTTATGCGACTTACCCTCTGTCCACTATGTCCCACTATCTTTACCTAATCTCTAGCCCTCTGCGACGGCGCTCGAGTTCAGCTCTCTACCATGGCAGTCACCCGCAGCCGCTACGCAGCACGAAGCACAAGAAAAGGCTCGAGGCCGAAGAAATCGTTCGCCGCGGTGGTCGGCCACCTGGACTCTAGAACTGACATCTGCCCGCCGGCATATGAGGACAGCACCCTAAACGGCATTGCATCCACATGGAGACGGTGGACCAGGTCAGGCTTTCCTTCCACCACAGCAAGTATATCACATTAGCCTCGCTTTAGCTGACTGATTTCCCTATAGATTCTGTGAACACGTTTACCGCGAGACCGGCCACTTCTCCTCCTCTGATCCTGTCGAAGTATGCCGAAAACACTTAACCTACCAAGTCGCTAGAGCCTTTCTTGAATATGACTGTGAGCAGTCATCCCGTACAAAAGCCTCGTCACTTTTTGTCTTTGCCAGAACGTGGAGGATGGCCGTACTTCAGCACATGTCCAATCCGGTTGATCATATTATCAAGATGGATATGAAGAATGTATAACTCCTGGACACCCCGATGAGTGTCATAGGCTGACTTGACATTTACGAATCAGTTTATTACGGATAAGCTCATTGACAAGTATGAACTCAGTGAGGAGGGTCGGTCCGACAGAATATGGATTCCGACGACATCTTCAGCCTTGCCCATTTCTTTTGGGTCATTAATGATGACCCCTATCCTCTCGAGCGAGACCGAATTCAGCATTGGACGCTCAACATATTTTGTGGCTCTACAACCGCACGCGCGGGGACTGTGATCGATAGTTGCTACTATGGTCGCAATGATGCCGTACAATACAGGGACATTCAGCTGTACGCTATACGTGACCCGGACCACCCGCCCCGAGGCGTGAAATTGGGTATGCATATTCGGCTTCGTCTCCTTAAAGGGAAACGAAATAGAGGTAATCCGTGAGTTCTCACCTCAGTCAGTATATAGATTACGTGCAGGCCCTGAACAATGTCTGCTGACCAGGTTAGGCCTGTGATCAAGTTTACCGAACGCCGTGACACACCGTGCTTCTGCCTCGTCAAATTCATCCTTGGCCATGCATTCCGCGATTCAGCCTTCGCAAGCCCTTGGATCCGTGATCCAATGGATTTATGGAACATCAAAATCCCCAGTCGCCTTAAATCTGTCCCGATCGAATAGGCACCAGACTGGAAGTTTGCTCCTGTCCTTCGCCGAAGCGTCCGAAACTCGATAGGTAAGATTGTAACGTCTCCTAGTCAAGCAAGTCAATACAATCAGATGGCCACCTGGAACCGATGACTCGGACGGGCATTTAGAATGGAATTTGAATTCAAGATGCTTCGTCGCACCGCCGCAGCCGCTATAAATAGTAAGGCCACTTCCGCTTCTAATCTTCTTTTTGCGTATGAGATTAACTAGAGCAGAAACTACCCCTTCCAGCGTACGTAATCAGGTTATGGGCCATGCCCACGATGGAATCTACCAGCGTCACTACCAGAATGATGTGGTGGACGTCGACATCGTCGCTGCTGTTCTAGAGAAACCTTCGGACGAACGCTCCATGCGCCTCCTTGGCCACGTTTCTCTGACGCGCGACCCGAATGCGCCTACCAGCCTGACCTTGGCTCAACGACGCCAGCTTAGCTCGAAACCAGAGATCCGGGCGGCCAAAGAAGGATGGCTCCAAAGTACTAAGGCGATTCGGCGCGATTTTGTTACTCTCTCTAAGGCGAGAAAGCTAGCCCAGGAGACTCCCGAATTGCGAACTCGACTTTCTGAGCATGACAAGCTATTCCGCACTTACAAGAAGATATTGACGAAAGATGAGACCGACGAACTGCAATCGCTCCAAGCCGAATATTTCCAGACGCTGGGTTCGACCTGTTTGGAGAATCAATACACCGGACAAGAGGAAGCTGATGGCCCTACTCCTGCTACATTTGCATTTTCCGAGCGTCAGGGGCTCGCAAGGCTGCTCTTCCCAGCGCCCTACGAGACACCCTCCTATGATGACCAGATTCAAAATAGCGCTCAGATCGTCCGTCTCCTATGCGCTCTCTGCGGTCGCCGGGACAGTCAGCGACCGCGCAGAGCCAAGCAGAAGTGCGACCAGTTGGATTCCCCACCGGCCCAAGATCCAAACCCCAATGATTGCTTCATCGACACCTGCCCGGAAATTTTCCCCATCGTCTTCCCCGGGACTCAGCGCCTCTTTTGTCTCGGCGATGACAGTCTCGCTCCAGAAATACGGACGCATTGCTTCAAAAACAGCTTCTTGCTGACAAGACACGTCCAAAACCAACACCTCAATCATCTTGCACCTAGTCTTGCGTTCGTCTGTCCGCACCCCCACTGCCAGGTGACCCGAGTGGAATGTCTTGACGCGAGTCATTTTAAAATTCACGCGTTGAATGTTCACAATATTGTCCACAGCCCCTAAGGCGTCGGAGGGAGATGACGAGAGATCTCGGCGAGTCTACTTAAATATGGATGAAGATTTTGGCTTCAGATACTGTATAATATATGTATGCTTAGCCCGCCATTGGACCAGGGGAAAGTGATGAGGTTTAAGAGGAATGGATCCTTAGGTAAGTTCCAAGACGCTGAGGGGAATTCGTTCGAAATGTCTCAAGGTTTATTAATTCTTCCTCGATGTTTTCTCATTACCATCCTTTTCTGTACACGATGTATCCTCGTTTGAAGGACACCGGCCTTCGATAGTGTAGTCTTTATTCTCCGGAGATTAATCGCTCTTGTATGCCGAAGTGCCTAGACGGTGATTCATATTGGAATCTTTGGTAGACCTTTTTACTAGCTGATTACTAAAGCGGTATACAAAATCACTGGGACACTTTCTAACCGGCGGAGGGTATATTTTGCCCTAGATACCACGCCGTGCAGGTTAGCTCGCTAATTACGTATAAAGAGGATAAAACTGACTAATTGTTCTTCCGACCGAATCTATTCACTCTCGGGATTAGAATTGAAGGTATATACACGACCATAAGCCTACACGACAATATACACATCGACGTTGTATAGGTGGCCAAGTTCGAATCCCTTGGTAAAAAGACTCTTGCGGCGGCGCGCCAGCCTTTACTGCTTTAATTTCTTATTACTTCCAACCTTGTTATTCATTTCTGTATCCTGAAATTATCTTAGTCTTAAGGCTTTAAATCGTTGTTTTACCGTGAAGGACGATAAACAAATATAAATCTCCGCTTGTAGTACTTCTGACAGGATCACGAGCAGGTTAAGTCTAGCAACAAGGCTCCACATGGTTTCCACGGTCTCATGCAGTCGACTTCGACTTCGACTTCGACTTCGGCGACATTAATGGTGAATTCGAGCCTTCGTATGTCATGCCTCTCGTATAATGGTCGCTGCTCTCACAGCTTTTCAATTTTCCCACCAGAAGTTGTGGAAAAGGAGCGTAAAGTGATTACGGTACTTCATCCTTTACCCACCCTCACCCCCAACCCAAAAGCGTGGTATTGTTGGTGCTCGGCGTTTCTCAGAAACACAAGCCAGGCCCGTGTTGACCATAGGAAGATCCGGAGAGGATCAAGTATTCTCCAGACCAGGAGCCTTCAAGTCACCTGATGCAACATTTGACAAGTTGCATTCTTATCGTCCAATGATATTCGCAGCTTTCTTGATCCGTACTGAGCGAAGCAAAGTAGGATGAAGACGCTTAGTCACGTGAAATAGTCTTGGCATACGCGCTCAATGTCGCCTTCTCGCGCCTGCGCTGCATGCGCACTCACTCATACAGCACCGCGGTCTGTGCATTGTGGTACCAATTATCAAAAATGCCACTATCCATCGTTCACGGTCGGTGCTGCCGTACTTATCCACCACACCCTTGTCCGGTACTTCGATGCAGATCATCAAACAGCCGAGGACCAACCCGAGTATGGTCATGGGTAAAATTACAGTAACACCACCGCCACGCCAGCCACAAGATGTGGCTCATCCACATCCCGTCTATCATGATATCTTCTACCGCCTTATTGGCCCTTGAGCAGTAATTAATCCACCCGCAGTGCACGTGATTGTCTCTCTGGTATAATAATATTGGCGTCTGTGTGACAATGATCGTTCGTGGCCTGAAACACGTGACGTGCACCCAAGTAAGGCGTTCTGGCGCTGCCCGTGATTTTGATGGTGCTACCAGATGTGACTCAACGGAGGAACATGATGAATTCTGCTAGGTCCTGGGGACCGTCTGACTATATACTATCGGTAATTTACATAGGGCTACTAGCCTGTTTCGAAGGTCTTAAACGGCTAGCCTGTGACCGTCCGGACGTTCTTGACATTCCCTTGGCAACCCTGTCAGTCACACCTGCACCCTCGCACCCCTCCTTCGATCTAAGCGCTCTACAACCCTCAGGTTGGCTATTTAGCCGTTCAGCTGGCGACCAGCAAAGCCTAACACGATGTCGCTACTGTTGCGCTGCCGCTGCAATCTCGGTCGCCTACGATTAGGCGCAGAGACTACAGATTCTCGACGTGAATATCGTGCCGCCGTTGCCCAGCGGCCTTTTCTTCTTACCCTCGTGCTTCACTGACCCATTCCTATCCTGAAAACAGTCTCAGCCTCACCACCCACTTTTTGTGTTAGGCACTAACAATGGCGGTATAGCCCTTGCTATAAGGACGCTCTCGACGATCCCTCTCAGCCTGATCATCGTATCTCAAAACTCCACGATTTCTCTACCGCACCTCATCCTCGTCATCCTTATACTCATTCCACCGGTCTTGTTCGAGAACATAGATTACCTCTTAATATTTGTTCGATCTACAATAATCGTTGATATCCGTGCCTATGGCTCGCAATCTTTCTCTATCGATCGACCAATATCATGTGGGAGTAGTGTGCGCTTTACCCCACGAGTTGACTGCGGTGCGGGCCATGCTGGACGACGTGGATGAACCACTCCAGAGTAAAGATGCGCAGGACAATAATAGCTACATCCTTGGACGCATGGGCCGACACCATGTGGCGATTGCATGCCTGCCAGCAGGCGTCGATGGGACCAATGCTGCCGCCACCGTAGCCAAAGACATGTTGAGAACACTCACTGGTCTGCGGTTTGGGCTGCTGGTGGGGATCGGAGGGGGGATCCCTGACCACCGGAGTGGTCGCGATATCCGGCTGGGCGATATCGTGGTCAGCCAGCCAGACCATACCTTCGGCGGAGTGGTCCAGTACGATCTAGGGAAAACCTTGAGAGGAGACGAGTTCAGGCGTAAAGGATCCCTCAACAGCCCCCCAACCCTGCTTTTAACAGCACTTAATTCTCTTCGATCACAAACTGGGCTCCAAGAAAGCCCTGTACCCAGATACCTCAAGGAGATGACTCAAAAGCATCCCGGTCTCGAAGATGAGGGATACAACCCCCCCGGTGTCGAAAAAGACTATCTTCATTGCACTCGATGCGATCCGTCCCAATGGTGGTGGATATTGTGGACTTTGTGGCTCTGGCTCTGGCCGCTGTCACGTTGTGGGTTGTGTGAGGATGGTCAGATTCGGAGACCGTTACGGAGACACCAGAATCCCATGGTCCACTACGGGACGATCGCGTCAGGGAACCAAGTGCTCAAAGATGGCAGACTGCGAGACCGCCTGGGTCAGGAATTCGGGGCGATTTGTGTGGAAATGGAGGCGGCTGGCTTGATGAACAATTTCCCTTGCCTGGTCGTGCGAGGGATTTGCGACTACGCGGACCATCACAAAAACGATGCGTGGCAGAAGTATGCGGCTACCACAGCGGCTGCATACACTAAGTGGTTCCTGACGCACGTGACACCTCAGCAGACAGCTGGCGAGAGGCTGGTTCAGGAAGTCATGGGTAGGTACTGATATTTTGAGAATGATTTGTTATCTCAAGAGGGCAATCAATGTCTGATCTCTTCCTTAGGTATTTTATCCGATCATTTAGAGGTTAGTAAGGAGATGCTGAAAGAGACGAGACAGCAGTCCTCGAACGAAGAGACACGGTACCGGAATGATCAATATCAAGACTGTCATCGGGCATTCAAAACCAGCACGTACGAACAATTCAAGGATGTCAATCCCGATCGGGTGGAGGGCACTTGCCAATGGGTATTGTCCCACTCCCAGTATCAGCAGTGGCTCACCAAGACCCATGATGACCTACTCTGGATCTCGGCGGATCCGGGCTGTGGCAAGTCGGTCCTCGCCAAATCGCTGGTGGACAATGAACTTCACAATACTGATCAGCATACGGTTTGCTACTTCTTTTTCAAGGATAACGAAGTGCAGGACAACGTGGCCACGGCTCTCTGCGCCCTCCTCCATCAACTGTTCTCCCGTCAGCCTGAGCTAATTCAATATGCAATTCCGGCATGGGAGAAGACTGGCGACAAGCTCGTGAAGGACGTGTCAGAGCTATGGCGCATATTGGTCGCCGCCGCAAGAGATGACCAGGCTCACGACATGACGTGCGTTCTGGATGCGCTGGACGAATGTCAACTCTTGGATCGACGGTGGCTGATTAAGATGCTTTCCCGGTTTTACACCCAGGTATCAGCCTTCCCGTCGTCAATGCGGCGAGGCCGACTGAAATTTCTCGTCACTAGCCGGCCCTATGATGATATACAGGTGGAGTTCCAGAAGATGCTGCACGATCTCCCTACGATCCGTCTAAGAGGTGAAGAGGAGAACGACCAAATTCACCAAGAAATCGACTTAGTCATCCGAATGCGAGTGGGAAAACTCGCGACTGACTTAAAATTGGATAACAACACCAAGGACCAACTGGAGACCCAACTTCTGGGGATGGAGCATCGCACGTACTTGTGGCTATATCTCGCGATTGAGAGTATATACCAGACTTACCGTAACAGTTTCCGCCTGGAGGAAGCATCGATCCAGTTACTGCCGTCTAGCGTGGAAGACGCATACGAGAAAATTCTAAGTCGCATTAATCAGGAGCAGAGAGGCAATGTGAAAAAGATTCTCCAGATTGTGGTTGGGACACGGCGGCCGCTCCAAGTCGAAGAGATGGCCATCGCACTCGGCATAGCCACGTCAACTCACGCTATATCTCTACACAAGGCTAAACTCGACCCTAGGAGGCTGGAGAATAATATTCGCGATTGGTGTGGTCTCTTCATCTTCATTAACCATGGGCGAATATATCTCATTCACCAGACGGCTAAGGAGTTTTTGGTTGGTGGGAGCGGTGCCACTACCTTTCTGTCTGGATGGAAGCATTGCCTCAATCCGCGAGGCATTGAGAGAGAGATGACTCAAATATGCGTTGAATTTCTGTCCTTTGACGATGTCGCGGCAACAGCAAAGTCTTTTCTCCGCGAATTCCAGAATTACCACACTCCTAATGACTTTTTTGAAGGAAACAATCATAACCAAAGTTTTTTAGTCTATTCAGCAGAACACTGGCCATCTCACCTACGAGAGGCAAACCTTTCTCAAGATGATAGATTAATACCTCGAACAGTTGATCTTTATCAGGTCAACAGCCGTTTATACGACGTCTGGTTCCCAATATTTTGGCAGGCGGCGAAGCCATATGGCAACCTTCCGGAGATGAGTCCGATACGGCTTGGGGGACTTCTGGGTCATGAGAACATACTGAAGTTGATATTACAGCAGAAAGAAAATTACGGTATTGATGAACCGGATAGTGACGGCCGGACAGCATTAATCTGGGCGAGTGAGTATGGTCACGAGAAGGTGGTGCAGACACTCCTCGACAAGGGAGCGGATGTCAATGCTCAAGGAGGAAGATATGGCAATGCGCTCCATGCAGCATCACGGCGTGGTCACGAGAAGGTGGTGCAGACACTCCTCGACAAGGGAGCGCATGTCAATGCTCAAGGAGGAGAATATGGCAATGCGCTCTATGCAGCATCAGAG